CTCTTCGGCCACGGTATTATAAGGATATAGAAATTAAAGGTGAAGCGAGAGTAACTCGTACCCGCGATAATATTAATTTATCCCCGAATCCTATCTTATTATAACAAAAACTTTAAAATTAAAAAATTCGGGGACTAGGTACTCTATAACACTATAATGTTTTAAATGACCCTCGCTATGTAATAGATTTATTATAGATGAGTCTAAGTATTAAGGATAACGCCTTAAAGGAGAGGGGATAATTATAATTCCGTGGCCGAAGGAAGTTAGCGGTATAATTATAAGGAATCACAGAGGCTTTAAATACCATAGCGTACCGCTATATTAGTATTAAAAATACGTACCCGATTTACTAGTATTATACCTAACCTCCAGATATTCCGAGTGCTTTGGGTATAATACTTACTTCTATTTATAAACAAAGAAATAAGTTTAAATCTTATTAACATATATAACCTATGCTTTCTCTCTCTACCTAATCTATCTTATTATTATTGTAATAATATAATTATTTTATTATTTTAATTATTTTTAATAGCCTGATATTTATAAAAAAAAATTTAAAATATTATAATAAAGTATATAATATAAATATATCTTAATTCAATAATTATATAATTTTTAAAGCATATAAAGGTATTATATTTTATATTTTATACTATTTTTTTTTTAGTAATTGATAATAATAATAAATTATACGCCCTTACGGGTGCCTCTTGCTAGCTAGCTAGGCTATCTAGGCTATATAATCCTAAGGAAAAATTAAGTAAAAACCTTAGTGCAGTCCTCCCCTATTTTTTTTTATTTTTGTTTTGTAATCATTTTTTATTATTTTTCTTATTCTATATTTTTTATTATTATTATTATATAAATTTTTTTTTAATTATTATTCAACATATAAAAATATATTTAATAATTAGTAAGCTCTTTACTAGTCATATCTTATTATTAATCTTATTACTTAGAAGTATAGTAAAATACTTCTTACTTAAGTAGCCCTTAGCTCCTTCCGTAGTGGTAGCCTATCCACGCTAGCAAACAGCAATCCTCACATTCATTCCATAATCGGGCACACGCAGGGGAGTATTCCACTTTCGCTCATACCATCGACAGACTTAAAGGCCGCGGTCCCCCGTGTGCGGAGCAAATGGCTGACTTAGGTGAACATCTGGGCAGCCCGAGCGACGAAGCTCATAGGCGGCAAGCGGCCATTTTGAATCGTCATCTGCCTGAGGGTTTCTCCGCTGGCCCAGATGTAAGCTTGGGAGTACAGGAATCAGTTTCCCCAGCATCCGCAAACCCAGCCCCGAACGCTGGCAATGGTAGCGAGGGATACCCATTCCCTTCCGATGGCCCAGCACGATCTGGTAGTCCTTCGGGCAAAGTACCAATTCCCGAGCCTATCAAAGCACCAGATGCGCCGCCGAACGACATCTCTTCAGAGTCACATTCTCCGAGCCCAGCTATTGCAACACTCGAAACACCCAATTCGACAACTGAACAAGGCGTGGATAACGTAGAGTCATCGTTGAAGCTCCAGGGTGGCGACATACATCGAGATATTTTCAAGATCAAGGCACGTGCAAACTCGCTTCGCCGCGCCAATACCTTCTCTCATCAACCTTCTCCGAGACTGCAAGCGGCGAGTGATCTCACGTATCCCGAACAGCGAGAACCAGGTGGTTTCCGACGGCATTACCTCCGTCGACAGGCACTACAGCGGCGCCAAACCGGTCCTCTGATGATAGCAGGCAGTTTTGTGGATTTCCTCGACTTATACGGAAGCTTCGCTGGTGAAGACTTGGAAGAAAGTGATTCTTCCGAGGATGAATCGGCTGTGGACGACGCCGAGGAAGCTGGCGAAGAGCAACCTTTACTTTCAAGACCACGGTTGCCTCGGCCTCGGCCATCACGTCGTCGTAGCTCTCGCCGCGTAGCTAGGGAAGGCGATGCCAGCACCATGAAGACTTTCTTCACTCTGTTGAAAGCTTTCATTGGGACAGGAATTATGTTTCTGCCTAAAGCATTCAGGAATGGCGGCATCTTGTTCTCATCTTCGATACTCGTACTCGTCTCCCTAATCAACTGCCTCTGCTTCCGACTGTTGCTGGATTGCAGGGAGAAGTACGGGGGCGGTTACGGCGAACTTGGCGCCGCTATCGTTGGACCGCGCTTTCGAAGCCTCATTCTCGCGTCAATTGCTCTATCCCAGCTAGGATTTGTTTGCGCTGGGCTCATTTTCACCGCAGAGAACTTGTGGGCTTTCCTGGATGCTGTCACGCAGGGGAGACACAACGTGGCACTAGGGGTCACTGGGCTCATCGCTCTCCAGCTTCTTCCGCTGATACCATTGGCACTGATCAGGCATATCTCGAAATTGGGACCAGTCGCATTGATAGCGGATGTCTTTATTCTTGTCGGCCTGGTCTACATTTGGTACTATGACATTGCCGCACTTTCAAGCCGTGGCTTGGAACCAACCGTGGAATTATTCAACCCCTCGACGTGGACCTTGACCATTGGTTCTGCCATTTTCACCTTTGAAGGCATTGGGCTCATACTGCCGATCCAGTCGAGTATGAAGAAGCCGAAGGAATTTGGAAAACTCCTATACCTCGTCATGTTCCTGATCACCATCATCTTCACCTCCGTTGGCGCGCTCTGTTATGCCACTTTCGGAGAAGGGACCAAGATTCAAGTCATTTCCAACTTCCCACAGGATTCGCCAGTCGTCAATGGCGTACAGTTCCTGTACTCGATGGCTGTTCTTGCTGGAGAGCCAGTACAACTTTTCCCGGCGGTACGAATACTGGAAACTAGTATCTTCTCTGAACGCCTTTCTGGTGCCAAGGATGTGGGTATCAAGTGGAAAAAGAATGCACTACGCATGTTTGTCATGGTCGTCTGCGTCGGAGTCAGCATTTTGGGAGCTACTGATTTAGACAAGTTTGTGTCACTCATTGGAAGCTTCGCTTGTGTGCCATTGGTCTATATCTACCCAGCCTTTTTGCACTACAAGGGAGCTGCTGAGTCGAGGTGGGTCAAGTTACTTGACATCATCCTGATGGGCGTTGGGCTCATAGCGATGGTGTATACAACGTTCATGGCGGTCGTGCAGTGGGTTGAGGATTGATGGAACGCCTCCTTTGGCCTCCAAAGGGTGACGCTTGATTTGCTTGGGATGGCTTTACTTGGACTGCCGTTGCCAAGGACACAATCCACCGATGGGCCTGTTTACAAAGCCGCGTATGACCATGGACTTCCAACTGCGCTGAGCCGGTTCATACACGCAAGTGTGAGGTGAGGTAGAATGCACACCCACGTGTGGCTTTTTCACTTCAAAGAAACACCACCGCCCATTGCCCGTGGGCCAGAAGCGACAGTCAGGCGACCGTTTGCGACGCAAGCCTCGGGATGGAGCAGATGTCCTGCGCCCGCGTTTGTCTCAAACGGTCGTCCTGCATCGTTGGAGTGTGAATCGAACGCAAGCTAGTAGAATATGATACAATTCTGTTGAGTGAAGTTAATCTATATTGTTTCCTAGGTACTCGGGCTTCGTTGAGCACTCGATTCGTGTGAAATGATGTGCGGACCACCTAATCTCGCCAGAGCTCCGGTCTGCATCTTCAGGCGTTTTTCGACCTCCATTTGGTCCATGCCACGGTTGAGCATACGCATGGCATCCACGATAGCACGCATGTCAACAAACCGCCGCCCGGCAGAATTTCCCCCACCATGCAGGATTGCCTGCTCCTCGGCTTCCTGTTGCAGCCGCTGCCGTACGTTCAGTGCGGTCAATGTCGGGTTTTGCCGGCCATCTGGGCGTGCATTTTTCATGGAACTGATGGACGTGGAGTGAGGCGTAGCTGACGATGAGTGTGAGAGGGTCGGATTCGGTTGCACAATGCCCATCTGTTGCAGCCGTTGGGAAAATTCGCCAGTGACTATGTCGGGATCTCCGCCGTCAGGGCGTGTTGCTAATATTGTGAGCATAAGGGCGCGACGATTCTTCGAACCACTGACCACTGCTGTCAGCACCTGACGCTTGCTTGTGCAGATTATGCGGGCTAGGCCGAGCTCCTACTCGCGGGACGGACACAGCTGATGTTGGCTGCTTAGGGTACTGTCGAGCAGTGCCGCGGGACAACTTCGAGGTCGAGGAACCCATCGTGTTTCTCCGACTTCGATGATGTGCTGTATCGAGGGTTGAAACAGTGACTGGAATTGTGCATTCGAAAAAGGACCAGCTGCATATAACAACACTGCACTACCGTGGGATGTAGGTAGAGTTTGGATCAAGGTCCTCAGTGAATGACGACAACATGAAGCCACCGTTTTACCTACCCTATCGGGACGTTCAGACAGTTCACCGTCGCCTTCCAGTAAGAAGCTCGGTCTACCTACGTGTGTAATAATATCAAAGGATCAGAGGGTGACATTGAACGACACTCCTTGGGTCGCCGGACTTGAATCTCAGTATTTTTCTGTTCTCCAGTGTCTAATCACCTGGTAGGGCATTGTCCGAACACAAGCGCTACCCTGAAAGCTAACTTGTCAGTACCTCGCATACAAATCGGCGCTCAACGTCAAGGCAAGGTAATCTGTATGGTGAGGTAGGTTTCCCTCCCGACCAATAATGATGCTGAACTAACGGCTAATGCGACCACCAAAGACCAGGACAAAGGCGTCTATAGCCTCAGGAAAAGTCTCAACGCAAGTAGATTGCCAATCACCGCGGCCTTGCCGGCATCAAGAGTCCTATCCTGGAAATACTCGCAGGAGCCTGCGACAGCTACACATTAGAGTGTGGAGGGATGTTTCCATAGCACGCGACTGACCACTCTTCAGCGGCAGGGAAGGTAGTCACGAAAAGACAGTGCAAGAGTTTCTTTGATTGAAGTGCGTCTCGCCCTGGGCCTGACTTTAATATGGGCGCAATGAGCGTTCAACATTGACATCTTGCAAGGGGTATCGTTGTCATTATAATCAAATGCGCAGAACTAGGTAGTTCGACCTTTTCGCGCCCGCCGTGATCCTCTGGAGGACCGGCCGTCTTCGCTGCCCGAGGTCTCAGAGACCCCAACGTCTTGCCCGTCAAGATCGGCGGTGGCTACAGACGTGGCTCCGAACGAGTGATGTGTGCCGGCAGCATCAGTATCGCTACCGAACCCTTCGAATTCATCATCGTTGTCAATGTTGTCGGGATGATCATCTTGCGTTTGTTCATCAGGCTTGGCGGCGGCTTGTGCGGTTTCAAGCTGGAGTTGTGCGTCGGCAGACGTATCAGCAACATCTCCATTTTCGGAGAATTTGCGCTTTTTCGGCATCTCTCCTAGCCGCCCGCTGCGACCGCCGACCTGACCATCGTCACCCTCCACGACGGGTGCGGGTGTGAACCATGGAATTTTGCCCCTCATGAAGTCGTTGAGTACCATTTTTGCAACACCATCAAGGTCAGGTTCTCCTCCCCGGAGGAGCCGCCCACCCTTCCTTGCGAGCAGCTCAAGGAATTCCGAGGCATTGGTCCAGCCCGTTAGCTCATACGTACGCTCCATGTGATGGTGCTTCACTTTCTTGAGCAACGCTGGTATGTACTGTTCGGGATTCTCGACCTTTTCCACTCGAGCAACCCCACGTAGCACAAGATCTGTAGGCGTATCATGCGTCGATGGGGGGACCACACCGGGACAGTCAATGAGGTAGATACGTTTCATGAGACTCACGTATTGCCATACCTTCGTCTCCCCAGGTATCGGGGCAACTGTGCAAACCTTCTTCTTCAAAAGAGTGTTGATGATGGATGATTTACCAGTGTTGGGGCCGCCGATCAGCCCAACGGAAATCTGTTTTCGTTCCGAATGAAGACTGGAAAATTGGCGCAGCAATTGGATTAGCGATCCTTTACCGAAAGAGTTGGTGATGCTCGCGTGAAACGCCAGAGTTGGGTACTCCTTGGACAAGTGGCGGACCCAAGCAGCCTGTGACGTTGTTAGTCGAAAAGTAACGCGAAGCTCGTGGCTTTGAAGGATAATGTCTTTCTAGTGCAAATGTCTGTGTCATAACTAAGAAATCTGCAATCGATGCCAACTAGGGCATAGGCAGATTTCAACTCTATCGACACGAGGCCAATCCCGGGATGGTGACCAAAACGGCACCATCAGCACAAAGCCGAAGCGACGGGCATTTGGGATCAGCAGTTCATCTCCCAACGATGTAACGGATGCGCCTTCACGGAGAAATGACTAAGGCGTCCTGACAAAATCCTTGGGGTAGTGTAGAAAAGCGAAGGGGAAACAACAAGGAACAAGCAAGACGATGAGAAGGAATGACTTACTGCTACACCGGTCGGCACCAGATCGCACTTGTTGAGTACGAAAATTAAGTGCTTGTGAGGAGCCTCCTCCCTCAGGTACTTCTCTATGCTTTTGCATCGGGTTCCTACTGGGTCTCGGGCATCAAGCACATGTATGACGACGTCGGACGAGTCAATGACTTTGTAAAGCTCGTTCCAGATGCGTTTGCTCTGGCCTTTGTCGAACACTGGCTCGACCGCTAGGGTGTACTTTGTATCGTCCTCGAGTTGTTCTCCGTCGCCTGAAGTGCCGCTCAGCAATTTGGCCTGCTCGAGTCGATCGTGGTATGTGTCCATGCTCTTCTCTGTGTCACCTGCAAGGTCATCAAGACTGCTGACGCCAAGTTTCACGCGCTTGCGTTGCGCTTTCGGACCAAACACGTCGGCAAACGGTGAGCTCTCAACTGTCATTTTGGCCTTGTGCTCCTTGAGACCCTTCTTGTCTTGGCCGTCTCGGATAAGGCTCATAGGCAGCTTATTGGACTTCAACAAAACTTGATATGGGTCATTGGCTTTCTCAGCCATGGCTTCGCGGAACGAGTTCAATGTGTCCTGTGATACCACTCGAGTATTGTTGAACCATTTACGATTCGGCTCAATGCGGGCGTTGGGAATTTCTCGGGACTGGTACGAGGCGGCCTTTGTGATCTCGCCGTCTGCGTTTCTTTGGACTTTTCCATCCTTGTACATGTTCAAGACTTTGATCTTCTTCGCATCACTGTCGGCAATCAGAAAAGGATATGAAATCCAACACGTCAAAGAGACATACCGATAGAAGTTTTCGCCCTTGACCTTGACGTTGCCGAGGCCATCGCCAGTCTTGCCCTGGCGCACGCGCCGGGTCGCCTCCTTCTTGCCGGTACCCATGGCGAAAAGGTATCTGGATTCGACCGAAGAGATCAGGCGATACGATTGACCGAGGGGAAGAAGGTTAACGATGCTACCTGGTTGCTACTGGGCGCTGTGAATATGTAGAGAACCACGAGCAACATGCTCATGTCTGATAGGAAGTTGTAGGAAAACTCTCGTGGCGTCGACTTTTTTTTTTTACTCTGCCGCATTTCCCCACTATAGGGTACTTGGGCCAAGCCACAAACAAGGCTACCTTACCTGGCACCAGGGGTAGTGCACTGCCTTCGGGACGGCAAGACTATCGCCCGACCTCGCTAGCTCTGAGCCTAACCATGAATTTTTGAGTAAAGCAGCCTTACTTCAACCAGGGAGCACTGCTTGAGCTGGGGTAATTGCCTGACCGGCAGGCCAAAATCACCATGTCCTTCCTCTCTTCTCGTCAGTCCTTGAGCAGGACGACAGTTCACACTCTGCCGGCTATTCGTTCCTTCTCGACAACTCGCTTCACGTCCCAAACCGTCCCACCCGACTCGCCAGATTACATCCGCCTACCCTTACCGGCGCAGCTCGAGCAGCGACAGCGTGTCCGTGTCCGTGGCTTCCTACCGGTCCCCCGTTCCATCTTTCCTCAGAAACGTTCTGAGCGCAAGATCGATAGGGACTACTTGGCTCAAACCGCGGCTGAGCCTCAGTCTCCGCGGACCGGCTCTTCCCAACGGCAATGGAAAGCTGAAGTGGCTGCGAGCCGTCGACAAGGTCTTGAAGAGGGTCTAGGTGAACTTTGGAAACGCCACAATCGTGTGAGAACCACTCGAGAAATGCAGTCCCGCGCCAACTTCCAGAAGAACCACGAGCATCGCGTTGCGCCCGAAAGAGAAGACGATCAATATACACGCGGCACAACGCTGAGAACGCTGTTGGACACGAAGGTCTACGCGGACCCCGACAAGACCAAGCGGTTTGAGGAGAGTCGCCAGAAGATCATGGAGCATAACCAATATTTGAAAGAAGTGAGGCGCGATGCGCTTATGGAATTGTACGTCAGTGCCTCCAGTTTCATTACCCAAGAAAGCGAGCTGCGCAAGAAGATTGATGAGATATTCCACGAGGATTATTTCGAGGGCCAGATTCAACAGTACAACAAAGAATGGACTATCGCCAACGTCTGGGGCGTGCACGGCTATCCCCCATCAACAGCGAATATGCTTGACTTGACCTCTAGGTCAATGGGGGGTGGCTCGCCAAAGGACCAGTCAAGAACTGGGTACAGACAGAAACGCATCGCAGAGGAGTTCACCGGAGGGAAGATGGACGTGTAACACCTCGAGGGACACCAGCTGTATATTGTGTAATGTGCTATGTAAGATCAATCCAAGTGAGAACGCCGTCCGTGACCGAGACCATACCTCCGCCACGAGGGCGAGGCCGTGTCTATGTTGCTAGACGGAAGACATCAATATATCTAACAGTACCTGCACTTCGTACAAAACAATCGATAACTAAAGGTGAAGCATTCATTCCTCGAAAGACCTGGGCGATTGTCGCCTATCGTCTTTCCACCAACAATACGTGCATGGCAGCGTATGCCAAAACCAAAAATACTGCTGCAACGATGCCCAAGTTTCTGACATCGGTCCAAAGTGCGTTGTTATCAAACCCGAAGGAGCTCAGGATGGCCGCTCCCGGTACTGTAATGTCCAGCCCATACTGTTTGTCGATCAATGTCAGATGAAGTACTTCATTGACAATCAAAGATTCGAATCCAAAGTGAAAAATTGATAACGACTGCAACCAGACGGCACTCTCGGGTATAGCATCGTGGTTCAGCAAGAAACCGGCGAAGAGCAGACTGAACAACATGACCAGGCTACCAATGAGGTTGGCTACTCCGCCATCCTTACAAACAATGCCGATGAACAAGCAGATTGTTGCAGCTGCCATGTTGAACAAAACAAGAACAAGCATAAACTTGAAAAAGTGCTCTCCATCGGCAACCAGGCCAGTCATAGGATACACAATGGAGCCCATGAGGATGGGTGGGATGATCCTCAGTGGGACGATGTCGAAGAGCATCTTCGCGGCAAAGTATGTTGCAGGTGAATAATAACCGTTGGCCCGCTCCCTCATGAATAAGAGTCGCTCGGTCGCGAAAACGTTCAGGCTGGTCAGGGTGCTGAAGCCGAACAGAGTCAGGAGGAAGATAAACAATCCTAGGCGATTCTGGAAGCCGGCAATATTATCGGTCAGCCCATAGAAGAGGAAACCGCTGAAAATGCCAATGATGATGGCTGTAGCGTAGTGGGCAAGCATAAGTAGCGGGTTCCGGTAAAGATTCTTCCACGTTCTTTGGGAAAGAATAGAAAATTGCCGCAAGTATCCGATGCGAGCGTAGCCCTTTCCAACGGCACTGAATGTGCTAGAGGGTTCACCAAGTGCCCGCGCTTCGGCGTTGCTACCGTTGGCATCACGAGCAGATTGCGCCACCTGTTGGATTTCTGTTTGAGTCGACGCGGCAATACTCGAGTCGGCAAAGGCTCTTGTCATCGCATCTAGATCTGTCCCTGTTCCCGTGGCAGGAGGAAGATCATGTATGTCGTCTGGCGTTTGTTGGTTAAGGGTGTTGAGATTCTGAGACAACCGGTAGCCCGAATCCTCCCCTCCAGCGTCAGAAGACGCCGTAGTGTCGGCGGTCTTCCGTCGAGTAAACAGCTCACGGTCTTGACGTTGCTTAAGCGAATTCTTCCGCTGATTGCGAGGTCTTTTGGGTACTGCCGTGTCCACGCCGCTCTCTTCGCCAGCACTGAGACCAGATATACTGGCAACAGACTTGACGGCCGCTGTGCTGCTTGGACCGACGCTTTGGCTGTCATTGGTAACGGCCCCGTCATCCATAGACAGGTTGGAACCTGCGTGCATTGTCAAATCCACCAGGTAATCTGCGATATTGAATCCCGGCGGGCACTCATATCCGATGCCATCAAAGTAGGATTGACACTGCGCGAATGGTCCGGAGTAGACGGTCTTGCCCCGAGCCAGGAGAATCAGCCTGTCGAACAAGGCCACAATATTGGATCGGGGCTGATGGATGGTGAAGATGACGGTACGGTTGTACATCTTTGCGAGGGTGACGAGGCATTCGATGACGTTGAAAGCATTGAAAGCATCCAGTCCGCTTGTAGGTTCGTCGAGAAAAAGGATCGAGGGGCTCGTTACCAGCTCGCATGCGATGCCAACACGGCGTTTTTCTCCACCCGATATGCCCCTGCCTTTGCCCTCCTCAGACCCGATGAGCGAATCGCGGATATGGTAGATGCCAAGCTCCTTCTCAACTTCGAAGACTCGCTGTTCCTTAGCAGCGCGACCCATATGTCTAGGTAGCCGCAGCAGAGCACTGTTGAGAATGGTCTCGTGAACGGTGAGTGTTGGCAGCATCGTATCCTCCTGATCCACAAAGCCGACCACGGACTTGAAAACGGAGTCATCGATCTTCTCTCCGTTGACAAAGAAGTCACCATTGACCTGACCTCTTTTGTTCTTGCGAGCCAAGATGTCGAGAAAGGTTGTCTTGCCTGCGCCTGAAGCGCCCATGATGGCGGTTACTTCACCCGCCCGGCAGATACCTTGGATGTTATGGAGGATACCTTTCCCATTCAGGCTGTATGAGACATTGTTGAAATGTAAGTCGACTGGCTTGTGGTCCGTCATGAGCTTGATGTTTTCGTCGTCAGATTCCTCCAGGCGAATAGCGCCATACTTGAGCTTGCGACGTGACAGAAACCATGTCAACACGATAACGGCTACCAGGAACAAGCCACAGCCTGCAATGACACCCGCGATCAAAGGCGTATTGATCCTCTTGACAGGTCGCTCGTACCCAGGCATCTCTGTTTCGTAAATGCATTCACCAGAACGACAGTCCAAAAGTATGCTCGAGTCGCCTATCAGTGACAAGATCAAATTGTCCATCTCAGGTTCCCTGAAGGCGCATTGATGCGCGCCATTGTGCTTCTGAGTACACTCGAAGCGACCCGGACCATTGATGGATTGGTCAAGAAAGTCACTCAGATCAATAGACCCGTCCTTGCCGCAGAGCATACGCTCGGAGATACAGCTGCAACTTATTTGGTTGCACTTGTATGCGGTAGAGTTTTGTGCATCACCGAATTTGGCTTCCGAGTCGCATTCCGAGAGGTGGCAGTAGAAAGACTCCACGGCGTCAACCCAGACTACATGAGAAGGTTAGCGGCCTTGTTCAAAGTAGATTGCTGGCGGGGAATCTTACACTGGAAATCGCAAGTGGCATCGTCGGCCTTGCAAGTGAAGGTGACTTCAGGACGCTGTTTACCAAGTAGATCGGTGATCTTATGGTTCGTGACATCGCAGATCTGATAATTGTGGTTGATGACCTCGCCGTTCTGATAGCATACCCCACCATCGCCTGTCTTCATTAGGGCGTCGCAAGCCTTATTCTCAGTGCAGACGTTGCAGTTTATTCCAGTCCAGCCATCGTCGCAATCGCATGACTTGCCAGAGCGCATGGGCCGATCTTTGCCACGAGCTAAAGAACCGCAAACTTGGGATATCGTTAGTCTCCAATATGTATACGTGTCATCACAACACTAACGAGGTTCCAAGCAGTCGTCGCCGCCAAATCCTTCAGGGCAGTCGCATTTGCCATTGAACTCGTTGCAGCCGGAGTATTGGGCGCAGGTGTGGGCAGGTAGAAGGCAATTGAAACTTTGGGTCCGTGGTCTTAGCTCCAGTAGTACAAGCACAAGCTCATTTGATCGACTCGACTCACCATGGCGGGCACCCGTCTGGTCGACCACCCTGCAGAGCGAGCTGCGCATTCATTATATCGGCCTTGGAGTAGCTCGAGTTGACGAAGGCCGTTGCGTGACTGGCAAACAAAGCCGCCTGTCCAGCGAGTGCAGCTTTGATCAAACGAGTCATATTGAAGAAGGAAGTAACGAATAGAGAGCGCAAGATTACCCCCATCGACAACCTTCGCCGAGTCGCGAGTGTACGTACGTAGATGTTGATGACTTGTCGATGGGAGTTTGTGGCTGGTTGTTGACTCGGCTATGAAGTACGGCCCGGACCTGACGTAACCACCGATTGGTGCGGGCCCTGCTGCCTGGTTCCAGAGTCTACCTTACCTTAGTCAAGCACTTCACCCTTTCAGGCTAGATCAAACGCATTGTCTGTCCGCACTGGGGTATCCCAACGCATACGTCGTACTTACCAGGTACCTAGTACTCCGTACTTAAGTAGTACCTTCCTACGTACTAGAATTAGACTTGGAATACTGTTATTTGTAACAATGTTATAATAGCAGTTATCTGGACGCACGGTGAGGATGTTCCGCGATTTTTCTTTGCTTCAGCAAAAAAGCATGCAATCGAGCAAGAAAGTGCACCAGTCGTGTACTGTAATGGTGCAACTAACTGTAGTCCCCTCGGCACCGCTCTAGTCTTGCGCTGGGCTAGCCGAGTCGCTACTAAGCTGTACCTGGCAGATAAGGTACCATTGATGGATGCACGCACATGGTTCGTGTGATGTGCAGCTGGTAACTTGCCAATTATGATCAGGTATGTGATTAATGTATTTACGCGTATCATCTGGAATTGCACCTGTCCCAAGGACCCTCGTTACGCTCCAATTGGGCCATTATTTCATGCAGTCATATCGTACTGATTCGTATCCTTCCAAATGCTTCTTTGTCAGGGTCACGCAAGGCGACATGGAAGCGTCTCCGCTGCTACAAGCCACAACATGCTATGACCTGGTGTATTCGATAGAAAACTGCTTTTTCGAATTGATACTCGGGAGTTGGGGCTCGTGGATCACATTGCGTCTCAAACGTAAGTACGCAGCACGGCGTTGGGAATTCGCAACATGCCAGGGCCTTATGCAAAGTATTTTAGAGGTCTCGCATCATCCGTTCCTATGCTTTACGAGATCGGCTTTGAGATAAAACTCACGAACTACCCATCGTGCCTTAGCCCACTGGTCGGTATTTGATCAGATCCTGAATCAGTGCATAATTAGACTCGAGTGTACGGATAGGAATATCCAGACTCAAGCTACTATTCCGTACTGGGGCCTCTTGGCCCGGGGAGCTCCACCTAGCCACGTAAGTGAATTTTCCCAATTCGGTAACCACTGACGAATCGTTTCTCGGCTTCTTTCTTCTCTTGTACAAGTAGTATAAAACTCGCCTTTTTAAATATCCCCTCGACCCCATCCTCAGACAGACTGCTGAGGGTGGAAGTCGGCCAGAAGAACTCTGTCCGAGCCTACAAAGGGAATACCAGCTTTCGAGTGCAATTGAGACCTCAGTCATTACCGGAAGTCGCTCTCGTTCCCGTCATTGCCTTTCCTTCACCTTTACCCGTATGGAGTGTGCGCCTCCCAATCTCAGGACCTGTCAGAGAAAGCGGTGAAAGCAGTGGTCACAGTCGGTATTCGAGCGTTCGCTGCATCACCAGTATGGAATGGCGTTGTTACTTGGCCATGTTGGTAGCACTCGCGCTACCAAGGCCGAGTCGATGTCAAGTCGTCCAATGGGACATTTCGAAACGTGTTGCCCATGGAAGCCTCCATGCCCGGGCGGAGAATACATTTGAAGAAATCATCACCAACGAGAAAGGGCAGGGAGGGTACTTCGCTACCGTGACCGTCGGTAGCCCCGGACAAGATCTAGTGATGCAACTGGACACTGCGAGCAGTGATGCCTGGGTGCCATACAGCGGAGCTTCCGTCTGCGAGAGTGGGGGGAGTGGATGTTCAATGGGAACCTGTGAGTATGAATCACCTGCAAGGGTTGTGTGGCATTGTTTAACTTGGCAACAGTCGATCCACACAGCTCTGATACTTTCAGGGAGGTCGCCCGAGACAAGTTCGAGATATCGTATGTTGACTCCAGCTTCTCGACCGGCGACTATTTTGAGGATCGTTTCGAGATTGGCGGGGCAGTTGTACAGAACTTGACCATGGGCCTCGGAATGAAGACCAACATCCCTTATGGATTGGTAGGGGTAGGCTATACTGTCAACGAGGCATCACTCTCGACAATGGGCTGCGAATATCCGAACTTGCCCGTTGCCATGCAGCACGAGGGTCTCATCAACTCGATCGCCTACAGTCTCTGGCTCAATGACTTGGATGCCAACACTGGCAACATCTTATTCGGAGGCGTGGACACGGCAAAATACACCGGCCCTCTGACCAAAATCGACGTAATTCCAGATGATGATTCGGATAACTATACTCACTTCTTAGTATCACTCTCGTCTTTGGAAGCCACAAGCCCAAGCGGCACGGATGTCTTGACCTCACCTGATGGTCCGCTCAATGTCGTACTCGATTCCGGAACGACTCTGTCATACTTGCCACATGACATGGCCTCAAAGGTATGGAAAGAGGTCGGGGCAGAATATCAGAGCGCCTTTGGTATGGCAGTCCTGCCTTGCTCACACGATGTCCACCCAGGCCATTTCTCTTTCGGATTTGCTGGATCCCACGGGCCTCGGATCAATGTAACTATGGACGAGCTTGTCGTGGATCTGACAAATGGGGAGCCACCCACATTTGCATCTGGTCCCTACGAGGGTGAACTTGTGTGCGAATTCGGCATTCAAAATTACTCAACCGGGCCTTATATCCTTGGCGATACGTTTCTCCGGTCAGCATATGTTGTGTACGATCTTGAAAATAACGAAATAGCTATCGCGGCCACCGACTTCAACTCGACGGATACCAAAATCGTCCCTTTCCTGAGCAAAGGAGCTCCAATACCCTCAGCCACGGCAGCAGGAGACCACAAAGAGTCCGCGGTGCCGCCGTTGCCAACAACGACTGGGCTTATTGCCGCTGAGGGCTTCCAAGACGGCGATGAGCTCGATGACGGCGCAATGGCGCTCAGCAAGTTTACACTTACTGGGATTATCACCGTCGCCATTTCTACTGCGTTGCTAAGCACATAGCAGTGCGAAGAACGCACGGTCTGCCCGATACAGCGACCAAACTGCTCAAACTCCATTTTACTCAAACTCCATTTTACGAATCACGATGTTGTAATAATTCTGGGGTTGGCTGGTCCTACTTTTAGCGAGGAGTTCTGGTGTTATCCGATCTTGGCGGTAATCATCTTCATACCTGTTTAGTTTGTGTACGTAGCAGGTAACAGCACCACACAATGATTTTAATGAGAATGCTGTTGCTGCCATTCTCATGACAATGATCCTAAAAAATTTCACCATCTTGTTTACCTGAATGAAGCCCGAATGCCCACAAGAATCAATAGGACGCTCAGTGCTCGCTCGATTGGGAATTGGCTGTTTGTTACTCCGTAGTCCTGCACGTAATTTGTCGGGTTAAGAGCCACAAGGCAGGGGCCGCTACGGAGCCGCTGCCCGCGCGTCAAAACGCGATTCGGTTTGCTCCAAAAATTTGAACCAGTCCGCCGTCCCATCACCAACTTGAACTTCTCAATTAATTTCCTGCGACCCTCTCTCAATGTCGGCCACGAGGATGGCGAGAGGTTTTCAGCGGCTTCCAAGCCGCATGTTTGTAACCTCGCAGCGATCCGCTTATCTGGCTCGACCAGTCGCTCTGTATGCCCTGCAATATCAATCTCGGCGGCCGTTCAGCTTGACAACGCTTCGTTTTGCAAGTGCAGCGCAAGAAGCGTGAGTTCATGATATCCAAATAAATTGATAGTACTGATGATCCGGTCCATAGTCTTAAAAAAGCCCAAGACGATGCCGCAAGTCTAACACCCGAATACGTGGCTGCCAATATGGCCCCGGAAGAGAAGAAAAGACTGTCGACGGTGCGCAACATCGGCATCGCAGTACGATTCCCTTCGCTCGGTCTCTTTGTTCAACGATTGGCTAACTTGACCCCTGATAGGCTCATATCGATTCCGGCAAGACAACCGTTACGGAACGAGTCTTATTTTATACCGGGCGAATCAAGGCAATTCATGAAGTTCGAGGCAAGGATTCGGTCGGTGCGAAAATGGACTCTATGGATCTGGAAAGAGAAAAGGGCATCACCATCCAATCTGCCGCTACCTTCTGCGACTGGCAAAAGACCGTGGACGACAAGGACGAAACATATCACATCAACCTGATCGATACTCCTGGCCACATAGACTTCACCATCGAAGTCGAACGTGCGCTACGAGTTCTTGATGGTGCTTGCATGATACTATGCGCCGTCAGCGGAGTTCAGTCGCAAACGATCACTGTCGACCGTCAAATGAAGCGATACAACGTGCCGAGGATTTCTTTCGTCAACAAGATGGATCGCATGGGCGCCAACCCATGGAAAGCTGTCGAACAGATCAACACAAAGCTGAAAATTCCGGCAGCGGCTATCCAGATACCCATCGGTGCGGAGGATGAATTCCAAGGCGTGGTCGACTTGATCGAGATGCGCGCGTTGTACTTCGAAGGACCTCGCGGCACGAAGATTCGCGTTTCAGACCAAATACCTACTAACCTCAAATCAATGGCAGATGAGAAGCGGCAACTTCTGATTGAGAAGCTAGCCGATGTTGATGACGAAATGGCAGAGCTCTTCCTAGACGAGCAAGACCCCAGCAAAGACCAAATCAAGGCCGCCATTCGCCGGGCCACCATAGATCGCAAATTCACCCCAGTTCTAATGGGGTCTGCGCTCGCGGATAAGGGTGTACAGCCAATGCTTGACGCTGTCTGCGACTACTTGCCATACCCTTCTCAGACAGAGAATATGGCTTTGGATAAATCAAAGGGGGAGAAGGCCGTCAAATTGGTGCCATACAATTCACTGCCGTTTGTTGGCTTGGCCTTCAAGCTTGAGGAGAACAACTATGGACAGCTTACATATATCCGCGTCTACCAGGGCACACTGACAAAGGGCTCATATCTGTTCAACTCGAGGACCGACAAAAAGGTTCGCATCCCACGTATCGTGCGGATGCATTCCAACGAGATGGAGGATGTTTCTGAGGTTGGCGCGGGAGAGATCTGCGCTGTCTTTGGTGTAGAGTGTGCTTCTGGCGACACTTTCACTGATGGCGGTCTTCCCTACACCATGTCTTCCATGTTCGTCCCCGACGCTGTCATGTCGCTCTCCATCACGCCGAAACGCAGTGGCGACGCCGACAACTTTAGTAAAGCTATGAATCGCTTTCAGCGCGAAGACCCAACATTTCGCGTCCATGTCGACCCTGAGAGTGAGGAGACAATCATCTCAGGCATGGGAGAGTTGCATCTTGAAGTCTACATTGAGCGCCTTCGTCGAGAATACAAGACAGAAGTGGTTACAGGTCAGCCTCGTGTGGCTTACCGGGAGACCATCCAGCGCCGCGCTGACTTCGATTATCTGCTCCGCAGGCAGACTGGCGGACCTGGCGACTTTGCTCGTGTTGCCGGGTGGATTGAGCCCAACGACCAGCCCGACACAAACCATTACGAGAGTCAAGTCATTGGTGGCGCCATTCCCGACAAGTACTTGAGTGCCTGTGCCAAGGGTTTCGACATCGCCACCGACAAAGGGCCTCTCTTGGGACATCGAGTCATCGGTTCGAAGATGGTGATCAACGATGGTGCCACCCACGTCACGGACTCATCTGACTACGCCTTCAATCTTGCCACACAGATGGCCTTCCGCAAGGCTTTCACGGAAGCAGGAGGCGCCGTTCTCGAACCCCTAATGAAGACGGTTATCACTGCACCCAATGAGTTTCAAGGCAACATCCTGATGCTCATGAATAAGCGTAATGCTACTATTCATGACACAGAGATTGGCTCCGAGGACTTTACTTTGACTTGCGACTGCAGTCTCAACGCAATGTTCGGGTTCAGTTCTCAGCTTCGCGCTGCCACCCAAGGCAAAGGAGAGTTCAGCATGGAATTCAGCCATTATGCCGCTGCACCACCCCATCTCCAGTAGGTTTTAGACCACTCCATGATTCCGCAAACAATACTGACATGTACCACAGGAAGGAATTGGTTGCGAAGCATGAGGCTGAGCTCGAGGCCAAACGTACAAAATAGAAACGAGCACAGATGGATGACACGTGTCATTGCGCAACAAATGTATACTGCTGTATATTTTGTAAAACATGTAGAACCACGGGTATATATATAGACTTGGATTGCCAGCATGGCCCTTATTGATGGACTGAGGAATAGAGCGACAATACTACCAGGCATCTTAGGTAGGTATGCGTGTTGTGACGACAAGGAAGGTGAAAAAGCGAAATCGCATCGACACCAGTCACAGCGCTAACAACATCGTCCTAACCACATTTTGGGACACTCCTACCTAGGTACGCGAGTCACTAACCTGTGAACTCCGTGACGAGTTCATCAAGTATTTTCTGTAACAGGAAGTCAAAATTTCTCGCCGAATCACTGCAGAAGTGAAACAGTGACTGTGCTCCCACAGTTTGGCATGTGGGTCATTATTAGCAAAGCATTAATTTTGTCACCCTGAGAACCCCTGAATTTCAGATTCGCGCCCAAGGTGCCATCCGTGTTTCCGCGTCTCCACGCGCCGATGATCTTGTTCGACCTCGCCAGTTGTTTGCACGCACTTGTCCATATACCCCTTGTATTCAAAAGCTGGATGTGATTCGAAGCTCTCCCGTCCTCGGCTATCCGGAAGCCTCCTCGTTGAGCAAATGCCACATATCGACCAACAAACAAACGACCGATACATGTAGCACTCCACGTCTTCGTTCCCGAAATCTAGACTCCGGCCGCGAAACATCGACATACCAACCAGGCAGAGTAACAACCACGACGTGTGAAGGTGAAAGCCCGTTGCCAAAATGAGCCAGGTCAAGAACCTGAGGGCTATGTTTGAAAACAAAGGCGATGACTCAAATCCCCCGGATAGGGGCAGATCTCCCGCAGGCTTCAGCTCAAATAGAGGTACGTTGTCACCTTTCTAGAGCACGGGGCCCACAGCATCCCACCAGCTCGGCTTTTGATGGCCGAAATCATAGCACGGGAACCCCATAGTATATGCTAGTCTGCGGTTGAGCCAGTCGCCCAGGACTTGTGTGTTCAACAGGCATCACAGAAACATGGCAACTACAACCCGATATATATTGTACTGACCGGCTGTGACGCAGGTTCAAACGCGTCCGAGTCTCCCAGGCCGCTCTCAACCGTTCGAACCAACTTTGTAGCCATCGAGAAGCACGGGCGTATTGGGCTTCGACGGGACCACAGCTACGAAACCAGTCCATCAGAGAGAGCTGCCAGCAATGAGTTTGACAATGAGTCTGCCACATCTGCTCCCACTGGAGATCTTGGACGAGCGAATCGGAAATTGTTCCCGAAAGAAACTATACCCGAATCACCACAAAGCTCGAGCATCGATGCTAAGGTCATGGTTTTGGACAAGTATGGTGATGAGGTCCCTAGCCAGGCCACATGTGGCACAAAAAAAGCCGCAGATTGGGTCTCTTCACCACCAGTCGGCTCTACAGATGGAGCAACAACCAGTCAAGGGCACGGCAAGGCCGCCACGGAGAGTGTGTTGACGTCAGGGGATGCTCCGTCCCAAGAAGAACGGCATGGACCCGTTGCGCAGGAACAGACACGGCCAGCACGGATAGCCGACAAGACCCAGAAGGACCCGAAAGTCGCAGCCAACTCGGGTGCCAAACCTCCGCCGAGAGCCAGCAGGCCAACAGCTGAAAAGCAAATCGTCACTGCTCCGGGGCGCGCGCAACCTCGAACTATTGCTGCCGCCAGTCACGGAGCGAAGACTACCTCCTCTTCAGGAGCACAGAAGCCGGGACCGATCAGGACCAACAATGTATCGGAACCCGGATTTGTCAAGCCGAAGCCGAAATCACCAACGAAGCCAGTCAACTTGCCGTCATCTCTGATGGCACCTACAGCGTCGTCTGTGTCAAAAGGCGCGGCTGCATCTGGCAAACGATCTGTTGGTCTCAGTTCTGGGGCAACTTCAGGCCGGCCTGCCAGTAGAGTGAGCGTGAATGGGCCTGCCGGAGGCCGGAAGATAAGGAAGCAGCGCTCTTCCATCCATGAATCACGGCCCACCGTGGGGCCTCCTCCTCCAAAACAGCCTTCGTCGAGTGTGGCCATGACCCATAGAGAAAAGCAAGTGGATGAGGGTTTCCTCGCCCGGATGATGCGGCCTACCCACTCATCTTCTTCCAAGACGAACGAGAAAGCACCCCCGACGCCCCCAAAGCGTTCTAGGCAACGCCAAAAACAGCCAAGTACCACGAACAGCCCACGAACATCCAACGGCTCCAAAAAGACTAGCGTCCCGACTGTTACTGCACGCTCCTCCTCTATGCCGTCGTCGAAAGGGCCATCTTTAGATCCAACGGAGGACGCCGAATCCTCTGGCGTTGAAGTCCTGCCTGGTGCTTCTAACGTGACCAACGGTATGAAAGGCAATGACAGCAGCAGCCAAGCTGGCTTGGAAGAGCGAGCGGCTTCGCGCAATGGAGCTTCGGGTTTGGAGCAGCAGATCCCTGACCTAAACTCTGATGAACAGCTGGGTGGGGTGGATGGTTCTGCTGAGCTCGAGAAGGTGGACGGAGAAGTTCGCACGCCTTCGCCTAAGGTGTCTTTGACTGAAGGCGTTCTTCCATATCAGACCGAACAGGTACATTACGCAGATGCTGATGATGCCGCAGTGTCGGTGCAGCCAAATGGTTCGGCCGCGAGCGTACAGCTACCCCAACAGGAGCAAGATACCGCATCCTCAGCTGAGTCAAACGAGTCCATTCAGGCACTTGAAGAGGTAGAGGTCTCGAGCATGCCTTCTGCGATTCGTCCCGAGTCCCAAACAGAAGACGGCTCCAATGAGTCAGCAAGTCCTTCTCCTTTGCCGACTGCTGATCAGCCAAGCTCCAAGACCATGGCAGAGAACCATTCCGTACCCGAGGAATAGTTTTGTACTATCAGACACCCTTATCCTGGGAATTCTCATGGATGAACGCACCGCACCGTTTTTAGCGTTGACTCTTAAGCATAGCATGATTGCACCATTTTTGGCAGACTTGTTTTATCAAATACATTACTCTAGAGTGAAACTTCCTTGCTGTTACATCGTACATCACTAGTGATACACTATCAAAGTGCACATATATACACACAAGAGCATATCTCTTGAAACACCACGCGACACTCAATTTGTGCGGCATAGCAGTAAACCACCCACTTTCCGAGCCAGCGCCTCTCGAGACTCGAGTACTCCTTGCGAAGTAGCGACATAAAGGCATTCTCCCAAATTGAGGCCCGGAACGACCCCCCCTTTCAAATGCGCGGAGAGCCCACGCGTGAGCTTGCCGAGCTCCGCGATATTGACTGTCATAAGTCTCGACGGCTTGCTAATTGGGGTAGCCTGTGAGAGAACCGGCTTCCCGTCCCAATATTTCATACCCAGCCATAGCCGCATTTGTGCCACGTTGGCCGTTGTGACCTTTTCCGGCTCCTGAGTGATCATTTGTTCTAGTGTCGGAGGTTTCGGCCCAGCTCGGTATACGTGAGACAAAAATCCCGATCGGTGTAGGGCAAGGGCAAGATTGAGATTGAATTTGTTGTTCGGTACGGATGTGATCGCCAGACGTGCTTTCGATACGTTCTGGAGATGCGAACACATGTTCGAGATGGTCTGGACGGAGGGCATGCTGGGCAAGTGAAGCCCCAAGTTGGGCTGACCAGAGTTCGTGCGGTCTGGCGGTTTTCTCCAAGGTCTTTCGCTCGGCTCGCCGTGACGTTGTCGTTCAAATAGGTGTTCGTCGATAATCTGAAGATAGCTCAGTACCACATCAAATTGATGGAAGTGGAAGCATTGTTCTCACCGTTGGTAACCAGTGACTCGGCCTCAACCAGCATTAAATACACCCTGCAAGCCTTCTCGCGCATGCGTTGCTTCTGGGTGCTCAAAACCGGTGGGTGAGTGTGCAATAACGTCGAGAAGCGCTGGCACAAAAAGTTCGAGACGTGAACACGACCAGCGCCGCGAAAGACTGTTGCTCCACATTTCCATTCGCTGGCGCGCCGAAGACGTCCGCTTCTTTTGCTGACCCTGCGGCACTGATACCCTTAGCAACCTCTTCGCGAAATCGCCGGCTTTACATGTACTTGATGCAATTGCAGTGGCGTTGTAACCGCCGTATGCTCTAGGCACACCTTACCGTGTATCACTCTGTGGTCTATGTGATTGAAGACTTACAGCCTCGTCAACGTCTTCGTCGCCTTAGCCTCCACAAGTCCAGATGAGCCTTGTATCGCACTCGTGGGAAAGCGGTGAACTGGCCGAGTGCAAACGTATTTTGATAATGGCATTGCTCAGTCGCCGTGCATGCTTTATATGTTCGTACATAAGCCAAGATAATGATACATGAGTAAGCCAGGGCGTCATTAAGCGACAAGCATGCTCCTAGGCAAGCATAGTCCGCAAAGACCTCCTGAGATATCGCCTGTAGCGATATACCACAGCAGCACCCGCAAGCACCATCGGACTAACAGCAAGCGCAAGAAAAGTCCTCAACAAGATCTTCCCCTGATGCTCGCTTCTTCGGATCACCTCTCGATAGCCCTCATTGCCAAAACTTACCCTAGCATACTTCGTCTGCCATCCCCAGCTGGGTAGATTCACACTCATGAACTCCTCCAGGTATTTGCGTAGTCTGTATCGGTAGGACAATACGGAAGATCGCATTTCCACATAATTCTGCAGCGCAAGATCATTGATAGCATGAGCGTCTGGGGCCCTGACTTTTGAGTATTCAGCCAGAGCCCTCAATCTTTGGGATGTTGTGTCCATGGCTGCAGGTGACTCTTGCGTAGGGTCATTGGTCTCGTCCAGGGCCGCATGTTTGTCCATTATGGAAAACAAGACGCGAACATCTTCCATTCCCGCGTTCATGCCCTGGCCATAGAAAGGAACCATTGCATGTGCTGCGTCCCCAATCACAACACCGGAAGCGGCGTAGTGGTATGGACGACACTTGATGCTGATCAAGGGCAGATGGGGATTCGTTTCAAAGGACTTAATCAGGTCAGCCGCGGGTATAAGATCGGTGACACCTGGAAAATGCTGGTCAAAGAATGAGGGTAGCGTAGTAGTATCTTTTTCGAGCATCGCAAACTGTCCACTTGGCAGAAACAGGGTGCATGTGAAGGATCCATCCTTATTCAAAATCAGCAACGATAGCGTTTCCCCAAGTGATTCGTTGAGCTTACCTCGCTCGGGATGGCGATGAACATGAAATCCTGGCCCGGCCAGATATGAAGATGGTTGGGTGAAATGCGAAATGCAGTTTCACGATACTCGCCTTCAGATAGCTTCCTCGGCGGTAGATAGAATTCGCACCACAGAGTGTCGATGTATTCTTGTTGGTAATCCATGCGCGAAAACTTCATCAAGTGATAACGCACGGCGGAATGAGCACCATCGGCGCCAATCATCAAGTCAAAGCTGATCTCAATCTCTTGCGGCCTGCCGCTGTCCGGCGATATGCAATCCTTCCTCTCGAACCATGCCTTTTGTGTGCAGAAGTCGGCGCCTGTGAGCTTGTGGTTGAACAGTAGCTTGACATTTGGCATAGAATCAAGGATGTCCAACAGTCGCTCATTCAGACCAGCACGATCAATGGCATAGATGGCCTGCTCATCATTAGTTGTCTGTACCTTTGCTCAATGTGAGGCAGATTGCGCATGGCTCCACTTACCCTTCCCTTCGCGTCGTAGTCTTGAGAATGTTCGTACAAGTCTCCCAATGGCCCTCGGCCGTGTACCATTCGTCCTCTCATTGGTACTGTCGCTCCCATGACATGTTTCAATAGGTCCGAGTTGCCGGAGTCTCGCATCGCTTTGATCCCACGTTCAGATACTGCAAGGTTGATAGACCGTGTGAAATTGAGAGGTATGATGCCGGGATTTCTCAAATCTGCGTTAAAAGATTAGCCTTGGGCAGACCAAGGTATAATGTAATAAGAGAAAAGGTATATCCAGTAAGTCCGGCCGCCTGGCTGCTACAGTAGAGCGACAGTTGCTGTTTGGGATGTGGTCGTGACGACGGGGAGGAAAATTTGGTCCGCACGCGACATACAAACCGCCCTACTCACCTGGTCTCAGCTCGTACAGCTCTACCTCGAAGCCTCTTTGCGCAGCATACAGAGCTGCCAAAGACCCGACAGGTCCGGCGCCGACAATGGCAATCTTTGGAGCCGACTTCATGTTTGGGTACCTTGGTTGTAAGGTCAGAGTCGAAAAATCTCGCAAGGGAATTGTTCCTCATGTTCTCGAACCTAAATGGCACACGGACAAGTAAAGCCCGTTGCGTTACTGTAGATCCGAGGGAAGTCTGCTCAGTCGCTATAACAAAAAACATTAATAATAGAGCGATTGAGATGGCGTGACATTGACTCACAATAAGTCAAATGAGCACACGACTCATCGGCGCGCGCACTCCATCACTTGTTGCTGGCTCTACCACTGTTCCACGGGTCTGCCCAGGATCCAGTCTTCGGTTAATAATTGCCTTACCAATACGGGCAGACTAACTCAGTGCCCGGAAGAACAATGAAAGCCTGAAACGCAGCCCTCTCAGATGAAAAGTAAGGTACGAGCTTAAGTAGTACGCTAATTTCGCATGGAGTTACTCAGTAACCTACATCATCACTTCGTGGCACAATTACTAGCGCTGCGCGAAGCCCATCACAATTCCAGTCACCTGTCTCGTACCAGCCAAAATCAACATCTTGATGATGGACAATACCGACTTGAGAGCTGCGGCTAGTCCCAAAACCATTGTATCTGAGGGACAAAGTTCACCAAAGGGACGCCCTCATGCAGTTCCCCACATTGAACTTTGGCTGATGTTCGGGTGAGGGGCACTTTTTTTCTTCGGCTGACGACCATCACCAACGCCTCCGAGCATCCTACTGTAGTCGGCACAGTAAGCCTCTGAAACAGTCAAATTTACCAGAGAGTTGAAGAGCACTTCACGCTCACCCATCATGACCGACGAACAATGTGCGGCGAAGAAGAAGTGCATGGGATCGGATTGCGACAATGATGCTGGCTCATTGCAATGTCCTACTTGCCTGAAGCTCGGGATCAAAGATAGCTTTTTCTGCTCCCAAGATTGCTTCAAGAAGAACTGGGTAACCTGCCCTCGTCGGAAAGCAGGAGAAAAACGAACTGACTGCCTGGCTAGGCCACACACAAGCTTATGCACAAGTCGCAAAGCAAGTTCGATGTGTTTGCTGATGCCTCGGGACAGCTGACTGACAATCTTCAGGCAGTGAAATATACAACCCTTTCCCTACCTTTCCCTACACTGGGCCACTCCGACCGGCTTATCCTCTGTCCGAACACCGAACGTTGCCGAAATCGATTCCGCATCCCGTTTGGTGGCAAGATGGAAACCCGAAATACAGCAGGTCGCTGATCAATCGCAACAAGATCGAAATACTCGATGCCGCAGGCCAGCAAGCCATGCGCAAGAGCTGCAAGCTGGCTCGCGAGATTCTGGACATCGCCGCGGCCGCGGCCAAGCCTGGCGTCACAACAGATGAGATCGACAGGATTGTACATGAAGCATGTATAGAACGCAAGGTGAGAGCGGCGCCGTTAAAAATAACCATACAGAGCTCTGACGCGCACTTCAGTCGTATCCTTCGCCACTCAACTACAATCACTTTCCGAAGTCTTGTTGCACATCACCGAACGAAGTCATTTGCCATGGTATTCCTGATAAGCGACCGCTGGTTGATGGCGACATCCTGAACATTGATATCTCTATATATCACGAAGGGTATCATGCAGATCTTAACGAAACCTACTACATTGGTGATAAAGCTAGCGCAGACCCCGAGAACGTGCGGGTTGTCGAGGCAGCGCGAGAGTGTCTCGAAGAATCGATCAAAGCAGTTAAACCAGGTGTACTTATCAGAGAGTTCGGCAACATCATTGAGAAGCACGCGAAGAAGAAGAATTGCAGCGTCATCAGGACCTACTGCGGCCATGGAATCAACAAATTGTTCCATTGTCCGCCTAACGTGCCCCACTACGCGAAGAACAAGGCCGTCGGAGAGTGCAAGCCTGGAATGACCTTCACAATCGAGCCCATGATAGCTCTGGGCAAGTACCGTGATGTGACGTGGCCGGACAACTGGACGAGCACCACCATAGATGGCAAACGGACGGCTCAATTCGGTAAGACAGCACTCTTGATTGAGAAAACTGACCTGGTTGCGCTAAATCATGTCACACAGAACACACCCTTCTGGTCACGGAAACTGGCGTCGAGATTTTGACCGCCCGCACCGCGAACTCTCCCGGAGGACCAGTATCTTTGCCCGCAGTCGAAAACGGCGCTTCCGCTTAGGTAGTGCACCATGCCAACTAGCGAAGGATAGACCTCGTCTGTCGAGCACGATTGGCTACCTTACCCTAGCTTCTTTCCCCGAGTCAATGTAACAGTATCTAATACATTTTACGCGTAACGGCAGAAGAAGCATACAGTAGGTGTGGAGTAGTAAGGGCAGGTAGAGGAGTTTTGATTGCAATGAACTGCTATTGATCATCGAAGACCCTTGATCGAGCAATGGGTTGCGCGATTCCCTGTGTAGCATGTCTCACCAAGAATCTGTTTGCGGGAACTATTCCTGCAATGGCTCAGTGAACTGCGAGGCTCGTTCAAATAGCTCCACTTGAACAGTTGCCGTCTGAGCTTGAGGGTCCCAGGGTGAGTCTGGAAGTGGCACAGCCTGGCCCGCGTACGACCAGAAAATCTCTCCACAACATCGGCGGGCTACCGCAGCTCCTGCCCTCCTCTTCCACCAGATCCCCCACCCAAGGTCCCAAACCACCTCACCTTATCTTCCTTCTTACACTCAGTCTCCAACCCCGAAGTTCCTATCTCTCAAGTCATCCTGAATTTGCGAGCTCCTTTGTTGCCTAACTCTGGGTTCCCGTGCACACTCCAGCTACAGGCTCTCCGAATTCGCAAATCCGGACTTTTCGGTGTCGAGTGACGTACAGTACGCCATAAGCGAAAGCTTGCGATACTGCTCCACCACATCAGCCCTTTGCGCCGTGATTCTACGCTACAGCGAGCTCGAAGTACGCAGCAGTGACTATTGCGAAGCACGAATCGCACTCTACCACCTCCGACTTCCGAGAACCACCGACAAGATGATGTCTGGCGAAGCATGGCTCTTCCTTCTGGCCGTGTTGATCAACGCGGTCAACCTGTTCCTCCAGGTTTTCTTCACCATCATGTATAGCGATCTGGAATGGTGAGTAATGCCCCACCCCGAAGCAACAAGAACCGAGCACATCGAGGCACGCTGTTGCCCAGGGCTTTATTCCCTCCTCCACACACGCTAGATATCATCATGCGTACTGACATGCCGAATCAGCGACTATATCAACCCTATCGAACTTTGCAACCGCCTCAACACGTACATTATCCCCGAAGCGGCTGTCCACGGTTTCCTCACTTTCTTGTTCCTCATCAATGGTTATTGGCTGCCGCTAATCCTGAATCTGCCGCTTCTGGGCTGGAACATCAAGAAGATCGTCGACAACACCCACCTACTGGACGCGACTGAGATTTTTCGCAAGCTGAACGTTCATAAGAAGGTGCGCATCATCCGATTTCTTTCCACTTAATTCACTAACGATATGTAGGAGTCATTCGTCAAGCTTGGCTTCCATCTGGTCATGTTCTTCTTCTACCTCTACAGCATGATCGTTGCGCTCATCCGTGACGAGTCCTCATAATCCGGCAACGCTTAGTCAACGCGCTCTATGCTGTCCGGCAATGCGGAAACAGGACAACGATATTACGATCGATGACGAAAAGATGGGCTATATAGGTTGCTTTGTTGGAAATGAGCATTGGGAGCTATGGTCGATAAGGGGACCGCATGGGTTGCAAATGGCGAATAGAATCAGCGCAGCTCACAGTTAGGAGAGACGCGACTCTGTGCCACATGGACAAAGCCGTAGTACACGGCACGTTTTTGGCGTTGGGGCTTCATGTAGCGCATGATTGAGAAGTGGCACCTGCTTTACTGTAGAGCTATGTCTCTTCCCAGCTGGAGCTTTTAATTTAATGAGCCGGATTGATCAATTGCCAATCTGTACCTCGAGTTTGGGGGGATTCTCGTACCGCAATGAACATGCTGGTTGGGACAGCCTGGATGTTACTTGTGCGAGACCATGATACTTATATACATTTTCACCCTCCCAATATCAACACTTGCTGCTTGACAGCTACATCTCAATACATGGACAACATGCTTTGTCCTACAGGTACCGTGGTACCAGAGACTTGTGCTTCGCGCCATGTCACGTGACCACAGGTACGGCTACAAGTCATCGCGTTTCCCCGTAGCATTTTCTAATTCTACATCCGGCGCAATCGCTACCAAACTAATCAGCAACATGACTGGCTTTGGTGAATACCCGCCGAACATGGCGCCACAGGACGCGCTTATCGTGCGTCAGCAATCTGAACCCGATCACGCTGTGGTGCCATATGCGGCGGAGGACCTATCAAGACCTAAAGCTGGTCCCGCCAACCCATTCAAGGATGGATCTGATGCACTTGGAAAACGCAAGAACGTGCTCACAGGACACGCCGAAGAGGTATTTTTGAGCGAGCATACGTTTCGAAGCAAACACCGAGCGGTAGAGCGTAGTGGGAGGCCAGAATGGGAGGGCTCAAGCGACACATATTCGAAGGCCGACGCCGCTAAGATACGAGCAGCCAGGGAAAGCAAGGGAGATGCGACTATAGCAGAAGGAGACGGCGCCTATGTTGGACCATGGGCGCGATACGACCAGACGCAATACGAGAGAGTCGAGGATGACGCAGAATTGGCGAGTGACGAAGAGTACGAGATCGTGGAAGAAGACGACGATGTTGTGGACAGCGGCACGGTCGTCCAGGCACCTGCGGAAGCTCTTGTGCGTCGAAAAGAGGCGGAAGAACAAGGAGATGAGTCGACAAACTTCCATGGCTCCGAAGAGTTCGACTACCAGGGGCGCACATACATGCACGTACCGCAAGATCTCGACATTGATCTGCGCAAAGAACCCGGCAGTGCGACCAACTACATCCCGAAGAAGCAAATACATGCCTGGAAAAACCACACGAAAGCGGTTACTGCACTTCGATTTTTCCCCAGATCAGGTCACCTGCTCTTGTCCGCAAGTGCAGATACTACCATCAAGATATGGGATACCTTCCACGAAAGAGAGCTGCTGCGCACGTATTCCGGCCACTCCAAAGCAGTGTCCGATACATCCTTCAACGCATCTGGGACACAATTTCTGTCCGCATCGTATGATCGCATGATAAAGTTGTGGGACACCGAGAAGGGCGTTTGCATCAGCAAATTCACTACGGGGAAAACTCCCCATGTTGTCAAATTCAACCCGGATCCAGAGCACGCGCACGAGTTCCTTGCCGGCATGTCAGACAAAAAAATTGTTCAGTTCGATACACGGTCGCCGAAAGAGACCGTGCAGGAGTACGATCACCACCTGGCCGCAATCAACACGATCACATTCGTCGATGATAATCGCCGATTCATGACAACCTCGGATGACAAGTCATTACGCGCTTGGGATTACAATATACCGGTGCCCATCAAATACATCGCGGAACCCGACATGTATCCCATGACGCGAGCGGCGCCTCACCCGAGCGGCAAATACGTCGCATACCAAAGCTCCGACAACCAAATACTTGTCTATGGTGCGAATGACAAATTTCGCCAGAACAGAAAGAAGAGCTATCGCGGGCACAACAATGCTGGAATGGCCATTGATCTCGACTGCAGTCCTGACGGCCAGTTCCTCGCCTCGGGTGATTCTGGAGGTTTCGTGTGCTTCTGGGACTGGAAGACGTGTAAAATGTACCACAAGATGAAGGCCAGTGCGCAGGCGGTCACTTGTGTTCAATGGCACCCACAAGAGACCAGCAAAGTGGCGACTGCAGGCATGGATGGTGAAATCAGATACTGGGATTGAGTGAGCAGCTCGAGCAGAATATTTGTACAATTGGAAAGCGCGCGGTCTAAGACTGTTAAGCGCCTGAAGCGTATCTTCATCTTGGGTCCTCGCCCTGTGCTGAAGTTCTCGCCCAAGTTGGCGGCGTCAGAACCATCAAGTCGATAAGACTATGCACAATTTCGGCGGCCGCGAGGGCAGTAGTTTCTCCATGGTTGTCGAATGGTGGGGAAACCTCAACAATGTCCGCCCCGACGATCTCCAATCCACCGAGGCCTTCGAGAATAGCCAGCAACTCTCGAGTTGACCAAACTCCAACTTCAGGGCTTCTAGTCGCTGGCACAAGGAGATCAGTATCTTCCGGGAGATGCACCGACACTTGCAGGAAAATATAGGGCCTTTACCTGGCGCAAATGCAGGATCCAGAACATCGATATCGACAGTGATGTAGACCTGCGTGTCCTTCACACGATTTACGAATCTGATCTATGACTCCCTGGACACCGCAAGTGTCAATATCCCTCGCTGTGATAGTTGCAAATCCACATCGCCTATCGTTCTTCATGTCCCCTTCTCCTCTGTTCAGGGACGCTCAGATTTCGACATGGATGGAGGAATTTGATACAAGTCCCAGAGCGAGGTTGTGAGCGCACTGCTGGCTGTCTTTTCAGTGCTTACCTCTTCATGTGCAATATGTAAGAATATTCCATGATTCAGCCCCCTGTGAAAAGCGACAGTTTGGAATTCCTCGTGGCACATGGCAGCATACGCATAGTCGGAGATCCCGCCACCTGCTCTCAAGTCAGTCAGATGATGTAGGGATTCAAAGGCATGGTCTTCATGAGGCTCTTCTCTTACCAAGAACTTTGGGATCCCTCTTGTCTTGGAGATGAGTTTAGTATGCACTGAGAATTTTGTAGTTGAGCAGCATCGGGGTCAGGTTCACCAATGTGGCTATCGAAGTGCACCACCGACACGCGGCCCCAGTTGTCATAGGTGCCTCTGAGGGCTGACGATGTCGTTGCATGGTCCCCTCCTAGTGTTACGATTCTTGGCACATCGGACTTGGAACCATCAGCGGGTGGCCGAGCTGTAGTCAGTCTATGAGCCTGATCGAGTGTCTTTATGGTTGCACGAGTGTCAAGCCAAGTCGTAGGTGCATCGCCATAGTCCACAATTCTGGCCCAGCCTTTCAATGGATTGCTGCCTACGCGATGAGTAAGTCTGCGGCATTGAGTGCAAGTAGTTTGCTGTGAATGTATCTGTGTATGTGTCGAAGCCCCATGCTTTCGTTAAGCTTCCAGTTCTGATGGCCGAGGTACCATAACGAGCTCGGGGTGCCTGGTGACCGTCTTTAGGAGGTTCAAAGTCAACTCAATGTACCTTTCTCGCAATTCTAGGCAGTCCCAGAGCTTACCGTGTCGAGTGGTGCTCCCAGCGCAGCAATGTCGTATCGCTTCATGCCATGGCTATCATTGTCTTTCTGGAAACATTGCGCATGGGCGACGCCCGCAAACGTATTGAGGCCAGCACAGGCTATCTCGGATACCGCTATCGGGGTTTCGTCTGCAGGACACTGCCTGAAGCCTAAACGTTTCTGTACTCATCCTGCCACCCAGGAATCGACAACTTCAGCCTCTGCTGGGAAATTGACGCCAAAGACAAGGCCGGAGCCAGCAGTATCATGTTCTTGATACACATCTCGAAGCGGGTTGATGCAAGTGCTCCTTCCTGGCTATCATTGCAGGATTCTTTCCCTCACGTCATCATTCGTCTATCATATCGTACTCACTTGACAAAGTCGCTAGCGCTGTTCTGTCTTAGCAGGCAATATCCTTATCCAGGTTAGTTCCAATATCGGGCAAGACTTATCTCATCCACAGTGCTAAACTATAGGTAGCTAGAGTTTTCCACCAGCGCTAGCGAGTTTGTCGAGTAAGTACGGGTACCATGTCCGGAGCCACCGCTGCTGTGCTACGCTCCTTACTAAGCCTCTCCGATTACGTCGTTCACAACAGTAACACATCTGTTTTTGAACTGGTAGGCACTTTTTACAAATAGAAAGTAGGCATCATGTACTCAAAGGATGTATGGTCGTTCTCCAGCGTGGGGGTATCCTTCAATTCTCAAGTCTACAGGGCTGAGTTGATCAGCCGGCGATGTGTGCGCCTCTGACCCCTCGTGATGCGTTCCTTGGAGCGGCTCCGAGGCATTGGCTTGATTGGTTTACACAGTTGGCACTGAGCATAGGTACATGTAAGCATGCTGCCCAGGTATCCATGGACACGGACCAAGGGACCAAAGTCCACCAAACCGTGGGGTAGGCGGGGTATGCATGCAGTACGACTCAGCTCATCAATTGCTGTGCGTATCCGCTGACTCGGTCCCCTAGCGTTGAAGACTGAGACTCAATGGGGCAGGGACGTCAACTTCCCCCGTGGCGGCTGGTCGCTGGTACGTACTGTACGCACGGGTAAACACATCCACGATCCATCACTTGTCCCCTTTTCTCCGAGACTGATGTGCAGCATGGAAGCAACACCGGTGCCTCCAATCCCAGTTCCTCGATTATGTTTGGAACTGTACCGTTCGAGAACCATTGGAAAACAGAAGAATGGTAATCGGGATCGTCGTTGATCCAGGATCCTAGATACCTGGGTGTCGTGGGCTCGTGATGCACCCAGCGGAGAGCAAGGCAGCTGGTCTGACCCCAAAGATGTAGGGATCACCCGCAATCCCCAGAGCTAGCCCCCCATTCCCCACAAAGTTCCCCGACAGGAGAATCCCTGATCACGTTCCCCAATTGCTTGGTTTTCTCCAGACCCCGGGGTCGTCCTGTTTTCTCTTCTTCTTCTCAAAGGGCCTGCCCGATCAACAATCGACTATTTGCAGAGCATTATGTGTGCCGATCAGCTCGCGGCATCAGTCAACGGGTCTACGCCCCCAGATCCCAAGGCCAAGGCCCAGAACAAAATACGAAAGCGTGCGCCAAAGGCGTGTCTCTCTTGCAGAGCACGCAAGGTTCGTTGCGATGTCTCGCAGCGAGGCCGGCCCTGCATGAACTGCTATCTTGATAGCGAGACATGCGTAGTCACGGGTAGGGCGTCTAGGTTGTAAGTTGATCACATGCTCATCCGTGGTCGTTGATCGCGATAGCTTACATATTCCCACGTAGCCGTCGATCTCATCGCGAACCTGCGGACAGTGTACGAGCTTCGTATCCTCCATACCCTCCTCCAGATGGATCCGAGAGACAGACTGCGGAGGCTGTTGTCAAGTCTAGGCTTGATGGGCTTCCAATGCCCCCGCCCGCCGCGTCTGTACAGCCTTTGTCCACGGTTGAACAGGAGGCAACAGATACATGTGCGCCCGAAGCTACCACTAAAGTAGATGACCGGCTTCGCGAGGACGCGGGTCAGGATACTAGTGCAGAGAATTTTCACGTTGCACCACCCGGACCCCTTGCGACGACGCGATCTCCCGAGGAAGTCCGGCCACAAACACATGGTGAGTTGATTCACTGTTCTCGCCCCAACGGTAGCTGACCATGTCCACCTAGCCTTCCAAGCTATGCCTTACTCAACAAGAAGCCTCATGAACGATACTGGATTTTCGCTTGGACACAGTCACTGGAGCTTGGATCATCCGGTGGGACTCAGCCCAGAGGTCGTCTATTCATACTACCCGTTCTTGACGATCAGCAACTTGCCGAACATCCCTCCCCAGGACGTGAACTTTCTCGAGCTACAAGGATCTCTACGCGTGCCGACACGAGCTTTCCTGGACGAATTTCTGCAGCAGTACTTCCTCCATGTCCATCCGTTGTTGCCACTGGTGAATGAAGGAGAGTTTTGGAACATATACACCCCAAGACAGAGCTCAGACGGCGCCAACGATAGAATTTCCTTGCTGGTGTTTCAGTCTATACTGTTTGCATCGTGCAATTTTGTATCCAGGGGAACCATCAAGGCTTTGGGCTACCCAAGCATCAGAGCTGCCAGAGGATCCTTGTACAGGCGTGCCAAGTTGCTTCACGACCTGGAATCAGAATCATCGCCACTCGCCATCGCACAAGCAGCACTACTCTTATCGTATTGGTCGCCCTCTTCGACTAGGAATCCGAACACTTCTTGGCTGAGCCTCGCCATACAACACGCGAAGGCCGCTGAAGCCCAGCATTATGCAGCAATGCCGCTATTCCCCGCCGAAACGCATCCACTGCAAAGGAGAAAACAGAACATTCTGAAGCGGATTTGGTGGTGTTGCATCATCCGTGATAGAACTTTGGGCTTGCTCATGCGGCGACCTATACAGATTACTAGAGCGCATTTCGACTTCGATTCGAATCCAACATTTGGCCTCGCCGACCTGGCGGATGAGTTCAACCGATCCAGAGTATACAATGGCGAGACCAAGAGATGCCTCGGTGGCATTTTGGCCCAGCTCATTGACCTATACATTGTTTTGACCGATATACTGATGCTTGTGTTCCCACTGGACGACACACCGGGCTGGGGTCGAGACATGAACCCCGAGGACGTTGGCCGTGTGAAAGAGTGCAAAATGGCCCTCAGGCGATGGAACAAGGACTCCACCCTCCGGTTTCCCATGTTCAGCGGTGCACAGACAACGCAGTCGACGGCCGGGAGGAGGCACCAGTGCAGTCACGATTCAGTGATCCTCTACACCAACCTCATGTACATGTACTATCACTCGACCCGTGTCGTGCTGTGCCATCACGAAATTCTTCACTTGGCTATACTGCAAGCCGCACCCAACAGCGATGACCGTATCACAGGGGACTTATCCGTCATCTATGAAAACCGACACGAGCTCCAGGATGCTGCTTCTGGGGTCACCGAATGCCTGAAAGAGCTCGTTCACCTCAAGTTGGCCCGTTGGCTGCCCATCTCGGCAGTCGCATGCACTGCGCTGCCTCTTGTTCTGAACATACTCGACGTCAAGCTATCCTCATCAGCAAATGAATCCAATCTTGACTCAAGCGCTGCTTCTGCGCTGAAGCAGCATCGGCTGAACATCCTCATTGAAGCCATGCGGACCTATCAACCACAGTACGACGGCGTGGACTGGGTCAGCGAGATTATCCGGCATATTGTCAATCTTGCTCAGATTGAGAAACCAGCTTCCCGTGAGCCAGGCACGAAGGTTGGCATCAATGATTGGACGGACATTCTGGCATCGCAGCCGAGCTCATATCTCCGGCTGGCATTGGCCCTGGATCTAAGTCTTAGCAAGGGAAGACTTCCTGAAGACGGCGACTTCCCCGTAAGCCTCCGCGGCCTCTTCACTGGTGGCTTCAGCCCGCTCAAGTCGCTCGTCGATGCCAACAGATTCGGTGAGCAGGCCAGGGCACCAGACACTAAGTTTTCAGAGTCGCAGCGCTCGAATATCGACCAGAGGCATCAGTCGCAGGAAGAGCTTGACTCGCAAGGCTCAAATCAATCCCCTACTGATTCGTACATGACCAAATCAGACGAGGCGGCACATGAGGTCCTTCGCGACCAAATACGTTCTTGCATTAGACTTGATCGCCCAGCGGGCACCAACATGCCCCCCTCTGAAGGACTCGATGGACTGGGACCGCTGGGCAACGATGTCTTCTCGCTGGATGAGTCACCCAACTCAACAAGCGACTTTGGTGGCATGTACATTGATGGGCCGATGCCTGACGTCTCTGCGGAGTGGATCGAGAACCTCTGGGGCGAAATGGGCGAAATGGAAGACAAAACAGACAGGGACACTGCAAGGGTCCTTCTGGAAGCCTTAAAAGAAGGCGACATGGGGGAGTGTGTACGCTGAGTTCCATGGAGAGTAACCCCTTGTCGCGTTATTGGAAAAGCCGAGATTGGCTCATGATTATTACTAATTATGTGGAAGATTTATAAAAATTGTGCTGTACGTAGCGATGCATGTTGTAGCACAACCAAGTGCATGGTGTAAGGTTGCAAGTTGGTAGCCAGAAAGCCACACGATCAACTCCATCGCCCAGATATTGCTACAAGCCATGATGAGGCCTCCTGTGCACGCTTTGTAAAGGACCCAAAATCAATGACGCCAACCAAATGCTTCAAAACGCAAAAAACTCCGCTGCCCCAAAGGTCGGCCCCATCAGCCAACACCAGTCCCGACCCCCTTTTCCCCTGACGATCCGCAGGCAACCAGGATATAGCATCCCCGGTATCTCGCACGACCACCCCAGAAATCATGTCGCCATCTGGCCGACAACACGAGCTAGGAACCTTGGTGGTTGTGGGGGAATCTTATCGACGCCCATTTTCTTGCGAGGCCTGAGGGGGCAGTCGCCACCGCAGGTTGGGCAGCGAAGCACCTGATGCTTCGACCACACCCTAAGACACGAACATATCCATAAATCCCTACCCGTCCGCGTTGTCAAACTGTCGGAAGCCACGTGTAGACCTGCGCGGACACCGCATTCAATACAGAACCGGCGCAAGGAGACGAGTGTATCTGCCTGGGTTGGCTGTCGGTGCCGCACAGGACGGCCTAGGCGGTCGATGTAGGCCGTCTGGGACTGCAACGCATCAAAGCAGTCTGGTGATCGTACTTTGAAGCAGATGTAGCACTCAAAGTTGCCGGGGTGGTATTCTTGTCCCTTCTCGCTCGGCCGATGTTGGGGGAAGTCTTTGGCCGCACGCATGACGAATTGCAACTTGTCTAGCGGATCTGCCATCGCCTGAGGATTTACAGTGTGGTTGAAGAAGCGATTTGTTGCTGATAGGTGAATGAGACTCTCGTAATCAAGCTGTGATATGATCATGCGCTGGAGCTCCGCCGGAAGCTCAAGTAAGGATGGGCCCATTTCCTTCGATGTAGGCATGTGATGTCGCGGGTGGATAGTAGGTCGTGTGTACAAATCACAGGAGAGGTTCCGAGCACTGTCTGGCGCCATGCTTGCGGCAGGGCCACGATTGATCTTATATAACGTTACGGTCCCGCCCTACCGAGCTGTCAAGCTCGATCGACCAGGGTCGACGCGTGCCAGTGCTGAGCACCAGCGTGGAATTCCGGCCGGGGAGCTGATCCGGACGTCTGGGATTGACGGGGTTCGGCAGTCAACAAGGGGGATAAATTGTGCGCACGAGGCACCTGTTCGCATGTCGTCGATAAGCGCATGCAAGCCAAGGTAGAAGGGAGAGGCAGCTGCTGAGCGCGAGTGATTGATTGGAGGTGGTGTATGGCACATAGCCAAGGGAGATAGGCTTGTTGGAATGCTCACACAGTATGTATGTGAGAAGGGCAGCATAGGGGAAACACACGGCTGCTGCCACCACCTTCACCAACAGGAATCAGGGCAGCAAGAGACATCTTGCTTGCCTTGCATACACGTCGGTATGCGTATGGGTCTTCCAGCTCCCAGACGTTCTTATGCACGCTGTGATTATATAGGCTGCAACATCACCACCTCGATGACTTTTATGCCCGCGTTTCATCGGGAGATGAGACATAATTACCACGCCTCGGAGAATGATCAAGGCCGCTAAATCTCAAAGCCACTCAGTGCATGGCAACAGCAGGGCTGCTGTGGTCGTACGTAGACTCGGTGCATATGCTTGCAAGCTTGCCGGTGTACTCTGTGATTCGGGTCCAGACTCGACCTGGTGAGTGGAAATCTGGCGGATAGCACCCTGAGTTTGTCATTCCAAGTAGCAAGTCACCCTGGACGTCGAAAGTGATGCGCGTGATTGATTCATCAAGCAAATATGGACCAGTTGTGGGGAGCAGACAGGGTAAGACATTTGTGCGACCCTGCGCCGCAAAGCGATTGCGGGCTCAGTGTTCAGACAAACGTTGGGTCGGCGGATAACGTGCGGCGACGGCGATGAATCCCTCTGGTGAAAAGAAGCGAGAAGTCACGGTGATTCGGAGACCGTGACCAGACACCAGTGGGTCACCATTCTAATGAACAAATTGAAGCCAGGGGCTCAGGTGAAGAAGAACCAGCCGCAGGTCGGCCAAAGCTCGCGAGGAAACTCTTTTCCCCCACAGCAGAATGATTCCCAAATCTGAGGGGGAGAGTAAAAAGAATCTGCACCAGCGAACGTATTATTATTATGAGGGCCTGTCCGTGGGCAATCAACCAGTCCAATCATGACAGCTCGTCAAGCTTTACTGTTGGTCACTGCCATCACCTTGCCAGATGAGAGAGATAGGGTCCAGTGCGCGGAAGCAAGATTCCTCGACTGCCTTTGGAAGGCTGACATTTGCCAATTGCTGATCGTCGAGCGTAATTTTCTTTAGAGACCGCCAAGTTGCGGCGGATCGGCAGAAGGGATCTGTGTTAATGGACAATTCCGACGGCTTGGAAGTTGTCCGAACGTTCCTTCGTTTGATTGGTGTTACCAAACGCCAATTTGAAAGATCCTTGCCCTCTCCAACTTGTCAGAATGATGACGAGTCACGCGGCGCGGTATGTGCTTCAGTCCCACGCAAACTGCGATTCGTGTTCTGTACCTAATCATACAGACTACAGTATCCGTACTCCGTGTGCAACTTGCAAGTGTCTTTGAGGATGCACAGCCTCGTGCCCAATTAGAGGCTAGTGTCTGCAACATGCAGGGGCCGGCGGCTCTCCCTTTGAGTTTTTGGAACTCGAAGCCAAAGGCGCGGCTATAATAGCCCATCCGTCATTTGTAAATGGGGGAACATTATCAATGTCCGAGGACCAAGCGTGCTCACAGCTGAGGTTGGTCAATTTGTTAATGACAATAAGAAAGCGAGAAAAATGTGGAATCTGCAGCGGCTCAATTTGCTGTTAAGTTACGTGTTGGCTCCGCGATACATATACCTACAATATGCGCTACCAGGTAAAGATGCTCATTAAAATAACAAATCGTCGACTTGCAAGCCGGCAGGCCACGGAAATGTCACTGTGTGCACGCCGTCCTGTAGGGAACGGGCGACTAGATGAGACGGTGTCAGTTGGATCGTACCTGATTAACCACTGCTTTTAGTTTGAGTCACAGTTGGGCCGAGACACCGGGATTTACTATGCATCATTCTTGTGACCCGATTTGAACGGGAAAAATGACTGATTCGACGATTAATACGGAGTTGAAACGTTTCCTGGTTTGCGCCATGGCAATGAGAGCAAGGCAAGATCATCTTGGTGAAAGGTATCCGTACTTGAACCTGACGTGCTATGGTGCTCGACTCTGCGGTAAGTCTCCAGACGTCGTCGTCTATTGCGGCACTTGGCATGCTTTGATACAATCGTGGTCACTCGTATTGGAGGCACTTCCCCCAATGAAGTACTCAGTAATAAGGTGCATCTGTGCGTGAGTGTGACGCACCAAGCCGTCCGGGCGTCATCAGGTTAGGCAGAAGCTCCCCAAATTTGGCAGTCGCGCGCCAATGGCCCGTTCCAAAAATCCAGTAGGCACGTCCCGGGCCATTCATTGTTCTTGCCCCTGGCTAACCAAGCCTCAGTGGGCAGCCAGAGCCAATGAGATCGCCGCCATCCTTGGCCAAGATTCATTCACTGCCACTCTTTGTCGCCTCAAATTCAATGCTGGCGTTTCGAAAGTCGCCGCATCATGCTCACAAAGACCACCCGCATCGCGTTCTCCCAGAACTTATAATAGTTCAAATTGGTCAAGTGCACTCTTCCACATCAACCGTGTCGCCGCGCTCCTCAACTTACAAGACCGACGTAGAACGATGGCTGTTTTCGAAGAGGCAAAGTGTGCTGAGGCGCCTGCTACTACTCCGAGCGACGCGGGCGTCGCTGGTACTGGTGTTTGTGGCCTATATTTATGTCGTGTGCTGTCACGGACGCTGACATTGAATCTAGATCCTGTTATCTTTCATGATCACGGCTTTTTTGGCCATTATCCTCTCATTGTCCATGATCGCTTCCGAATTACAAGGCAAATCCGCCAACATTCGCCGCAAGTTGCTCGATGGGTACAGTGATTCCCAACTCGTGCAGGGCATCGGTATCCAGAGTACGTCCAGATCGTAACTCGTTGAGGCTGTATCCCTGACTGCGAACTCTAGGTGTTGGCCTGGCGAAAATGAACACGATGGTACCTTACCACTTCTTCGTCATATGGATGCTCTCGTTATTGTCCATGGCGACCCACAATGCCACTCTCCTGGCACTCGTACACGACTATCGCCGCGACTGGGTCGTGCGATGGCTGCGGCAGTTTCTCATGTTTGTGAACCTCGCCCTGTCCTGCGTCTGCGGCATATTCATCCTCCAGGCTGTCGCCAAGGGTCTTGATGATCAGACTTTGCCGATCGCTTGCGTCTGGGAGGTAGGCGGGAATGGGGCCCCGTCCAACGCAGGGCTATCCTACGTTGGCACCATTGTCGTCATAGTGGGCAACTGCGCTGTCTTTGCTCTCGCAACATGGTACCTCCATAGCGCAAGGCAGAGATTTTTCAAGATCATCCAAGGCACTGGAATTTTCTTAATGGCGGCCGTTGCCATTGGGGCTGCCGTTCGCATCATCCTTCTATCTCAGGCCTTTGGAAATCCTTCAGTTGAGCTGGATGACCAAGGCGAGAAGGAGTGGATTTTCGGGCAGCTATTGTCCATGCTGTTATTAGTTCTTCCTTTGGTATCGGTCGTTGAGATCTACCGTGGAGAGATGACACTTACCTCGACCGTCAACGAGCAGCGTGTCCGCGTCCCTGACAACGAGATGCAAACATTCCTGAAGTGAGAATCGACCCTAAAGTACCTGCCATCCCGAGTTTTTGAATGTGTCGCTCTGAAGCTATGCTGGCGGCTACACTTATAAGCGGGGCCTTCTACTTGACCACTGCTGTGTTTGGCACCTATGCAAGCGACGAATGTCAAGCGGATATGCCCGAGGCAGATGGTAAGTCCAGATTTATTATGTCGTTGTATATACTAATTGGATCTAGCCAAAGTGCTTGAGCACGGTTTGCGCAAAGGATTCACCCTGAATCTCTGCAATCTCGAGCTCGCGTGCCGAGGGCTGACGACTACCATCACCAGCCGAAAAGGTACCAGCACCCCAGGCACTACCGCCATGAACCTCACTCAAGTCGGACATGAGGCCAAATGCCTTGGCGTAGCCGAATGGAACATAGATGATGCCGTGGTGGGCAAGGGTGGACATGGCAGCCAGGCACGTGGACTCTTGACCGCCACCAAGAGTGCCAGTCGAGACGAAGAGGCCAGCCATCTTGCCGTAGAAGTCACCGGCCGCCCACTGCTTGCCGGTTTTGTCCCAGAAGGTCTGGGAAGGGTCAACATTTCATCACAGCCTCGGTGCTGTCTGCGGCTGATTGCTCTTACCTTCCACTGGGCAGGGAAGTTGCCGTAACGGGTGGGGATACCGATGAGCATCGCGTCGTACTGCTCAAGAGTTGCCGGATCCTCCAAAACCGTCACGTCAGCCTTGGGAGGTGCGTGCATCTTGCTCAGAACCTCGTCGGGGAGAGTTTCCGGAACCTGGAAGAGGTCGGCGGTCACACCGGCCTTCTCAGCACCCTTCTTCTCAGCCTCGGCCAACGTCTTAACGTGGCCGTACATGGAGTACTGTTTGATACGTCAGCCACAGTCGATCGAGTCATGGACGGTTCACTCTGGGTCTACGCACGTATACAATGGCGATCTTGGGAGCCATGGTGTCGGTTGCTTGGGTGGGTTGTGTTGATAGGTGAGGGGTCGGGACGAATTATAGTGTGTAGGGAGTTGCGAATTGAGACGAGGTCAACGACAAGCCCTTGGTGGGAGGTGCCAGGCTCTCTTGGGCTTTATAGAGATTCTAGCGCTGCCCGGGGCCGCATTCCGGAATGCACGCATGCTCCAGCAGCCACCTCACCAAGCAGCGAGGACCACGGATAGTCAGGAATGCCTAAGCATTCATCATCACGGACTCCGCTCGTTACCGTTCTACGACCCCACCCAACCACTCCGAATCGTCTGAATTGAGTTTCTAAGGGCTTGGGTCGATTGGTCTAGTAATAGTAGGTGTCTAGCATCGCATCAAGCCGGCCCGTACGATGCCTTGCATCAGGCCTTTGGTCTGCACATTTCCCCACTGACAACGCCGGACAGCCACTTAGGTGGCTTACCGCCCAAGTGCAGGTGCTTAGTAGAAGCTGAAGAATCAATCCGGAGACATGAACACAGTCGGCGTTTTCGTTGATCACTGATTCATTCATTACCTGAGCCTGACAAACGTGCTGTCAAACCCCACCTGCGTCACCACTAAACCGTTACGTCACCAACATCGCTGGTCTAGCGGACCACAGTGGCGGGGTAAGTACTAAGGTAGGTGGTGGATAATCCGATAAGGTACGAATACTGCGAATGTCTCCCACTCGGGCCACATCGAGATCATTGGCGGCAGCAAGATCGAATCTGCCAATGCATCGGATCAGTGCAATGATGCGGCGACTATTCTTGTGCGTTCTCTCATAGGTGACACGGACCTCAAGGTACACTCGCGTTCAACCATCGAGCAACCGTGCATGCACTTCTGATCTTGTACCGCCAATGAATGGCTTGCAATAGTGAGAATATCTGGACGGTTCGCAATGTATCTCTGCTAGAAGGACATAACACTGGATATGACTACACGTGAAACCTGCTGCCCGTTGCGGCACCCTTCAGCGTCGCTGAAATCATTCCCATACACCATATCCCTAACACCTCGCTATTGTATCATTGTACGCTGAGTAACATTATACCAGAAGACCCTCTTGACGATTATCCAGGAGACTGTTCCGGCGTCTACCTCTGGGGCTGGCGTTCCGAGGTCTCCCGCCCCGAATCATCGTCTTCAGGTTGAGGAACGGCGCTCGACGGCTCGATCCGAATCTCGGGAAGCCGCCCTATCCTCAAACTGGGCAGTTGAGGTGCGCCGCCAACCCCACGACCTGTGCTCATCCTTAATGACTGGCGGCCGGTGGTGCCTACGGCGTCTGCAGGTGCCTGCCCGCTGCTGTAAGTGCGCTGCGAGTCTGAGCGAAGGGGTCCGGGGTAGTCCGGTGGTGACTCATGCGTCGAGTCTCGCGCATGCCCCAAGCTACTGTAATCATCGTCGTTGAGTGAGACATCTTCGTATTCGGGCGGCGGCATGTTCTCATTGGCCACATCAGATTCTCCAATATCTGGACTAGAGCCTGCTCGTCCAGTGTGGGAATGATGCCGTGTAGAAAGGCCTGAGCCGGCACGGGAACGGCTCAGTACTGGTGATGGGAAGTTGCCGTCGAAGCTACCAACTGATGACGCGCTGCGCTCTCGCCGATGAGATATTGGCGACTCGGCCCCTGGGCGATTTAAGTGACCCATATCTGCTGGATCTGACAACAAACCCATCCGTTCGCTCTCCTGACTGCTGGCCCGGATTCGCGTACCGTCATGATGAGCAACACCGAGATCTGCATACGACACGCTGGAGGTAGATCTTTGTCGATTCTCCTTCGCATGATCAATGTCTCGGCGGAGTTCATCGACTAAGCTCTGGTGACTGTTGCTGGCGATTCGTGCTCGGCTGCGCAGTTCCGCCAGCGTTGCCGAGTCGTTCCTCTGCTGGGCTTCGCGTCGCAATCGTCGCATCTCGTCTCGCTCCGCATGCTGTTGTCTCCTCGTCTCCCGGAGTTGATAGAGCGCGCTCATCTCCTGCTCGCGTAGAGCCTCTTCATCCTGCTCGGTGGGGAAGTCGACAACCACGTCCACGCCATCCCGCTCGCCTTCTCGGCCGATGACTTGCTCTGTATGTGACGCGGCTTGTCTGTAGGCGGGAAGGGTGAGAATCGATCTGATTGAAGTGTTTCGGTCGACTGTTGCCCCAGCCGTTTCTCCCTGTGATCCTTGTTCGTTGTTGCGGTTCGCTCGCGTCGATGTCGGATTCAGCTCGGCGCTTTCGCCATCGTGTGCTGTTTGATAGCGACTGCCTTTTGATTTGAAGGGGTTCAGCCTAGCCCAGCGATTTGTGGATTGTGGTGTTTGTCCCGTGGCACGGTGCTGCTTCCTTCTGCGTTTGGTCCATAGGGCCACCGCCGAGATGACCACGACGACGAAGACAATGACGGCAACGACCTGGCCAGAAGACAACGTTAGGTCACCATGGCAAGTAGTTCAGATGCGACATGAACGTACAATAAAAGTAACACTCCTGTCTGGGCCTTTCTCAGCGCGAGAAACTAGGTGGATCGCAGCAGGCCACCGATGGAGCGCTCCCCAATCGCCAGGTAACCGCCCGTGAAGATGCATCGTGTCTGCGCTGGCCCGATACAAATATGCAATGTAATATTTCGGCTCCTGTTGTTCCAGAAAAGCGAACACGTCGTGGTCAACAAGTCAATGACACTCGGGGTAGCGCCAGAGCCGTGTCTGGATTCTGGGTGTAATCAGTGGACGTTTTGGTCGGTGGCTACCGTCAAGGCTTTGCGACGCAAGGACAGCACTGCCCCGTCAGCCTGTCATGAAAAACAGGAACGAATCGTCGTGAACAAAAACAAGTGGCCGTCTGTACGTATCGCGATCCGAACTGAGAGGGCAGAGGCTGAGCGCGAGCTGCCGCACGAGTTGAGGTTGGGGCCAGGCTCGGGCACTAGTAACAATGCCCACTGCACCACCGCACTGACGTGGACAATGATGGTCTGGACCAGGGATTAGTGGACAGGGACTGGACTCGCTCGGGGAGCAGCGTAGCAGGGGAGCACAGATATGGCGATACGAGCTCGAGTATGCACGCCTCACGGAAAGGCCGGGCAGGCCATTGATGGCAGAACTGAATAGGAACAGCCGACGGTGTGATACGCGGTATGGCATCCTGGGTAAGACAACAGGCAGATTGCTACCTCATTTGCAGGTTGCCTTGAATTTGGCAATCATGGGCAATGTGATGCAATTATGAAGTGACTATCCTTACGACGATAAGAAAAGACGACGATTGGCTCACAGCTGGCGTTCGGTGATCGCAATGGCCTTTGTTGGTTCGCGAGATTGAAGACTTCCTCAAGAGTACCTTTACCTGGTACGTGACACAGCCTATACGACAGGCGCAACCAGTGCCCTGCAACTGAATTCTCCTTATCTGGTACGTGACACAGCCTATACGACAGGCGCAATCAGTGCCCTGCAACTGAATTCTCGTCTTGACCAACTAATTGTTCATCATTGGCGTAAAGGTTGGATGGATGCTGGAGCCTGAGCCACGCCGTTGGTGTCTCAGACCCTGCGGGCTAGACAACGGTCGCCCCACGATCTCACGAGCTACACTACGGATACATGTTGCTGCCATACCAATTCTGGTGGCCATCCATTGCCCGGGAAATGGGCTCGTGCTTCAACCAAGAGATTGACGCTGAAGTCAGCCAAAACTGATGCGATGACGCCCATGAATCTTCAAATCGAGCAAAATGTATCGTTCAGAGCAGAGACACCAAGACTCAAGAGCGCACAACAACCCTGAACTAAAGTCCCCGAGACTAGGCCCTTTGGTTCCATGCGGAGCATGCTCTCCACTTAACACAGAGTACGTGTACGAGTGCGGATGATGCAGCATTTTAAGTTTGTGAGAGTTGAGGTTCAATACAGCACAAGGATTGGCGCTCATGGAATATAGAAAAGAGTTCTGGCGGGTCCTGACGGCAAACCCAGAGCGCTCCAGCCACGAGGCTTGGCTTGGCTAGCTACTTTGAAGTTTGCCATGTGCTGTCAAAGTTGAGCTGTTACTCTCAGGTGCCGGCTTTCATCTGCTGGCATGCCAAGATAGAACGAACGACAGCCTCCCCACGTTGTCCCAGTGCCCACTCCGAGTCCACGAGTATGATCTTCATTACAACTCTCCACTCCACGATTCCTCTGTTCCATGTAGTGTCACGCTATGTAACCCAGCGATGAAGCAAGCAGCTCAAAGCCCAGTGACTCGTATCAGCAGGCAATGTCTATCCAAACTTCTTCTCAAATTTCTTGAACATCCCAGATACCCCCTTCTCCAATCTCGCAGTGTTTTCCTCCAATTTGCTGCGGGGCTCCGGCTTTTGATACCCATACTGTGCTGTTTGCGCGGCGATCGTTGCCTCAGACTCTGTCGGCCGGTAGGCTTGTTGATGAATCGAGTAGGCAGGGTCGGCGGGTCGCTGTTGCCCGGCCTGATTATATGAGAAGTTCGAATAACCACCGGGCGGAGGTCCAGGAAGCCCAGGGTTCGCAGCGGGGGGAGTTGGCTGCTGCGGCGGCTGCTGCGGCGGCTGCTGTATGTGTTGTTGTAAGGGAGGCTGCGATTGGGGAGGCGGGGGAGGCATGCCACCGCCGGGCGCGCCAGGGAAACCCGCGCCATAGGGGCTCGATAAGCCAGGCGAAGGCATTCCAGCGTTCACCGGCATCGTGGCAGCACGTTGCATCCCAGGATGTTGAGAAGCCCCGAATTGCGGCGGCGGAGCTCCCGGGCTGCCCAGTGCAGGAGGCAAACCGGGGCTTGCGATGCCTGGAGGGAATTGGGCCTGAGGAGGGTATCCCGGAGTGAAAGGCTGCTTATGGTAGTCATACGCTACAGCCACAGCTAGTGGGTTGAGAGGATCTTCATCGGGTGGCGGTGTCTTTTCTCGATGGCGGATAGCCTCGGGAGCAGCTGGGGCCGCCGGATTGTAAGCCATTGGGACGAAGCTCGCCGGCTGGGCGGGAGGTGCACTATCGGCTGGCGGAGGCGGTGGTGGGATGGAACCGGCGTGCGAGCCTGGCTGAGACGACACATGCGATGCGCTGTACCGCGGGTCAGAGATCGCTGCATCCTCCAGTTTCCGGACCACATGGCTCATGGCGGGAGCTTGTTGTGGTGGAGGGCCCGGTTCGTCCAGTATCTCGACCTGACCAGGTGGGAGCACTCTCCTGACTCCATTGACGAATTGCAGAGCATCTTGTTGAGTCCAAAAGTAGACATCAAGGGAGTGGAGTTTGTAGTGATACTTGTTTTCGTTGCGAGGGTCGTATGTCGGAAGATGCCATTCGTTCTGGTCAACGGCGTCCGCCACTGTCAACGACACCATGCAATGCTGCTTATAGGAGTATCGCACACGCGCCTGGTCGAGGACTGATTGTCAACGTTAGCCCCAAGCCACCACGACCGAGTGAAGAGACTGACATCCATCAAAGGCATCTTGGTCTTCTGTCCCAGGATTATTCGCGACCTCAATGCGACATCTGCGATCGTTCGCATTCTCAAAAAGATACACGTAAGAGCCTTTGTCGAAGCGATGATGTCGTGGTTTTACTTCGGCTGAGGAATAGTAGTAATGGATGTCGCCGAACCTGCGGTCATCAGACTTGGTCCATCTATCAGCCCAGCGACAACGTACAGTGTAGCAACATTCTCCTCGCCTGGTCTAGCTGCCATCGTAGCAAGACCCAGCCCTGTGGTACGAAGCTGACTGCGGCTTGGAGCAAGGATTGGAATTTGGCGTAAGTCAAGACGTCGTGCCGGATCTCAGCCTCGTGTTGCACAAGGAGAAACAGGAAACCCAGCAGAATAGAGGGACAACTCGACCTCAGCTCGAGTTTTGTAACCACTCGCCGCAAGAAGCCACCGCGTGGCAGTAGAGCCGATCAGCGCATCCTTGTGCGCCATGCTTCTCGTCACCGCACGCATCTCAGGCGTAGCAGTGGTCGTCGTCGGCGCTTAACAGCTGCGGGGAGCCTGGCAAAGAGCCAATGAAGTCGTCCAGGACACTGCACAGCTTGAGGGGTCTGGACTCGGATGGCTTGGCGTGGGAGGGTCCTAATCGCCCACGTGATTCCGTGTGTCGGACGCAAAGGCGCAGAACGCGCCGCGCGGTATTTTGAGACTGCGTCTCGGTTTCACGCAGCAATCCCGACAGTGAACTGTGAAGAGCAGCGCGCGACCATCAGAACGGGCGTCATGAGGCTTATACATGTGAAGAACTGGAAGAATCGCCTTGAACGTCGTTGCGCATCACGATGTCGACCGACAATCCACCAGATTCGCCCAACGCATCGGATGACGCACCACAAGATGATGAATCAAGAACGCTAAAATACTCCTTGCTCGGCCCCTCGCTGACTAAAGCTGGGCAAGACAAAGTCGACCAGAGCAAAGTCTCGGAGATTATATACAATGCCTCCAAGGGCTCCAAGTTCTTCAATCGAGAGGAGGTCAAAGACAAAGTCCTCACCCGCAAAATCGAGCAGATCCTCGCACGGAAGCGTCAACTTGACAAGCGGGATCTCAGTCGAGACTTACGCAATGCTGATCGTCTGATCACGGAACTGGAAGTTGCCCGTGACCTGACGCAACATGTCGTTCACGTCGACTGCGACGCTTTCTATGCTGCGGTGGAGCAACTTGAGAGACCAGAGCTCAAGGAAATGCCGTTTGCTGTGGGAGGGGGTGTTTTGACGACATGTAACTACGTTGCGCGTCAGTTTGGTTGTCGGTCGGGCATGGCTGGCTTTGTCGCCAAGAAGCTCTGTCCGCAACTGGTGTTCATCAAGCCCAATTTCCAAAAGTACACTGCCAAAGCATATGAAGTGCGTGAGGTCCTTGCTGAGTACGACCCACGATTCGAGAGTGCTAGCATCGACGAGGCCTACCTCAACATTACGGAATACTGCCACGAGAAGAGCATGGATCCTGCCGATGCCGTTGATCAGATGCGCCGAGAGGTCCGTCAGAAGACCAACATAACAGTGTCAGCTGGCATCGCGGCGAATGCCAAACTGGCCAAAATATGTTCGAATATGAATAAGCCCAACGGACAATATGTTCTACCGAGCGATCGCAATGCAATCATGTCTTTCATGCGAACTTTGCCAACGCGGAAAGTCAACGGCATCGGCCGGGTTCTCGAACGAGAATTGCAGGAGATAGGCGTCAAGACGTGCGGTGACATCTATGAATACAGACAGTATCTCGCTCAGCTATTCGGCGAGAAGATATACGAATTTCTAATTAGTTGTTACCTTGGCCTTGGTCGAACCAGGATTCAACCTGCAGAAGACTACGAACGGAAGAGTGTTGGCACCGAGAGCACGTTCAATGAGATTTCGGATCCTGAGAAGTTGAGGGAAAAGCTACGCTGGACCGCAGATGAACTGGAGAGGGACATGAAGAGGGCCGAGGTTAAGGGGCGAACGCTGTGCCTCAAAGTCAAGCTCCATACGTTCGAGGTCTACACACGACAGGTGGTCACACCCAGGGCGATCTGCGTGGCAAATGATCTCTACAGTTTCGGGCTGCCCATGCTCACAAAGCTCCAGCAAGAGATGCCCCAGATGCGTCTGCGCCTGATGGGTCTCCGCTGCACACACCTCGTCAGCACCAAGAAGCCCGACACGATGGCCTTCTTCGGTTTCCGGCAGAGAAGTGAAGGGTCCCCAGTCACGGGTGACGCCGGCGGTCAGAAGCGGAAAGCAAGCGAGATTCTGGAACAAGATGCATGGGAAGAGTGGCCTGAGGATAAGCTGCGAGCTCACCAGGAACAGAGCATGTTAGACGACATGTTTCCAGATGAAGTGTGTACACCCGAGGCAGATGAAGCATCGTTTGGACGACACGGCAAGGAGATTGCACCAAACCCCACGAAAGACCAGCCTGCGGCTGATGTGGAGGAATGGTGGGACTGTCCCATATGCGCCCGTCCACAGAATGCCAAAGAGAAGACTTTCAACGAGCACATTGACCTCTGTCTGTCGCGCCAGACCATACGAGATGCCGTCCAGGAAGATGAACCGGCGCGACACCGATCCAGTTCCCACGAGAACAGGAAGTTCAAAACGGCAGAGAGGAAGCGAGGTCGATCGACAGGGGCGGTGGACCCTAAGCAGCGCAAGCTGTTCTTCGGGTAGCCTACTACATGAGGAATGAGAAATGGCTAAATTCTATTGTGCAGAGTACCTCTATGATAATGCTATCTAAGCGAAAGTCTGCATGTCCCCGACACCTTGCTCTGCATAACGCACTTATTAGGTAAAATATCGGTTGCAATTTATCCTTCCAAGATGACTTCTGGCTTGTCAACCACTCCACCACAGACATGTGCGTAGAACACGAGATGTCTCTATTCATCAGGACCCATCATGCGGTGCATAGTCTTGGTACGCCGGATTTTGGTATCTTCTTCCTCATCCTTGCGAAGCTGGTCGCCCGGCAGCCGGACGGCGCGATCAATGGCAACGGGAAGGCCTCTGTGTCTACCCCTGAGCATGACAAGCACCAGCACAATCTTGCTACCTTTGTGCAACCCCCCAGAAAAGCTGAAAGCGTCATTGGGTAGGCCGATCGACAAGCCAACGCACGCATAGGCCGACGTGGCCTCGAACAGGATGTTGAAGACGCTGAACGTGATGGGGTCTCTCAGGAAGTGATCCGTTTCGATGATGACAATGATCAGGATGGCAAGCACCAGCCACCACAGATCGTGCGCCAACTGGCCTCGGATCTGCTGTCCGATAAACGAGATGCGACTCGTGTCTTCCTCGCTCTTGACCGGGCGAGCAACGCCGACGCCTTGAAATGTGGCTGCCCTCCTCAGCTGCTGGCCAAGCACGGCGGCCGTGTTGCGTCTGCGAAGAGTGTGCTTCTGGTCCGGCTCCGGGCCGGAGGACAGCGGGTTCGTATTTGTCAGGTTTTCCTGCTCCTTGGTAGCCTCGTCCTCGTCGTCATAGATGCCCAAGGAACGCTCTTCGTACACATTGGAGTTACGCATTGTTATGACGACGGGATAGACCGAGATGTACATCATGATCAAGTACAGTACTTGCACGCCAACATACAATACCGAGATGGATATGACGGCGAATCCTGCGGCTCGGACGGCTTGTCAGACAAAAGCTGTCAGCAGGCGATCATGCATTGCGTGGAAATGAGCTTACATATCGCTTGGAATAGACCAGCCACGATTTTGTCTCCCACTGGTAGGTTTTCCAGTTCCTGATTCCCTATGTTAAGGACCTCAAACGCAACCCAATCGATCAAGTTGGTCACGAAGAGAACCCCCACAAGCCACCACGTGGCCCGCGCTGGAAATAATGTCGTGTACACCCGACGCGGATATTTCAAGATAAACTCAAAGGTCTCTTTCCACGGGCTATGGACGTGTGGCGGCGACGTAAGCTCCAGGAGCTTCAGCGTGCTCCAGAGACCTAGGCGTAGAAAGATTGGGTAGGCCGTGTTTCCTGCTAAGATGAGCAGCCCAATGACGAAGAGGACGAAGTAGTGTGACTGGAATGGAACCACACTGTCATCGAGCAGTGTGAAGCCGCCGTTGTTGAAAGCGGACACCGAATAGAAGATGCCAGCCCACCACGGGTTCTGGCCGTTCGCTCGCGGGATCTCAGGGTTGCGTAAGGCAATCCAACAAGCCAATGCAACAGCTCCCAAGAATTGAAACAGTATGGAGTATAAAGGCACAACGACGGACAGTATCTTGAGAGCCCGGTACTCGCAACCGCCCAGGTGTTCGCGTTCCTCCTCGGATAGATCATAGAATTGACCACTGCGACTGACGTTGTGCTTCCCCAAGATCTTCTTCCAATGCATCAAGAAGTTCTCTGACTCGGCCGAGGCTACTGTGGTCGCGTTCGACCCGCGTCTGATCAAGTTGTTCGGGGCGCCGGGTGCGGCGGCATGGCTGCCATGCGAGTATGCCGTCGTGAGGCCGTGGCCGTTGCCATTAGGGGGCGACATCGGCTGAGCAAAGCAAATATGGTCATGTGGTCCCTCGTGCGAGACCTCGAGATCAGGCAGAGAACAAACGTCAACTTTCTCCACGGAATGTTGGTCATGAGGTGGATTCGTAACGAGAGGCCCAGATATTGCCCTTTGAGACGAACTCTGGTTAAGATTTGGAAGCTCTTGTCCAAGGTGGCGAGGACTAAGAGCATGTGCCGGCGCGCAAGAACTGAGTCCCGACAGCTCTGGTTGTATTCCGGCAGGGCCTCCACTGGACTTGGAGAGAGAAAGCATGTTGAGCAGGTTTGGAGCTCTCCTAATGCCACGCGAGTTGATCTTCTTCAGTTCTCGGTGGCGTCTCCTCCGTTCCCTTTCCGTTTCGACAATGTCCTCAAACCTCCTTTCGAACGCTCGTTTGCGGACGAGAACGGTCCAGAAAGACACCCAGATGGGGCTACCAATCATCAGGAGAAACCATAGTTGCACCTGCTGCCAAGCCGTCATCTCGCTGAGGTTCCTTGTCGCCAGGCCAGTCGTGGTCAGTGCCGAGGTGACGAGAAACAAGCTGTCGACATAGTCGACACTGCCGAAGGGCTTAGCGGAGCCCCAGAAGACGAGCGAGGAGGCTGCCGTGACTGAGATGAAGTATGCGTAATGAATGGTGATGTAATTGACGGGAGGCAACCAGGATCTGGCAAATGCCAGCACTTGCCCTACCCTGGGTCTGTCTTCAAGCCACTCGAGCCAGCGAGTCCTCGATGAGTCAAACATGACTTTTGCGGTATAATCAGTTGATTTGAGGTCGCAGAAGTTGATCACATGCCGGATCTTGTTGGACGCAATAAGCTTAAATTAAAGGTTGAAAGTTTCGGTCAAATGCGGGAAACTGAGCTGGTAATATCCGTTAATGAGAGGCGGTCGCCAAAGCTTGGATGCTGAGCGTGTTCGAATCTGAAGCGAAGAGAGAGCGGTGCAATCAGTAAGAATGGACAAAAGAGATGAAATCGAACGAACAGAAGTGCAGCATTGCTAGAAGCACAGGTTTTGATGATAGATAGATTGATGGTAAGGTATGTGAGATTCCATCGAAAGTAGACAGGAGGCAGCCCACGTCCTCGCTGCAGGGCCCACCCAGACTTGCCGCATAAGGTACGCGTGTGCTCGTGCAACTGGTCAGTGCGGGCGGCGGCTGCGCTAGTCCGCGGCGTGATTGTGAGGGTCTTCATAATTATGCAGTGCACATTACCCTATGTGCTTGATGCGAAACCTGTGACCAAGGCAATGGAGACGGCGACATACGTAGAGACATCTCGCAGGCTCTCTGATTGATCGACCAAGCAGACGCCAAGCTCCAGCTGAGTACATCACCTATCGCGCTCGCTGTCCAGACAAAGGCCCAGTGAGACTCTGTGACTTTCATCGATTGGCAGCTTGGGTGTCCGAATTTTTTTGGAAATTTCGTGAAGCCAGGTGCTGCGTCAGATCGTTACCTGGGTCTCAATTAGTCGAGTTGCTGCATCCATTGCTGACGCTGACATACCGTCACAAGTGACAACACTAAACCCCGTTTTAGTCTCTCAAACAAATACAACTAAAAGCCGAACATATTGTCGTCCTCGACATATCCCCACGTTAGGATCGCAAGTCAGCGCACTGTCCATCAGAGGGCGTCGTCTCGCTCGACAATTTACGTTTCAGTGCTGGAAGGGCAGCCTTCTGGATTAGCCTAGAGGGCCCACACAGAAAGTCAACATTGCTCTCGTCAGGGGCAAACAGACAGCGCTGTAGTATCTCCTCATTGACATAGCCTTTCTCGCCCTGCCAAGTGTCGATCGTATGGCTCAGCACGTGTGTGAACTGGAGTTGCCCTTGCGGGTCTCGTTCGAACTGGACAAGCTCGTCGCGCAACAGTATATCGCTCTCTGTTCTATTGGCGTCTACTACCCGGAGCTGCGTCTTGTCCCCCTTTGTCAGCCAAATGCGTGTAATGAGTGAGTATCCAGGAGTGATGCCGGAGCCCCCTAATACGAGCGAGACTCGAGTAAAGTCCCTCCTTTGACCCTCAATGGTGAATTCACCACTGCCGTGGTACTCAATCTCTCCGGTAGAACCCTTCATTTCCACTTCCTCGCCTATAGGGACACAATCCAGTATGTTGGACATGGCGCCCCCAGGCTGGTCCTGGTCGGGAAAGTATGTCTTGATTGTCAGGTCGAACATCCCCTCTCCATCTACCGACGATCGCTCAGTGCCGTCTTCAGGACTTCCGTTGGCAACCCACATCTTATCGCTCTCGTCAATCCCTTGCAAAGAAAGTAACGGCTTTGTGGGTGTGTAACTGCGGACCAGCATGCGATTCTCGAGGTGGAAACCAATCTCAACGTGCTGACATGTCCCTAACCCAAGCACCTTGATGTTGCCGGGCAGCTGAAACCTGCAAGTACGAGTATCCTTAGACACCTCCCGCATGGCAATCATTCTGACCGGTTGCCAGCGATGTTTCTCCAGGATGATTTTTGACTGCGCGTCTCCGGATTCTGTAGCTTTCTTGGCCGCTTGTTCAGCATTTTGCTTGATGAAATTTGCAGCCTTGTCCGTCACAGTGCCTAGAGCACATTCTTTCAGCTTCTGGTAGTCGTAGTCGTCGTGTATGCCTGCAAATTCGTCACTCGTTTCCTGATGAACTTGCCCGGCGTGGCCAAGAATGGCGGCTGCTCCTCCGGAATGCCACTCGAGAACACTGGTGGCGTCGTACACTTTTCCATCAACCATAATCCAGCAGTCATCTTTGCTGTCGTATCGTACTTCTCAATCTCTTCGCGCGTGAATTGTTTCTGCGATGTGCCGGCTTACTGCTTGGCTTCGGCGATCTGGCTCTCGACACTAGGCTTCATCCATCCCTCATCGCCACTCCCGACTTCTGTGGGATGCCAGAAGACGAGGGTTGCCTCTTTCGGGTCTTTGTCATCAACAATTCCTGGCCTAAGAACGTACCAGCAATTGTTCATCATACCCACGATGTTCCAACCGGGCTCTCGTGGCTGCGTGTTCTTGAATACATTGAAGCACCGGACAGTGATACTGTGAGCGCGCAAGAGATGTGAAATCCCCACGTCAATACGCCAATGAAGCCAAGTCCAATACTTGTTGCCATGCCGAATCGGCGCGTCGGGGAATCTGCGGAGGCAGTACAGCCACGTCTTGCCGTCGTCGACTGACACTTCGACCCGTTGTACTTCATGGCCGCCACCGTCATACGCATACCCCTGAATGCGGTAGCTCTCCCCTTTTCGGGGTCGAGAACCGCAACATCCTCTCACCATGAGCTGGCTTGATAATCACCGACTTGAGGTTCTGCTCGTTGCAGGTTGTGTCAGGATGTCTCAAGAGGGACTCCGCAAATGGCCCGTCCTTCTCCGTTACAAATCACGGGACTACCCGATCGTCCCATATGTGGTAGCAAGAATCATCCTCCTTGTCGCTGATCCAAATTCGTCGTAGCCACTTTACACAGGGACCACCAACGTACCCCGGTATCATCAACCGCAACGGGTTATCTGTGATCCGGAGGCAGTGGCACGTCGTTCATCTCATAGGCTAGCATGCCATCGTTGGAAGGATTCTTGGCATACTGAAAGGGGATACACGTAGAATACTTCCCCTCGCTCGGTTCGTCGGCACCTTCAAAATTCACCCAGTATGGCCTCTTTTGGCCTTGATCAGGCAATGCCTCCGGAATCCCGGCAGATAACAAGACGTCTCAAAGTAAGGCGCCTTTCCAGTATGCACAACCGACACCGCCAGGACCCCGGCCAAAACCTTCGCTCTTCTTCATCATGTTTAGTTATTGGCGCCGATTTCCATCACAAGCCAGTGCAATGGGGAAATTGATCGAATCAAACTCCTACAGCTGTGGCATGCTAAACGACGTGGTTTCACCTTTGAACTCGACATCGAGCTGGTGGAATTCCCACAGAATTCGAGGGACAGCTCCGTGATTGCGAACGTAATGAAGTCCATTCGGCGTGATGAGCCCAGCATCGTACAGATGGCTGAGATGTGCTTCTGCGTTTAGCGGCTGTTTTCCTGTCAAACGTATCAGGCCAGAGCTACGCGGGAGCCAATTGTCGGGTGTGAACTGATCTTGCTCATCGATTGATACGTCTCGCCGGTTCCGCGTCTGAGGGGATTTGCCTTGGCCATCGTTCTCTTTCAGATGTTACATATACTCACATTCATGCTCCAGTGGTCGTAGCAGGGCTCGTTCCTGTGGCGTGCATTTATCCTCCAAGAGATTGTCCTCAGAGACGTCGCCCGTAGTGTACGCATCATTATGCTTGTCGTGACCATCATTGCTCGACTTCTTCCACTAGTGCTCCTGCTGCTCGCCATCGGCGATACCATCGACCTGCGTTACCTTGGTTTGCTTCACACCCCGCTGCTTTCTCTAATTTGCTGGCCATTTCTGTTTATTCTTGCCCCAGTCTTCTGTGGTGTTCAGAACATAACGCCGACCAAGGGACCTTTTCTCAGGGTATCTCAAGTGAAGTCGTTTACTTGTTAGCCATACATTCCGAGAACGTGGTACTTGCCTTACCTCTTGATGTTGAACTAATTCTCTGAAATTGAGCAGTTTGCCTTCCTTGGCCTCGTCCTGCAGCTGAGCCTGCTCCTTTATCTCTTCAACAGCATCTTCATGGTGTTGATCCTCCTTGTGTGTGATACCAGGCAGCCGGTTGGTCCGATTTTTGAAACCAATACGATGCTCATGCCCGATCCCCTACTCGGATTCATTTGCAATGTCCTGCGTCGAGGAACCGGGGTGCGGCTGGACCGTAACAGTCCACGGTACGTTGTGAGGCATCTCCTGAGAAGCGGCTAAGATAGCGGATCACTTCACGGCTATGCGCTCGTGATTGTGAAGCACTGCAGGAGAAAGGTATACGATGGAGCTCTGCGATTGGGGATCTCACTGCTCAAGTGATGATCCTGTTGCGGGTTGTAGGCCAGTGCCGCGGAAACGTCGAATTATGACGTCTCTGGATGCGGTGAGCGCCAAGGTCTCCGACGAGAAATGCAAGCAGTTGCTCGCGAAGTACGTAGTGGAAACCGTTCCGCGATCGCGTATCTGGTGATCAGACAGAACGCCATTCAGGCGTCATATCAACTCAATTGAGCTCCCTGTACTTACATGTACCCACATGCAAAGAACGTAACCGCCAGGCCACTTCTCGAGTCTGTAACCTGATGGCGAACTCGGAACATACGGCTCGACATTGTGGTCGTGGCATGGATACCACATCCATTAAACTGGCGAATTGCCAGACTTGGTGTCACAGCGCATCGGAGCTAGACCAAAGTACCATCACGACTCAACGTGCATCATCATTCAGTTGCAAGTGGTCGTTATGATATTCGAACGGCTAACGAGACACGTGTTGGCCGAGAATAGGTATTTCACTACAACTCCTCGTGGCCCTCGATATCGTCTGTGTCGGCAATCATGGTTTTGGCCGCGTCTGCGGCCTCGGCCGCGGCACTGGCGACCTTTTCTGCGACGCCCTCCGCTTCTGTCTTAACCTCCTCAACGAGGACCTCGGGTTCGATAGTCTCGGGCGGCTCGACGCCATCGATGCCCACCAACTCGGTCTCAAAGACTAGCATACATTAGAATGAGATATCGCTGTAGATGAGAGATTAACAAACTGAGCGTCGATCCGGCGGGAATAGGCCCCATAGCGCGCTGTCCGTATCCGAGCTTGGGGGGAATGGTCAAGGTCCTGAGGAATAGTCAGTTTTGGATGGAGAACTAAACGCCAGTCCACAAACCTTTTGTCACCGATGCACATGTCGAGCAGACCCTGTTCCCAACTACTGGAATTTAGTCCCAGATTATCAATGCCAGATCAAACGCTTCACAGACCCTTTGATGACACGTCCGGATCCCAACACAAAGGTCAATGGCCGCCCGCGATCGTAGCCTGGAAGAGCGGTCAGCGTCGCTCTCAACATCATGTTTGCGGTCGCTTCCTGAGGCTCTGGGACATACTGGCATCGAACTTCTTGCCCGAATCCGCAAGGCTGCCGTGGTAGTGCATGTGAATGTTGTCTCCGTTCTGCGTACGGCGCTCACATTCGACGCTGTGTGTCTTGTCGATCTTGAGTTCGTCGGCGCTCACGAGACCAATCGCCGTCGCGGCGAGGGAGAAGAAGAGTGTCGACTTCATTTTGTGCTGATTGGGTCAGTCGAATTTTGCGTAAGTACGTAGCTGTTGATATAGGTATCCGTACTCGATCTTGGTGATGTGGACGAACTGTCGGAAGAGGACAGCTGCGATACTGCAACAGGGTCCACCCACCCCGCACTGCCACTGGCGGCACAGGTACGATTGATTGTGTAGTTACCTTCTACGGAGTAGTTTCATCGAATAACCGGTCACCATCGATCGCAGTGCCGCGATCGGGGTGGTGGCACAGCATTGAACCATGGACATGCCTCTAAATTCACGTATCCGTGATCGTCAATTTCTTCAACACACTGGTGTACAGAGCATCGACTACAGACCTCAAGGATTCTATTCTCTATTGCACGTTATTGCATGGGAATTTGTCGGCCTGCACGAAGGCGCACCAATTTGTGGTCATGCTGTGGCCCCCAGGTGCGTCCAACCCTGTTGGTTCTTGACACCTTCTTGGGCTCAAAGCCGTTCCAGATCCGGTCAGATCCGGTACATGCAGAGCAATTCTAGGCAACATACCCAAGAGCCTGGTAGCACAAGCCTCGTCCATTCATCGACCTATCGTAGACTCCCATTCAAGAGTCGAGGCCAGACGACAGCCGTCTTTCAGACTTCTATCTCACCGGCTATGCGTCATGTGTTGAGCAGCGTGTGCCGCTGCTCGGCCAATAAGCAAGCATCTGTCGTTCAGATCACTGTAACGTGCCTTGCGTTGAGACGATATGCTGTCGGATAAGGAAACTGACTGATTGAGTCCTTTAGTGTTTGTCTCGGCACATGCCGCTTCGTGTCAGACTCGAACATCGGCAGCCACCAGTTTTGCCATTATGCAGGAACATGGTGTCATTGGATCCCTTCGCCCATTTGTGATGGCTGCATCGTGCACCGGGGGACGCCGAACGCCTGAGTGTTCGTCTCACTTTTCACAACCAATGGTCATTGACAACATGGGAGCGAACATTGCCATGGTCTTTGTTCTCTACATCAGATTGATGACATTGACGACGAGCATGCCATGTACGGTGGCTTGCACGCTCCAACAGATGTGTACCTTGCGCTGAGCCTTGGGGCCGAGTGGGTGACGTGGGTCAATCAGGCCACAAGGCCGAAGGCTAGGCCTAAGGTTCATACCTATCACTCGAGGCAACCTGCGAGGCCGCACCTGCGGCGTTGCACAGCCTGGCCTCGTTCGCTTTGCGGAGTTCGACTCAGTTGGTCGACGGGGCATCTCTCGGTGGCGCATGCCTCACCTCCACACCGCCCGACTCTGGAGTGCTAGGCGTGTGTCCAGGGCCAAGGAGGTGGTTTAAGAAGTGCAACTTCCCAAAGGTCATCAGACCTTACGCCGACGACAAGCCAGGCGCTGGGCTCTTGGTCTTATTTGAACCGCCCCCTTCGTGCTACCACCTTTTGCGGGACTGCTGGGCCTCGATTTGTTTCGCCACTCAGTGACGCCTGGCAAGGAACCTGCGTTAACTTAACGCCCTGGTTGAAACACCGTGATCGGGTCGGTTTATCTCTACCTGAACCACCGACTAATTCACGGATTCATTCATGCTGTCTGGCAGTGTATGCTAAGCATGATGCTGACTCGAGCAGGTCTTATTTACACCCTACCGTATGAGTACTTTGCAAGGTGGTAAACCATTATGGGTACCATGTATGGCTTTGTTATCACGTCACGCTACACCACAGCACAGCCATCTCACGATGCTTCGTACTACCCACAGATTAGTGAGGCTGTTCGAGGTGACAAACATTGGCCTCCACTTTGATCACACCGGCCGATAGGCCTCGCCCGTTTTGTTCCTAGGCTATTGGGTGGTCAATCTCGGTCTGTCAGAGTATAAAGTGGCTTGAAGCCCACCAGTTTGTGTGACGTGTTCCTCCAATATCATCAAGTATATCTCATCGAGTCAACTACCGCAATTGCATCGGAAACTTCGCATTGGCACTATCTTCCACAGTGGGCGATTTTTCTGACAACTGTCTTTCTACACACACCTAGAAGCTGGGTTGCTTGTTCAGCAAGCCACTTATTCTAGCACAAGTCAGCACCATGAGCTCTCGCAGCGGCCGGAGCAGCAATGGGTCGGGGTCCGGCTCGTCGGCGTCAAGCCATCACGGTTCATCGGGTCCACGTGTTTCTTCGGGTGAGTGGTCCATATGGATTAAGTTTGCACAACAGCTGACTCAGTTCCAGGGGGCTACGGTTCTCGTAATTCCCAGCCGAATACTGAACCTCATGTCCATAATCACAAAGTCAATGTCTTGACTAAAGAGGCACCTTCACCGAAACAACGTGGCAAGTCGTATAGCTGAGCATCACCCTGCCGGCGCTTATATTCGGGGTTACATGGAGCGGGAAACATGGGCCTGTTTGGCATGAATTTTGCCTTCGCACTATAGACACAAGAGATATGGTTATCTGACTTCAAGGCGTTCGACATAGCATCGAGATAGTATCGCTAGATGGTAGAATGAATTCGCGCCCGCTTTTCTTAATTCGAGATGGTAAATCTTCAGCAGCAGAGTGACAGACCAATGTTCAACAGCTTCGACGTGTAGCTAAGGTAAGTACTTGCCTTACCATAGGGGGAGAGGGCAAGTTATGAACATCCTTCCTGGCCCCAATCCTCCTTAACTACGGCAGATCCGGTGATATTGCCTTAGGGCCTGGCATATATAAAACAGCTCTTTCCTCAGCCTCATATGAGCGGACCCAGTGGAAAACTTCTTACGCGCCTGAAATATTGCACGAACGCTGCCACGCACGATATCTCTGCTTAAGCCCCAGCCTATAGTACGTAGCACCATGGAGAAGTTACCACCTGCGCTTGGCCTTTCCGGTGTCGCAAATCACCTCCAGAGTACGTTTTCGCAAAGCAGCTCATCCATCATGTTTCGGTGCCGCGCAGTAACACAATTATACTTTTGTGGTTCTCTGCGGGCTTATACCTCTGTGTGCGCTTGAATGATGAATTTGGACGAGCATGGGCTCAAATGAAGTCTATACCGATGCACAATGACGCAACGAGAGGCCCGAAGCATGGAGATTGCGGGCTCCCCCAAGCTCGCGTAGAAATTGGAGCTTTGGTGGGTAATGACAATGTTAAGCATCGAAGTAGACGCTAGGCTACCTTCACACGAAGCTCGCAATGGTTGTGGTAATTAGGTGCTGCTGCGAATGGTCTTCGCGACACATGAGAAGGTGACAAGATTCGGGTAGTAGACAGCCGCCACGCACTCGCGTACGATTCGTGTACTTGTTGGGGCGGTGCAGCTGTGATAGTGACGAAGCCCGAATCGCTGACCGGGAAAACATCGGGGTCGCCAGTACATACCCCGTCAGGCATCACATCAACTCACCCAGGCTTCCGCAAGTCAACATTCGCTACCACCATCTTCCTGCGATCAGCGCCATTGTTTGTTCTTCGGTGCGCTTGATTCCCTTGTCAGCTGTCGTCATTCGCTTGTCGAGTTCGAAGCGACTTATACTTCCGGTAGTTACTTGCTCGGGACAGGTGTACTAGTTGTCGCATTCTCCCTTCTCGCCCACCATGGTAAGGCGCCAAATACCCCTCCATGCGACATCTCGGTCTTGGGTCGATATCTAATGACTTCGCAATGCACAGGGTATCTCACGACGTCCGAAGAACAAGGCGGCTGGCGGTGGTCCAGCCGGGGAAGTAGGAGCCTCTGGGAGCGCAAAGCCTAAGAAGGCCACATTCGAGACGACCAAGAAAAAGGAGGTCGGCGTGTCTGACTTGACACTTCTCAGTAAGGTCTCCAACGAAGCGATCAACGACAACCTGAAGAAGCGATTCGAAGCCCGGGAGATTTATACATACATTGGCCATGTGCTCGTTTCAGTCAACCCGTTCCGGGACTTGGGCATCTACACCGACCAAGTGTTGGAAAGCTACAAGGGCAAGAACCGGTTGGAGATGCCGCCACACGTTTTCGCAATTGCAGAATCGGCGTACTACAACATGAAAGCGTATCAAGACAACCAATGTGTCATCATTTCTGGCGAATCCGGCGCGGGAAAGACAGAGGCTGCCAAGCGCATCATGCAATACATTGCGAACGTTTCTGGCGGAGAATCAGGGGATATTAAAGAGATCAAGGACATGGTGCTGGCCACTAATCCTTTGCTTGAATCCTTTGGAAACGCCAAAACGCTGAGGAACAACAACTCGTCGCGATTTGGCAAGTATTTGCAAATCCACTTCAACGGACAGGGCCAGCCTGTCGGAGCCGACATCACCAACTATCTCCTCGAAAAGACGCGAGTCGTCGGGCAAATCAGCAACGAGCGAAATTTCCACATTTTCTACCAGTTCACCAAGGGTGCATCTTCGCAATATCAACAGCTGTTCGGCGTGCAAAAACCCGAGACATATGTGTACACCAGCCGGTCAAAGTGTTTCAATGTCGACGGTATCGACGATCTAGCCGAATTTCAAGACACCTTGAACGCCATGAAGATCATTGGGTTGTCGCAGCCAGAACAAGATAACATCTTCCGCATGTTAGCTTCGATTTTGTGGATTGGAAACATCCAGTTCCGTGAAGACAAGGATGGGTATGCCGAGGTTGTGGATAGGTCCGTGGTGGACTTTGCCGCCTATCTTCTCGAGTGCACAGCAGACCAGCTGATCCACGCTATTACCATCCGCATCTTGACACCTCGCAATGGCGAGGTCATCGAATCGCCGACAAACCCGGCTCAAGCGGGCGCGACGAGAGATGCGCTCGCCAAGGCAATCTACAGCAACTTGTTCGACTGGATCGTGGGCCGAATCAACAAGTCACTCAAGGCGAGGCAAGCGACTTCCAACAGCATTGGTATCCTGGATATCTATGGCTTCGAGATTTTTGAAAAGAACAACTTCGAGCAGCTGTGTATCAATTACGTCAACGAGAAGTTGCAGCAAATCTTCATTCAGCTCACCCTCAAAACGGAGCAGGAAGAATATGCTCGGGAACAGATTCAGTGGACTCCGATCAAGTATTTCGACAACAAAATCGTGTGTGACCTGATTGAGCAAATTCGACCGCCAGGCATCTTCTCGGCGCTGAAGGACGCGACCAAGACCGCCCACGCTGATCCCGCTGCATGTGACCGCACATTCATGCAAAGCATCAATGGCATGTCGAACCCCCATCTCACGCCTCGCCAGAGCAATTTCATTGTCAAGCATTATGCGGGCGACGTGGCTTACACGGTTGACGGAATTACCGACAAGAACAAGGACCAGCTGCTCAAGGGTCTTCTGCAACTATTCCAGAACAGTGGCAATGACTTTGTTCACGAATTGTTCCCTCATCAGGTAGACCAAGACAATCGTAAGCAGCCGCCCTCAGCAGGCGACCGTATTCGTACGTCCGCCAATGCTCTGGTGGAGACCTTGATGAAGTGCCAGCCATCCTACATCCGCACAATCAAGCCCAACGAGAACAAGTCGCCAACCGAGTACAACAGTCCCAACGTCCTTCATCAAATAAAGTATCTCGGTCTTCAGGAAAACGTACGTATCCGACGTGCGGGCTTTGCATACCGCCAGGACTTTGACAAATTTGTCGATCGATTTTTCCTCTTGTCCCCTGCGACGTCGTACGCGGGAGAGTATACCTGGGACGGCACAACTGAGGCCGCGGTGAAACAGATCCTCAAAGACACGAGCATACCTAAAGAGGAGTGGCAGATGGGTGTCACAAAGGCATTCGTCAAAAGCCCAGAGACACTGTTCGCCCTCGAACACATGCGTGACCGTTACTGGCACAACATGGCCACCAGGATCCAAAGGATGTGGAGGGCATACCTCGCCTATCGCGCGGAATCTGCTACCAGGATACAGCGTTTCTGGCGCAAGAAACGCACGGGCGCCGAGTTTCTCCAGTTGAGGGACCAGGGCCATGGTGTTCTGCAAGGGCGCAAGGAACGGCGTCGCATGAGTTTGCTCGGGTCAAGGAGGTTCCTTGGCGACTATCTAGGTGTCAACGCCTCCAGCGGGTTTGGTGCGCAGATTCGCAATGCTGCGGGCATCGGACACAACGAGCGGGTTGTCTTTTCTTGCCGTGCGGAGCTTCTCGAGGCCAAGTTCGGTCGGTCCAGCAAGCCCAGCCCTCGCATCATTGTTGTCACCAACAGCAAGTTCTACATTGTCGTACAAGCTCTGGTGAATGGCCAGCCATCCATCTCAATTGAGAAGAGTGTGCCTCTTGGCGCCATTAAATATGTCGGGGCCTCCACGGCGCAGGACGACTGGTTCTCGCTAGGGATCGGATCTCAGCAAGAAGCCGACCCCCTCATGAACTGTGTGTTCAAGACGGAACTTTTCACGCAGATGCAGCGCGTCATGCCCGGGGGGTGCAACCTAAAGATATCCGACATGATCGAATATGCGAAAAAGCCCGGAAAGATGCAGCAAGTCAAAGTGCTTAAGGACTCGCAGCAGCAGGCTGATTACTACAAGAGTGGTGCCGTTCACACACGAGCGGGCGAGTCACCTCAGTCAGCTTCGAAGCCGACACCCAAGGGCAAGCCTGTGCCCCCGAAACCCATCACCCGCGGGAAGCTCATCAGGCCTGGAGGTCCGAACGGAAGGCCGTCCAGACTCACGGGCAACAGAACTGCCAAGCCCAGGCCTGGTGCCGGTGCTGGTGCGAGGACAGTGCCACAGCCACCCACCGCTGTCAGCCAAGCCTCTAGCACGCCAGCATCGGCTCCCGTCCCAACTCTGGTGCCGCGCCCCGTCCCTACACCGGCTGCAAACCAGGTCAACAATACTGCTTCACTCCCCAATCATACACGCAACCAGGGCAGCAGCGCCAGCGCGGCCACAAGGGCGCCGCCTCCTCCACCGCCAGCGGCTCCGGCCGCCCCGCCCAAGATCATGGCCAAGGTCCTGTACGATTTCGCGGGCCAAAGAGAGAACGAGCTGTCCATCAGCAAGGGCGACACCATTGAGATCGTCCAGAAGGAAAGCAATGGTACGTGCGTGCCCGTATGCAAGACGAATGTTTACTAATTTTATACTTCAGGATGGTGGCTCGGCAAGACGACAGCTGGACAAGCATGGGTCCCCGCTGCCTATGTCGAGGAGCTTGCTCCAGTAGCGCCGGCCAAGTCGAAACCAGCTCCCCCAGCTCCCCCAGCCAAGCGTCCGGCTGCGGCTCGAAAGCCCGCCGATCTTCAGCAGCGCGACTCGGGCATGAGTTTGAATGGAGCCAGCAATGCCAGCTCCGACAACAGCCGAAGCTCTACGCCTCAGCCGAGCCTGGGAGGGAGTCTGGCTGATGCCCTACTTGCCAGAAAGAACGCGATGCAGAGACAGCAGAACAACGACGATGATGATTGGTAGATGTTGTGTATATTCAAATACAGCTTTTAGCGTGTTCGATAGGGTTTTTTTTTGATATGCAAACGTACTATTGTGCTGCCGTGTGCAAGTTGCTTGGTCAGCTGTGCCCGCGGTCGACTCACGTTCCGACAAGTCATAGACATTAAGCGCGTGGGTTGATGGCAATTTTTGAATGCAATCTCGTTACTATCAATATCATTGCTCGTCGGTCTGGTGGTGTGCTTTACGCCGCCTAAGCAATTCTCCGAGGGGTACATCGTCATCCAGCCCTTCCTCGGCGTCTTCGTCTACACCGTAATCTCGTAAGCGCTCGCCGTCCGAGTTCGTCCAACCGGAAGCTCCATCGGCAGCATAGGGCACATCGTCTAGACCATCCCCGCTGTCATCATCTACCTCGTCCTCTTCCAACTCCGCAACAATCGCCTTCTTCCGCCGCCTGTCGGCCTCCTGTCGTTCCCGGAAAGCCTCCTTTCTGGCTTCCGCACTCTGACCGACCTCCCTCAGCTCGGCGGCAAAGTCTCGCCTGCCGGCCGGCCACTGACGAGTAGCTCGTCTGATTTTCTCGGGGTCCGGGGGCGGCCACATGCCTGTCTGGCGATTGAAACCATTCTCTTTCCACTCCCATCCCGCCCCTCGCTCATTCTTTCCCACCGCAGGGTTGCTGGCAAAGGGGGAGAACCACCATAATACGTTACTGGTGCCCATGGCCTGGTTCATATTGTTGAAGAAGCCTATGTCATAGGGAAACTCGATCTTTTCGAAACGGTACTCCTCGCCATCCGGGCCGGTGACGTCCCACCAATCCCGGCCTCCTCGCTCAGCAATGGTCTCGTGGCGATCCTGCTCCCAGCCCTCGATCATGGTCTGATTAAATACCAAGCTCTTCAACGTTGTGAACAGCATGATGCCCAACGCAACCGTAACAACAAAGTGGACGAGCGAGATGATCGCCAGTGCTACTAACGCGGAGGGGCTTGGACCCAAGTACGCCGGCATATGACGATTTTCCCACAACGAGTAGAATCTCTGCCACAACAGGCGTCCCAGCATCCACAACGCCAGATTGGTGTAGACAAGAAAGCGCAGGAAATGCGGAAATGTTGTCATTGACACGCAGTTCCTTGTCCAGGGGCAGTGATGGTCCATCTTGGGCACGCATCTCTCACAGTGCCGGCAGTGGTGGGCTCTCGGTGGTTTGGGAGCTTCGCATTTTTTGCACCAGCGCTTCTTTTCGTTGACTTCAATGACCGCATCTTGGAAGACATATCGCCCGGGATCGACCGTCACAGCTTTGTAATATGTGTAATAGAGGGTCGTGAGGAGGATATTGAAAGAAACAGTTTCCTGTGTCGTGGGAGGGCCGGGTTCCAGCGTCGTGGAGTATCGGAATACAAATTGAGAAAAATATCCCAAAAAGGCTATCAACAAACAGACACCTGGGACAGCGATGCTCTGTATGAGAGGGGCATCGTTGAAGCCCACCATGGTAAGTTGGTGTTGTGATGCAGGACGCGCCTGTTTGGAGCTTGCTCAACTCCAGGGAAAGAAATCATCATCCGAAAGGTACCTTAGTACGGAGTACCTTATCTACCTTCCAGGTACTACCTTAGCGTTACAGGGTATGTGCCTCAGCATTTAGGGGTCCTTCAGGGGGCCAAACAGCGCCGCATTCGCTGACGTAACGCTCAATCTCGAATTTCCCCTGGCCTAGCATCTTCCACATCCACGTCGCGTCTTGCGATGGGTTAACTTTAAGGAGCCTTTTTAACGTTGGCTCATATTTGCATGTCCCAAGTCGCGCCATTGGCTTTTTCTAGCTCAATAGACGGGGCTGCTCACTTGCTTAGAACAACACGATGGACTAAAGCTGGCAGGCATTTTGGGTTCTTGGCAGAAACCTACCAGGCATATTGATACCCTCGGCTTCTAGCTCAGTGCCATCAATGGCTCATACTGAGGTCGTCCATGTTGCAGCAGTGGGGTTAGTGTTCTCCTTGGATTGCAATACGCACCTTGCGACTTAAACGCTGATGATCATGTAGGACGCTGCTGGCATTCTGCTTCGTTTCACATTCATTAGAACGGCATTCATTATCAGGTCCGTACATCTTGCCTGTTGGGGCCCGATCAACGCTGACGATCGCCTGCAGGCCATCCACGACTGTCCTCTGTCTTGATCTTGTTGCTTTCAGGGTCCATATGTTGGGCTGCAAGCTCCTTCGCGCACAGGCTGCCTGGGGGGTCTGGACGCTTCACAGTCGCGAAGCACTTCGCTGATGATGGCGGTTTGCTCCAGCATCCGCCAGACAAGGTCTCGCCTACTTTGACACCAAGTAGACCTCGCCGCTACTCTCTTCCCGTCCTTGTGGCATGCATTGTCTTTCGCTTGGAGCTGTTGCATCGGGTCACTTATGTTCAGCAATGTGCGACCCCTGGCGTCGAGGTATCATGACCCAAATTCCCTTGTCCCGAGGATCCAGACTAACCCTTACTCAGACATTTCTCTGCTTACTCCTGTTTTCCTATGAAGTGTTTGTCATGCGTCGCCACTACGCTATTCCGGCTCCCGCTGACCCTGATGACCCATGGAGAAGCACCTTTGATGATATTTCCGATTGGTTTACTGGGCCCCGGATGATCATGGTTTATTCTGGGGCAAGTGTTCTGATGATTGCTCTCGGGGCGTTCTACTCAGCTGGCCAAGTCACCCGATCAACCTATATCTGCTTCGAGCCGTTGGACAGCCATTCGTGGACACTGGCGCTACAGCTGATCTCCCTGATCCTCGATGCCATGATCATCGTTCTCCTTTGGAGGGTCATGGCATGGACGAGGACCATCAAACTACGCCTGTCAACCCTCGGCGTAGTTCTAATCGCGTCTTCCGTATCAACGGGGCTTGTCGGGGCCGGTAGCGCTGCCTTTGAAGTCACCTCCCACTTCAGTCTGGCCATCGGCTCCGTCTACAGTTTCGATATATTGGTCGACAGTATTGCTTTCGCTCTTCTTGCCATTTTTGCGGCAGCTTGGATCTGCGAGACATCACCGCTGCTGCCATCCAGCACCGTTACTGTGCTGGTCGGCACATTGAACTTCTGGACAAGTGCGGCAACATTTGGTGACTGGGTGCACACGCAGCGCTACGCAATCCTTATTCCGGGATGGTGCACTTTATTGAGCTTCGGATTCTTTTTGCGCTTTCAGGAGGTGAAGAGCGTCGTTTGGATGCCGCGCAGTCCGCTTGCTTTCCTGCTAGTAATGCTGGGCATTGCTATCACCATGCGCCAAGGTATGAAGGGCACGCCTTCATACCCAAGGCATCCAATCAGCGATCTGATCTACAAGGCCAACATTGAGCACGATAGATGGGTCACTAAAGCTACCTCTAGCGACACCGTGAAGGTGGGTGCCAAAAATTATGAGGAGCTCCATGGAGGCAAGGTGGCGCCTCCCAACTTTGACAAGTGGTATGAATACGCCCACGGATCGATTGTTATCGATTCTTTTGATCAGATTGACGCAGACCTTCAACCCTTCTGGAACTACCCGCCTTCCGTTCTTAGGGATCGAGCCGAAGCTATAATTCAGGGGCCCGGCATTGGAGCCATCCGCCTCAAGGATGGTCTGGCCAGCCACAGCGACTCAGGGGCGGAGGCCAGCGACGCCGATTTGCAGCAACTCACAGCCATGATAAACAAGTTTGCAAAGAACTTGCCCGACATGGTTCTTCCCATCAATCTTGGCAGCGCCCCTCGAGTACTGCCGCCGTGGGAGGAGACAACAGGTCACTACGACGCGACATTGGGCGGTATGGTAGACCCGATGACAAAGAGGTCGCCCGTTGCGGTCAATGACACAGAAAACTCCGTCGATCTACGATCACCAGCACAAGCATTGCCTGCTACTGCTGAAACACCGGGCATTTCATCGAATGAATACCGGGAGATGCTTCTGGGTGCCTGTCCGCCCAGCTCTCGCAGCAGGACACAACCTCAATGGGACGCATCGCGTTTCTGCGTACACTGTATTCGTCGGCACTCGAAGCATGGTTTCCTCACCAAATGGGACAGGTCACTTCAAACATGTGCCCAGCCCGATCTCCGGAATCTGCATGATCTCTACATGACGAGCCCGATCTCAGAACCCATCCGGAAGCTCGTGCCACTGTTTAGCCCATTCAAGGTGGATGTTTACAGTGACATCTTGGTCCCGCTTCCGCGAGCAACGCTGGGCGGCGACCCGGATATGCCATGGACCTTTAAGCGAAGATACGATTCGCTGTATTGGAAAGGGATGGTAGGACAGCGGGACACCAATCCACAAGCCTTGCGAGGTAGTCAGAAGTATAGGCTCCTTCATCTCTTCCTCAGCCCCAACAGTCGGGACAAGGTTACCCTGCTGCTACCCAGGAACAAAGATCAGACAAGTTTTGGCTATGAGCCAACATCGGCTGCACAGGCGGGCAGTGTGGCGCCCTTTGACATTGGTATTGGAGGCTTCTCCGACTGCAACAGCACGCACTGCGATGTTGTAAAGACTGCATTTGGCGCCAGAGAGGAGACACAAGAGCCGCTCGAATATCGCTACGTGCTCCTGCTGGACGAGGATGGTGCACCGCCAAGTCAGCTCATGCGGACGATTGGCTCGGGCAGTGTCCCCTTTGTGTCGACCATTTTCCGTTCGTGGTACACCGAGCGACTGCAGCCTTACTTGCATTTCGTGCCGGTCGATCCACGTTTCCACGCGCTGCACTCCACGTACCTATATTTCACGGGGACGGAGAAGCGAGTTGGTATCAACGGCAGAGATACCATGATGAAGGCACGCGACGATGATGGCGAATATATCGCCAAACAGGGACGCAAGTGGGTAGAACAGGCTTTGACCGATAAGGACATGGAAGTGTATCTGTTTCGACTGCTCCTCGAATGGGGACGGCTCATTGATGACGAGAGAGATACCATCGGGTATCAAAAGGACGACCAAGGCGTGTACAATAACGTTGGGTGGACAACGCAGGGGAGCGTATCTTGAGTTCCAGAAAGGGAATATCGCACAGATCGTTGTACAACATGCTGGGGTTATTCATTGGGTTCCACCGCTGTAGATTGGGTTTATGGCGCGGTATCTACAAAGAAGGGGGAAAATACGGCGCTAGAAGCGTGAAATTATAGCAATGATGCCAATGCCAGAGTCTCGACATGGCCGGGCTGTATCGAGAAGCCTGGCCGCGAACCGTCCACCTAGAGAAGCTGCAAAGGTCCGTTTTGACGCAGTACCAGGATGTGGCTGCAGCCTGCAGGAGCAGCCTTTCTCTAACGAGGTCTCGACCATGTGTGGTGTCCATCGATATTCTGATACTGATGCCGTAGCTGCAAGCTGACGAACCGTTGCAGTGATTCATCTGTGTACGCTTGGTACTGTAGAGATCGCAACACGACATGGCCCGCAACGACGTCGTTGTCACGTGCCACTCGGTGTTGGCGCCATGCGCGATGAGGTCGACATATGTCAGCGATGGATGGGGAGACCTTGTCGACTGCAAAGGTTGACAGCCAAGAGTGTGCTAATAAAGGGGAGAGAAATGCAGGTGATTCAGTTGAGGGAGATACTTGACATGCGGGTCACTCACCGAAAAGTTGCTGTCCCCGGTAAGGTGATCAGCAGACGGAAGGACCCGCACAGCTGCGCTCAAGCCTCAAGGTGACAAGGTCAAGGCCGGTCAGTAGGTCGCCAGAACAGCCGAGACGACTGATGGAAGCGCGTGTCGCGCCTCGGGACTCCTCTTGGCATCGGCTGGAACCACCAATGGACATTGCAGTCAGCCGGTCACGACGGCACAAACAAGTTGATTGGGAAGCCTTATGAAAGACTGAAATCCGCCCCTGCCTCACTCGTGCTGGCTCGGATATTGTTGGCTTTCTCGCTGACGTGTGGACGCTCACCAGCAGAAGACTCGAACAATCTCCGGCAAGCAATATTAGATCCATCTCGTGATCCTTCTGGGTCCTCCGCATTGCGCACCTCCCGGAGGTCTGCCATGTTGTAAGTACTAGTTAGGGTAGTCAGTGGGTACCGGTAGGTTTTAATCAATCATGTGCTTGCCAACTAAGCAGGCAACTTCCCCCCACGGGTTTCTCCCGTCGGTCCGTCTTTCGCTTTTACCGTAACCTTGACAGAACCTTCTCTGTTCAGACCTTCCTCATGCGCCTCAATCAGAAGCGGGATGGGATTCTTTGTACAACCAGGGGCTCACACCGCAGGCCTCCAGCCGGTTCCCTCATTCTAATTGCTCCACACCCTCCGAATGGCTGATTCAGGGAGCAACCTCATAGACGGCAGTCAGTATCGTGATGTTGTATGATACCTAGGGTAAGCATCACGGAAGACGGATGCGTGAATTTTAGACGGACAAACCCCGCGTTCCACTCGCTATTTCCCCACTCCCCTCCTGCAGTGCAGAAAGTCGAATCCCTCGCTGCGGCTTCGACAAAGGTCTCCATCCATGGATGGCTCATCGCGGAGAAGGTCGGGCAAGCCAGCGCAGAACTCTCGGTGAAGACAATGTTGCACCGGAGTGCACTTGCCCCAAGACATACTTACCAAAGACGACCGCGCTAAGCTTTCTAGCTACGTGCTTACCTAATTTCCATTCAGCCTTATCCAACCAGGGGGGAAGTTATGATGCGTCACCTCACCAGCCACGATAGGATCTATATGTCGGTGGCAAAATCTGCGCGGGCTCGTGAGATCTAATGATTTTACGACGTGATCTGCATGACAACTTCGGCCTCACCGTCATATGAAGCACTCGTCCGCAATAGGTGCATACAGGCCCTCGCTAATGCCTGACACTGACGCGAGCCAAGCTCACTTTAGCCATATCGACGACACAGGTCTGGCTAGCCATGTCACCAGGCACCGATCCTTGATCCCTGTGCCCGATCACAGCCACAGCTGCCACACGAGTCTTCACTGCACGTAGCGGACCTTTATTTCACTGTCAACACTCGGAGATAATAATGAGAAGCGCCTCGAGCGGGCATGTGACAAAGTCAACTAACGAGCACACGCGAGATCTTCGCCTCGAGAACTCATGCGACGATAGCCAATTCGTGGAAGTTCAGCCAGCCATCGAGTGAGACTGGCATGCGCAGGTCTCACCACATAATGCATGCTTCGAGGCACTCTCGCCTCTTTATCCCACTACGCGCATGGGAAGCGCGTCGCTAACGGCTCGAACGTCCCAAACGTATCATTGCTTGCTCGGTCACTCGGTCGCTTTGCGCCCACACGTAAACCCCCACCTCTACTGCATGTGTGTCAGTGCGTGTCAACTTATTAAGCCGCTGGTCGATCTATAGTAGAGCTGCCTCATGAAATTGATCATTACTACCAGGTACCCTACGTTAGCTTTTGCGAGCCTTTCCTTATTCTGTGTAGCATCCCCACTGGCCGTGACCTCGGAGCTGGCTGACTACCATAGCGTCAAGAGTCAGAGTATTACCGCAACGGTATTCGTCCCGTGGTCGGCTTAACAGGCTCACCGGCAAGGTCGTCGGCACAATGGATTGTCGCCGTCAAATTGTCAACCGAGATGCCCCACCCTGCGGATGCTGTGAGCCTGTGACCAGCAGCATCCATTATCATCGCTCTGCTGTGGTCGTCTGGACGCACTTGCATTCGTGTCTCACGGCGTTCTTCTGTAGGCTTGTCTGAGCACTTTCAGTTATATGCATGAGGCTCCTCGTGGTATCGCGTCATCACTATCCTACCTAAGATAGTCAGTGAGCATTGCGAACTATTTCGCCCCAATTGCCCTGGGATGGATTGGAAGCGACATGTTATGCCCGCAAGTCACCCCTCAGTGGGGCCACGAGGTACATGCACGCAGCTTGCGAGACTGCCCAGTCTCTCTCACACGACCGGGACTAATAAATTACCTACCATTGTATCGACAACCACCCCCGAGCTCGTTTCTCACGATCCTGGCGCAGTGCACTTGGCCATTGGGACCCAGTTTGCGCAGACAAGAGACGGAACCCTGCAGAGAGCGACTCAGGTGAAGCCACTAGTGACTCGAGCGTAAACATCAAAGGAAGAGAGAGTAGGAAGAGAAATTCACCCGCCGAGAAAAACTGCACTGCGATTGGGAGCCTGCGGGTTTGCAGCACCAGAGCGTAAGGTACCTTTATATTATCCCGAAATCGCGCTGTCAACCGGGCCTACCACGCAGGCTCCGTCACCGGCTGCGCTCGCATCGGTCGACGGTCGACCACACAGACACCAACGCGGGCAAGCAATGTGCAGGGTCCCCATCCACGCGACCCTAGTTTCGTCAAGCACAGCTACCTGACTTGACTTGAAGGTTGTTGCACCCCCCGGCGGCTGGACTGCTATCTGCTATTACTCGCTTGCCTGCGTGCCTTAGCTGACTTTACATCATCCCAGGCGAGAAGCCTCCGCATCGTTCCTCCCCTCCAGCCTCCAGTCCTCGCGCTGCTCAACCTCACACCTGATCTTGTCTCACCTCACTCTGGGTCTATGTTCTTCTCTCTATATTCTATCGTCAGTCAGTTCATACGCCATATCTCGACAGCACGGGGCTCAGACGTAGCACTGGGGACGCACGTCAAGTTTCCTACACTTGACAACTGCGTGCTTGTTTCGAACACGATCGACCTCGGCTAAGCCCGTTGCATATAGCCTCTGCATCAACCAGTGTGCTGGTGTCCCGCTCCTTAGTCTGTATGCGCCACGCCAACAATGAGATAGAGCACGGTGGACGGCTTTGAGGTGCAGAGTTTACGAATATCTCGACGAACAGCGTCAGGCCCAATTATATCGACGCCAGGCAGCGCATCGCGGGAGCTCGAGGTGAATCGAGTGCTCTGGCAAGTTCAGGGTCCTCCAGCACGGCCATGAGCGCCGCTCCTAGCTTGGAAGATACTCCGCCAGTATCTAAGTCCCCGTCTCTGGTTGCCACAACTTCACCTGCGCGGACGCCAGCTGCTGGGCCACCTTCGGCCTCGTCGCCGGATCCAGCCACGGCACAGGCAGCAACTTCGACCCTGCCTCCTGTGACTGCTACGTTCTCCCCACTACCGTCCGTTGTCGCAACATCGGCGCAGTCGCTAGCAGCCCTCGCCACGCATCACCAGCAGCAGCATCATGAGAAGCAACATCACCAGCAGCCGCCACACCAACGCCATGCTGAACCGCCCACGATTCTCCCGCGTCCCGGCGAGCTATCACCCGCTAGACATGTGACGCCCGCTCCGACCACAGTCCACGCAGGGCCCGCCAGCGTCCACACGCCACCAGCACCTTACTACGTACAGGCTACGTCGCCGCCGCCCCCGAGGCAGACCACGAGCTCCTCCGCATCTACTCAGGCCACCAGCGCCACAATTGGTTCCGCAGAGACCAACAACACATCGTACAGTGCCGACACCTCTCCTACCTTGCACCAATCTATCTTCTCCCTCAAGGATGGCTCCGACGTCTCTAACAACCGGCGAACCAGCAGGAGACGTACCGGACCACTTTCCCAACAGAGCCGCGAAAAGGCCGCCCTAATCCGAAAGCTCGGCGCTTGCAAAGACTGTCGACGACGACGCGTTGCCGTGAGTAATCAGTATCTTGCCATCACTGCCTGTCTAGTAACGTGCTTATTTGCTCCCTCGAAAGTGTCAACCGGCCCACTACAATCTGACGTGGGAGGATCTCTACCGAAGATTCAACCGGTCCAGTAGCCCTAACGTCCAGGATATCGCGCCATCGACGTCTGGCGAGAGGCCACAGAGCCCATTGCAGGCCCATGAGGGTGCGGTCCCGGCCATGTTAGCACACGAACCCCAGGAGATGGACATTGATACGCCCCATCACGCCAGCACCAGCATGGGTCGTTCTCCTCTCAGCGATGCCCGCAACAGGACGCCCCTCCCCTCAGGGCCGCGCCTGGAAAAGTCACTGTCACTTCCACGGATCGAGAACCTCAAGAACGAGCTCCAGTCGCACGCGGCCCGGATGCTCTCCACAGCGAGCCGGAGCCGGTATACTTCAGTCCACGCGCTGCTGTTGCATTGGCAGGATGATGACAACGCAGCCGCTGTCGGAGGCGCTGTGAGAAATTTGGCGCAAGTCCTTGAACACACTTATCGTTACTCTGTGAAAGTGAAGCCGATCCCCTCGTCAAGCGATGGCTCGAGAAGCGCGTGGAGATGGCTCTCACGAGCATTGAATGAGTTCTGTGAGCAAACCGACCAGCGGGATGTGCTGAAGATTGTCTACTACGCAGGCCATACCTATCTCGAGGGAGAGACGGTCTTGTCAAGGTGAGTAGCGACTGTTTTTGCTGGAGCTGCGCCAATGCAAGATGTTGGACGCTGACTGGCACATAGCTCGAAGGACCTTGCGACCGCCACAACAGTGCGATGGAATGGATTGCAGCAAATTCTCGAAGTTGCGTCAGCGGATACTTTGGTGGTGATGGACGCTGCGTACTTCCCCTCGTCCAAATTAGATCGCAGAACGGGCGTGCTGGAGCTCATTGCGGCTGCAATGTCAGAGGACCACCACGAGGCCCTGGACACGACCGCGTTCACCGTCGCTCTGACAGAGTTGCTCCGAGCGAGGGCGGGCAAGGAGAGCCCGCTAACAGCAGCAGAGGCGCACTCGATCCTCTTCTCCAGCTACAGTCGGATGGTGCGGGATCGCGTGCCAGAGCACGAGGTTGTGACTCGGTTTCCCGCCCCGCTGCACATCATGGCTTCCGGAAATCCACGCCTGCCCTCGATCTACCTGATACCTACAGAACAGAGCACCGTGTCACGAAGCACTGTACACGACGATTGTCCGCTGCTGCACATGTCGGTTCGCCTCGCCGACGATAATGTGGACTTGGATGCCTGGAACGAGTGGCTACGACTGATGCCAGACAGCGTTCGGGACGTCAAGGTGGAAGGACCCTACAGATCTCACAGATGACCCCACGCAGTGGCGACATCTCTCTTCATTGCGCGGATGCATGGGTGGCTCTTTTATAGCAAGCGAATTGAATATTGCATGTGCCAGGCGAGACGTGAGCTTCTCGGCTGCTCAACGCGTTGGAGAGATCTTGTATAGCAACTGGAGATGGACTCAGGTGCCATTGGGCATAAAATAAATACCCACAAAGAAGAACTTGTCATGTTGCTGTGATTGACGAGCTCGAAAGTTGATCATCAAGGATTCTACAACCATGGAAACAATTGGACTGATGAGGCGGTGAGACCTTTGACGAAAGACGTCGGTGGCCACGGTCGATCTGCCCATTGTGGGGTCAACACACTGTTGCCCAGCAACCGCCAAAACACGCTTCCTTCCCTTCTCTCATCACAAACCCACCCGGACCCTGATCCACGATCATTCCTCCACACACTAACACGTCAAACAAAGACATACTAACCGCGTCGCAATCGTCATGTTCAGACTGTGTCTGGTTTCTTCTGGCGTTTTTGTGATTTCTTAAGTGAATTTCGCCTTTTCATCGCGTCAACCTTCTCGCAGCATACGGACTGTCACGTTACAACACCATGGATTCACCACCCAGACGAATAACGCGTGCAAGAGCTGCCAAAACCACAGGTCCTCGGACGACTAAGATCGTGACCGCTGCGGCCCAAGCCAGAACCAAATCGACACCCACCGCCTCCACTTGCACGAAGACCACGGCTGCTAAGCGCAAAACAAGAGCTGACGACTCGGAGGACGAGGAGGACCCTGTTCACGACCGGATACCAGCCCCGCGAAAAGCGACGCGTGGACGACCCAAGAAGAGGGACGACACTCAGGCAGCCAGCACGGCTTCCGTTGCAAAGCCAACTCGAGGACGGCCAGCAAAGAAGCAGGCGACAGACGCGGCCAAAGCTGAGGCGGCCGAGGCTGCAAAACCAACACGAGGCCGCCCCAAGAAGTCTACACAACCAGCCAACGCCGAGACAGCTGCACCCGAGCCACCGAAGAAGGTGACGCGTGCCCGCGGGACGGCGGCTCCCACAGCAACAACCAAGCCAGGAATTAAAAAGACGGTCAAGTTCGAGGAACCTGACAAGGAGAACGTTGAACCCGTCAAACGGAAGGAGCCTGCAGCAACTGGCCTCCGAGGCAAACCTGCGCGACGCGGGGGCGCGACAGCTGCACGCGCGACGCGTAAAGAAGCCACCCCAGCACCCACCGCCTCGGATATCCGGAAGAAGCCACTGAGCCCTAGAAAGGTGACACAGATGCCTGTTTCACGAGACGAAGAGTCCGAGGACGAGCTCGCAGGGTTCGAGCGTACGCCAATACCGCCTATGAGAAAGAGTCCCGTCAAGCCACCGACCAGTGTCATGGCGCAGGCAAAGGAGCCTCCCTCCGAGGGCCTCGACGAGGACGCCACGATCACAGTCAACGCAGCCATTCTGAACCCACCAAACTTGGTTACAACCACTCTTACCTCTCCAGCCAGGCGAATCCCCCCTTCGGCCCAAAAGGAAACAATGAAGTCTCCAGCCCGCAAAATCGGCGCTGTACCCTTCCCTGGCTCCGCGATAAAATCGGCCCAACAAAGTCACGGCACAGTTGGACCTACCTCCCCGACCAAGGGTTCATTACTCCTGTCGGCCGCAAAGAGACCACTATCGCCCGTCAAGAACACCAACTACTCGTCGCCGACCAAGTCCAGCAGCACTCCTTCTGCGGCATACAAATCCTCAATGCTGCAAACACCGGCCAAGCGGGGTATTTCGGGACTCAAGCCAGTGATGGAAAGTGCTTCCAGGAAGGATGACCTGCTGCAGCGCGGATCACCTGCGATGAAGCCACTGGCTTCGACACCCGGGCCAGTCGGTTCGCGCCGCCCATCGGAGAAACTTCTTCTCGAGGAATACGAGCCATCGGATGAGAGTGACCAGGATGGGGAGAGAGATGAGGAGACTTTCACCGCCCCTATCGAGAAGGTGAAATTCCCCGGGCGCCTCTCGGCGGTCATGCCACGGGAGGCTGACCCCGATCCCTCGCTGGCAGAGGAAGAAGATGAGGCTCAGCAGGTTCAGACTGATGACCTGATTGAAGATGTACCGCTGCTTCAAGAAGAGCTCGACACTGTCGAAGATGAAGAGGCTGGCGATACCCATCCAGATCCCGCGACAGAGCCCGTAGACGAGGAACAGGACGCCGGCGCTAGAGTGGAAGAGCCAACCAAGTCTGAGGCTGCGGCAGAAGTGTCACAGCCTGAGGATTCTGAGAAGCCCGAGGTGGCCGCCCCGCAAACTGGACATGACGGAGATGCCATGTTCCAACTCGACTCCCGCGCTCTGCCAACAAATGAGGATTTCGACGCAGAGTCCGACAGTGAGCTGATGTCGCCTGCGCGAGAGACTGGCGACACACCGACTGCCAAACTGGCACAGGCTGGTCACTCTCGGCGCTCAACGATAGGCTTAACGAGTCTTGCCGAGCAGTGTGGGCAGTGGTCGGCGGCGGCGAGTCCCACCAAGAAGACTGCCAGCCGGCAGAGCACCCAAGCGCCAGAAGAGCAGGCCGTCAATTCCCCCGCAGCAGGACCTACCCCAGCATCAGCGCATTTCTTTGAGGATGAGATGACTGTCCGTCCAGATTTTGGGGCGACCGTGCCCCAGCAGCCTCAGTCTGAGCCCGGACCTGAGGGCGAGCTGATGGATCTTGACGAGCCATTCAATGACGTCGCCACTGAGCCGGAAGACCTGGAGCTAGCGAAAGAGGCAGAGAGCATGGTGGGTGCCAGCTCACCGAGGATGAAGCAGGGCTTTGAGATGGAAGTCGGGGGACAGGATGACACGCTGTCCGACGCGAGCCAGGAATATGGGGACGAGAACGAAGTCCCTGTGGACCCTGCCATGGCGGCAGCTTCAGCGGCACCCGTCACGCCCGTTCGCCCGGAGAAGCACACCTTCTTCCACACGACGACCAAAGTGCCTCTCAAGGCGTCGGAGGAGTCCACGCCCAGCATTCTCCAGAAGCGCAGCTTCACTGCACCTCGTGTGACCGCACAAAGGTCGAGCATGCCAGAAGTGGATGCCGATTCTAACCTGACACCGAGCAAGAAGCGGACGAGTCTCGGCCCCGCGACCCCCGTCAGGGGGATCATGGCTCCCGAGTTCTTCACACCCACAGTGGCCCGTGCCGGCACTGATCCCCATCTGCTCAAAGGTGCTGTGGTATTTGTGGATGTACACACTAGTGAGGGCGCCGATGCTAGTGGCATCTTCGTGGAGCTTCTCACGCAGATGGGCGCCCGCTGCCGCAAGCACTGGGACTGGAATCCGGATGGTTCGTCGAACAACGAATGCACGTCACACAAGATTGGGATCACACACGTTGTCTTCAAAGACGGTGGGAAGCGGACGCTGGAGAAGGTGCGCAGGACCAAAGGTCTCGTTCAATGCGTCGGCGTGAGCTGGGTTCTCGAGTAAGTTTGCCTGGTCTGTGTCCTGGAACGTAGTGTCGGTTGCTAACATTTCATGCGTAGCTGCGAGAGAGACAACACCTGGCTCGACGAGCGCAGCTATCTTGCCGACACGGGGCTCGTCCCACGAGGTGGCGCGCGTCGGAGAAGAAGCATGGAGCCTAGGGCCTTAGCGAACATGAACGGCACGCTCGTTGACAATGGTTCGACATCGAAGGGCACGAGTCCTCGCACGCCGTCGCCCTCGAAGCGACGGGAGAGCACGCAGTGGATGCACACACCCTCTGACCAGGGATTGGAGGGAGAGCAGGACGACATTGAATGGTCGAAGTTCATCTTGACGCCTGTGCCGAAGACACCTGCGCCTGACGCTGTGGCGAGGGCCGCTGCTGCGCTGGCGGCAGACGACTCGATAACGGAGAGCGACGACGACGCGTCATGTGGATCGCCAATGGACCACGAAGCATTGTTGATGAGAACGTGCCCTCCCAAGACGAGGCCATTGCGGGATCTCACTGGCAGCAGTCCTCTGAAGAACATGCTGGACGAGCACGCGATGCAGCGGCTCATGGCGGCGAGGCGCAGGAGCATGCAGTACGCTCCCAAAATAGGGAGCCCATTGGCCAAGGCTTGGAAGTAGAGATGCCGTGACTACTTAGGTTTTGGTTCTTCTTGCATCATGGCACGCGTCGCGCCATATCATTCGCACCAGGTCAGCTTAATAGCGTTTGGAGTATTCTGTCGGTTTTATTATTTTGGCGAGCCTTCTGGGAACATGTCCAGGGTAATTGAATACTATAACCTCCAGCGGGCTGCGTTGATTGTGTTGTGACCAGCGTCTGTGACTCTGTGTGATTTCCCTGGACAATGCAGATATCCCTCCTCTTTCTACTTGAATCTACGCTGCGACATAGGCCCTCATGGCCTTTACGGCATCCCCGTCGTGGGCCTTGAGGAGCTCTGTAGCCTTGGGCTTGGCGAGAAGGAGCTGGTCGACGAGCAGCGAGACGTCGGCGGCGTCGACCTTGACGCTCTTCTTTGGGGCGGCGGCCGCGGTCTCGTGGGAGGCGCCGCCGCCGGCACCACCGCCGGCACCGCCCATGGCCTTGTTGACAGCGGCCTGGTCGATGTTCTGCGCGGCTTTGTCCGTATCGTTGGGAGCGGCGGCGTCGAGCGAGGCGAGGGCCGAAGCGGCCTTGCGGTCTTCGGCGGAGGAGGGCTTCTGGGACTGCTCGTCTTCAAAGTCGCCTGTTGTGGCGCCCTCGACGACGTTGGGGGGCTGAGCTTCGGTCATGTTGGGTGGAGGGAGGCTTGGTGGTTTGTGGGAGGTAGGTAGATTGGTGATTGGAGGTTGGAGTGCATGGATGGCGGAGGGGACGTGGTGGGAGTTTCAAATGGGCCAACTTAAGGTACCAATGGTCGGTTTTGGAACAGATCAGCGCGCTCGAATGGCAGCGCAGCGCTTGGCTAGATCAAGCTAAATCTCCCATCAAGATTTTACAACATAGAATACTCCAAGAGTACCTATGAACACCCATGTCAAAGTCTCTCTGTCATACTGGCATTTGACCTAGGGTAGCCCAGTTCTCTTGCGCAAGTAGCGTCATTGCCTGAAACGGCTTCCTACGGCTCGGACCTCATAAAAATTTATTCACAGTTAAGAACCGCAACGCAACGAGCCCTTCCGCGATCTAATTTGGATGCGGATCTTCACAATATTACTGCCTCCAAAAAAAACAGCGACCACGATTAACACTAGACACTATCCAATTGGCTTGCGGTGTCGGACCACAGCATAGAGTAACAAAGACCCACGTACCATCTACCACCTCCCAGGGTTGAGTCACGACCGTAACTCGGGCTTGGCCAGGTCCTTATTGTCCCCTGGATTCGTCTGCTATTGAGACGTTCACATCCAGTGTCGCCCCGGGTTCTTTCACCTCCCGAAGAATCCAACTTTCCCCAGGAGGCCAAGGCAAGAAGAACAACCCCCTACCACCAAATGTCTTCCTCCGCCTGGGAGCCCTCAACATGGCGCTCCAAGCCCATCAAGCAGGCGCCGGCCTACCCTGACCCCAAAAAGGTCACGGCCGCCTGCGACGAGCTCACCCGACTGCCGCCCATTGTCCACCCGGCCGAGATCCAGCGCCTCAAGGCGTCCCTGCGCGACGTGGCCGCCGGCAACGCCTTCCTGCTCCAGGGCGGCGACTGCGCCGAGCTCTTCTCCTACTGCGAGCAGTCGGCCATCGAGTCCAAGATCAAGCTCCTCCTGCAGATGAGCCTCGTCCTCATCTGGGGCACCGGCAAGCGCATCGTCCGCATCGGCCGCATGGCCGGCCAGTACGCCAAGCCGCGCTCCAGTCCCATGGAGACGGTCAACGGCCGGCAGATCCCCAGCTTCCGCGGCGACATCCTCAACGGCTTCCACGAGGACGAGCGCGAGCTCGACCCGCGCCGGCTCGTGCAGGCCTACCACCACTCGGCCGCGACGCTCAACTTTATCCGCGCCAGCCTGTCGTCGGGCATTGCCGACCTGCACCGTCCTCTGGACTGGGGCCTGGGCCACGTGCAGGATCCCGCGCTCAAGGAGAAGTACAGCGCCATCGCGACGAGCATCCAGCAGACGCTGCGCTTCCTCCAGGTCATCAACTCGCGCCAGACGGGTCTCGAGACGGTTGAGCTCTTCACCAGCCACGAGGGCCTCTTGCTGGAGTACGAGCAGGCCCTCACTCGGCTGCTGGAGAAGCCTGCCACGCTCACGTCGCCCGAGACGGGGGGCACCGCCTCGCCGACGGCTGAGGGCCCCGCTGCTGCTGCGCAGCCCAGGAAAGAGTACTACGACACGTCGGCGCACTTTATCTGGATCGGCGACCGCACGAGACAGATTGACCACGCCCACGTCGAGTTCTTCCGCGGCATCGCCAACCCAATCGGCGTCAAGGTCGGGCCCTCCACACCGCTCGAGGACATCCTCGACCTCCTGCGCACGCTGAACCCGGACCGGGAGCCGGGCAAGGTCACGCTCATCACGCGCTACGGCGCCACCAAGGTCCGCGACCTGCTGCCCCGGCATATCCGCGCCGTCGAGGACTCGGAGTACGAGGGCTGCGTCGTCTGGCAGTGCGACCCCATGCACGGCAACACGGTCAGCACGCCCACCGGCATCAAGACGAGAAAGTTCAACGACATTTACCGCGAGCTGCAGGAGACGCTCAAGATCCACAAGGAGCAGGGCAGCTACCTGGGCGGTGTGCACCTGGAGCTCACCGGCGACGCGGTGACCGAGTGCCTGGGCGGGAGCGAGGGTCTGGGCGAGGACGACCTCTCGACTAACTACACGTCGTTCTGCGACCCGCGGCTCAATGAGAAGCAGGCACTGGAGCTGGCTTTTTTGATTGCGGACCACCTGTCGCAGGAGGGGAAAGGGATTGCCGTGGTGTGAGAGATTGTTTGGAGAACAAGAAAGAAAAAAGTTAAAGCAAGATGGGGGCAAAGCAAATTAAAAAAAAAATGGAGGGCGTACGGTTGCGATGCAAATCTTGTGCAGCTACTCAAAGTCTACCTGTGACTGTCTCTGCCTCCCTTCATTACATGCATGGTCCCGTCTTTCTTCCCTTTCTACACCAGGTAGATGGTCTGGGCGGCCTCGAAGGCATCGCCCTTCTCCAGCGTCTGCCACTTGCTCACGCTCCCGGGCTCGACGCAGAGCATCTTCTTCCAGCCGTCCTTGGGCTCAAAGTCGCCCATGCCCTGCGCCTTGTCCACCCAGGGGTTGAAGATGACGGCGTCCTCGAGGTTGTCGCGCACGATCCGGAAGCGGGGTTTGCCGTCCTCCTCGATCACCAGCGGGTGGCCCGGCCCCTGGGCCGGGGTGTACACCCTGTCCGTCTCGCCGGCGAAAGTGACGGGCCCCGCCTGGGACTTTGTCTTGAACTGGTCGACCTTGTCGACATAGGGCGCGTCCTCGAAGCCCGTGACCGTGACCTTTTCAATGTCGTCGACCCGGAAATAGTTGTGCAGGAGGGTCTGGAACTCAAAAGGGACGTCGCCGTCGTTGGTGACGACGAGGGTCGTGTTGAGGCTGCCGCGGTCCAAGGTGACGCTGTACAGCAGGCCAAACGTGTACGGCCACTGGGCGCGGACGTCGTCGCTCAGGTTCTGCGACGAGAGGCCAAAGTCGAGCTTGACGCCCTCCTTGGCGGCCTCGCTCGTGCTCTTGCCGAGAAACTCCCACCGCGAGTTACGCGCGAACCCGTGCTGCGGCAGCTTCTCGGCGCCGTGGCCATCGCTGGTGCCGAAGACGGGGAAGACAATGGGGATACCGCCCCGTGCGGCGCCCGATCCGTCGAGCTTGGCGGCGTCGCTGAGCCAAAAGTTCTCGCGGCCGGCGGCGTCCTTCCAGGAGAGGATGGTGGCGCCGTGCAGGAGGATGTCGATGGACTCGCCCGTGGGGAGGGTGGCCGTCAGGCGCGCGTTGGAGTCGGTGAGTGTCACCTGGGGCTGCGGCGGGAGGCCTGGTGTCGTGGCGAGGGCTGTTGGTTTCCTGGCGCGCTCCATGGTCAAGTTTCTTGTAATGTTGGTGGGGGATCTGAACGTGCTTGCGTGATGCGGGCGGGGTATCTGTATATGAGTGGTGTCCGTGTGTAGTCGTGAATGAATCGAGGCTGGTCGTACAGGGCAGTCGCTGGTGATGCAGATGGTAGTACAGAAGACGTTGGCAAGTCGATGTCGGATGCTGGAGCTGGACGAGTGATGTAGAGTCGAGGTTGGTAGAGCTCAGCTGCTGTTGAGATGTGGGGGGAAGGCAGGATGGGGATGGCGGGGCAGTTGCTTCTTTACAACGACAATGAGGGGCTCCCTCGGACCCTCAACTCGCGAGAGGGAAGGCGCTGACCGTGCTCTGATCCCCGACTGGAACAACTGGCGTGGCAAGGCAAGAGCAGGTGGCCGTGCCAGTACGACGTACTGCCTTGGGCCCTTGATGGCTGTTTTCTAGGCAACACTAGCTTCACCTGAAACAGGCGCGGGGCGGCTCGCTTCGCTTCGACACGACAAATGCATCATGTAGGGCATTTTGGCGTCGGCCATCACAATGACTGAAACTACAATGCAGCGAAAATAAACAAATGCAGATTTGGACATCGTATTCATTCATTCTAATAACGAATCATAGCAAGGGTATCTATCTCGACGTCTTTATACACAACAATGTGTGGCTAGCGTCTACTCTCTGTTCGATGCACGCGCGTGCGGCGTGCCTGTCAGACGGGGGCACCTCTATCAGCGCAAGACGCCCGCGTCCTCAGAGCTGCCGTTGCCATGGGAGCCGGGCGCCTTCTCAAACCCCTCGACGTCCATCAGCAGCTCGCCGTCCTTGCCGTAGCGCCGAGGCTCCTCCCTGGCGACCTTGACGACGTCAAAGGCGCCCTTGAAGCCGGAGACCTTTTGGAAGATGCCGTCCATCTCCTCGAGGGAGCGGTAGGCGGTCTCGGGGAAGAAGAAGTAGACAGAGGGGACCATGGCGGCGTTGATAGCGGCGAAGATGATGTAGGTCTGGTACTCAATGGTGTCAAAAGCGACGGGGGTGATCATGACGACCATAAAGTTGAAGATCCAGTTGGACGAGGTGGAGAGGGCGTTGGCGGGTGCGCGGGTGCGCAGGGGCGTGATCTCAGCCGGGTACAGCCAGGTCATGCCCAGCCAGCCAATGGCGAAGAAGGTGTTGAAGACAAAGAGGAAGACGATGCCGGCAATCTGGAAGCCCAGCTTGTCGGTGACCGAGTTGACGCCGGCGAGGATAGCCATGGTCGCGGCCTGGCCGGCGGCACCAAACAGCATGAGCTTGCGGCGGCCGACGCGCTCGACGAGGAAGACTGCGGGCCAGGATGCGAGGAAGTACTCGGTGCCGTTGAGAGCGGCGAGCAGGCGGGAGAGGGTAGGGCCCATGCCGATTCGGCGGTAGATCTCGGCGGCGTAGTAGGTGATGAGGTTGATGCCGGAGATCTGCTGGAACATTTGGTTGACAAAGGCGATGATGGTGCGATGGCAGGTCCTGTTCTTGTCGCGGACAAAGAGGTCGCCAAACGTGCCCTGGCTCATCTCCATGACAGTGTCCTTGATGGTCCTGAACTCGTTCTCGACGTACTTGTCGTGGGGCGCTTTGTCGGCGATGATGGCGATGACTTCGCGGGCCTCCTCCTCGCGGCCCTTGAGGATCAGCCAGCGGGGCGACTCGGGTAGGGAGAGGACGGTGAAGAGGATGGGGATGCAGAAGGCGATCTGGAAGGCGAGGGGGAAGCGCCAGGCGACGGACCCGGGGGCGAAGGAGAGGCCAAAGTCGATCCAGTAGGAGATCATGATGCCGCCGGTGATGAGGGCGCCCTCGATCATGACGAGCTTGCCTCGCTTGTGGGCGGAGCACGTCTCGGACTGCCACATGGGCACGGTGGATGTGTTGCCTCCGTTGCCGAGACCGGTGATGATGCGTCCGATGATAAAGTGCGGCAGGGTGTAGGCGCTGGCCTGGAGGGCGGCGCCGACGACCATGATGGCGGTGCCGAGGAAGATCATCTTGCGACGACCGAGAGGGTTACCGATGAAGATGGTGAAGATGGCACCGATGAAGCAGCCGAGGTTGTACGAAGCGACGGCGATGCCCTGGTACGTGGACCGGGCGGCCGACGAGGACGAAGGGTCATCCGAGTTAGGGTCGATGGTGGGAAATTGAGCGAGGAAGACGGGCAGGGTGAGGATGCCGCCCATGACACCTTGGTCGTAACCAAAGAGGACTGTGTGGTGTAAGCTTTGTGTTGACTGACAACGTGAAGGCCAAGGTTCACTCACGGAAATCTGTGCCGGCAATGGTAGAGATGGCCCAGTTGAGGGCATTGCCTCGGAGGCCGAAGAATTTCTTGCCCATGATGGTTGGTGATGCTGCCTGCTCGCTTGCGATACCGCTTGAAGCGTAGACACCACGGGGAGATGGGGAGGGAGCGTGGACGACTGTATGGGCAGGAGATGGGGGAGAACGGCGGTTCAGAGTTTCTTATATAGACCGACTAGACTGACTAGTCTGATAGGCACCTCCAGTACGGAATATCCAAGGGTTCATCCTCGCGTGGTCCAAGGGTGGTGCGCGCTAAGGTGCCCATGGCGGGCATGGCTGCTGGGATCGGGAATGTGCGCGTTAGAGTTTTGGAGCCGCGACGCATGATGCGCAACCGCAGGCCGATGGAGACAAGACCCATCGACTTGTTGGAGTGAGGACATTGCGTACAGAGGGTGCCCTAGCGAGTGACAAGTGTGTGGTTGGTACGCACGCACCGCTCGTTGGTTCGATGGTTCGGCCAGGGGCCGACGACCGGTTGACAGAGCCATGAATGAATACGTTCAGTGGCTGATTGATAAATTCAGCATTCCTTCTTTCGACAGTCGTTCACCCTCCAGAATATCTACATATAGACGCCTTGTCTAGCCACTTCGTACATGCCACTTTGGACGGGTTCGGTGACAGTCAGCCATCGACACGGTGCCCGTGTAGATAGTGGCTCGCACTATTTAATGCGGTTCATTATACGTACCCTTTGCCTCGTGTATCGGCATGCGCCGTGTTGGAGACGAGCATCGACGAGAAGGAAGCAGAAGGACGTCATTCGTGGGGACAGACTCCAGGCACCATTGGGGACTGGAGGGGAGGCCACTGAATTTGCAGCGTGCGTGCGAGCTTTATGATCACTTCCCCAACTTCTCTCCAGCTGGGGCGGCGGGACGGACATGTGGAATGAAGGTTTGAATAGGGATTATCAGCAAGGAATTTGGCAGGGGACTGGCCTGGAGTCTGGAGACAGAAGTCTTCCGGCGACTTGCCGAAAGCGGTATGCCGTTGCGTTTCGTCGCCTGTGTGTGCCCCCGGGTCTTCTGTTGCTGCCTGCCTCGTTGTCTCTGTCGCGCATTCTGAATCCATGGTTCATGGTCCGTTTTGTCGGTTTTACGTATACAAGAAGTTGAGCATCGGGTGGTGGGTGGGTCATGTCGTGCCAGACAGACAAACAGACAGACAGACAGGCCGCGGACAACGGTGGAGCGCCAAGCCAGCAACCCGCAGATCCAGAGGGCCAAGCCTGGGACAGCCCGATGTAGCCGGGTAGAGAGACTTGGCGATTTCGACTTCATGCGTCTTGTCTGCGTGTAAGTCAACTACACACTAGAAGCTCGCGCGCGCGCACAAATAGGCGATAAACCTAGGGCCAGGACGATACAGAGAGAAACGCGACAGTGCAGAAGAAACTGGACGCGATGGACAGAGTTAGAATGCCCCGACCGGGTTGGTGGCTGGACGAGTTGATTGGTCGTGTCGTTGCGGCCGGCCCATGTCCCGTCAGAGGTGCCGTTGCCGTATTTCCGGTCAGTCGTCAATGGTACGGCAAGACACACAGGGAAGGTTCTTTCCACGGCCAAGCAAAAGCCTCACTCGCTCCAGGGGGCAGGAGCGGCATGTTCGCGGTACCTGGTACTAGTAAGTAAGATTCACCGTATCTCGGATCGTCCATCTGGGCTTCATCTCACTGCCTCAAGTCAGCCCTCATCACGACTCCCATCCAAAGCCAAAACCTGTGAACAATGAACAATCATCTCTAACTTAGGAGGCCTCAATGCTGGACAGGGCATCGCTGTTCGGCCAAGGCCCCACCACCATCATCATGCCTGGCCTCAGATTCCGTATCTCGCTACACACTACGTCGTGTCACGGTGGATAACAGCGCCTTTTTTCCCCTCTTTCAATCTTTTTCCAATCGCAATGTCTAAGCAGCCTTCTTCTCAGACGCTGCGACTGCGAGACCGCCCGCTCGTCGTGCACGTTGACGTCACGTCGTGACCCCCGGACCGATTAAGCTTACTTGCGATAGTGCTCGCGAGTCGTGCCTGGGCGAGGCGTGAGATGGGCGACTGACGGACTATCCGTGAGGGAGGGATATGGCGGCAAGTGAATTAAGAAACATGAATGCCTTGCGGATGGCTGCTGTGTGGAGTGACGACGAGTCGCGCGCAAGACACACCCAACGCTGCAGGCAGCAGCAGAGAAGGGTCGATGTCTGACACTCCGAACTTGCTACCGATGTATGGGATCCCGCTCTTCACAAACTAATCATTCTTGTTGTCTGCTTCTGGAAGTTCTTGTTCACGCCACTAGTCTAGCCAGCCCTGCACTTCTCGCATGCGTCCTCCCTCCAACAGGGCCACCAGCCAACCCCCCGTCTCGTTTTGGGGCTAAAGTACTGAAAACTACCAGATCTCTGCCGACTCCCGTGAAAGTTGGAACTCAAATTCCTCATCGCCGGCTTGCCCCTTTCAGTATCCCGCCCTGAACTCATTCGTGTTGTGTTTGCAAGTTGCAACCACCACCTCGATCATGGTGATCGGCACGCAGGCGTCCCGAGCTCGGCCCCAGTATCCCCGGTCTATGTGCGCCCCAAATGCCAACGTCAACTCCAGATCATAACCATCACCCACGTTCTTCGGGGTTCTTTTGCCACATGCCGCCAGCGTCCAGACTCGCGCTACCCCGTAGTCTGACGTGTCTGGTTACACTGACTGCAACCAACCAACCTTTCATGTCGCTGTTCGGGCCCGACCCGCAGTGCCCCTTGCACACGTGCTCGTCTAGGTTCTGCAAGCGAGGTACTTGGACGCGAGTTGAACTGCCCAAGCCACGCAAGATCGGTTCCCATCATGTTCAATTTGATATAAATACTCGTAACGTAGACTCCCACACTGGCGACGGATTCCCCCCATCGACGCCCCATACTGGATGGTTGGTATGCATGCTCATCCTCCGTATAAACACCCTATGTAATGTATTACAATGCAAAGCAAAGACACACCAAACACCAGACCAGGCCAAACATAAGTAGGCTCATGTACACAAAACACACAAAATAAAACGCCAGTCGATGCGTAGCTCGCGAACCACTCGCTCAACCCCGGCCACGGCGCTCTGCGTCAAACAGCTCCCTCTTCATCTCCATCAACATGTCCTCAATCTGGTTAAACTCGTCCCGGGACAGGCTGGCATTCTGCAGCCCTGCCATGCCAGCACAGAGCATGCCCATGATGGACTCTGCGTTCTTCGCTTCTCCAGCTTCGAGCCGCCCCTGTTCTTCAACCTCTGCCTGGACAGCCTTGTCCAGGGAGAACGAAGATGTCGCCATGGAGTCCTCGATGACCACGAGCGATGCCTCTGGTGGTACGCTCCCGGCCTGCGACGCCGCATTCGACTCGGAAACGAGCTGCGACATAATCTCCTCGTCCGTGTCTCGGCTGCTTGACGCGTCGTCGTCCCCCTTGCTCGTGCCCACAACTTCCACAGGGCCAACCTCCACAGAGACATCCCCCAACTCGCGCGTCTCTTCCTCCACCTGCATCCGACGTGCGCTTCTCCTCGCACTGGATTTGGCTGCCCCCTTGGCACGGCGCTTAGCCTTACCCCGGGTGGGTCTTTGCTCCGGCTCCGGCTCCGGCTCCGGCTCCGGCGCATCCACTGCATCTTGTTCACCCACTTCCCGTACTGACTGTGCACCGAGATCCTTATTCTCACGCGCTTCGTCGGCACCGTTGTCGTCGGGTTCTTCGGACCGTCTTCTCTTCTGGCGAGTGTCATGACTCCTTGCGCTTGACTTTCTCTTGCCCCTTTTCCTTTGGCTACGGGGCTCCTCCTCAGCCTCCTCTTCCGCCTTGACCACAGCCGTCACCACCTCGACAGGCTCTGTTGGCGTAGACTTGACAATATCGGCCGACACCTCCACGGCTTGTACACTGGACAGCGAAGAGGACGACTCGCGGGTCAGAGCAGGGGCATGGCGAACCGGCGCTCCAGACTCCATCTCCGCGGCAAATCTCATAAATTGAGAATCGTCCGTCTCGCTAAAGGCAAAGGATGTGTCGTTCGACTCCTGCGTCATGACCGGCAACTCTGGGGGTGGTGAGATAGCGGGGCTTGCCCTGGCGTCCACGTATACATCATCTGCACCCGACTTGGGGGACGACTGGGCAGCTTGCGGTGGTGTCGCCGCTCGCTGCGGAACAGAGGCTAGTAGCTGCGGCTGTTCTTGCGCCTTGTTCGCCCGCGAGCCCCTCGTGCGCTTGGCGCGAGTAACACGGGCGAGGCTTGGGCTTGCCATGTCCGACACACTGGATGGAATGACCTCTTCTTGAGACACGTCAGGCTTCCTGGTCGAGCGTGTTTGCCTGCCATGTGGCTGAGGCTCTGTCGACGGCTGTGTGCTGTCGTTGGTCAAGTTCACGTGTGGTACCTCAACCGCCGCAGGCACGCGTTGTCGATCGGGGACAGGCGATGTCACCGGCGAGGACCACTGCTCCTCTAGTGCACTCTTCGCACTCGAGCGCGAGTGCATCTCCGACAACAGAGGATATGGCCTGACCTCGGGGGGCGAGGATGGCGGGTCGTTGTCCAGGTCCATCGGGATCAGCTGGCCGCGACGAGGTGTCGGCGTGGAGCTTATGTGCTCTTCGTACGTCGTCTTCTGCGGGGTTGACTCGAGCGCGCCGTTGGCCTTGGCCTTTGGTGTCGACAAGGCATCTTCTAAAGCGGTCGCTGCCTCCAGGTCGTTGTCTGGGGTTTCGAGCTGCGCATCGGAGCCGAGGAACACATTCTCCTTTTGCCGCTCCCGGACTTCCTTCTGCCTTTCTGTGAGGTGCTGTGACTCTCCCTGTTCGGGAGACGACGAAGCAATGGGCTGGAACTGGATTTGCGAGTTGTCGTGACGCAGACGTGGAGTCGTGTTACGACTTGATCGTGCAAGACGCTTCGACCCTCGGACCGGGCTTGCCTCAGGTGTCGCATCAAGACGTCTTTTCTTGGCGCTGTTGATGGTCGATTCTCGTGCTTTGGCAGTCATCGTGGGCTTCGAGCGCAAGCTGACACCCGACGACTGTCCCGTCGATGGTAGGCCGACGGCGGATCCCGGCTGAGGTTCGGGGTCTGAGCTCATCTGAGCGCCAAACCCCCCTGACTGGTCTGAACCAGCTAGTGGCAGGTCAACCTTGGATTGTAGGGATGATACAATCGTCTTCAGACTATCGGAGCATTCGGGCGTTTCATCCTCCCTGACAATGGCGTTCCAGGTCTCGGCTGCTTTGCTCTGCACGGGGCGAGACGTGCTCTGGAAAGCGGCCGAGAGAAGAGTGTCCAGCTGCTGAAATTGGCTCCTCTCCAAGTGGCGAGCCTTGGCCATCTCGGAGCAAAGATCGGCCCATAAGGCGAGAAGCTGGGACACTTGATCAGCTATGAATCTCACAAGGCAGCGGAACACTTACAGAATTGGCAAGCTCGTCATCGTTGGAGTGCTTGACTAGTCGTTTCTCGTCCAAGAGCCATACGGAGACTCCGTGCTGTAGTCGAGAAGCTGATGCAAACCCTGTCGAGCTGAAAGAGGCTGCAATGAATTGTTTCGTAGCTTTCAACATTGTGACTGCCCTTGATTGCGAGCCTCCTTGTTCCCTGAGCGCCTCGTAGGAAGTGATCAGCTTACGATCAGCCAGTCTGTACAGGTGATCAAAGGGGTCCGTCGTCTTGCTGGGCACAAGCTCAGCACCCCATAATCTGCGTCGCGCCGCGTCAATTGCCTGTCGGTCGCGAGGAAACCTAGCAGACTCAATGAGGGCACAGCTGGCCTCATGATGGAGGGCCACGGCCTGATCAACATCAACAAGAACCTTGGCCAGTGGTTCAATGATGACTATAGCACGCCCAGCATCTCCAAAGCCAGATGTCACACGCTGGCTGAAGTTGTTGAAGATGGACATCCAGGCTTGAGAAGGTAGGTTGGGATGGGACAGGAGGCCATTGCAGAGGAAGTTGGTAATCTCTCGAAACTCGGGCCCGAGAAAACGGTCGCCATTGCTGTCCAGCTTGATATCGCCTGACAAGGTCAAAGCAACGGCCTGAGAACCCAGCATCCACACAGCATACGGTGCCGAGGCGCTGGCGGGCGATTGGCGTTGGAGGTCTCTGACCAAGTCGATGCGTGCCTTGTCGGCCTGTCCGGCTAAGAACATTTCGAACGTCGAAATGAAGAACGCGGCAAGGTCGTCGTTGTCACGACCGCCCATCGGTACCACGGACAGCATGTTGAAGAGATGCTGAAGAGGTGTGGCCACCACACCTTGGAGCTTCGCCGGACGATGTGACGGTGTCGCGATGGGTTCGAAGACATTGGCGCTGTCCGCTGACACAGACAACTTCTTCCCAGTAAGGGGCAGGAGGCCCAGATTGTCCACAAGGACCGTGATGAAGTTACGTATGCCAGGCAAGAACTTGGTTGTGAACAATTCCTCATCTGCACAGCCTGCGCTCCAGATAGTCGAGAGAAGACCCAGCGAGCGCGCTACAAAGGCAACGGTCTCATCTGATACCTTGATGTCCTTGGCCGACGCGGCAGCGACAGCGTGAACCATGGCTTTCCAGAGTTTGTAAGCCGGGCTGTCGCGGTCAGCGAGATTTTGCACCGACTGCGGCATGATGCCACCCAAGGCGTTGAATATGCGATCCGAATGCGCTCTGATCCACTTTGGGTCTATCGAAGGCAGCTCGTCTGGCCTTACAGGGGCCGTTGCTTGGATGCGCTCCGGCTTCCACAGGATAGGCGTCGACACGTCCACCAAGCGCAAGAGGATCCGTGTCGCCGTTGCAAGATCGTCGGGATATGTGGCCGTCACAAGCTGCGCGATGACTGGCTGAACAGCAGAATCCCACGCCACGAGCGTTTCCTTCTTCTGTTCGCTACCGGGGGAGAACAGGTAGTAGTACAATGTGCAGGCACCGCTGATGACTGTCCGCCTCAATTTCTTGCTGTCTTCGGGGCACTTTTCGTTCAGTTTACGCCGCAACTGGCTTGTCAAAGGCTTTACGAGGCCTTCTAGTAGTCGTGGTGTTACTTTGCTGGTCTCCTTGAGTGACAGACAAGCGTATCGGTTCCAGGCGTAGTTGGTCTCTTGTTTTGTCCGCAAGTCAGACGTGTTGAAGGCGCCCTGTATCAGTGTGAACCATGCCGTAAAGTGCTCCCACTGGTCGAGGGGACAGCGTCGACCCAACAATGTCACGACGCTCCATATCTGGGGAGCGGCGTACGAGCGTTGTTTGTCCGCCAACATAGCCCGCATCTTGTCCATGTAAAACTCCATATATGTCTGTTGTTCGTTGGAGGTGTCGAGGATGTTTTTGACCTCGGCGGCAAGCCTCCTTTCCTGTCGGTAGAGATACCCAACCTCCAATCCCAGCTCGATTGCTTTCGATTGTATTTCCTGGATCGTGCTTAGCATGTCCGTAAAAAGGTCCTTGAGCCAGCCATTGCTGACCGCCACCATGTGGCTCCTGCACTGCCACACGAGCCTTCGGTACAGCATGATCCGGCTCATAATGATGGATTTTCCCTTGACATGGTCGTCGATCTTGTGCAACGCAAGGACTATCCTGGCGACGCGCTCCGCCGTCATGATCTTTGGCGAGAAGTTCTGGCAGCGCACAATGTGCATGAAGTTTCGTGTGCTCTCTTTCGATGTCGAAGGATCTTCAAAGGTTCGAATGGCTTGGTCCATGATGGAAGCAGCCGCCTCGTTTGGGACAGCCGATTTCACATCTCCGAACTGCAGGAATGTAGCCAACGTCTTCAGGGCCTGGTTGACGAGCTGGAAGTCGGCGGATCCATCCTCTTGTTTCGCAAGCATGTCGCGCTGGATAAATTGCATCAGCAAGCCGAGCTTGGCCTGTAACGCCACTCGGTCTGGAAGATTGCTGGAGCCCCTGAGCCCTCGAACCAGCATCATGTACGCATCCAGCTTAGAGTCCCTCTCCGAGCCCGCCAAGTGCTTGACGGTAGATTCGAGCATCTCGGCTATGCTCTGGGTTTCTGTATTACCATCGAGCTGGGATGAGAGTGGCGAAGCGAAGGTGACGGGTGACGCCGTGATCTTCAGGATGCCCTTGAGCGGCTTCGATCGGGCTGCCGAAGACAGAGAGACGGGAGACGATCTGTCGAGGCTGTCGAATGCTTTTTTGTAGTCCGGAGGGTCCCTGTACTCGGTACGCCCTGACCACACGACCCTTTTGCCCAGTCGACTTGCAGATCCGTCGGTCAGATGGGCGCATGACGGGGTTGCAGGCGAGTTGCCGTTTGGCGGAGTGTGCAACGTCTGCACAGCAGCCTCGGGAGAAGGCAAGGGTCGATTGCGTAGGGACGCAGAGGCGTCGGCAGTTTCTGTTTCTCGATGATTCGTATCACGAGGCGGCGTCGGCGGTCGCGGTGGGAGGTTGTCCAGGATTGTCGATGCCGGAGTCGAAGATGCCATGACAGCCGCCACGCAGCCCAAAGATGGCAATCTTGACGACTCGAGAGGCAGAGTGCGCAAGGCTTGGGACTTGTTATAACATTAGGATGCAGGAATCTGGTTTGTGAGAAGAAATTGAGCGAGTCTTAACGTGTCGACTGCTTGAGCAAGTAGCTAGATGATGCGTCGTTGGGGATGAGCCTTGGAGACAGACGTGCGTAGTAGTGGAATCCGCATCCACGATGCGGTTATCCCATGGGTCAATGTCTCGAAAATCCAGCCTCCACTGGGGAGGAAGCTCTTTACGCGACTTGCCTCGCGGTGCACGCGTTGAGAGGTGCTTGGCGCGACTGGGGTGGGGGCCTATGTCTCCTGCCTCCGCACGCTAAACCCTGGCAGCCTCGCGTTGCTAAGGGTCCTACAGTGCAGTCATGCAACACACTGTGCACAGCGGTGCACAACTGTGTGGGTCTGAGGCATCACTCCAGAGCCTTAACAGCATTCGCCCACAACACTAAGGACCTGCTCAGTTCTGGCACAGACGGACGATGTCTGCACTCCTCAACATAAGCGCTACACCATTGTCCCCTTATCTTCGTCGCGAGGTTTCTCTCGGACTGACAGAGAGAGCCATGCGGCATGCCGGCGAATCTGGTTGCTGCGAGCTTCTAGCGAGGGTGAGATTTTGAATTTCAAATTGCTACAGCAGTCATGCCTCGGAAACTTCGAGTTGCTGCGCTCTGTTGCTTTCATCTGTTCTTCGGCTTGATAAGTGAATAACGTCGTGACTTGGGGTGAAATTTTTGTGAGATCTCAGGGTGCCTTCTACGTTTCTTTCTTCTCGAGCATGGCCGCTCTCGCTCAGCTGCATACTTCATCCACGTAGCCTGGTAAAGTTCGTTGCTTACATCAACTTCTCAGTGAAGAGTTCTATCTGCCAGAGAAGCTCGAGAACTCTACACGGTCCAGTGCTAACCATCAGGGCTCTAAGAGAGAACCGAAACGAGTGGCAATGGCCCCATTCAGAGAAGCCTCCGAGACGAGCGTGGATACCGACCATTCACAAGATGACCTCGCGTAAGTGCTCTTCCCACTGTATAGGGAGCGACACTGATTTTTGGACAGAGCCAAACTTGCGTTCGAGCGCGACATGGACAATTCCATCGGTGCGGAATACATAGAGCATAGCATCTCGCGTCCTCTCCCACAAGAGGCATTCCCCGGCGCGCAGTCGATGGCCACGCCCACAATGGAAGACGCGCCCAAGTGGGAAGACTCAATTGACGGAGACGTGAAGCCCCTAACTACTCAATGCTTGGAAGTGCTGCGGGAGCAGCATGAGGACGGAGGAGAGGACATATCTATGCACCAAGACGAGGCTGTGTCGTCAGACACCTCTTCAATTCAAGATGCTGAACCTGTACCGGAGAGCACTCCCGGTCTAGCTCCGCTAGATACAATCAGTGGCTCTCGCCATCGCGGTCGACCCAAGAAAACGTCCCGAGCGCCCACCACTCCATCTCGGGTGTCGCCAGGACGGCCCAAGGGGACCAAGAACAACACCCGGCACAAGGCGTCCGGCACCAAAAGAAGGGTCAGTGCCCGTGTGGCGGAGGCGGCGACAAGCATCGCGTCAACTGCCAGCCCGGTCACAGCGGGCGCAACTAAGGGCAGACACAAGAAAGGGACGGCCCGCAAGGTAACAAAGCCAAAGAACAAGCCCACCACCGAGCTCGAGTCCAAGCAGCGGTTTACGGAGGACTCGTGGGAGATTGAGTCGATCCTAGACAGCGTCATCGAAGCTGGCACGCTTGAGCATTACTACCTAGTCAAATGGAAGGGGTACTCTTCAAAGTCCAATACCTGGGAGCCCAAGTCCAACCTCGGAAATTGCCGCGCCGCGATCGAGGCATTTGAAAAGGCCAACAAGTCTCGCAAGTAGTCACAGCTGCGCCCCATCAACCTTGAACAGTTGGGGACCAGCGATGGCGAGTTTTTTTCACTCGCTAAACAACAGTAGCAACACTGGATCAGGAGAAGTCTAACGGAATACCGGGCTATGGTTACAAGGGCAGGCATGGGGAGGAGTCAAAGAAGACCATGGGAGTTTAGTTTGGGAGCCATCTCACGGAGACAAGACGCACGAACTGAAATATTGTAACAGTGGTCACTAACGATTTCTCAATATGAATTCTGCAAACACGAACAATCTTCTTGCTTCAGGACAAGTTCCCGAGAAACGTGCTCAGCCCTATGATGGCACCTGCCAAGGGGAACAGACTCCTCCCCAGATTCAACACGCTCCATTTCCCAATGAGCTCCGAGGCTCTACCCCGTGACAAGACGGTCGCCCCCTTGGATGCGCTGATCAGGGTGGCATTGGTACCGGCAATGAAGAGGAGGGTAAAGGGAATGATGAAGAGTACAGCGCCGCCCGCCGCAAGGTATCCTTTCCAGTTCACACCTCGATGGCGCGCATCATAGGCCACGTATGAGTATGCGGCTGCGATGAGGATGGCGACCTTGGGCATGACATTCATGCCACGTGTGAAGATGCCGTGCCAGATGTAGACCGAATCATTGGGCGCTGACATTGCTGTGGGCATGCCCACCAGAGACATAGATGCGATTGTACCTTGTGAAGTGATCAGTTCTTGACTATGCGTTTTGGAGGTGCCTGGACGAACCGGATGCCCATGCTGAACCTAGGAGGCCAGTGGCGACGGCCAGCAGCGAGGGCGTGGAGTATTGCAGTGTAGCCATGGCGTGAGCAACTCGAAGTGTACGTAGATGATGTCACTTGTGAAGTGAAGTGGTATTGATTTTAGAGCTGAAACTTTGTTCTCGAACATTTATACATGTCTACGGACCCTGAAGTATGGGTCCGGTCGATCCGGACATTGAGGAATGTCCGAAGCGACGATTGTCTCGGCAGGCCACTGTCTATCAAAGTGATTCGATATTTCTTGGAAATCCGGTTACCGGGACATTTTTCTACTTATAGTGCTGGCATACACAAATTGGACACCTACGTAAGGTAATACGTAGATGTGTGGTCCGTTCTCACGGACGCTTTGCCGCGAATGCGTGCAGGTCGATCGTCTTGTCTCCAAACTGGGCATCCTCGTCCTCCCAAATCTTGATGAGCTTATACCCGCTCTTCTTCAAAACACCATGACTACCCATGTTGCTTCTCACCGTCACGGCGACAATAAACTCATCCTTGATTTCGCTCTCTCCCTGGACGGTATCCGTTGACACCTTGAGCTCAACCTCCGCCCTCGGCAGCGCCCACCACATGTCCTGGAACGCCCTGAGAAACTCGGTCGCATATCCTTTCCCCCAAGCGTCTGAGCGGAACATGTACCCAACTACTGGCCAGCCCAGCTCGCCGTTGCGCATGTGCGAGCCGCCCACGCCCAGAAGCTGGCCTGTCTCGGCAAGGCGGATGGCGAAATTGAACGTTTCCGTGTCATTGGGAGGGAGGGTCTTGGCCATGAACCTGCGCGTCGCCTCCACGTCCACGTCTGGGACGCCCTGAAGGGTCCATTTCATGACCTCGGGCTGCAAGCGCATTTCGTGAAACTCTTCCGCATCTGCCATTTCGGTAGGCCTGATGAGGAGCCGCTGTGTGCGAACAGCTTTCCGTTCTGCTATTGGAGGGTAAGGGAGAGCAGGCAGCGTCGTCTTGATAGTGGTCCACTCCAAAGTCGAGCGAGCGATGGTCATGGTGGGCTCAGTGCCAGATGCTAGGGTCTCCATGACGCCGAAAAGATTCAATGTGAATAAGAGGATATCCCTAGGATTGCCGGTCAATTGGGCTGCTCACTAGCCGCCAAGAAACGACTCGCGGTGGATTTGTCGACACTTCGACACAAGTGCCAGGCTGCCCTCCCGTGTCCATCTGACGGACTGACTCACTGAGACTCTGAGTCACTGACAGGGCGTTTTACTGTTTCGTGAACGTTCACGATGCCGGACGCGACGTGACTCACCGGGGCTCGGAAACCCACGCGGGTCGTCTACAAGTACTCGGTTTTGGTCCACACAGAAGATGAAGAATGGCATGCTCACGGGACTTTTCCGCATGGCTCGATTTCACAAGAGTTGAGTTGAGCAAGAGTCATCACTTAGCTTTGCTCCCTCAAAAACGCCCGTTTCCTTGACCCTGCCTTGTGTGTCCCACCGGCTGTCGGTATCGACGGAGAGTAATGGACAGTTTGAAACTGTGAGCTCAACTTGTCCGTCGCGCATTTTGGGCTAAATAGAAAACGTCCTAAAAGCGGACCGGACTCCTCTTTATCACCCAATCACAATGGCTCGCTTGCCCAGACAGCCTCACCGAGTCACCGAGGACGGACCATTGAATCGACAGACGACGGGACTCAAAGTAATTAACGGTGATGATAATGTTGACAGTTGCAGCCTGCATCCCTGCGTGTACATGTTTAGGTACAGGGTTGACTGATCCTTCTCACTCACTTTGATGACGACGGCATCAATTGAGGAGTGTGAACCGTCTGAATACAAACCAGATAGGCGACGCTGCTCCCCAGTCTCCAGTCTCTAGGATCATTTCGTGTCAGCCTCACGCCAGTGAGAACGCACGCACAGCTCCCCTCATCAAGCGTCATTGACTCATCCCTGAAAGCTTCACCCAAGCAGATGAGCGAGGCACGCGGCGACAAGGTGCTCAGCTGCGCGAGCTGTCGCCAGCGCAAGGTCAAGTGCGACAAGACCCAGCCCATCTGCACCCAATGTTCGCGCATGAGCTTAGAGTGTGTCTACCCGTCACGAAAACCTACGCGCCGCGTTACCAGGCTGCGGCAAAGTGAACTTCTCGAGCGCATCAGTCGCTTGGAGGGTATCGTCGGGCAGGCTGATCCGGAAAAGTTGGAAGAGCTCGACAAGCTTACGGGTGTCCCCGCAACAACATCCGCATCCAGGACGGCAGCACGAGATGTCCATGTCAAAAGGCCCTCTGCTGCAGCGGTGGACAGCTTCTCCTCGGTACCGGGACAACCCTCGGGACAACCGTTCAGGGAAACGACTGCTCGGTACATGAGTGATGAGTTCTGGGGCCACCTTTGCAGGGAAGTCGTCGGGATCAAGGCAGCTCTTGAACAGCCGTCTGACGATGAGAATGACAATGAGGATTATGAGGACTCCCCTGAATCTTGGGGCGGTGGCATCCAGGCCGTCGCAGCACCCTCTGGCTTTCATCTCGGGAATCAACACTACCAGGAACGCGGTCCCCTCACACACCCTCCGCAGCAGACGCTCCTGGCTCTCTGGAGGATATACACACTCAACGTCGACCCTTTGGTCAAGATCCTCCATCGCCCTTCGATCAACCAAGAGATCCGGCATTTGCTGTCAATACCGATCCCATACACGCCTCCACCAGCCATGAACGCACTCCTCTTCTGCATATACTTTGCCGCGATATCTACAATCACCCCGGAGCAGTGCCGCGCGCAGCTGGGCGAGGAGCAAAACATCCTGGCCCTTCGATACCGTCTGTGTGCCGAGCGCGCACTCGCTGCGGCAGACTACCTCAACAGCGATGATTTAGCCACACTGCAGGCTGCGACCCTCTACGTGACCATGCTGCGCTCCTACTCCACCAGCCGGGCATCATGGGTCCTCATTGGGATGATTGTGCGACTGGCTCAGGCTATGAACCTCCACAGGGACGGTCAAGGCAAGCACTTCTCGCCCTTCGAGGGTGAGATGCGGCGGCGACTCTGGTACTTTATCACGGTGCTCGATATACGCGGCGCAGAGGACAGAGGGTCCGACGCCATCCTGACGCCCACATCTTACAATACCATCCGCCCTACGAATATTGACGACGAGGCCTTTGGCCCCGACACCACTGAGCCCCTTGTTCCCAAGGCGACACACGCTGAGAACGTTGTGCTCGTATGCATGTCTCGCTGCACAATCTTTGGTCATATTGCCCACCCGCGATCGCAAGTGGCCGCCGCCGCCGACGACGACGACACAGACAACTCCTTGGCCACAGAGCAAGAACTCATCAACCATGTCCGCGCGATGGAGAACGACTTCATCCATACTGTCGATCAGTCGAGTTTACCATCACGCTACGCCGCCGAGGTGTCACGCCTCGTAATTCTCAAACTCTGGCTCATCGTACAGTACCCGTTCTCATCTCACCCCACTGTCGTGCCCATGCGGGTGTCGCGTGCCACTATGCTTCGCACAGCTGTGTCCGTCATGGAGCTTTCCCATCGCATGGCTGAGGGGGCCTTCAAGGAGCGCTTCTCATGGTGGACCAAGTGTTACGTCCAGTGGCATCCGCTGGCGGTGGCCTTGGCGGAGCTGTGCGTGCAGACGGACGGGGACCTGGCGCAGCGTGCGTGGGACGTGATTGAAAAGGTATATCCCCTGTGGGGGAGCGCCGCGGCTGACTCGACCAACGGACCGTTGTGGAGACCAATCAAGAAACTCTACAAAAGGGCAAAGGCCGCCAGGGCGCAGATTCTGATGGATGATCTCTCCTTGCGAGACAAGGCGCCCGCGCCGCCTGCGTCTGGACCAGTATCCGCAGAAGAGTTTCTCCTGCCACGCCAAGTCGAGCCCGCGGCCATGGTGCCCAGCGCCATTGGTCTCACGCAGATGGCGCAGCCATTCGACACTATGGACATGGATCCCTCCATCCTGTTCCAGTATCCACCTGCTACCGATATGACTTTCGGTTGTAGCCTGGACGCCAGTCTTGGTTTTGACATGAGTCCGTGGAATGAGTTCCTGCACGATACCCAGATAAACAGCTATTCGCCTGGAAGCGGGAGTGGGAGCGGAGGGTAGTCTATTCGTTACGACACGTAGCAGCCAGCCGTAGTTTATAATCAATGCAACAAGACTTCACTCCACACGCAATCAGTCCCATTGTGCAAGCAAGATGCCACTTTCAACTTGTGAAGAATTTGACTTTCATTCATCGCCCGTTTTGCCGAGCCCATGCAGTTGATATTTCCTTGATCCGTAGTAAACACCCGCAAAGCCAGCCCAACCGTTCCGCCATACCAAAAGCAACAACAGTCTAAGCGAAGGTCGAAGGACGCTTGGCACTGAACACCTTCTTGGCGTCCAGCTTGGGAACACGGTGGGGGAGAGGGAACTTGAGGTCCTTGGCAACAAGTTGGCGGATGTAGGGGCGCTTGATGTCCTCGGTCTTCTCGAGCTCGACAACGCGGAGGATCTGCAGAGTCTGTTAGCAAGCTGATGCAAGGCACGAGAACATGTTGTCGACAAACGTACGTGGATGGACCTGAAGCGGGCGCGGTGGCGGGCGGCCATGTCGGAGTACAGGGTCTCGACAGCGTCCGCGCGGCTCATCTCGCGGTACTCGCGGTACATGTTGTGGGTACCGGAGCGCGAGTCGTAGCGAATCCAAATGCCAAAGTTCTTGATCTTCTGGGGGTGCTTCTCGTGCAGCTGTGTGTCCACTGTCAGAAAATCCGCTTCTCCTGTGGTTCCCCTTCTCCGAAGATAACGTACCGTCTTGACGCTGACAATCTCACCAGTGGCCTTCTTGACCTTCTTGAGACCGCGGATAAAGTACCAGAAGCGGGACTTGGCGACCGTGGTGTTGGGGGCGAAGATGGTCATGCGGTACAGCGAGGGCTCGGGGTTGGCCTCGGTGGGCAAGTGGCGCCCGATAACCTCATACTCTTGAAGGCGACCTGTAAAGAAGAACAGTCAGCGGCTGTTGCTGACAATGCATGCATGTTCGAAGCGCTTGGGGGTGTTCCGAAGTCGAGTCAAGCCAACGCAGGGCAGGCGTCGGAAGATGGGAGTCGAGCTCGGGAAATGCGTCGTGGGCGCTCGGATGCCGTGAGACCAGCAGCCAGCACAGTAGATACTGCTGAATGCCGCGGTGTCTTCGAATGTCGACCGTATCGTCCCAGGTGCCCGGCTTGGTGTTAAAGCCCCTCGTCGTTCCATGTCGCCTTCCATCGCCCCTCGTGGTGGTGGTCCTCCTCATCGGCAAGTGCTCGAAAACATGCAATCGCTCAAGACAACGACTTACCCATCTGTGCAAAAGTCAGTAATCATGGAATGAGCAAATTGTGTTGTGGTTATCACTCACTGTTGCGGCTGTGTGTGTCGTCAACTGCCTCGAAATTTGGTGATGGATAGGCCGAAGTTGGAAGTCGCAGCGTAATTTTTTGTGTGCGGCGTTTGAGAGAGGGCTAAGGCACGAGAAAAGACTGCAGGGCTTGCATCCCACTTCTGATTGGGCTGGTGTCGCCCCACTCTGTGGATATCACGTGCGCCATACTCACCGTAAGGTAAGGTGAGATCGGACTCAGACTCCCGCACTTGCGCTTGCGACCAGTCAGGCAACCCTTATCCAATCAGAACTGACCTCTCGTCTCTGGGGCACCTTCCGACAAAGTCAACAAAAGGAGTATAACGCTCACGCACGCCTGCTGTCACAGTGAAGTCCTGTTCATTGAGGTCCTCTGGTTTGTTTGATTGCCGAGATAAGTCACTGTGCGACCACAGTTACAGCCACCAATCTGCAGTAAAAACAGACCCCGCCTCGGCGAGAACGTCTCGTCATGAACGAGCTGTTTGAGGATTTCGCAAAGGCCCGCCAGGCACGTAACGGCTATGAGCTTGCACAGACTCTCTCTCCAGTACCACCTACAAACAAACCCCACAGACTGATCCGCGTCTCGCAGTCGACGAATTCCCACAGTGTGAAAGGTGACATTAAACATTACATCAAGACGAGCGTGTCACATCGCGGCAAGCTGAGTCAAGATGCGTTGACGGGCTGGGTTGAAGTGTATGCTGCATACTGGAAGGCAATTGAAGAGATTCTTGCAGGCGAACATGGCAAAGTATGCGTCGCTGAACCCTTGCATGGAAATGTTGACACTGACCATGCCGCAGAGTTCTTGGAACAAAGTGTATGAGGCATGGAAGGATCTGACCTCAATGCTTGTTCGCGGCTACAACAACTTTGGGTTCGAGGCTTGGACGATACCAAGCCTCTACATGGTGGGCAAATATCTTCGGCTTTTCGCCATCAAGGCCGATGCAGAGCCCAAACGCCGGACTCCTGCTCACCAGGGCTTCATGCTCATCGGAGATGACTTTGACCCAGACGCAGAGAAACAATCACAATTGCGCGATGCAGAGCAGCACCTCAAGCGCATCTTTAGCTTATGTCTCACGGATCGGTGAGCAAATGTACACGCACGCTCAAAAACGACATTGGCTAATGGCTGTCAGTGCGCCCCTCGAGGAATCTCGCAAGTGGGGAATCTACTTTGTCGTCAACCTTCTCTTCAAGACATATTTCAAGCTTGGATCGGCTTCCATGTCCAAAACCATCCTCACAAGTCTGGCGGCTTACGAGCAACGAGGCGACCTGCCGCCGCTGGCGTCATTCCCCAAGTCCCAAAGGGTTACCTTTAGGTACTACGAAGGTGTCCTGTTCTTTCTAGAAGAGAACTACGCAAATGTGAGTATACCGAAAGCGTCAGGCTATTCTTACTGAATGATATGCGGGCCGAGGAACGATTGACGGAAGCGTGGCAAATGTGCGCGCATGAAGCGAAGGAGAATCTCGAGTACGTTGACGTCAGGAGTAGCTCGTTGAACAAAGCTGACCTCTTAGATGCATTCTTATGTATCTTATACCATGCCGGCTGTTGACGAGCCACATGCTGCCAAGCCAACAGCTGCTGGCCCCCTTTCCTAGACTGCAAAAGCTCTTTGGCCCCTTGACCCGATACATTCGACAAGGTGACTTGCGCAGCTTTGACCAGGAGCTACAAAAAGGAGAGGAAGAGTTCGTGCGGCATCGTATCTACCTCACACTAGAGCGTGGGCGTGATGTCGCCATGCGCAACCTACTCCGGAAAGTGTTCATCGCCGGCGGGTTCGAGGAGTCTGCGGACGCCAGTGCGCCTCCTCAGCGCCGCACGCGCATACCTCTGGATGAGTTCCAGGCCGCCATAAGTATGGGCAGTGGCGCCCAGACAACGGATCCAGATGAGGTGGAGTGCTTTCTGGCCAACCAAATCTACAAGGCAAGTCGCATCTCTTCACGACTCACTACGTGCGCAGCCTCGGGAGCCTTGGACTGTCTCAAAACAAGGATGCCCTTGCCTTGCAATGCTGCGCACTTTGCATAGCCCGACTTTATTCTCTTTGTTGAGTACTGACCTCCTTGCAGGGTTTGATGAAAGGCTACATCGCGCGGGAGCGGGGAATGATGGTGTTGTCCAAGAAGGGTGCTTTTCCGGGCACGGGGGTGTGAAGTTGCGTTCGGCAAATGTGTACGATCGAGAATCACGAGGCGATGGTCACTTCGGATGATGGTTCCGAGAGCCAGCGATACTTACTAGGGGCTCGGGCGAGTGCAACGAGGTGAACAGCCACAATACTTTGGTTGGCATGAGGTACCGAGGTTTCATCATTTGATACTTGCTTTACTGCTCCATTCGCCGAGTATGGAAACTCTTTGGGAACCAGCTGGAATCAGCTTATGTGTCTGGAATCAGCTTATGTGTGCTTATCCACGAGCCTACATGCAATGCCGGCAAACTGCAACTCAGTTTGAGTGAACAATGTTACTTTCATGGTCCCACTATTCCAGACCATGTCATTTTCCGTCCGTCTGACCGGGTCCTGTGCGCTCGTGCGCCCACTCACACGGATTCACATCTATGAGTGTCCCCGACACCACTCCAGCGTGAGTCACAGTCCATGCCTGTGAATTGGGCGGCCCCGGGGAGTACATTCCGGCTCGCAAAAAGCAACCCAGAACTTTCCTGTTTCACGCTGCATAGGTCCGTGCGGCTGTAGTGCGGATGCCATGCAACCACTTCGGACAGACATGTTCACTTCGAGGCTCAAACACTGCAAGTCTTGCTATTCTTTTTTTTGTTACGAGTCAAAAGGACTACCAAAGCCCTTGTGTACAATTTAGTAAGTGATGATACAACCACGACCCCCTGCCGACGTGCATGTGGCTTTCAATCTAGTACTGTGCTGCTTTCTTACCAGCTGGACGGCCCTGTTGCTGCCGCCGTGTCGTGAAGCGACAAATGTGAGATACCGGAACACCGTCAATATGCCAATTGAAACCCTGCCCCTAATATTTGTACACGAGTGACCGCTGTGAATGAAGAAAAAGAGAAAGAGAGGACCGTCCTTGAACGCCATTGCCCCATGCGGCAGTTGAGAAACCCGAGGCGTACACGACAAATGAAAAGTACAAATGAGATATGATTAACATTATGCTTCGGCTCATAACATTATCGTAGAGCATCAGATAAAGCGGTTGGAGCGAGGCGTCCCGCTACATCTCGTGAGCAAGACACGTCTTTGGTATGAACAGGTGAGAATGACTTACGAGGCAGAAGAGATATCGTCAACGTGGTTGCTCAGCGCCACAAAGAGGTCGAAGAAGAGCTGTGAGCCACCGTTGTACATTTCCAACTGCATTGTGCCGCTGCGCTTGAAGGTCGAACGGGAGCGGATGATGAGAGCGAGGTAGTGCGCGCGAAGCTTGGAGTCGCTGTCGGGCGTGTTGGCGTAGGCATAGCGGGCCGAGGCAAGAATGGTGCTGCACTGGATGCCAGATTCTGATGGTATTAGCTAGTCATGCGTGGCGTTCGGAATGGAGTGTACGTACGAAGACCTTGCTTGCGAAGAGCAATCTTCTTGAGTTCAGTGAGGCCGTACCGCTCCGCGGCACAGTAGATGACAGTATCTTTGAGGAGATCGCCCTCTACGTTCCGGTGGTAGACGGTGCTCTCGGCGGCAGCACTATCTTCTTCGGGTGTGGGCTCCAGTTCATATGAGTTCCTTCGCTTGTTGTGAACAAGGCGAGGGAAGTAGTCGCCCTTGTACAGAAACTCCAAGACGGAGCTGAAGATCTCGGGTTCCTCATCGGGAAGAGCGATTCTCTTGGTTGTGGGATCCATGTATCCATTTCGAAGGGCATTGGCGAAGAAGGAACTCGATCGTAGAACGTCTTCGTGAGCGGCGAAGAGGCGCTGCTCTGCGCCAACGACAAGAGTGATGATTGTAGAGGTGCTTTTGAGTTTTAGTGTGGTTCGTGGAGGCCACACGACCGGCTATGTAGTAGTACGTACTTGCTCATAATGGTATCAGCGGTCATTGACGTGGAAGCCGTGCCAGGCCGACGCGATCGGGAAGACTCATGGCGCCTTTTCTGGACTCCACTGTCTTTGCTGAATGATGAGCTAGACTTGTTGGCTTTGCTGTGACCTTTTGAAAAGCTCTTGCTCGATGTCTTAAATTGTCGGCTGCTTGTGAACATGATGGGCATGGACGGTCGTGAGGACTGGAATGCGAAATCGAGGTGGTTTTGTGTGTCCAGAAAACGTTGCAAGAAATGACACCCCGTTAAATCAAATAAGAAACAAAGATTCGTTTGTCGTAAATGTTTGCGGGCTTGGTCGACGACTTACCTTAGGCATCAGGCACCCAACGTGAATGGTCGAGGGAACAGCAGACCTGAGTCTCGCAGCATGCGGTGCAGAGGCCATACTTATACGATTGCCACGCAAACGCAGCCGGCCAGGCGGAAATCAGCGCCGCCAGGTGAGCCTGGCCGGCGCAGGCCAAGTGAGGCAACGGTTGAGGGTGGTGATAACGTACGTCCCACGACGCGTTTCCTTCCTACTGGTCGCGTCGGGGGGGTGGAGGGGTCGCAGGAGTAGCGCGACCTTGTCGCCAATGCACGTGATGGGTGCTCCAAAGTCACGAAACGTCGTTTGCCGCCTAAAAGGTGCAGTAGGCAACCACCCGGTACAAGCTTAATAAAAACCCTGGTTAGGGGTTGCCCAAGCGTCGAGTCAGAGCCTGGAAAAAGCAGTGCAGGGGTTTTAGAGCTTGCGTATGAGTTGTCGTCCGAGGACCAAGGGGCTGTGTGACGTGCTCCACCAAGGACTGGACGGCGTGCATGCACGATGAGCCTGGGGTTTCGGTCGGCAATGCTTCAAAGGTTCAGCAGTCTTAGGACAAAGGTATAAGAGAGTCTCGCGATTGCGAGCTTTTGTTGACTAGTTGAGTACCAATTCAACGCCTCGCAGCTCCAAGCAAGCCCACGACAAGGTCAATATCTTTGGTTGGGGTAAACAAGAACGCACGATGGTCGTGAGCTGTGCTCGGGCCCTCGTCCGGGCGCCCACCTAGCGAACCAAAAGGGCAAGGGTGCGGACCAGGCTTTAGTTCATTCAAAATGACGATAGCCTATTTATTCATTGGCGCAAGGCACCACGACGCAATTGGAAGCCAGCCCCAGCACCCGTCTCACGGTCTGCCGATCTTCACACTGCTCCCTTCACTTGATGCCTGATACTGCCATACTGGCGAGGCAGGAATATCACGGTGACTGTCAACTGATAACGTTGTGTGCCGGCTCGAATGTTGCACCCGCCCACTTTAGACATGGCTCCCATGTCCAAGGTCACGTTTGTCGTGCTCTTCCGACGGCTGACGCGATGGACTGCGCAATGGCTTGCTTGCCTTGAGGTCTCACAATGACTTCATTGTGAAGAGCCGATCGAATCTTTGACCTCTCGACGGGGAGCCCGAGATCTTGGCAACGTTCAAAGAGACGTTGTCCAAGTTTGCAGGGCACAAGCTCGTCCTTGCCTGCCTCGACCATGTAGATCCCAGGTTGTTGCGCCCCAGAGGCCCGCTCGCGGATGATGCCCAAATTGGTCCAGCTGTCCATGAAATTCCGCAGAAATGGCCACAAGTATTGATACGGCAGCCACTTTTGCGGATAGAGCGCTTTCAACATGTCGCGAGTGGAAGTGAATGGTGTTTCCAGCACCAAACCGTCCACCTTCATCGCCTTTGTTGTCGCAGCCAGTTTGGTTGCGAAGCCACACCCAATGCTCTGCCCATATAGTATCAATGCTGGTGGCTTCGATTCGTCCACCGCGCTTACATGCTGGCTGTGTCTCGAAATCCAGCGAATGCCAGCCTCCGCATCCATGTTAATTCCTTTCTCGGAGGCTCGATCGTGCGAGGTCCAGTAACCGCGGTAGCTCAGGCAGACAACGACGTAGCGTGTCTTCGGATCGATGTCACGCAGCCGGTGTAGAACTGCGGAGAGGTCGGGCAGCCGCGGCGGTAGAGAAGATGCGTTCCCTATGAGATTGATCAGCACCAAGGGCTCTATACGCCGTTGAGGGTGTCCCTACCCTGAAAGTACATGACATAGGCCGGCGGTAGCTTCAAATCTACCTGGCTTCCTGCAACCTCGTCGCTGATGCACAATGCGATTTCAGTACCATCCAGACTTTTGATCCTTTCTTCGCGCCAACCGATCCCTCGACACTCCCTCACAAAGTCCTCGATACGCATGCTACGTGAATTGGGCGGCATGAATGGATTGTATATGATTGTGTTCTGGAATAGAACCAACATCATGCACTTCCACGTCCACAGCGCCACGAACAAGCCGGTCAAGATGAGAGGCGGCCCTAGAACGGCCGGCAGATGTAGGTGTCGCCGAGCGCGCATAGTGCGCCATTGGTAGGTACATAGTTCTGGTCGTCGAATCGAAACCGATAGCATGCGAGAGGCTAGAAACGGGCCTCTTCTGGCAACGACCGATAGAGTGCGCATGATCATCGACACCGCGGTGGGTGCGCTGTTGCAGAGTGCTTATTGCACCTGCAACGCGCGTGTCACGAGCTGCCCATAGGTCGTTGCGGATGGGCCGCGCACTGCATGCTGACGAAAGAGCGTGATTAAGTGCCTGCGATAGTAGTACTCAGTGAGTGGCAGAGTACCGGGCAATGATGGTGTCTTTGTAGGCGAAGCTTGTTTGTCAGTTTAAGTGGTGGTGGCTCGAAAGGTGCCTTGCCGCATGCCCCGCGGGTCATCATCTGCTGATCTCACCTATTGGTGGCAGTTGGCGAATACCTCCACAGCTCTGTTTCTTCGCCTTACAAATATACGTCCTCCCCAACTCTTAACATCCATCAACTTTCAGCTACGTTGTCGCATCCCCTGACCATCGCATCGATCGAAAGTTTTTCTTGTGTTGCGCGCGACAAACGCAGCTTCTACAACATGTCCGCGCCAGAGAATGACGGGCACGCCCACATCGAGGTCCCCGAGGGGCACAACCAAGACGAAGAGAACACTGGCATGACCAGCAAGAATGGCTGGGACGGCAAGCTTCGCATTCCCAAGTCAGCGCTTCTTTCGAACCCGGAGGCCCTATCAGATCCTGAATACTCGGACGAGGAGAATGTGTTGGAGGGCGAGGAAATCCCTGCGGACCAAGGTGAGCAAGCATGTGCTCCCCAAAGGAGCCCTGCCCTGTCTGACGAACGATGCACAGATCTTCTCAAGGACGAACCCGCCGACACTGACGAAATCATGTGCATCCACTCGCGCATCGGCTCCATGGGTGCGTTGAAGCTCGAGCGCTTCAAGAGCGTTGTGCGAATCTGCCTCCGCCAGAACAGGATCCAAGAAATCGAGGGCTTGGAATCCCTCGCCGCGACGCTCGAAGACGTCGACTTTTACGACAACCTCATCAACCACATGCGCGGTCTTGACGGACTCACGAAGATCAAGTGCCTCGATCTGAGCTTCAACAAGATCAAGCACATCAAGAACATCAGCCACATGACCGAGATGAAAGAGCTATTTCTTGTCGCGAACAAGATCAGCAAGATTGAGAACTTGGAAACTTTGACGAAACTGACCTCTTTGGAGCTCGGGTCGAATAGAATCCGCGAAATCAAGAACCTCGAGTCCTTGCAGGCGCTCGAGGAGCTGTGGCTGGCCAAAAACAAGATCACCGACCTCACCGGACTGGGCGGTCTACCGAAACTACGACTGCTCAGCATCCAATCGAACCGCATCACCGACTTGTCGCCTCTCAAGGATGTTCCCACCCTCGAGGAGCTGTACATGTCCCACAACATGCTCGACTCACTAGCTGGTATCGAGTCCAACATCAATCTAAAGGTGCTGGACATTTCTCACAACAAAATCTCAAAGCTCCAAGGATTGGGTCCGTTGAAAAAGATTGAGGAAATCTGGGCCAGCTACAATCTTATTATAGATTTCAACGATGTGGAGAGGCAACTCAAGGACAAGGAGGCCTTGACGACTGTCTATTTCGAGGGAAACCCTCTGCAGCTTCGTGCGCCAGCACTGTACCGGAACAAAGTCAGGTTAGCTCTGCCGCAGGTGAGCCAGATCGATGCTAGTAAGTCCTTTGCCCTTGATCATCACATCTTTCAAAGCAAACAGGAGCTAACGTCGGGTATAGCGTATGTCAAGGTCCCATAGGATATGAATTCACGCAAAGCAAGGCGTTTGGGAGACTATGGCTGTAACATGCAAAAACCAGCCGCTTGCGTCTCGAGAGAGCAAGCACATCACTGGCTACGAGGGCAAAATTTGTGATTTGACTGATTTGCATTTGAGCAAGAATTCGGGCTATACCTGTTTTGACATTTACAAATATGCGCCCGTCATATTTCTTCTCAATATTGCCTTCACGCGTACTTAACCGAAGATCCAGAGCTTCTCGGTAGGGAAGTACTAAAGTAACGTCAGCATGGACATGGCAGCTGAGGGCTGGTGAGCGACTTACGTTTGTGGGCTGGTTGAACTTGAGGTTCAGGTCCATCTTGGCGATACGGTCGATCTCCTCCTGGTCGAGGTTGAAGTCTGTGTGGTTCAGGTTCTGCTCCATGACAGCGGGGCGCGAGGTCTTGGGGATGACCGCGATGCCGCGCTGGGTGGCCCAGCGCAGGAGGACCTGGGCGGGGGTCTTGTTGTGCTTGGAGGCCATGGCCTTGATGGCCTCATGCTCCATGAGGGGGGCGGCGCCCTTGGCGCGATCCATGTCGAGCTCGATGAAGCCGGTGGGACCAAAGGAGGAGTAGGCAGTCACCACGATGCCCTCGGCCTTGGCCAGGCGGACGAGCTCGGTCTGCTGGAGGTAGGGGTGCAGCTCGACCTGGAGAGTGGCCGGGCGGATCTTGGCGTACTTGAAGGTGTCGTAGAGGGTCTGAGCCTGGTAGTTGGAGACGCCGATGCTCTTGGCGAGACCTTTCTCGACGAGGCCCTCCATGGCGCCCCAGGTCTCCTGGTTGGTGGCCTTGCTCCAGCGGATCTCACTCTTGCCATCATAGTGCCAGCCGGGGGGGTAGCGGACGCTGGGGTCGACGTACTCGAGGGCGACGGGGAAGTGGATGAGGAAGAGATCAAAGTAGTCGACCTGCCAGTCGGCGAGCTGGCGGCGGGTGATGGGCTCGACCTTGTCCTGGTCGTGGAAGGTCTGCCACAGCTTGGAAACGATGAAGAGGTCCTCGCGCTTCACGAGGCCATCCTTGATGGCGCGGGCGACGCCATCACCGCACTCCTTCTCGTTGCCGTAATCTGGAGGGCGAAACAGAGTCAGCCAAGGTTCTCATCTATGCAGTCATAGTCTTGGTGGCGCGTGTATCGTAGCACTGCTGCGTGTCGACGATCCGCCAAGAGGCTTTACCCGGGGAGTATCGCTCGGGACAATACAATGCCGACGAAGCTGTGCGACGCAGGAGGAGGGGCGAGGCACGGCGCAATGAGGGGCAGGCTGCAGGGTTCTTTCTTTCAATTCAGGCGGATAGCGGGGGGCGGGGCAGCAAAGCTTATGCCACCACCACCACCACAGACAACCACGAACCATCGTGACGTCCACAATTGCGTTGCGCCGGCGCAATTTGTCGTCTGAGGAGGTGCAAACAGGAAAGAACGGGTCAGACTCACCGCAAGCGCCATCAAACAGACGGTAGCCAGCCTTGATGGCATTGTAGACAGTGTCGGCGCAAGTAGCGTTGTCGACCTTCCAGAGACCGAAGCCCACAAGGGGCATCTCATGGCCGCTGTTGAGCTTAACGGTAGGCGAAGGCATTGTGGCGAGAGTGCGAAAGGCGCTTCGAATTGGATGTAGAGGCTGGATACTGGGCAGGTATCTGCTAGCAGGACGTAGGACAGCGCGACAGGAGAGACGTGGTGTTGCGAGAGAGAGGAGACGCGCGGAGGGAGACTGGAACATGGACGAGGGGGGAGTAGTAGTATAAGAAAAAGGGAACAGATCAAGGGCATGGGACGATGAGGGTGTCTGAACCCTAAGTACTTGCTGTCTTGGACTCTTCGCCAGCACAACGAGTCGTCCGTCTTGAACGATAGCGCACGCTACCTGACCACGCGTACCTCTCACGTCCAGGTCCCGCTGTCGTGAGAAGCGCATCCAACCGTGGCGTCTCGCAATGCGCATCACCATGCTGCGCGCGTAATGTACATAGGTATGTTCGTATACGTACGCATTCCACTAGCTGTCAAGTCCACGCGAACGTGCCAGTGGAGCGACTATGGAAAGCCACGTCCTGATTGGCATGGCTATACTCTACGGTCCCCAAGGCGCATGTAGTGGATAATGCGGATTGCGGCTTTGGAAAAGGGTGGGCGGCCCCGGTAATTATTCCTAACCGGCTATTTGCGCGGATATTGATGAGCTCGCACGCGCCTCGCCATGACTCGACGGAACGATCTTTGCTTGTGTCGAAGTCTCCAAAGACCAGACATGATGAAGCGATTGCAAGCCCACCAATCAGGGCCACAACGGTACTGCGTCGACATGAAATGGTCGCTCAGGGTTCAAAACTTCAAGTCTTCCAAGTTCAAAAGGGAAATCTTGGGCGAGCAGCAAAACTCGTGTCGAGCTGCTATTTAGCCTGAATGCAATTCGATTTCCCCGAATCCCCGACACTAGTTAATTAATTACACCCGCAGGCTCTCCAAACGCGAAGTCGCCGCGAAGAGAGAGCCGGTGGATAAAGTACTACTCCAACCGACTAGGCTATGACGAACAGAGATCTTTCTTGCTTCGGCTTGTGCATTGTCATGGACAAAGACTGACCGAGACGTGGACAAGGCAACCCGCGCTGCGATGGGCGACAAAGATGGGCATCAATGCCCATGATCATGTCGAGATGACTACTTGTTGACCAGCTTGACCTCCATTGTCGCTCAGTCCCGCACGACAAGTACTCATCCATGGGCGACAATTGTGTCGTGGGACAACAAGACGACTCTGGCAATTCGGGGCGTCAACAATGGAGGCCCAGGGCTTTGCACTTGGTACCATGGTCCATGAGGCTTTGTGCTTGTTTTGAGTTGAACACAACACCGGCCTAGCAACCATGAACGACGCGCTTTGTCCCAAAGGTTCGCACGCCTGTCAGCCACGAGCATCTCGAGTCTATAAACCGTCGTGGGTTCGGGGTCAAATCACCTCACGCGCTTAAAGCCATCATCACCTTGCCCGTTTTCTTCCAACCGACACCGAAAGCAATTACGAGACTGTTTATTTACCATGGCGACAAATGTATCGAAAACCCCATATGGCTGGCCAGAGCTGGTTCTGCAAGACCGCCCCAATGTCCCACTTCCAGACATGAGGATACGCAACAGGCACACGCTCTTCTGCGCCATGGTGCGCGGGGATCCAACCGTCACCCTATGGCACCGCAGCTACCGAGACACTCTGGGGGAAATTCTCGACATGCCGTCGAACTTTTTCAGCCGCATCGAATACGTCTGGGACTACTGCTCCTTCCAGCGTGGCATCTATCCCGCTGACACCAGCAGGCAGGCCAAACACAGACTAGGCGCCAGGACTAACAATATCATGGCCACGGTCGTCAGACCGACGACCTGCAATGTCCCGGAACACAAGCTTGTCCGGAGGACAAACCTCCACCTATTCAATTTCTTTGGCTTCCGCCTGCAATGGGTCAAGGCCCTCGCATGGGGAGGCAACGGCGCGGCTACCTTGTGGCAGGCTCTGTACGAGGATGGGACAAAGGAGTTCTTTGTAATAAAGATCATGACAGGGGATTCCGGTCCCGCCGAAACAACGAAAAAAGTGAGGCAGGAGCGCGATTGGCACGACAGGTATGCCCGCGCCGAGTGCATCGTGCAGCATTACAATCCTTACCTGGTAGCAGATCGGCATACGGTCATCCATCCTTCTGGGGCGAAGCTGTTCCCCGGCGAGGTTGTCGAGTTTGACCAACTCGGTGCTCTGCCCCTCGAGTTCATGACGCGCGGTTCGCTCAAGGCTATCCTGGGCAAGGCTGCCGAGCTGAAGCTGACCTGGCCCAATGCCGCTCTGTGGCAGCTTCTCAGAGACTGCAAGTTTCCCTCCACCCCTTTTTGGTGAAGTTGATTCTTGAGCTGACCTGATAAACGCAGTGGCAATGGGCGTCAGCGAAGTGGCTCTCCACCGCGGATGTCTCGCCAAGTGGAAAACCACCCTCGCCGAGATGTACAGGGAAGAGCTTCTGCGTCGTCCGAGACATGCATGGCTCCGAGGTTGTCTGAAGCAGCTCAAGCCTGCGAACGACGTCCATTTTGATTTGGAGGAGAACAACAGTAAGTGCAATAGAAACCCAACGTGCTGACACAGCAAATGGAATGTGGTACTGACCAACGTGCACAGTCCTGGCAACCGATGCAATAGATTCCGAGGGCAAGCCATCGATACGATTTAAGCTCCACGACTTTGGCGGCTGGAGCTATGATATGGATGTTGAGTATACCTGCATGCTGGCTCCTGGCTACATGTCGATGCGCCGGCCACTCAAGCCTGGTCGCCATCTCCCCGAGCAGATTGTTCGAGAATGGGACGAGCAACCATACCCTGAAGCGGACGTGTTCCCAGCGCGCTATGCCGGTGCCGATTTGAACGACAAGGACTCGGTTGCTTCAGGAACAAAGACTCAGATCGCTGGTAGGTACGGCTTCTGGAGCAACACGTTCATCATCGCCAAGATGCTCGAGATGGCCATCACCGGCTACGTTCACACGCATCCGTTCGCGCCCAAGGTGCCCCGGGACCTTTGGAGCCAAGAAGAGCTGCGCGAGTCTTGTCCCAACGCCGCCCGGATGACTTGGCCAACATACGGCTGGCGACTAGCCGACCCGGCCTATGCGGAAGTTTGCCCCAACCTGCGCTGGCTCATCATCGCCTGTCTCTCTGAGGATCCGCGTAACCGTCCCGCGCCGGCCGACTTGCTGCCCCGGGTAGCCCTGTTCGAGCGCCAGGGGGCTATGAAAATGACCCACGAGACCGATACGTTCTGGATGCGCATCAAGGAACCCATGGGGGGGTCTCATGATGCTGATACTGGTCTCGATAGCAGTAGTGATGATGACGACAGTGAAGATGACAGCCCGGACGAGGACGACGACCCCAATGACGAGGATGACACCAAGGACGCCAAGAGACAGTGCGAAACTGAACTGACGCAAAAGCCCAGCAGCCGCGACGGTGAGAACGATGGCAAACGCGAAGATGAAGACGTCACCATGAAAGACGTCTTCACCGTGTGTGGTGTCAAGCGTAAGAATACCATGGACACCGGCGGCGTCTCGGCAACAGACGAGGCCCAGGACGGACACCGCCACAAGAGGGCTCGCCGCCATCTCGAGCCTCGAAAGGGTGTCCAGTATAACATGAAGGCTGCAAGGCGTCCTCTCGTGAGATGTCGCCCCAGGCTACCTCAGTAAAACGTCTCAAGTGAGATTGCGTAAGTACAAAAGAGATGCCGACAATATGACCGCCCTAGACCAAATCGTAGATGGTTGTTGAGCTGGCCTTGCTCCACTTCGAGCAAGCAAGTGCCTGTGGCTATCGTGTATTTACCATTCTTATCGCATTAGAACTGCTAATTAGCGTATACTATTTACTGCCCGCTTGCTTGAAAACGAAGATTATCCCTGCCGTCCCTCCGTGGTATCACGTCGTTCCAATATCCAGTCCCAAGTCAAGCACACGCGCACCAACACTTTCCTCCTCCTCAAAGCTCAAAGTTCGCATAGTCACACACGCAATCTCCACTGCCTGCTTGCACATCGGCAATCTGGACGCCATTGTCGTCCACGCACTCGGGTTGGCCCAGCACCGCCTTCTTCGTCTGCGTGATCTCGACATCACCTGGCCACGCGTTGAACTTGTCGCTGGCCTGGGCGTCCGGATTCCCCGTCACGCCTCGTCGCGTCCACAGCGTGGCCTGGAATTTCGTATCGGGAAACGTGCACTTCGCCGCGCGGTTCTCCGAGGTGAGGGCGTCGCTGGGCACGACTGTCCTCTCCATGTCAAACTCAAAGGTGACCCTCTCGTTGGCGGACCCCTTGTCCTCCATCTTGGTCGTCAGATTGGCGAACCTGGGCGCAAAGGGGTTCTCGGAAGACGTGACCACAAGATCGTTGTTCTCTGAGGTCGACAGGATCCAGAAAAAGGTGGCGTTCGACCCGGATTTGTACGGGTAGCATCGCCACGTCGACTCGCGAGATGTGCAGGACGTCGCCTGGCGCTGGAGTGTGGTCTCAAAGGAGTACGATCCCTCGGGGAACACTGGTTTCGATGGCTCTGGGGTAGATCCGTCGCTCTTTGAGCTGCCGCCCCTAGGGAAGCGAAGTGTCAGTATCAAGTGTATTGCCTGCTCCAGGGCGGGGAGCATACCCATTCTTCCGGCCCAAGGTGAGCCCGACGGATAAGCCGACAATCAGCCCAAGAAGTACCACGATCAACAGTCCACAGAGACACCATCTTGTCCTTCGCCGGCCGAACCACTGTCTCTCCCTCCAGCCACTCCTCTCCTCGCCAGCCGGTCCAGCTGCAGGGCCCCCCTTGGTATCTTCGCCGTATCTTGGTGGGGAGGTATTACCGTACGGCGGAGGTGGTATGCAGTTGCCATCCTTCTCCCCTATTGATCCCTGGGCTGCTCTCGCGGCCGCGGCCGCCGACATGGCCTGACTCCTCGCCAGCGCTCTTCGAGGCGACTTTCTCGGTACGCGGAGAGGGGTGCCTGGCTGTGGCCATATGATGTTCCGGTTGTAGACCTGAGAGTAGCGGTTGCTGTGGTGTGTCTCGTGCTCGGCTATGGGGGGCATCATGGGTTGATAGAGGGAGGAGGCCGACAGGGAGGAGCGCAGGCTGTCGCTGCGCTGCGATGAGGAGCCATCGTGTGCTTCCCGCAACGGCGAGGGTCTGGGTGGTGACATGATGATCTCTCTGGTCGGTCGCGCACGTCTCCTTTTCCTCGCAGCGAAACAACTTGGTTGTTAGTAGGAAGCAGGTAGCAGATGTGAAGAATCGGCAACAGTCTGCCTCCAGACAGCGCTTGTTCTTTCTGATGCTCTTTATAATCCCATTTAGAAATTCCCCTTTGCCGGATTTTTCTGCCCCTTGACGAAGCAGCCCTTCTCCTGCAGTAGCTTTTCTCCCCGGCGAGGCAGGGCGAGACAAGGGGTGGCGGCTCCTCTGTATGTCTGAGCCTCGCTATAGTGCACCTGTGCCTACACCTTTTGAGACAGTCGCTGGATTGGAGGCTCAAATGTATTTGATAGTATTGAGCACGCATATGTGCGCCGCGACGGTCAATCCCTTGGAAACGTGACCGGTGCGGCGTCCCTGGGAAAAACGGGGATACAAAGGGATCGAGGCACGATGACGAATGCGATTGGGATCTATTCATTGTTATACCATGCCCGCGCAGCCAAGGGCGCGGGGAGGAGGAAGATCCTCTCGCTACAAGACTGGACTGGCTGGAGCTGACGAGCCTGGCGCTGGAAGCTCGTGCTTCCGGGACGCTAGCGTCGAGATGCAGCCGCCTCCTGGCAGCCCAGCCTTCGATCAAAGGTGAGACTGGCTGCTGGGGAAAACGTGGTGGCTCCAACGGGAGAAACACTGCGCCTTCGACCTCGTAGGATCGCGTGATGAGGTAGCTGCATTCGAGTAGTGCCAGTATCTTGTTCAGCTTCACGTATTTGTACGGCTGAGAGGACCTTCACTTGCTAGTGTTGTTTGCAGCGCATCGAAGTGGAGTAAATTAAATCAATTAATCCATATCCATATCAACTTTAATCAGACAATAGATTCATACGCTCATCTCGACCCAAATATGAAGAGTGCCAGTAAATACCCCCGAAATGTCCAGCAACCGAGTCTATATTCCACGCCAATTTCGTTAAGACGGGAAACCACAGGAAAACAGAAGACAACGCCGCCCTAGTGTAAATGCGTATGTGAAGACAAAAGTGCCTTGCATGCGGGCACATGCAATTGTGACAAGGAAGAAACAAATAGATCAGGCTCAAATCTTTATTTACAGCACGGAGAGACCGCGGACAATGTGCGATGTCTCGTCCACCAGAGGCTGGCAGCCGAAGATGTCGACAAAGTCGTTGAGGCACTGGCTTCGCGCCTCGAGGTGGCCAGGCTTACGGCTGATACCCTCAGACGGGTCCATGTTGCGGTAGCGGTCGAAGCCGTTGGCCTCGAGAGGACCCCAGCCCGTGAGACTCGACGCAAGATAGTTGAGCGCAATGTCCTCGCAGTTGAAGTGCTCGTCAACGTAATCGCGGATCTTGACGGCTTCGGGCGCGTCGGACGAGTAGTGGTCAAGGAAGGCAATGTGCGAGAAGCACAGGTTGGTGAGGATCATGGAGTAGTGCTTCTGGCCGGACTTGTTGGTGCAGAACTCGTACTTCCATTCGCCGTCGCGCATCTCTGAGCAGCGGGGAAGGGCACCGACGAGACGGTACTGGGCGAACTTGCGCCAGGACTGGAAGACAAATTCGAGGTCATCGGGCTCGTAGTAGACGTCGTCGTCGGTCAGCAGAATCGCCTTGGTCTTGTAGGCGGGATCGGGGATGAGCTTCTCGTTGAGGCTATTGCGGGCGGACATGCGATAGCGGATGGGGACGCCGGACTTGGAGACGTAGTCCTTGGGGGGCTCCTCTTCGAGATTGTTCCAGACAACGACGAGTTCCTCGAGCGATGGAATGGGTTTTTTGCGATCCGTAAGGGCCTTGATAGTGGCCTGGAGCTCCTTGGGACGCTTGTATGTCTGCATAGCAATTCTGCACCCATTGTTAGCCGCTACGTGGTCACTGTCACGCCTTGGCGGGCTATCAAGCTTTTGATTTTTTTGGGGGCGGTGCAGCCAAGAAATACCAAGCGATTGATCGGGGTTCATGGGGGGAGGGAGCAAGGGTGCGTCGGCAACCAAAGCGCACGCGCCAGCGGCCAGGTAGCCAAGCCAAGCCCAGCCATGTTAAGCAAAACGTACGTGAACTTGTCATCACTCAGATGAGCATATTTCGCGTCGAGGGCCGTCAGCGGATTCTGGTCGCCTTCGCGCGAGACGCACGATTGGTGCTGGCCGATGCTGCTGAGGAACTTTTGAGGAAAGTGCACCTCGGGCGCGACGGTCCCGCCAAAGATGCGCGTGAGGATGGTGATGAAGATGATGGTCGTGAAGAAGATGACAGCACCGATACCCACACGCTTGAGGTTGCGTGGGTTCAGCATGCCGCCGCTCACAGGTTGCGGTGCCATGGCTGTCGCGACTGACGGGATCGGAGGATTTGCAGCAGTTTGATTCCGTCGAGCAAAAAGGTGAGGAAGGGAACGAGAAAAAAGGACGAGGAATTGACCACGCAGGACGGAGTGGATGGAAAGGGATGGATGGGGGTGAGGGGGGCGGGAGGCCAGGACCGTAAATTCCAGACCAGGTTTTTAGAGTCTGCTCGCCATCGACGATAAGGCCAGGGAACAAGAGCATGAAGGTCAGGTTAGAGGCAGCCTTCAGTTGCTCCATTACGAGCCTGGACCGCTAGCAGACAAGGGGTCCACGCTCAATCGCTCATTGTGCCGGAAGTACCCTAATAAAAAGCAAGCTCCAGTCGGGACTAGACTGCAGTGGCGTAGTGCCTACGTACTAGTAAAGGCAGGCCGAGCGCTGGCCACCGCAGTTTGCGCGCAATCACTCACCCAGACTTGGGCCCGTTCACAGAAGAGCCCAGGCCTTGAGGGGCTGTTTTGGAGATCTCCATCGTTTCATGTCCCATGCGCAATTGAGCATAGGAATCATCATGATCAGGGTCAATCCATACTGTACATAGTACATGGAACATGCAATAGGATTGAGGTGCTGCTGTACTGCCAAGCCATGACCGGAGTGGCCGCCCGCTTATCAGCCGCAGGCTACGGATTCGTCCTCTGGATTGCAGCAAAACTGCCGGGCCGAGCCAAGAACTACTGATTAATTAACTTGCTGTGGTGAGGTATTGTCGTAGCCGCGTGGTTGTCGCATCACGAAATCCAACACAACTGCCTTTTCTGCCGGATCTAGCCAATCGATTCATCATTCTGTAGATAAATTGGTTGACTCTACGTATCGTGACAGGAAACCCAGCGCGACCGTCACAGCAATACGATCTTTGCCATCCTCGTAAGGTGAAAAGGGTATCGTCCGTATGGAACGCGGCTCGCCCCTTTTCAGCGCTGCAAGCGCTAGCCCCAGCGCAGTTCATGGCGTGCTCCTCTACAGCGTCCATGCTGACCATGCATGGATTGGGTTGTATGCTACTGTAGGCAAATGAGTCGCTGCCTCCTATTCTCGCTTTTTAAGAGGTTCAATCTTGCTTCTTGTGAGGTTCGTGTTGACTGCGTTGCCGCTTGCCCCCCCTCTAGCCCGCATCACCATCGATCAGTCCAGTGGTCCACGGTCTGACAGCTGAGGCGCCACCAGCGGGATGTGGCGGCATTGGCGGGACGTGGGCTGCGCCGCCGCGGTGTGACGGCAGGGAATCAGCGGATGGATGATAGGCGACCCATGTCCCTCTCACTATTCGCTGGGACTTGTCACAATGACAGATTGTAAGATTTCCCACATGCGGAGTATAATAACCCTGCCCCTATTCAGTGTACCACTGGTAGTCCCGTGGCCCGTGGATCGTGTTCATCGAAATAGATCAGTACAGCCACTGGTGCTGGTCACAGGCGCTGGGTTCCCATTCGGTCTTCATCCTGACCATAAGCACCGCGTTCTGCAAGCTTCATGATCTCGGTAATCCAGATATATGAGTTTACGGATACTGTGACACCGAACCCTGCGTGGGCGGCATCAAGATCCTACTGTGGTGCTACCTACTGTGTAGTACGTGCGAATACTCGGGTTATCGTGAGGTTCTTGCAATCGCGGCAGCCAAGCCCTTCCAGAAGCTCACTGTAATAGGCCAATAGTCGCCTAGGCTTGAACTTGGCAGTGGTCTAATGTAAAAGTTCTGACTTCTTGTGGCTTCTGACTGACAGTCCTGGGCATGTTGAAGTTGAACAACCAGACTGTGGCACACAATCAAGGATGCATTCCTGATTCTTGGCGAGCACCGAGCAGAGTACATACAGTAGGTATGCGTACAACATCGTGCGAGTCGCTAGAAGTAGGTCACTGCCAGTCGGTGTTCAACAGCTGGTCGCATAGCTACATGTACCTAGACGGCCTGTTCTATGGTGGTAACCCCCCGCGCCCAAGGCCATGAACTGCTCAGGCGTCCACTGCCTCAACCTCTACACCTTCGCTCCCTGCCTTGTACGACGATGCGGTCTCGCCCTCCGTCTCGGACCTGCCATCGTCTTTCTGCGTCTCCTGAACCTCGGTCTCGCCCTCAGCGACTTTGCCTGCATCGTCCTTGGCATACGAGGGCGCTTCCAGAGACTCGCCCGCCTCCGTCCACACGGCCGCAAGCTCTGCCTCGATCGCACTTCTCCTCGTCTTCCAATCATCCACCTTGGACAGCCTCTCGCGCAGCTCTTGCAGCTCCTTCTCGACTTGCAGCTTCTCCCGCTCCGTGCCGATGCGCTCAAACTCCCACTCGTCGCCGTTGTCGCCCTGGCCCAGGATGAGGTTGTACGTGTGGTACTTCTTCAGCGAGGCCCTCGTCGAGATCGTGATTAAGGCTGCAGGCGTCCATTAGCATGTTTCCAAAGCAGTGCGTTTCCCTAGCCTGCCGGCTAGAACTCACTGATGCCCTTTTCCTTGCATGTCTCATACAGCAGACCTTCCACATCGCTCGAGACGGCACTGGTGCCCTCATCGATGATCGCGTACTGCGGCTCGTGATACAATAGACGTGCAAAGCCCATTCTCTGCTTTTCGCCACCACTCAGCACATCCTTCCATTCCTTGCGCGTGTCCCAGCCGCCCTCACGGTCGGGCAAGTAGCCGAGCTTGGCTTCCTCCAGGACACGCTTGAGGTCGTCTTCGCTCTTACGTTTCTGTCGCATGTCCTGATGGCCATCGGGGTAGATCACCTGGTCACGAAGGGTGCCGGGGCTGAGGTAGGGGCGCTGGGGCAGGAACATAATACCGTCTTCGCCAATGTTCTTGGGCCGACTGACAAGGCCGCGGTAGACGGGCCACAGGCCTGCGAGGATGCGCGCGATGGCACTTTTGCCGACGCCGTTGGGCCCGGAGATCTGAGAAAGCGCTCGTCAATATACATGATTCGGCAGTGAAACAATTGGGTCAACTTACAAGGAGATGCTCGCCACTGCGAACGATGAGGGACAGCGACTCCAGCAGCTCTTCGCCGCCTTGTGGCCACAGTCCAGGGGCAACGACGGGGACATGCTCAAAACGCACGCCATCGAATCCCTTCTGGATGGTGCCTTGCACGTCGGACGCAGAGTAGAGCTCGTTCTGCCCCTTGCGCTGGTAGTAGGCGTTGGCATGCACACGATGCAGGGTGGAGATCAATGTGTACACTCGGCTCGTGTGGCCAGCAAGCTCGGAAAGATCCTTGATGGAGTACATCATGCGACCGCCGGCGTCGGCCAGCGAGAGCATGAGCCTCTTGTTCGTGATGAACTCCCTCATTCGGTTGCGCTCCCGGCCGCCCTTGACCGCTCCAGCTGCCATCTCAGCAGCCCCGCCAATGCCGCCCCAGGCTGGGAGGAAGACGGGCAACGAGGCGAGTAGATAGCCGTAGGCACTCCAGCTGTATTTCAAAATGAAGTCTTCAAGAATGTTGTAGCGGATCTTGAGCATGTAGATACCCTCCATCCAAGTTTTGAGCGACTTGAACTCGCGGTTCAGAAAGGTCTTCTCCATCTCTGCGCCACCGTAAAAGGCGACTTCCTCGGCGTTGGCAATGAGACGGGCATGCAGACTTCGGAAGTCGCCCTCCTTGCGGCCCTCGACTGCCTTGAGCTTGCCAAAGGGGGGCGACAGCCTTCGAAGGATGCTGGCTGTGAGGAAGTAGTTACTCAACAATCCCGTCAAGGCCAGGGGGCCGAGTGATCGGTACAGCTGGAAGTTGAAAACGCAAAGGTCGACAAACGGCTTGCCAAGGGATGAGTAGAGTTGCGCTGCCGATGCGCAGAAGAGTGTCAAGTCTTGCGTAATGAACTGGTCGGCGCCTTGTCCAATGCCACCGTCCAGGTTGGAGAGCTTGTAGTAGTTCAGGTTGTCGTTGAGGTAAAGATCGTGGATATACCTCGTCAGTCGCGTCCGGAAGGCGATGGATACCTTGGACTCGAGGAATTTGATTGTGGCATTTGTGTAGGAGGCGAAGCCACCGAGACCACACCACTGACTGGTCAGCGACAGTGTCTGTCAGAGCTTGCCTGGGAGTGGACGTACCTTTATGATGCCCCAGAGAAACTGTCTACCGTTCCCTGCTACAAGATCACGTACAATCTCACCGTCTAGTCGGGCAACAACCAGAGACAGATATGTCCTCAGCATGAGGAACACTCCATGACTGATCAGCAGCCCTGCCTCCTTGCTCGACCATCTCGGCAGCATGATGCTCATCAAGCTCAGGAACTGGTGCAAGAACGCTAAATTGAGCCCTGGCTTGGTCTGCGCCGAGGGCACCGTTCCATCTCCCAATCCTGACACACGCGGAGGGTTCAGAAACAACCGCCTATGTGCCTCAAACGTCAAGGGCTTGGTCGTATTGATCACAACTTTGGTCGTGCCATCCTTGTACGGGACATAGATCGTCCTGGACCCATCTTTGTTGTGTAGCCACGAGTTTGTCCTGACCAGCTTCCGCCCTTGCTCGCGCTCATGCCGTCGATTCTTCCACCACCTGCGTCCGCCCTCGGCGCCGAGGATGATTGATATGAGGAGCGAAAGCGTTGCGGTGATGCGCGTGAGACGTGAGGTGCGACCTAGTCGGGAGCGCAATATGTGTGTCCATTTCTCAATGAAGGCTTCGGCGACCGTATGGCGCAGGGTGGACTGGACGACGGTCATGGTGAATGATGACGTTCCCCGGAGGGCAGTCACTCTTTAGGTGTGCATGGGAAGGACTGGTCGTCGATTATAGGAAGCGATCGAACGATAGCTTCAGAAAGTCGCAGGTTTGCGGGCAATATGTGATGTCGTATGTTGAGGGATGTCGGCTCAGGTCTTTGGTTTGGCCCATGTGAAGGAAGCTGGCCAGTTGCTCGTCGCTCGGACATAAGGTAAGGTACCTACGTACGCGACGTCGTCACGGCATGTGAAGACCGAGGCTCAGCACAGCCAAATCCGGGGTCCGGGGCATTTCCCGCCGGCACCGGTCAGCCACAGCCTGTTCGACCTACCCTATCCCACCGACGGATATCATTTGATCTCACCTGCTCAAACCCTAGCTTCAGATAATAGTCAACAAAGATAATGATACGAACACCTCATGTACTATAGGGTTATATGGTCTATGAGATTTGTTCACGGACCCAATGCTATGGACTTCGACTGAGATACCTTGCCATTGGTTTGTCGTCCCCTCACTCACGTGTTTTGGCCTTAGTCCTGGGCATCTGGTCAATGCCATGGACAAAGCCAAAGCCACTTTACATAACTATTGAGGAATTCCTGCATCGTAAATCGTTGCATCGCACTCTCAAGATGACCAGGAGTTTCCGAATTACTACCGGCACCAATACTAGCAGTGAAGAACAGGAATGGTATCTGTTCGTCGAGCCCCCATAAGAAGTCGTGGGCGGCAACACAGCCAATGAAAGGAGGCTACAACGCATGCGCTGTGCCAGTCCGTCGCTCGACAACTTGGCCATCACACACTACATTTTGACTGGCGTAGCAAAGGCGGGTTCCTTTTACCGTACTACGTACATACCTACTCCGTACTGTACTAATTAATGGTCTGTCGGTCATTTTGGTTTCTTAAACGGAGCTGGATCAGCCCCACAGCAGTTTAGCCGCTCAGGGTAGCGATAGGGGTGCCCATTAGCTGGCTGTCAATCCACTGAACACCACTTGAAGAGCTGAGGAAGTCAAACTGAAGGTGATGATGATATTTTACGTTGTCATCGAAGCTGATGCCGCGCAAAAGTACGCACGTACCCGTACGCCACACATTCGTAACCTCGCAGCAGTCACGGATCAAGGACAAGTCAATTGCGAACCTGATGGTTGCAGTGAGTGGATTGACTTTACAGGACAATCTTCAGCTAATTTCTTAGCGCTGGCCGGATGAGCAGGGATGGTACATCACGTTGAGAGCTTAACAGAAAGGCTATTTCGCACTGCTCTACGTCTGGACATAGCGCGGGGTAGCACAGTGCAGATAGCTCATCCCCATTAACGCGCTATGTCCTGCCCACCTTGGCTAATCTCAACGGCCCCATAATTATCAATTACAGCTGCAGCCATACTGAAGCCCCGAGAGCCAAAGCAACCATTTCGCCTGTCTTCCGGCCCCGGATATCCCAACTCGACGTTGTGCTGCCGACCTTCCTGTTGGTCTGGGCCCGCCGCATCCATCCACCTGCCTCCCGTTCCTCCTCTTCCTCTCTGGCGCGATCCTCCTTAGTCAATCTTGCATCTTGGGAGCTCCACGCGAAGCTTCACAGGTGCAATTCTGCTCCCGGGCACTGCTGCTTCCTCTTCTCTAATTATTGCCAGGCTTGCGACATTCGGACGAGACTGCTGGTGTTTTCCCCCTCCTTTTCAACTTTTGATTCCACTCATTCTTCCAAGGCGCCTAGCGCCTCGATTGTCTCATTTCAACCTTGGTCTGCCCGCCGCGCCACATCTCGCTGTCTCTGTTCTCTTGGTCTCGCAGCCCAGCCCAACATCCACCTCGACGACACAGCACTGTCACAAACCTGACGACAGGACTGATTGCCTCCTGCAGCACACACGGCTCCCCGAAGCTGTGCCAGGATTAGATCGAAAACAGGCGGATATTGATCTGCGGTCACCGTCCCGAGGACATACGCCCGATTCACGCTCACACTGGAGCGGTGGATAACTCGGCGTAGTAGTCAAATAAGGTCAGTAGGAGCGCCACTGTATTGGCGGGCAAGACTGTTATTTCCAACCACCCCCAACTTCCAGTTGCTGTCGCGGAACATTTCTTATGTAGCTGTTGTTTTCGTGCCTGCTGCAACGTCGAGCGTCGAATACCCCAAGCGGTCAACGCTTCGAGGCGCACCCACCGCCTACTCGAGCCCCCATTCCATTCGATTGAGCTGTAGGCTGGACAGCCACTGACAGCGTCTAGTTCTGGGCACTATGTCTGCCGTGACAACCACGACTACGAACAACGAGATACAGAGCGTGCAACCCCCCGCCGATCGCCAGGCTTCTGACGTCCAAGACACAATCGGCCCTGACGTGAGTGCCAGCAACCAAGATCGCGGACTTCTCAGGGTACCATCGCGCTCGTCCTCTCACAAACAGTCATCGCCCGCCTCTACAGGACTCAGTGGGCAGACGATAAGCGACTCAAGGACAAGTCTCGACGGCCAGTCGCGGACTTCGAAGCGCAGCTTCCTTGGTCGTCAACGCAACGGCAGCGCGTCCAGCAAGCGCACCGGTGACAACAGCGACACGATGAATTCGACAGGAAACACAGCGCCCAGCTCGCCAGCTCAGAAGAGGAAGAAGAAGAGCGGTGGGTTCCTATCCTTCCTGGGTTGCTGCGGGGCTCCCGATTCTGGCAACAACGCGGAAGGGGAAACCGAGAACGTCCACAAGCTTGACAAGCTTCCGCAAAGGCCAGCCACTGCCAAGTCAAGGACGCAGACCCCCCAGGATGCGAAAGATGCCAAGTCGGCGGATCCGAAGGAGGATGAGCCGCCGTCGCACACCGTCGAGGACAACCACACGCCCGCGGCGGATGATGGCGACAGGATAGCTCCTGTCGAGGGCAGCTCGAGCAAGACCGCTACTCCTGCTGTCACGATAGAGCCGCCTCAAGCGCAAACCAACAACAGCGAGCCAGCTGGCAAGCATGTGGTCGCCGAGGATGTCTCGATGGGCGATGCTCCCATAGACGAATCCGCCAACGGAGCAGTTGTGACGGCAGAGCCAGAGACCAAGGAGACTATCCCGCCTCCACCGCCGCCTATTGTCCCTGCCACAACAACAATTACGCTTGCGGAGCCCCCAGTGGCGCAACCCCAGCAAGCTTTGCTGCCGCCCTTGGCTCCTGCGCTGAAGGGGAGAAAGTGTCTCGTCTTGGATCTCGACGAGACGCTTGTCCACAGTTCGTTCAAGGTACGTCGACGTTCTTGACTCAAATTTGGGTGCATTGGCTGACATTTGCTGTAGATACTACACCAAGCCGACTTTACAATTCCTGTGGAGATTGAGGGGAACTACCATAATGTGTATGTCATCAAGCGCCCCGGCGTCGATGAGTTCATGAAAAGGGTTGGTGAGCTGTACGAAGTCGTTGTCTTCACGGCTTCCGTCTCTAAGTACGGCGACCCGCTTCTGGACCAGTTGGACATCCACAAGGTCATCCACCATCGGCTGTTCAGAGAGAGCTGCTACAACCACCAAGGCAACTATGTGAAAGACCTTTCGCAAATTGGTCGCGACCTCAAAGACACCATCATCATCGATAACTCGCCAACCTCATACATCTTCCACCCTCAGCACGCCGTGCCTATCAGCAGCTGGTTCTCCGATGCTCACGACAACGAGTTGCTGGACTTAATCCCTGTCCTCGAGGATCTTGCAGGGTCGACAGTGGCCGATGTCAGTCTTGTTCTCGACGTCACTCTGTAACGATACCACACAGCGATTTCTTTACTACCTATTTGGCAACGCCGTTTGAAAAGAAAGCACACGCACACAGATCATCATGCGGAACGTGCATCATAGCGGACGGCGTTCGGTTCAAAGACCTCTTCTGGTTGCTGGTGTAGATTGCTACTGTTTAATCTTACCTACATAATGTGCTTATGGTCCGACGAAACCTGCGGCTCGTCTATCCGTCTCGGTAAGCCAGTCGCTGCAAGGCCGACCCATTCTCGAGTCGACACCTCCGCACGGGTGAGGCAATAGCAGAGAAGGCGCGGGAAAGTCGTTGCTCTGGAGCGTCGACTCGCTACAGTGCCTATGGAGCTGTGCTAGAAACAGCCAACAAAGGGAAGGATCGAGCCTCCTCTCTACGCCCTACCATATACACATGTCCATCAGCGGGGTTGGTCTTCTTGTCTTACTTCTTGAAGCCTTTGCCCATGGCCTTGTTCTGTTTTATTTTTATTTTCATTTTTTTCATTTGTTTGGAGAAGTTGGGATACTTTGTTTCGTCGAGCTGGTCTGCCCCCTTTCTGTTCATATGGGCATACAGTTGGCCGCAGCCGAAAGAGGTCAGCGGGCGATGTCATGCAAAGATGAGCGGAATACATCAGGATGGAGAAGTGATACCACTAGTATACATGTTGAGAGGGAATGCCAATGTAATTTTTCAGTCCATGCTGAACCAATGCTGTCCAAACCTCAGTCAAGACCAAGGCATAGTACGAGGTATTCTTCCATGGTATCCTTCATGATGGGTGAGGAGCACGCATCCACCGGAGCCGGAACAACCAGTTCCGGTGGCGCGTGCCCCCCTTCCCCAGCCCAGCTTGGCGGGCCGTCTGTCCATTGTGGTGAATCTGGCCACATTGAATTCAGGGACCCCAATTTCCAGCTAAACGACCAGCCAGCCGCAGCTCAACCTCTCGACGGATCCAATCGACTTCTTGTTGAGCTTCCACTCTAACGCCTTCGTCCTTTCTTTCGCTTCACTTTTGATTTTCTCTCGAGGCTATACCACGCCTATCTTTATCCATCCCCAAATTTCACAATGGTATGCGACCCCGATTGACGCGATTGGCGAGAGCGCCACCCCAAACCGATAGGCCTCATGCGAGCTCTGGCTCTTTGCGTGCGCATCCATCCGATGCGGACATGCTCTTGCAATCGAGCAGAAGAAGAGATATACCTGGGCTGACACTCTGCGATTAGTCGTCCCCCCGACCCTCCTCGCCCGCCAACGCCGGCGCTGCCAGCGGCGCCAGCATCGGTCGCCCTTCGTCGCCCACACCCCCTGGCGGTCCCCGAACGGCCATCCGCCGCCGTGCCGCCGCCGATCAGAAGGAGAAGATTGCCAATGCGCGCCCGACGAGCACCCGGTCTGCCGGCGCCGGTGGCTCGACAAGCACAATGTTGAGTACGTTGCCCATATGTGCTGGCTGCTAGCAATGCAGTTGGAAAGCAGAGCGAAAGTTATACTGACTTGGTGGAATAGAGCTGTACACCGATGAGAGCGCAGGGTTAAAGGTTGATCCCGTCGTCGTGCTGGTTCTGTCTCTGGTCTTCATCTTCAGCGTCGTGGCTCTTCACAGTATGTTACTCCCCCCCACAAGACGAGCGATTCCGCCAGACTCGGTACTAACATGCCACGCACAGTTATTGCTAAGATCACGCGCAAATTCTCGAGCTAAAAGGCTGGTCAAATGGTCAAACGTCGAAGTGGGCTGGAGTTGCTGCGCGGAGCAATGGAGGCTGGGATGGGTGCCTCTGAGATACAATGGCTTCACATCGACACGCTCACTTCTCTCTCAAAGCCCAATCCGCCGCAACATATGATAGTATGAATTTGCGCGGATAACGCTGTGGAGTTGCATGGGGAGTGATAGGTGTGGGCAAAGTCCGCTGTACTATACCCATCAATGGTCCTTGCATAATTTAGGGTTTCTGATTTGTCGCGATATCTTCTTTCCAAGTTTCATGGGCCGGCCTCAACATCCGTGCTGTCACTACTTTCTGCGTGGATTCGACACTGGGCATCTACACAGACCTTTCACGTGACACGACAGCTCGGGGCTCGGGTGACTGCGCGTATAACAGTATTTACATCGCCGGTTCTTGAGCTAACTGTGTATAGTCAACGGCAACGGTTGCGCACTGCGAGGTTGCATGTGCATTTCTTCCAAGGAACACAAGTGACAGATTCCACCTGGATCATGGAAGAGACTTGGTCTCTACAGCTCTTTGCACTGCATGAATTGCGCATCCGTGTGGCACAGGATGAACGCCGAGAAGGAAATACAAATCTCGGTATGGAGTCTTCGGGCATACCTGGTGCTGCTCCAAAGCTTATACGTGCGAGACGCACCTTAGCCACTGTGAGGCTCGCACGGGACTGAACAGAAGGTTAATATTGTCACAGCCCCAACCCAAACGAGTGTTCGTGGTGAGGTGACCTTTCTGCTATATTAGCTGCCCCCAGAAAGCCCGTTGAGCCAGAACTGGGATGCCTTGCATATCGTCATTATGGATGAGATATTCAGGGTGAGGGTTCCGGTGAACACGGGCTTTACCCCAACCTTTGCCTCGATACCGGAACGCAACGAATATGAGGTGACGAGCTCGCCTCTGCTTGTAGGAGAGAATTTCGCGCAAGATGATGGAGGCGCGGCCATGTCAAGACCACATCTGGCTGCCGAAAGAATGCCCGAGCACACTGAAGGGGGCAGCGAAAGGTTCCGCTGGCCGCCCAGCGAGCTGACACTACGAGACGCCAAATGTGTACCAACACCACGAGACATCGGCCACATTCAGACAATGAGCACAAAAAGTCTCAGTCCACTGGACAGGTTTGCCAATCTCCGTACGTGGCCGCCTGTCGAGGACCCCCCTTCGTATCACGGGTACCAGGCCGGGAGCGCGAGCCTCGTAACGGTACATGAGCATGTTGAGTACGCGCCATCGCTACGCTGTACGGTGGAGAACATGGAGGACTACTCGAATCGGAGGGAGTTCATCCAGGCGCGCGCGGCGGAGACGCTCATTGCGCTGGCCGCAGAGCGGACCGAGCAGCATCGAAGGGAGAAGAGGATGCACCTGTGGCGCTCGTCATGGTGCTGGGCCAAGGACGCGGTTACAAACTTGATGAGGCGGTTTGGATTGGGAAAGGCCAAGAACACTGTAAGTTTGAGAATGGGGTTCTGGTTGTTGCCGGATTGTGCGGATGACAAGACGTAGTTTCCTGGATATACCGCTGACATCTCATCTTGGTATTGAGTCCATAGAGCTCTGGCTGCTTTGCTGTATTCTTTCGAGGCCTCAGATATGGGGGCTCTATGATCAGGTTTCGGTCGGTTCGTTGACTGGCTGAACACAAAAACATTTCTATTAGCATGTCAAGTGCATCGGCGTTCAGGCAATTGGTTGACATGCCGTTGGCAAGGGCCTTGGTGTTTGAGCAGCGCTGAGCCTGCGGAGCATGATAAGAAGGCGAGCGCTATGAATCTGTTACCTCGAATATTCGTAATAGTAATGTGAGCTCGCTTAAGTTCGTACGTGTTCGGAAGTGCGGCTGATGGATGATGGCGAGCAATGCTCTCGTATCTCGCATCAATCGGAAATGCTTCGCATAGACCGCGGATTCTCCCGACCAGGGTCGATGCAAAAGGCGCAGCCGTGCAAGCGTGTTAGTACATAACCGTGATACTGCTTGGCATAGATATACGGGACACGAGACTATGGACACGTACCTTGGGTAGAAGAAGCGTGTTGCGAGGCTGTAACTGAAAAGACAGCCTTGTGGCACTGGTATCCGTAGAGCGCGCCTAACAATGATGCAATGGCACTGAATCAGCTCCCTAAATGACTGGGCAATTTAGGTAAGGTATAATACGGCGTGAATTCAGGGGATCTGATGACGATCGTCCTCAAAACCTGAATGTTGGATGTTTTGGAGGCGAAGGAGGTACATCATCATCATTGTACCTTCCCTTGTCTCCAGTCCCCAATCTTCACCCCGCCTTTCGTTGCTGACCCTCGCCCCGACACTTAATCTGCAATAAATCACAGGGCAGGCAAAGTTCCATCCTGGAGCTAGGTAATTAACCTACCGCTTTCTTTTGGAATCTGTACAGAATTGATCAAATCGAACTCGTTGTCAGATATCGGCGTCGACCCTAGTGTGATTGTTCACTTCGTTCAGTCCCTCTCAGAGGTCTCCGTCAAGAGTCGACAGGCCTACCCCACCACCGCGAGACCACCACCAACCCATACACGCATACGCGCAGAGACTCACATGCTGCCTGGGACTTCAAACATCATTGTCGTTTCTTGTCGATAACACTTGAAACGCCGTCGGCATTCGCAGGCTACACTCACGACGATCAGCCCGGACGCACGGTGCATCAAGCTCGCCGAGTGCGACACATTGGTTCAAGTCGCTCAGTGAGGCTGAGCAGCCACGCCAGCAGCAACTACGAATATTGGGACCGGCGTTTGTGTTCACATGCCGTATCCTGTTGTACAATATTTTGCAGTGATCGAAAAATCGACATACAGAGGTCGCTCCTCACACCAAGGGAAGCAGGCTTTCTTTGAATTCCAGGATCCTCAGGAGTAAGACAGTGTCAGATTAAATCACGATGTCTGCCGCCTCCAAAGGTGAAGCATCATCTTCTACAAGATCAAATACACAACCAAATCCTGACAGATCTGGACCAAGCGTCGCACAAGTGGTGCCAGATGGCTTCCTGGTCCCCGAGCTGGATGATTCTTCAGGCCAGCCGACGGAGGCGCCTCCTGCATACGGCGATGAGAGGAACCAGATGCATTTCTCACAGCCAGGCTTCGAGGCGGGGGCGGCCGTGACAGGTGAGAACAACCCCTTGATCATGGACTGGCCGGAATTGACTAACGTGCCTCAGACGCCGGCCGTGTGAGCATCAACATCAATACCAGGAACCGAAGGCTTGCCGACCTTCTCGCTCCGGCTATCGAGAACCAAGTCAGCATAGGCGCCCCTACCACACTCCCTCCGGCGTACATACCTCCTAGCTTAGGTGGGCAACCTGGGCAGAAGCCGCCACCCAAGTTGAATGTGGTCATTCAGATTGTCGGATCTCGGGGCGATGTGCAGCCCTTCGTGGCGCTCGGAAAGGTGCTCAAGGAGACCTATGGCCACCGCGTCCGAATCGCGACCCATCCCACGTTCCAATCCTTCGTCGAGCAGAACAGCCTCGAGTTCTTCAGCATTGGAGGCGACCCCGCTGAGCTCATGGCGTTCATGGTCAAACACCCCGGGCTCATGCCCGGCTTCGACGCCATCAAGAGCGGCGAGGTGACGAAGCGACGCAAAGGTATCTCGGAAATGCTCGTCGGGTGCTGGAGGTCCTGCATCGAGGGCGGTGACGGCCTCGGTCCCGCGCCGCCGCCAACAAATGAAAGTCTGGACCTGTCGGCAGGTATACCACATGATGATGGCCGGGATGCTTTCGTGGCAGATGCCATCATTGCTAACCCGCCGAGTTTCGCGCACATCCACGTTGCAGAGAAGCTAGGCATCCCTCTTCATATGATGTTCACGTAAGTAGGCCAAAGGGCTTCGAGTTATGGACCATGCAGCTGACAGTTCTCAAGTATGCCGTGGACTCCTACAAGGGCTTTTCCCCACCCGCTGGCTGATATTCAGGCGTCAAATGCCGATGATGTCTTGACCCGGTACTTGTCGTACACTCTAGTCGAGATGATGACTTGGCAAGGTCTGGGAGATGTCATCAATCGGTTTCGAGAAAAAGTACTCGATATGGAGCCATTGTCTTTGATATGGGCGCCCGGGCTGCTGAACAGGCTCAAAGTGCCGTACACCTACTGTTGGTGAGTTGCGGCAACCCCTGTGTGTCGGTAAGACTTTCGCTGACCCCCTTTTTTTCAGGTCTCCTGCTCTCATCTCGAAACCCAATGACTGGGGCAATCACGTCGACATTTCGGGCTTCTTCTTTCTCGATCTCGCCACTTTCTATAACCCGGATCCGGACCTTCAGGCCTTCCTCGATGCCGGGCCGCCCCCGGTCTACATAGGGTTTGGCTCCATTGTCGTCGACGACCCCGATGCCATGACGACAATGATTTTCGATGCAGTCAAGGCCAGTGGCGTACGCGCTCTTGTATCGAAAGGCTGGGGTGGACTTGGGGCTGATGACCTTGGTATTCCGGATGGTGTTTTCATGCTGGGCAATGTTCCCCACGACTGGCTTTTCCAGAAGGTGTCAGCCGTCGTGCACCATGGCGGCGCCGGAACGACTGCTGCGGGTATCAAGGCCGGAAAACCCACGCTTGTTGTCCCGTTCTTTGGCGACCAGCCATTCTGGGGTGCCATGATTGCCCGTGCTAATGCTGGCCCGGATCCTATCCCCTACAAGCAGCTGACGGCCGAGAAGCTGGCCGAAGCTATCCAATTCTGCCTGAAGGCTGAGACCGTCCAGCAAGCCGAGACATATGGCGAGAAGATCAGGGAGGAAAAGGGCACTGACGTTGGCGGACAAAGCTTCCACAGTCACCTGGACGTTGACGATATGCGATGTTCGATTGCTCCCAGTAGAACAGCCGTGTGGCGGGTAAGGAGAAGCAAAGTGCGCCTCAGTGCGCTGGCAGCCGCAGCGCTCTTCCAGGAAGGCCTCATCAAATACGAGGATCTAAAGTTGTAAGTTGCCCTCTTCGTTACCCCTGATCACGCTAAGCCCATGTCTGAACAATCCAGGTATCAACCCAAAGACTACAATACGGAGGCACAGCCCCCAGATCCGATATCCGCAGCGGCCAGCTCGCTTGTGATGGATGCGACTGGCATCGGCATGGCAATTGCGGACATGCCACGAGAGATGCTCAAAAGCAAGCCCAGGTCAAGTCCAAAGAAGAGCGAGGAGACTACCGGACCCCAGACGCCCCAATCGGAGGCTGGAACTAGGCCTCAGACCAACGAGGCCGACGATACTCCTTTCACTGCCGACTCCAGGTCTGAGCTGGGTCTGATCGACTCCGACAAGACCATGCAGTCCTCGACCGCCGGCCCCAGCTCATCTGTCGGAGATGCTGCATCGACTCACACCGCTTCGAGTGATACTACAGCTACAAGCGCGGCTCATCCTCCAACAACATCGAGAGCCTCAGGAGCGCAGCTGAACCAGGCGCTCAACGCGAGACGGCCCTCATCACCCGTAGGTGAGTTCAGTCTGAATGCTGCGGTTGGCGCAGGCAAGAGTGTTGGCAAGATTGTGGGTACGGGCGTCAAGTCACCCATGAACTTCTGCCTCGGGCTGGCGAAAGGTTTCCGCAATGTACCGACTCTGTACAACGATGAAACCGTGAGACCGGTGGAGAAGGTGACAGACATTAGCAGCGGCCTCAAGGTTGCTGGGAAAGAATTTGGCTATGGTCTGTTCGACGGCATTTCGGGGTTAGTGACCCAACCTTTGAAAGGCGCAGAGAAGGAGGGCATGGGTGGTTTCGTCAAAGGATTTGGGAAGGGGATTGGCGGTATCATGACCAAACCTGCTGCCGGTAAGTCTAGCCTCGTTTCTAGTGCGGACGCAACTGACAAGGGCCATGACAGGCGTCTGGGGAATCCCTGCGTACACGATGAAAGGTGTCCACGCTCAGATCACCAAGTTATTCACCCGCAGCAATCACGACCACATCTTGATCTCGCGGGTGCTCCAAGGGCAACGCGACTTGAGGAGCGCATCTGCCGAAGAGCGCCAGGACGTGGTCAGTCGGTGGAAGAGCGGATCTTTCGAAAAAGACCTGAAGCGTTTCGAGCGCCTCCAAAAACGAGCCAAGGCAAGCCCCGACGCCGGGGATGCTGCCGACGGGAACCCCGAGTCCTCCTCTCGTGCGTCCTGGATCAACTCACGACGGTCAACGTTTGACGAGCGACTGCGGAGCGAGAAGCAGCGACTCTTCTCTCGGGCCTCATCAGGAAAAGGGCCGTCGAGTGACGCCGCCGCCACGCTCGAAAGCAGCGGCGCATCTAGGATGGCACCGATCCCTGAAGATGCCGAGTTCGAGAGGGCCATCCAGGCATCGGTCCAAGAGACATCCCGGGGCAATGCCGAGGAGGATGCTGCCATCGAGGCGGCCATCCGCGAGAGCGTGCTGGCCGTGCGGCAGCAAGGCGCGTTGCCCGATCCGGTGCCCCGCAAGTCAGAGAAGCTGGAGAAAGATCCCTCCATCTTCCAGGACGAAGCGTTCCAGATCACGGATGAGGAGTATCAAGATCTCATCGAGCAAACCATCAGAGACAGCATGGCGAGTCATGCTTATCCGGGCTACGCGCCCCCAGACATGGGGGCTGCCGAGCTGGACTCAACCCCTGTGATGCACCCCGATAATGGACAGCAATCTGGCGTCATGTGTGATCAGGATGAAGAGTTGAAGCGGGCCATCGCCGCTTCCAGGAACACTCCTGCCTCGGACTTTTCGCCAGACGATGCCGAGCTCCAGCAAGCACTAGAAGCTTCTAAGGCCGACGCGGAGAAGCAGCAGAGCCAACGCACGGAAGAAGACATTGTCCTGGAGTACATCAAGAAGCAGAGCTTGGCGGAGGAGGAGTATAGGAAACAGCAGCAAGCCAAAGGCAAGGGCAGAGCGGAGGATGATGTGGACGACGAAGATCTGAGGCGAGCCATGGAGGAGAGTCTGAAGATGAGTGGGCAGGATACTTCGGGGCCCTCGGGCGCTTGATTTGGATACCAGCACTCCGTATGCAAAGAGCAACAAAGATACGCTCCTACGTGAAGATGTAGTTGAAGATGTCGCTTGCCAAATCAGGCGTTGCACGAGGGACACGAAGAATCCCAACCAAGTTTCAACGAGAGAAGGCATAGTTTGAAGCCTGATTAACAAAAGGCCAAGAAAAATGGGTATATCAAGAACACAACACAACATATACACAAACACACCCCGCTCACAACAACGTCCAGATCAGAGCATCCCCGTCCTGATCAGTTCAATCTCGGAAAGTCCATGTACGCCGTAGCCGTCCCGTCCCACGCTCCCAATCATTGCACCATTGTCATTACAGCACTGGCTCAACTCGGATATGCCCTCCCACGGCCTCTCTTAGTTAGCCGTAGCGATGGTCTCCCTGAGGGGGCCCTTGCTTCGCCCAACCTTGGGGCCCCGGCGGCGGACCCTGTCCCTGGTAGTACTGCTGCTGCTGCGGGTTGATGTGTCCCTGCTGGGGTCCGGGAGGGGGACCGGGACCGCGCTGGGGACCGACGCCCGCACCGCCATTCGCCATGGCTTGTACGTCTGGTCGCTGCTCGAGGGGCTGGTTGTAGTTGCAGATGTGGCAGGAGATGTCCTTGTATCCGGAGATGGTGAAGGGAATGATAGGCTGTTGAAGGGGGTCTGTCAGTATCGTGTATGGAAATGTAAGTGTGGGCGCCTTGGGGGCGTGACTTACGACGAAGCAAAAGGTGAAGAAGGGCCGGCGCTTGAGGACGCGTCCTGACATGTTGCCGCAGTTGTGGCATTGGCAGACGACGCCTTCGTAGCCGGGGAGCTTGCTACGGATGGTCTTTTCTCCGCAGGTAAAGAAGAAGAACATGACGGGCGAGTGCTGTGTCGAGCCGGTCTTCTATGTGGTGTGAGGTATTGGGTGGTTCGTCGGGCCGCGCGTTGCTTGCTAGGAGTTCGAGGTGTTGCTTGCTGTCGAGCTGTCGCGCCGTCGGGAGTTGGCTGTCGTCGCGAGGAGATGGTATGTTTAGGCAGAGGAGAGGAAGAATGAGAGAAAGGTAGTAGAAAAAGAGAGCAGGCAAAAATAATAACTAACTAGTCTAGTCTAGTATGTACAGTTCATGTTGGCGCATCATCCGCCGTTCGGGATCCTTGGATCTTGGACTTGGGAGGCGACGCGGACGAATGTGGCTTAGCTCGACGTACTCAGCCCCACGCCAGCATCGATGCTTCAAAGTCGAGGATCCACCAGTGCGTCATCTCTGCGCACTGTGTGACCCGCGCTCTCACACACAGTGTCCCATTATCTGCACTGTATCTTCATCTTTTTCCTCCAGCTCCAGTCGACTGACCTGACAATCGTCCATCACCACCAGCCTCAGGCACCACCTTCTCTCGACCCCAATGGGTCCGCGACCGCCACGATGCTCTACGATCTCAACATCCCGTACTCGACCTCCACGTCAGAGGCCGCCCTGGCGTCGACGCTGACCCTCGCCTTCACGCTCGGCTACCACACCGTCGCACTTAATCACATCTACACGACCGTCCCCTCGACCAAGGTCGACTCCCCCTTTGCGCAGCTCCCCTCGTTCGACGGCAAAGCGATCCCCAACATCCTCCACCGCGCCACGATCCACTTCTCCGACGCCGCGACACAGCACATCCACCTCGCCAACCTCATCAAGATCTTTGACATTATCGCCGTCCGCCCCACGAGCGACGAGGCCTTCTCCAAGGCATGCCTTAGCCTGGACGTGTCCATCATCTCGCTCGACCTGACCCAGCACCATCCCTTCTACTTCCGCATCAAGCCATGCATGATGGCCGTCAACCGCGGCGTGCGGTTCGAGATTGCGTATGCCCAGGCCCTGCAGGCGGATGCGCGCGGCCGGGCGCTCTTTATCAGCAACGCGACGCAGCTCATCCGCGCCACACGAGGGCGGGGCATCATGCTGGCCAGCGAGGCGCGGAGCGCGCTCATGCTCCGCGCGCCGGCCGATGCCGTGAACCTGCTCAGCGTGTGGGGCCTGGGCAGCGAGAAGGGCATGGAAGGCCTGGGCAGCGTGCCGCGCAGCGTGGTCGTGAATGAGGCCATGAAGAGGACTGGCTTCCGCGGCGTCGTAGACATTGTCCAGGTCGCCGACAAGGGCCCCGATGAGGTGCAACCAGCAGCAGCAGCAGCGAAACAGGAATCCAAACAGAAAAGAAAGGGCGATAAGGAGGCTGGCAACGCGGACAAGAAGAATAAGAAGATGAAGGTTGTGTCAAGGGAGGCACCGAAATGAAGAGGTCAACTGGTTTTGGTCGGCACGAGGGCGCGAGGCATTTATGACACCCCTAGGCTTGGAATGCGGCGTTACGGCAGGGAAAATCAGTCGAGGTTTGGAAAAAGGAACCATCATACAAGCTATGATGCCGGTATTCTTGTCTACTTATCTACCATCAGTGTCATCCATCCCTCCGCTATGTCTGAGTTGGTTCTGGACCCGCCGTCCGGAGAACCAACCCACCTAGGTCGAGCTGACTCTCCAGACTGTATGTCGAGAGGTCGATTGGGGGCAGCTCGACTTCTTCACCCTGGTTTGCCTCGTCAGCTGGGGCCGATGGATCAGGCAGGTTGTTGTTGCCGCCGTCACTTTGGTTCTTCTCCTGTTCATTTCCTCCATCCGATGCGCCATCCGATGAGTCGCTCTCTGCAGGCTTCTCAGCCGTTGGTGGTTCACTTGCGACGGGCGCCTCCGTCTCCACGATAGTCTCTGGCTCAGTGGTGGACGCAATGGTTGTTGACTCAGTGGTGGACGCAATGGTTGTTGGCTCAGTGGTGGACTCAGGGGCCGCCGGCGCAGGGACCACAGTGACAGGAGGCGCGCCTCCCTCTTCTTCTTCAGGGACTGACGTTGCTAGAAGCAACTCGGAAGCGGGAGGTTCACCTGTGTCGGTCGGTCAGCGGACCGGCGGTCTAATGTCGGCGACCAGGACTCGTACCAGCGTCGAGACTCGTGCTATCCTCGAGACTCGGACTAGGTTCGGACGTGGCGAGAGGATCAAAAGTCAACGTCGTCCTCGACACGTTGGTCTCGTCAAGCGGGACAATCACTATCCCCTTATCACCTCCTTCGACGGCATCCGACTCGCCTCCCGGACTCGGCAGTGTGTGGGAGCTTGCTGGTTCACCAGCCGCGGGGGTCTCGAGGCACCCTGGCGCGGTGATCGTTGCGCCCTGCTGTCGTTAGCACCTGTCAAGACGCCTAGGAGTGTTAAGGAAGAAGAAGTCACCTTGCTCACGACGACCGGCTGCTCAGCGGGCTCAGCGGCCTGGGCCGCCTCCGCTACCTGTGTCACAGTGACCGCTTCCTTGGTTTCCGTGACGGTGTCGCCCTTGACCGTCACAGTCTTAGTCTCCGTCGCGCGCTCCTGGGTCTGGGACGCGGTCACGGTCTCGGTCTCGGTGACGAAAGACAAGCGGAGCCTATGATAGTCCATGTCAGATGTGCTGATGCACTCGGCGAGACACAGTCTCGACTCACCCCTCAAAGGCATCGGCGGGGATGCCGCTATCATCCTGCCGCTTCTCCATCGTCGCTGTGCATCCCTCTCGGATGGTGACCGTTTCCCTTACGATCACTGGGTTATCACCGTCCGCGGCAGCGCGCGCGTCCTCGTCGTTCGGCAGAAGAGCGCGGCGGTCGGACAGGTTCACGCGGGGGAAGACGGCGGCATGGGTGAGATGCAAGGCCGCAAGCAGCATCTGGCACGCTTGAAGACGCATAGTTCCGATTAACTTCTCCTTCAAATGTATCTCGTCACGAAATGCTGGTGATTGCTTGAGAAGATGATGAGGTGCAAGGCCAGCTAGAATCCAGTAGTGGTGTAAGGAGTGTGAGAGGGCGACCAGCGCCAAGAAATGAACGAAGGACAAATTATAAAGCGTGAAAGCGAAAAGACTGCATAGAATACATGGGTGAATCCAATGAGGGCGGAATCGGAGATTTTTGAGTCTCTCTTGTACGTTAATCCAGACGCGCTCGTTCAGGACCTTGTCTTTTCCCGAGGGGCTCAAACGAGGCCTGTCGCGATGTGAAACGATGCTGCGACTCTGTCGGAGTGCCAAGTCGCGCGGCCATGCGAGCTCGCCATGGCAGCGGAATGAAGTGGTATGATTGTTTCTTGCCAGATTACCTATGTGTGGCCTCCTTGTTTCTCTTCCTTGGACCGGCAGCGTATCGCCAATGGCCTCCCAAGTCCCAACGCGGTCGAGAACCTGAGGATGCATTGAGTGGCAGCGTTATGCTGCGTGAGCGACCACCCGGTCCGTGATTGAGGTTTCTCACCCAAAACTGAGGCTCTCAACCGCTTAACTCGCAGCCGCCCCGGATGCCCTCCCTCCCGTGCACGGCTTTCCAGTCCTCCACCTCTCCAATCGCATCCGCCGCCTGGGCGGTCATGTCACAGTCGCCGCTCCCTCTCAAAAGCCCAGGCTGGTCCAGCACGTCGATTGTGTTGCTGTTGTCGTTACACGAGCCAGCCGACGACGACTGCCGCGAGCAGAGGTCCGAGGGGGGCGCCTCCTCGGGGTGCGACTCTGCGTCCTCGGGGATGGGCACCATGGCCTGGTTCGTCCAGATGTGGATTGCTTTCGACCAGTCCAGGCCGGAGATGCAGCCGCCTTTGATGGAAACGACATTCTTGGTCTAGACAATAGTTTATTAGTACACTGGAACCAAACCTCATGTGTGTTCTGCTCACCGGCGTGATATGGAAGAGACGAGTCCCGCAATTGCGACAAAAGTAGCTGCTTCGTTAGCATCGTCATATGTTCACTTTGGTCAGCGAGGGTTCGCTAACCAGTACAGCGTGTGTCCTGAGGCGACAGGTCTCCTGCGAGTTGTTAGTTATGTCGTATTTGTTCGGCATATGGATAGCTTACGCGTAGCAGCTGAGCAGCTCAACGTCTGGCAGTTTGAATCGGGGAAAGATGGCTGACGCCCCGAATGCACTGCTCGTCTGCCGACGACAGCTCGAGCAGTGACAGATGTAGAGCGCCAACGGCTGTGGAAGGGGCGTGGTGAAGCGCACAGCGCTGCATTGACAGCGCGCCTCCATTGCGATGGCAGACTGTGTTTTTTTCTGGTCAAGATGCCTTGTTGGTTTTGCGTCTGATGGCGTGGAAGTGGTCGAGGCTCCGGTTCTCGCACCGGATGATCGTGAATCCCCGATGGCTGACCGGAGGTTACTGCAGCGCGGGGTGGGTGACTGTAGCCTGTGGGGTTGGTTGAATGAGATAGCAGTACGTAGACTGGACAGAGAGGAATTCTCCGCTTCCTGATTGAACAGCGCTTTAGGCAATAAGTAATAAGAGCCAGTGTCAAATTAATAATCCCGATGTTGATAGCGAATGACGTGGGTGAGTCAGACCTGGCCCGGCCTGGCTTCCGTCCCGCGTTGCTCTTAAACTCCCAACCATGCCCGTCCGTGAGTAAGTTGGTATCACGTCTCATACCTGGACATGCCAAACGCCACGCCTGATGAATCTCATGACACCCCCCGCGCTTTTCGATCTGCCGATGTGTGCTCAGCCTCCAGCTTTGTCCTTCCGCTGTCTTTGGGCGACCTCTCTCAAGGCTGTCCCGCCGATTCAAGGCTAGCCTGGTTGACCCATCTGGTGTTGCTGCTGTTGCCGTTGCTGCTCCTGCGCCTGTGCCTGTTGCTCCTGCGCCTGTTGCTGCAGTGTCTGCTGGGGAATGTTCACCCCTTGAAGTCCCCTGTACGACCCCCCCTTGCGCTCATACTCCACGTTCGGCGGCACCATAAAGTCGCCTCGCGCCATGAACCACAGCAGCGTCTCGAGCTCGGGGCCCCTCGTGACGACCTTTTCCTCTTCCTTGGGCGCTTCTGCCTTGGGCGGCTTCGGCTCGGCCCCCTCCATCTCCTCGTCCTCGTCCTCGTCCTCGTAGAGATCCCTCTTCAGCCCCGTCCGCACATTTTCCACGCCAATCTCGTCTCGCTCTTCCCTCGTGTAAAAGTCGCCCGCCTCCTCGGTCACGTACTCGCGCACCCGCTCCGACATCCACTCGCGCACGCCGGACCACACCTCCATCATCTTGTCCATGCCCTCCTTGGTGGCCTCGTCGCTCATGGTCCGTCCCTTGTCGACGAGCTCCTCCGTCTGCGGCTCCAGCTTCTTGCGGAGCAGATTCGTCAGCAGCCCCTCCTGCGTTCGGCCCGGATAGTTGGTGCTCGGGTGTATCGCTATGGTGTCGAGGAGGACCGCATTGTCGTTGATGGTGTCGAGGAGCGATTGCAGATTCTTCTGGATGATTTGCGACGAGGCTTGGAACGAGGACGGCGGAGGCAGGGGATGAGCGTTGAAAATGTCGGCGCGTAACGACTGTATGCTGGCGTTGAGCTGGTTGAGGCGCGCCACGATCGATTCGAGAGACTTGAACTCGTCATCGTCCAGCATGAGGGCTGCCATTGTAGGTGAGGCGTGTTTGCGCGCGGCGATGCGCTCGGGTTTGCTCGACGAAGCAAGCGTGGGTATGTGGACGGTGGACACAAGTACAGTCTCCTGAAGCTCACAAACGCAGCGGAATCCTGTGCCGTTCCGCTAGACCCCAGATTGTGCTTTGAAGTGTGTGGTGCTGCGCCGTTGAGAAGCTGCAAGTTCAAGGTGAAGTGAGGAAGGAAGGAAGGTATGGAGAGCTCGGCAGCAGTGGCAGGCCATATGTGGGGCAGGTACGAATTAGGGGAACCTTGAGAGTCGCTGTTGTTCAAGATCAGGGCATCGACACCATTACCTTCACAATTACAAAGGGTCCTTTTTGACTCAATAGAATATGATTGCAATTAGTGAACTTCGCGAAAGAAGGACTCCAAATCCCCGTACTTTTCATCGGTCATCACCCAAACTCATCACGGACTAATTGCCCCGCCAAGTCATCATTGAACCGCAAATGCTGGTCTTTTGAATTCGAAATGCGGTGCTGACAGGCTAATTGCTAATTAAGCAAGGAGTAAACCGGCTATACTATATGTCACAGATCATCAAAATGGTATCATGGAGGAGTGAACAACAAAAACTCCCCGGACACCAACCCCTATGCAGCAAACCCACAAACAAATGCACCCCAACATGATAGCCAGATCACTGTTCCATCCTTCTCGTAATCGGCAAATTGGATCGTTCATCATATAAGCCCATCGTCCTCAACAGCGGGTGCTGTTGACCACCTTCTTGGCGGTCACCTCGTGGCCGTGGACATCGACGGCAGGGAAGCGGGCGCGGCGCTCGAGGTCGTCGAGAGGAATAGTCGAGCGAATATACTTTTGGCGACCATCGTCGTCTGGGTTGTGGTCCCAGCTGGTAAAGTGGCCAATCTTCAGAGCATCCCAGACAACACGGCGACTGCGCTGCGACTGGAAGACCTGCGCGGTGATGGCGTCGTAGTCCCAGCGGGCAGCTGCCTCGGTCTCGAATTTTTCAAAAATCTCCTTGGCCTCTTGCTGCTCTGGTGTCTGCGGTTGGATCTTCCGGAAACGAGCCAGGTTGTCCAGCTCCTCGGGGTCACGCTTGAGGTTGAACAGCTGGGGGTCATCCGCGGGGCAAGTGATGAACTTCCAGTCGCCACGGCGGATCATGAACAGAGGGCGGACCGTGCCCTCACCAGTGTACTCGGCGAACACGGTGTCACCGCCTTGCTCGCCCTTGAGATGGGGGAGCATGCTCACCCCATCCATTGGAAGATAGGGCGAGGGCTTGGTGTTGACTAGGTCGCAAAGCGTAGGCAGAATGTCGAGAGTTGAGACGTTCTGCGAGACGCGGTGGGGAGCAAACCACTTGGGATAGGAGATGAGCATAGGAACGCGGACGGACGACTCAAAGTAGCTCATCTTGTACCACAAGCCACGCTCGCCCAGCATGTCGCCGTGGTCGCCGCTGAAGATGACAATAGTGTTGTCGGCAAGACCAGCATCTTCCAACGTCTCCAGCAGCTTGCCAATGTTGTCATCGACGTAGCTGACGGAGCCGTAGTAGGCGCGCTTCGCACGCTTGATCTGTTCATCGGTGAAGTCTTGGTCCCAAAGATCACAGACCTTCAGCAGGCGCTTGCTGTGAGAGTCCTGCTCCTCCTTTGGGATGCGGACCTTGGGAAGCGTCGGGTCCACATCTTCGTAGCGGTCCCAATACTTTTTTGTGATTGTGTAAGGGTCGTGCGGGTGAGTGAGGGATACCGTCAAGCAAAATGGCCGCTTTTTGGGCCCCTCGCGCACGTGGTCCCAAATGTATTGGGTGCTCTTGAACATGACCTCTTCATCGTAGTCGAGCTGGTTGCTACGAGCGCAAGGACCAGCTTGCAGAATGGAACTGGCGTTGTGATACCACTCGAGACGAGCATCAGGCTCGTCCCAGTTGACAGCCCAACCAAAGTCACCAGGGTAAATGTCCGATGTCAGGCGCTGCTCGTAGCCGTGGAGTTGATCTCCGACAAAGTGCATCTTGCCCGCCAGAGCTGTGTGATAACCCTTGGAGCGCAAATAATGAGCGTAGGTGGGGATTTCCGAGTTGATCTGCGAGGCATTGTCGAAAGCACCAATCTTCATGGGCAGCAAGCCCGAGACCATGCTCATGCGCGAGGGAGCGCAGAGCGGGGAAGGGCAGTACGCCGAGTCAAACTGAACCGACTGAGCGGCCAGGCGGTCAAGGTGAGGCGTCTTGATCTGAGACTCGGGGTTGTACATTTTGAGCTGTGGCGCGGCAAGCTGGTCGGCCATGATGTACAAGATGTTGGGCGGCTCGGTAGCAGCACCAGGGCCGGACACGGGCACTTGGACTGCCGAGGGCGGCATGGTGTTGAGATCAGGAGCCATGTTCGGCGAGGGGAAGACGGACGATGAAAGTGATGGTGCTGTGAGGAGGGGAGAATGTCCGTTTACAATAGGGACAAGCTAGCCGCCGTAGCGTATCCTTGTGATATATGATGGATGGGATGATAGAAAGAAAGAGAGGGATAGAAACTGGTAGATGAGGAGGGAAGCTAGTTATTAGTAGGCAGCCGCTCCAGGGGCTGGAGGAGCGCGTGTCCAACAAAGGCTGGACCGTGGAAGGCAGGACAACGGCTGTCGGTTCACGCCTAGTCCTCACAGCTGACAGTACAACAAGGGGTCTTGAGTGGAACGTCTGTCCTAGTCACGGCAGTGGAGAACAGCCAGCAGATACTGGACTAGGAAGGATACGATACGCCATGCAGGACGGCCCAGCGGGCGGGCGAGGCGGTTCGAGCTAAGAGTCCGAGTTGCAGATAAGGCCGTGGGGAACGTGAAACTGCCCGAGTGTTGTGGCGACTCGTGGGCCTGGTATTGCCTTGTGGGAACACACGAGCCAAGGGCGCGAAAGGAAATGTTGGAACGCTGCCGATCGATACTTGTATGCTGCTGCGAAAGGCAAAGGGCAGACGGACTTGCTTGCGTGTGTGCATGTGCTCATGCTTGCGTATGTATGCGTAAAGTCGGTCAGAGCGGCGATTACGGACACAATGATTGTCGAGGACGGATCAGCAGGTCACGGTGGTTTGTTGGCTGGAATATGTTGAATGGATGCGCAGGATGGAACTATCAGCGCTGGCCAGCTGACTGACTTGACTGACCGACACGTACTACTTTCACTTACGTGTCAGTACGGAGTAATAGCGCGAGCGCGAGAGCTCGGATCATTCTTTCCTCCTCTGCACTGCCTTGTGACTCAAGTGCTCTTCCAGCTTCGCAAAGGAGACGTTACTGTAGGGAAAGAGGGGCAATAGCGAGGATGCGTGCGCAACAGCTCTGTCCTCGCTCTTGCCTCGCGCGGTGCGGTTTGTCAGAGAATCGCAGATGCCTTCTATACAGTAGCACAGTGCTCGCACGCGTGTGGTCGCTCGACGGGAATGAGAAATTTCCAGTATCGAAGCGGCGGTGTGAGAGCAGCAGAGCGGACTGCAGGCCGACTACTCAATTGGGCTCAGCCACACTGCTCATTGGCCATGGACCCTTGCACTCGCAGGACTTCTATCCCCCTCAAGTCGAAGAGGATCTGCAGGGGCCGGATAACTAGCTATACAGTGCCGTCTGGGGCTCTCATTACACTGTATGGCCTCATCTCTGGGTGAGAAGCAGCCAATATTCCGGCTGGCCCCTCGGCCGTTATCACGCTGGCAACTGCGCACTAATCCACGCTGGCATTGATGAAGCCCCCATCCCCTAGAATCCATGACTTTGATCCTTCTTCGACCATGAATCTGATTCAGGACGCAGCGACCACGTCTTCAACAGCCAGTCAACAAACCTTAACTTACACTACGAGCAGACCAAAGACAAATCCCGTCCACTCTGACGTCGTCGCGGTCCCAATCCGTCCAGGAACTCTACCAAAAGAAAAGGGTGGGAGGGTCACCCTCACCTTGGCCACGCCGCTACGCCCTCCCCCACCATGCGGTCCATGCCCGCCTCCGCCAGGCCGTCTCCAGAACCCTCGTGCGAATGCAGGCTCGAAACTTTTTTTTCTCCCAGCTTGCTGCTGACTGGCTGGCGTCTCAGTGCAGATATCTTGGCAAGATGCACGACGATGAGAGCGCTTTGTCGCAGAAGAGGGGCCCTCCCACAATGCAAGATGCTAGTATCCTGACCAGGCAAGCGTTCGAGAGATGTCCAAGAGCGCAATGAAAACAATACCTACGCACATGATCTTCACTGACCAGTTTCACCTAGCGACTCTGACACCAGCTCGTCACGCAAGCCGCATGTCGTGCTCGATTGTGGAGATGGTGCCATAGCTCCCCAAGAGCACGACATTTCCGGGGATGATGGCACAATGGTGGACGGTTGTTTGAACTTTGAGCCGCAATTCACTTTATATGTCATCCCCGCATTCCGACATGGTCTTTCATATTAATCCCATCAATCTGATAAGTCCGGCCGCGCTGCCCAAAGTCTGTGCTCTCGACATCGCAATGCGAACCTCGAACCTCGAACTTGACCTCGACCGACCCCGACCCAACAACCAAGAATCAAGGGGGGGTGTCTGTCTCACCCTCCGCCAATGCGCCAATGCGGGCTTCCTTGCACAAAGATGCAGCAGCGCCATGCAAAACTCTCCCACCAAGAAGCTTTCCCCCGGGAGCCCGACTTCGCTCCTTGCCAGAAGCCGCCCCTCATGATTCATCAGCCAACTCCCGCGGCCCCGCGACTCGTGAATTTTTAAGTCACACGATAACCTGCCATGCGTGAAGTCTAGGCGGCAGTCAACCATTCTAGCGTTTGCTCGACGGTCTCGACCTATCAGCCATTTGAGCCCCGTCCCAGTGAGCGTCCGTCACTTGCTACAAACAATCGAGCGGAAACATGTCGGCCTCGATGTGTTAAACGTCAACCATCCCAGCAGCATTGGCACGAATTTGCATCGCATCCCTGTCAGATGAGGAAGAAAAAAAGTTCTGCGCGCGCAAGGCCGCCGCTAACAACTTATCCCGCATCAGAGAAGACTCCGCCGTACGTCTTCGTTTTTGTGCTCTCCCAGGCGGAGGCAGCCGACCACGTCTGGAAAGGCCTGCGATTCTTAAGCCAGGACATTGTTATTTTCAATATTTCGTTAAGCATTCGCTTCCAACTCGCAGAGGAAAAGCTGGCTGTTTACCATCGTCTAGGAGACACTCGGCTGCCGCACTTCTCGTGTCCGCTCGGTCGAGTCGGCGACCAGAAAGGACGCCAGTTATGCACACGTAATAGTACTCGGTGTCAACACAAGCAGACTGCATTAGCAAGGTGTTGCAACAAATCTTCAGCAAAGGCCAAGGCTCAACCCCCTCCCCCCACACCACAAGACTCATAATAAGTATTCAGGCAACCTCGTCAGAGCAAAGGTCCACATGCTCGCAGAGCGCAGCGGAAGGCGGCACCACCGAGCACCGCAGGATTCGGGGACGCAGGACAGATTCATCAGCACCTCGCAGGCAGCCGCCAATTCGCCCGTCTGTCAACTCCGCCAGACCTGCGGGTATGACTGTTCATCTTGTGGCAAGATGATGGCTGTGCTGGCAGGCCGGATCTTTGACGGCCATCAAGGATGTCTCTTGACGACCGTCAGTGAACAGGGAAAAAAACGATTGCCATGACTCCGTGGGAGGCGAGAAGGCTAAACGAACGAAACAATACGTGGACGCTGTGAAATACTACCCTTGGGCGCCGCCCACGCCCACCACCATTTGACTCAGAGCTAAGGATGTGGCCAAGGTCTCACCCCTCAATTGAAGATCACACGACCAAAACTCTCCACTGAGACACTGGCCAAAGCAGCGCACTGGGCGACATCGGGAGCGTCTAGGTGAGATGCGATTGTGTTATCAGCGGCTGCGGAAGTGTGTGCAGATCTTGTGATCGTGAATTATCGGAAGTTTGACGTTGCGGGTCCTAGATTCACTTCGTCCGACGACGTCGAACACTAACACATCAATGCGACGCAAGTGCTAATCAGTCTAGTAGTAGTCATCCAGTATCTAAAGTAGTCTCCTAGTCACGGGCACGTCAAATATGCATGATTCATTGTCTTAAGTACCTGAGTTACCCTCCGCTCCGATGCGTACTATGCATGCATAATCTCAAAGCCGGAAAGAAAGCAAGACGCCTAGGACCAAGACATAACTACGAGATCATATATGTATGGTATTAGCCACGGAACTCCCCTCCGTGACCGTTGTGTGTATGCCTCCAAACCCTCCACCAACACCAGAGTCCAAAGAGCGCCATGCCACGAGTCGTACACATTCAAAACAGAACAATTATTGCTTCCCTCTTTCCTCATCACGGTCGTGTCTCTGTCCGGGTAATTAGACAATGATTACTGCGTCCGGTAGAACTTCTTGTACAGAAGATGGAGCAGCAGGTTGACGTTGAGCTTCAGGTTGCCCTCGAAGAGATTCATAAACTGATGTGCCTCGAACTGTGCCTGCAGGAGGTCCTCGATGGGCACAAGGGCACTTGCGCCGGGCATCTGGATATGCCCCTTGGACCCCTCGAGATTGAAGACGCCCACCTCGTCGCAGGAGATGGTCATGTTCGTCTTGTCCAAATCACCCGCGCCGGCCCACGAGACGAGGACGCCCTTCTCGGAGAGCGCACGGGCACTGTACTTGTAGCTGCCGAATTTTGGGACACGGCCGCTGCGCTCTAGCTCGCGCTGGTGGTTGTACTGCTTCGTGAAGGGGAGCAAAAAACGGCGTCGACTGTTAGTGTTAGCAACTGGCTGTAACTGTTATTGACCCATGTCAGACTTACCCTCTCTTGTTTTGCAGCGTCGCCATAGCTGACTCGATGTAATCGTCATAACTCTTGCGCTGCTGCTCCAAATACTTGGCCTTCTCGTGCAAGTTGCCAAGTGTCATGCGGACGCCTTCCAGCTCGCGCTGCCTCTGCACCCTTCGCCGGCTCTTGGAACGGATGTCCACCGCGATTGCGTTGAGCACATCCTGGTAGAAGTTCTTTTTGGAGATCATGCCCATATGCTCCAATCGCATGACGTTCTCCAACGCCGTACGTTTGAGCTCATAGTAGGACATGCGCGTAACATCCACCATATTCGCGTCAGAGTACGCGCCCTTTGTCTTTGCGATGCCGACAAAGTCGGTGTGGAGTAATGTCTGCCACTTTTCCTCATCCTCGTCAGAAATTGGCTTGACCAGGATCTCCAGGAGATTAGCGCCCGTTTGCACCCGAATGATATACAGGACACATCGCTTGGTCTCCATAAAGAGCGATTTCACCTCTGCCTCGGGGTCGTTAACGTCGTGAAGCTTCGGTGTGAGGAACATGTGTATTTCCGATGACCCAGCGGCAGCCATCTCGCTCTCATTGCTCTTTGCGCTACCGAGGTCGTGCAAAATCTCGCGCAGAATGTCATCTCGGCTAGGGCAGAGCTGGTTGATCTCCGCCGCCATCAGGTTGTGAATAGCAAACACATCGGTCATCTTGATGTAGAGGGTCGGTTTGTTCTTGGCGTATAGATCGTTGAACTCGTCAATGTCAAAGGTGCTCTCTGCGTCCGGCACTGAGATCAGATCATGGGTTATGTTGGTTAGGCGCTCAATAGATTCAGAAACAAAGTTGTTGAGTGGTTGAAGGTAGATGTTGTCGCCGCCAAAGACGCGACCGGAAGCGATCTGTCCGATGACTTTGCTGACCTCGCTCAAGTTGCGTTTCTGCAGCGGGCTCAGGCCCTTCTCTACCACGCCAACTTCCTCGGGCGAGACCAGGGCAGGCTGCAGGTAGAATCTCCATATCCAGTTTGACACGGCATGCAGCAGCGCATCTTGAGATTCCTTCTTGAACTTCTGGCAGAGTGCGGCGAACATTTGGCTGCCCAGGAACCGGAGACCATACGGCATCTTGTGCAAGAGATCCTCGAGAGCAAGGAAGTACTGATCGCTCACCTCGCGAAGATCTCGCAAGTGATCGATGAAGAGACGACGGGTTTCTGGGTCCCGAATGGCAACTTCGCGAGGGACATCGAGTGGGCGGGGGTCCGGTCTCCCTGTGCGAAGCTCCTCGTTGTTGATGGCGGAACGGTAAATCTGCATTGGGTCGCTCTCCAGGTCCAAGGCGGGATCCTCGATGATGTGGTCACGGATGACAGGTCCGAGTAGGTCCCGAAGGAATTTGCGATCCCTTGGCGAGCGAGTATAGTTGGCCAGAAGCTTGGCCCAGAAGAAATTGCCGCGCAGGTAATCCTGGATGGAGCGACAACCTTCGACTTCCTCGCGAATGGATCGTGCCAGTAGCTTGAGAAGGTAGTATTCCTCGCGGCGTTTCTGGGCGTAGCCGAAGAGGCTCATGATGAGCAGCTCAATGCGCTTGCAATCCTTCTCGGCCGTGCCCTTTTCTCGAATGCTGTGAAACAGGCGCGCGAGATACTGCGGTTGGGTTTGTAGGTTGAAGAACAATTGCTGGTACGACTCAAGCTTTTTTCTCGAACTCTTGTTGAGAGCCTTGAGGTCGAATTGGTTGCCCGATGTCATGGAAGAGTTGGCGAGCAGACCCATCGAATGGCCGCCATAGTTATGCTGATGCTTGACAACCTCGTCCAGGGTGATCTTGTTCTTTACGAGCAGTGCGATCTTGATATCAAGCTGGTCAATATACTGCTCGAGCATCTCGTTCTGGCGCACTTGTTGCACAACAGTCTTGCGCATGCGTTCAAACTCAACCTCCTCGTTGAAGTCAAAGTCGCTGTCATTGAGCAAGTGAACAAAGTTCTTGACGGCGTTGACGGGCGGGTTCTTGCCAGTAGTAAGACTCTTATACGCCTCGCCTTGAACCTTGGCACGCACAAAGCTCTGGATCTTGATGACCTTTTGCATGTTCTCGTTGAAGTACCGCTTCTTCTCCTCAAACTGGCGCCGAACGAGGGACCCCTTGATAGCCGACTGCAGTGCAATGATTGACATCTCCTCCTCTTCCAATTCTGCCAGCAAGTCTCCGACTCTGCCGCGTTCCATTATACCACGGAGCATCGCCTGGAACAGGGCAAATCCTTCATCATGAGAGTGAAGTTCCTCCATCAAGGAAGCATGCTGGTCCCGATACAGGCTTCCTCGCATGTGCCCTTGCAGTGTCGTGATTTCTTCTGTCGCAAGTTCTAGCTGAGCGTTGTCGTCGGCTATCCTTTGCCTCTCCAGCATGCCCCTGATGGAGGCTTGCAGTGCCTCGATGGCCTTCTCTTCCTGACGCAAGGCCGCATCCTGCACGGCAATGTCTCTGCGCACTGCTGCTGCTCGTATCGTTGCCTGGAGTCGCCCAATGTCTGTCAAGTGTTGCTGTAACTCCGATCTTAGATCTTGGATCTTGGCACGTGCTGCTCGTCCTCGAACGAGCCCCTGCAGGGCTATGAATTGTGGAGCGGCTGCTTCAAGCTGTTGTTTTTGCTCGTCGATATGTTGCCGCGTCCGATTAGCCCTCGCTGCTGCTTGCAGAGCGATGATCGAGGTTGTCTGTTGGTCCAGTGACCACAGCTCCTTCTCGACTCGGTCCCTGACCAGCATACCACGCACAGCAGCCTGTAGCTTCTGCACATCTCCAGATGTCTTTTTCGTCGCGCGCTGCTGGGCGTTTTGCGTTTTTCGGAGCAAGAAACCTCTGGAGATCGCCTGTATCTCCCTTGTAGGTCCTTTGCATGCTTCCAATGAAGACTTCAAGTCCTGCACATGACGTCGTACCTTGCTGGCCCTGATGATGTTCTGGAGCTCCAGGATCTGGGGCTCCATGGCTGCACAAAATTGCTCGCTCTGCTCGAGTCGACTCCGTGCGAGATAGCCACGGGCAGCACTCTGCAGCTTCGTCGCAAATCGTCGCATCTCAAGCCTATATCCCATGACTTGCCGTGTGAAGTCACCTCGAATACGGGCCTGGAGGTCGATCAAAGCCTCTTCTTGATCCCAGAGTTGTTGCATAGTTTCGCCCAGCTTCAATCGCTCCATTGCCCCGCGGATTTGGGCTTGAAAATCGACAATAGCGTCTTCATGTTCGGCGAGCTCCCTGTCGATCCTCTCTTCCTCTGTCTCCTCGGGTTCGGGTTCCGGCTCCGGCTCCGGCTCTGGTACGCCAAAGTCGGCGCCCATGTTCCCAAAGGCAGGCATGTTGACCCCAAGCTTATCCAGGCCCTTCTGCATCTCCTCGAGTTCATGGTGTTCGAAATTTAGCTGGCCGACTAGATTACCGATGCGAAAATCAACGATATTGAGCCTGAACAAGAGCCAGCTCAGGGCATGAATGCAGTATATGACTTTTGGAATGTTCTTCTTCTCGTAAAGGTCAATCAACTCGAAGCGAAAGAGATCCGGCAATTCGACCTCGTCCAAGTACCTGAAGAAGATGGCGATATTGTCCGAGTGTCGATATTGTAGTCGAGGGTGGTGGAAAATTTTAAACCGCCTGTCAGGGTTGAGGGCTTCGATCACCTCGGCAAGGGTGACGCCGTCACGTAGAGCTTCCTCCAGCTCCACAATGGGAGGGATCGACTTTCCGATGACATCCTCAATCCACTCCTTGGCCTCTCCGATGTGGCAGAGATACTCGTAGGCCTGGAGGAACTGACGTTGCTTATCCATCCAGTTGCGGCCCTCGAAGCCATAGCCACTCGATTTGGTGCCCCGAGTGCCACTCGATTTGTCTGTGCGCTGCAAGCGCCGCCTCCCGTTGAGGCCAACGACTTGCTGTGTCGAGCTGGAAATGTTGAATCCATCCGCCGTGTCAGACTCTGCGAGTTGGGACAACGTCCGCAGCTGTCCAGTGGTGGACCGGCTGAGTTGTGCGAGCTCTGGCCGACCAAACTGGGTTGCGCTGTGTGAGTGATGGTGGCCCGGGCTAGGCGCTGCGCCCTTGATAGTGTCTGATCGCGACATGAGCATGGAATTAGGCCGCATCATACGGGGTCGTTCGGCGGATCCTGGGGAAGACGGTTCATCGTAGAGCGACAGCTTGCCCATGTCAATTGTCTTCCCGCGGTCGTGTCGCACAGTCTGCTTTCGAGGGGGTGTCGATGGTGGCACAGCGGACGCTTTCGGCAAGGCTGCGGGAGCCTGTGGTAAAGGTCGTAATGACTGTCTTGCGGAGCTGTACAATTTTTGGGGCTCTTGTTTCTTTTCGTCCAACATGGCGCTCATCTCTCCAACCTCGAATGTCCTCGCTCGCGCAAGAACATCGCTTCTTCCACGCTTGTGTGAATGCGAACCGTGGCCGCTCGAGATGGACGTGTTGCCGCTAGATGCGTGCGAGTATCCGGAGGATGCTGATGATGACGCTGTCGAGGGGAATCGATATATGCTTGATGCCTGGTCGGTGTGCTCCGTGGTCTGGTCTTTGATCGGATAGAGATCAGTCTTGGTCGATCGCAAGGTCGGCGGTCGGAAGGACATGGCTGTTGACAATGTCATGTGGCAATGACGATGGTGTCTCTCGCAATGGGCAGATGAAAGGTGCTGTACAACTAGTACATTGTTCCCAGCCTACTAAAAAAAGGGAGCCGAGAACTTGGTATTCGATTCCGCGGTGGTTGAGGAATGTTGACCGAGCTTAATGCAGATCGTGGCGCAGGAGATGGGACTGAGACACAGCTGAGGGCGAATCGAAGGGAAATTCAAACGCGCGCGCGTTTGTTGTGGACGATGCGCGGGCGTTTGAGTGCTTAAGAAAGTTGTACGAGGCGAATTTCGAATTGAATCGGACGATGAAAAGGTTGCGCTATGGTCCAGAGGACTGATCAGTAGATGACCAGGTATCTCAAGTGCCGTGGTAAGCAGGGCAGGTTGGCATCGGCTGCATGATGATCGAGCACATCAATGTTGAGGTTCAGGCAGGGCGGGGCATCAAGGTGTAAACATTTTGGCTGGGCAACGGCATAGCAACGGCCCCACACGCCGCACGCTGTGCGTGGGTGAGCTGCCTACCCTAGGACACTGCGCACTGCGCATCTTACATACTCACATTTGCAGCAGCTAAGTCATCAGCTTGCGTCCTGGGCTGCTTCAGTCAAGATACTGGAGGGATAGATGATGTGATTTCACACGTATTTGCGTAGTCTTCGGCACACACTGTCATGCTACCCAATTCACACCATGAAGGTTTCTACGAACATGTTCAAATCATCTTTTACGCTCTTTCCCGGAAAATCCCTGAGAATCGAATATCATGCCTAATTTTCACGGTCACTCATAAAATCACACAGAACCCATTTCGAGAAGTAAGACTACGCCGCAATGTGTAATTGGTTCCTATCGTCAAAACTCGATTGGCGTACTTTGACATGAGGTGGGCGCAGAATAATTATTTGTACATGTGTCACGACGAATTCGGTAAAAAGCGGGCTTTTCGGATGAGGTCATGTCCGGTCGCCCACCCAGGCGGACGTGCGAAAGCCACTGTCGCCAGAAACCTGGATCAATTACCAGCCTCCATCGACAAACTACGATCGCCTCGCGCGCGCGACAAGTAAATGCGCATCGGAGATAGATCCGGAAAGGGAGGCAGAAAGCCCATTGTTTATCTCCAAGCGACCACCTGGTCAATACATCTGGTCGAGCAACCTACTTCCATAAGCTAGCACGGGACGAGTCTGTGGTTGGTTCAACCAGATTTATCACAATGTCTTCTTCCTCAAAAAGAGGGCCATCGGTCCTGGTAGGATCATAAACTCCAACGCTTGATTGTCATCGCGGCTGACCGACGCACCGACAGGTCACGGACGCCAGACAACGACCGAATCCTCGGAAAGCTCTTCAACGCCAAGATACAGCTTCCTTGACACCTAGTCGCATGCCAATGCGCTTCATGACGGTCGACAATGTGCTGCACAACAACACCCAGATACCTTCAGGCCAGCCTCGGTTACCACCAATGCCAGCCCCCAGGCCGCATACATCGGCGGGCCTTCCTGCCCAAAGCCGGCGCGTCGTTTCCGGAGGCGGCATTGCGAGCGTACAGTCCCGCACAGGCAAGCCCATGCCCTCGCGTACCACCAAGATCAGCGAGAAGCTCGTGCTCTTACCGGAAACGAGTGGCCAAGACGAGGCCGAGGACGATGTACTCGAGGGCGGAGACGATCTCGGCGTGATAGAGGACGAAATAGGACCGCTCAAAGACGACGAGCTGAAAGCTTTGCGGGCTAAAGGCAACATTCGTGGCAAGAGCTATGCGGAGAGGCTGCCGAAGCGCCAGAGAACGGAGAAGGTCAGTCGGCTGACGGCATACTGTACTGCCCAAGCCTTCAAGGTCAAGTCCACTGCCGAGTTCCTGAGGAAGAAGCACGAAGCAAAAACGAAGCTCTACGACGACTGCTTGTACGTCGTGTACTCGCTACCTCTGCTCAATGGCAACGAAGGGTACCGGGTACGTAGTCGGCCCATCATGAGGACGCCTGGTACGGGGAAGACAGTCCTTGATCTGGAGATTGAGAGGAGCGAGGGCCGCAGCCACCACGAGGGGTACTTTGAAGACGATGCGTATGCAAGCCCGAACAGCAGCCACGAGTCACCACAACTCAGCGACCAGTCCCTGGAATACCAGATGGACGAGGACCCCTTCCGCCATGAGGACGACAACACCTCGCACATGCATAGACTGCGCCCAGACGCAAAGAATTTGGCGGAAATGTTTGTCTTCTCCTACGGCGTGGTCGTATTTTGGAACTTCACAGAGCACCAAGAAAAGGATATCCTGGCCGACATGACGTTCGCCGACGCTGAAGACGGCATCAGTCTCTTGACGAGGCCACTCGAGCAGGACGACTACGAGACGGAGGAGTTTCACTTCGAGTACAGTGCCAGCGTCAAGCGACCGCGGGTCTTCAACGACATGATCACGTTGATGCCACGATCAGACCACATGATCAAGCTGACCATCAGCCACGCCATCGCCCAGAGCACCAGGCTATGCTTCTTTGAGGAAAGGATGAGCGAGACGATGCAGGATGCACAGGACGTGCCAAAGACGCTCGCTCTCACGGGCGAGCTGAACATGACGAGGAAGGAGATTGTCAAGATCCTCGGCCGTCTCTTCAAGAGTCGCGTCGACATTAATCTCTGTAAGTGTATTCGCTCATGGGTGGACACCCGCCGCCGCATTATTGTACTAACACATTGAACCAGCCTCCAACATTCTCGACGTGCCCAACTTCTTCTGGGACTCTGAACCCACTCTCCACCCTCTCTACGAAGCCATCCGCGAATATCTCGAAATCGACCCGCGCATCAAGGTTCTCAACGAGCGCTGCCGCGTGTTCCTCGACCTGGCCGAGATACTCTCTGACTCCATCGCCGACTCCAAGATGAGCGTCATCACCTGGATCATTATTGTTCTAATCATCATCTCCATCCTGGTCACCGTCACCGAAGTGGGTCTCCGCTTCGCCATTCTCCAAAAGAGCGGCGAAAACGGGAGGGGACTCGTCGACGCAGGCGATTTGGTCCAGATCCAGACCGGCCCCCCCTTTTTACTCGACCAACACCCGCGGGATGTAGCAGAGATGAGCGGCCTCGAGATGCTCGCCTTGGATCTCGGCCTGGATAGCAACGCCAGCTTGAGCGACGTCAGGATGGGCATACAAGAGTTGAAGCGACAGATATAATTAGGGCGGTCTTTGATGTGTTGGGGATGGCGGTCTTGCAATCTGATTATTTTGCAGATAGATACTGCTTTGTGTTTCGCACACGCTCTTCAAGCACGGCGTTCCAGGTTTCAATGGTACTACACTTCCCATCATCTCCAGGGCTCACAGCTGCTTCAATCCGCTCCGAGTCAAGTACGATACTAAGCATGGAATGGTTCAAACATCGTTATCTGCGTTGCACTAGACTTATGTAACGGATGTAATGTCTCAACGTCTGTCCGGCTCGTTTGCCGCCCCACCCATGTTCATTCCTCCTAGAAAAGGCTATATTAAGTAAATTCTTTAGTTGTATAAAAGAACAAATGGCTTGATATCTGGGGAGGAAGCAAAAGAGATCATCCTCCCCGTGGGTGGTAGTGTCCTTATCGTCCGTAAACGCCGTGATTCCGTGATCGTAACATTGTCCATTCCGAACCCCCTCGAGCGACGTCTCCTCGAATCGGCCGCATCGCTCCAAAATGTCCACATTCGCTGGATTGTTATTCCTGAGCAAAGCTGCCTTTTTTCTAGGGCTCAAATTCCCAAAGCCCTTTCAGTGGCTGGCGATGCGCCCCCCCCCATCATGCGCATGCAACGCTATGCCTGCCGCAGTCCATTGCGAAATGCCTCGTCTACTAATATAAATCGTGGGATATGAGAAGAGTTTTTTTTTTTTTCGGTTGTCCAACTTAGAGCACGCCAAGTCAACCGTTACCTGACATTCTGCTCAACAGGCTTGTAAGCCGTCTCTTGTGCCTTCTTCTTCTTGTTGTCGAGCTCAGCCTTGCTGTAGATGACAGCACCAAGCATGGTGACGGCCATGCCAGCACCGTTGAGCCAGCCGATGGTGACATCAAAGAGGAAGATGCCGAGTAAGACGGTCAGGCACTGCTTGAGGTTACCGCAGATGGTCATGGTGAGAGCACCAGCAAGCTTGTTGGTGTTGAAGGAAGAGATGTTGAGGAGGAGGGCGAGGAAACCGTTGCCGGTAAGGGAAGCGAAAGCTGGGGGCAGCGACAGTTCACCCGAGTTGACAAGCTCCCAGAACCCGCCGACCTCGCCCGTAGCGGTGGCGCAAGCAAAGGCCTGGAGGGCCGCCAGGGGCGACATGCGCATGAGGAACTCGACCGGGGGAAGGGCAAGAGAACCCGTCATGAAGCGGTTGGTGACAACGGTCTGTGGGATACGTTAGTCACTTCTTTGTTGCACCTGCGAACGTAGCACAAACCTTGAGAGCAGCCAGAATGACACCAAGAATGGTGAGGAGGAAGCCGGCGTCAGAAAATGTCATTTCTCCCACGGTGGTCATCGCGGCGCCGACAATCAGGGGAATGAGAGACAGATACGTCATGGTGCTGTATGAGCGGCTGTACCAGACACGGTAGATGAGGATGGTGAAGATGGGACACAGCATGCGCATAGTCTGGTAGAAGGGAACAGACACCATCGCCAGCGACAAGTTGGAGACGGCAATGTTGGCGGTGAAGAGCCCGCTAAAGGCGACCAAGGCAAGGTTTTCGCGGCGACCCAGGCGCGAGAGCTTGAAGTAGCCCATCTGCAACATGGCAAATGTTCCTAAGCTGGCAAAGGTGGCATGCAAGAATGTCAAGAGCCATGGGAAGTGAAACTGCACAGCATGTTAGCGATCAGTCTACCGGGGCACCGGGCTCAAGCGACACGTACCATTCCCAGGACGAGTTTGTTGTAAAGGGTCAAGAGCAGGGAGAAGAAGAAGTAGGTGCCGAGCCAGGCAAACTTGACAGTGCTGGCGACGGAGTATTCGTGGTCGATGTTCTTGTCCTTGGGACCGTCGGCACGGGTAGCATCCTGCTCTAGATCCATCTCGTCAACCTTGCCCTCGCGCTCCTGCTCCTCGGGCGTGAGCAAGCGCACAGGCTCTTGCGAATCACGGCGAGACATGGTGATGGGAGGGCCGAGGGGTTGTGAGGGCTTCGGGTGATCGATCGATCAGGGGTTCGTTCGAGGAATGGCCGGCCTTGCAAAGCAGACTATCGTGCGATGCAGTCGGCGGAAATCGAATTGGCGAGAGCTCGGCGGCGCCGCAGAAGGAGCTTGCTACTTGAAATAAAAAAGGCGAGAAGATGGGATCCGAGGGAAGCGCGGAAGCGCAGGGCGGTACTAAATATCGACACCAAGTGGAAAAAAAACAAGATTGAAACAAGACGTGGGGGAGCGAGACACGTCAGGGCCTCTCGTCACACGCTGAGGACTGTCGGTGGCGAGGGAATCGAGGTAGAGACCGAAGTGAAGAAGTTGTCGCGATGATAGAGCAAGGGAGGAGCAGTAGGCAGACGGACGACGGAGATCGCTGGTCGAAGGAGGAGGCGGGAGAAAGAAGTTCAGTCAATCCGGCCGGGAGCAGGGGAAGATGACGGACCGGAATAGGCAAAGACGATAGGGAGCGTGGAAAGTACGGTACGGTGCGTACCAGTAAGCAGAAAACCGGGTCGGAGATTGGACGAAGCGCGACAAGACACGCCCAGCCTTTGGACTGGCAGGATTCTGATGATTCTACGGCGCGAGTCGGGGGCTTCGCAAGGGGGAGTTGTCTTGGCGAAGGCCACACGACCAGCGGAAGGGCAGAGCACGGTGGAGTTGCCCAGGACGCCTTCCCTGGAACGAGGGCTTGGCTTCTTGGGCTTGCTTGCATTGTTGCTGGAAATACGGAGCCAATACGGGGTCAGTAATCTTCAGGACGCATTGGCACTGCTACGGAGCTACGTACGCGTGAATGGCTTGGTGTTGTACTGTTTCGGGTTAGCGCCTTTGCCGCCTTTGGTCCGGGCGGCGAAACCGCTCAGCCACGCGTCAGTCAGCCGCACTCACCGTCAAACTGAGGCTTTGAAGTACTCCGTACAGGACTCTTGGCTTGCATCGCCGCGATGATCTCCTTGACTGCTATAAGGCTGCGGGTCCGTGCGCAAAATAAGGATTATAGCTAATAGCAGCTAAGGACTGGAGGCACTTAGAAGAGAGACCAAATAATATGAATTTCTTCCGTCCACTGGGCTACCAATGTTACAGCGCGCAAGTTGAGTATTTCAGTAACTATCCAGGGAGCTGATTCGAGTGTTTTTTCCCAGAGGTGGCTAGTAACGGCCCTTGCCATGGTGAGCGCTCCCGGTGGTCTTCTTACCACGACGAATCATGTACGAAACCCCAGCGTTGATGAGGTAGGCGACGAGGGAAATGATGGCGAGGGCAAAGGTCGCAACATAGAGTCTGCAAGTGGTTCCCGCGCCGGAAGGGCATCCGAAGCGACCGTCACGATTCAACACTGCCACAGCAATCATGGCAGCAAAGAGGAATAGGTCGATAATGGCGCCAATGAGTGAGAGAAAAGATATGCCAGCGAGACAGCATGTGAGTAGCATGGCGACAAAGCTATATGCCAGAGAGATGGCTGAGATGCCGATGATGGCAAAGTCTCGCTTCGATCCACGGAAGCTCACAATGAACTGTCAGTTTTCAATGTCAGCCCAGTTACGACTTACGGCAGGGTCTTGAGGATGTCATCAACTCACCCAGGCTGTGGCGCCAGTCATGATAGCTGCAGCGCAGAATGTAACGAAGTAAAGGCCAGTGGCGAGAAGGCGCATAGCGCCACCTTTAATCAAACCCATTACAGTATAAGGCGCGGTCTTTGGGTGTCAGAGAGAACTGGCGGAAATGCTATGCTGAGGGCGTTTATTAGGAGGTGAGGAGTGATTTGAGTATGAGGAAAGATGTGAGACTGGAGTGTGCCGGACAGACTATAATATACTAGAGGGTCACTGAACGAGTTTGGGCTTTCTGACGTCAACCGGCACTGAACGCGCGTGCTGTCGATGACACTACCTTGGTTTTCCCAAGAGTATGGAAGCTTGTGGCTTGTTTGGGCTCATGATAGCATCAGCCAAGATACTTGCCGGCACTTGTTGTCCCAATACGTGTCAAGCGTCTTCATTCTCCGCCTGGACTGTGGAGGAATGAACAAAAGCAGGCTGAGTTACGTACATGTAGTTGAGAGTAGGCCGAGCTTTGAGGCTCAGTGTCAAGCCAATGCCAAGTGAGAAGTACGTAACGTAGGCTCTGTAGCAAACGAGTCTGCTCCCGGACTTGGGAAGTTTCCTTTCTCGCTAGACCTTAATTCCGAAGGATGTAGGCAAGATACCTTGCTGGCTCCTCCGAGTCGCCCTGCGTAGCATCAAACAGGTCTTGAACTACGTACAGACATCAAATGTAATCACTTCTCGATCACCTTTCAGAGGTGCAAAAAAAAGGTGGTTGCGGTACGACACGGCCGTCAATACTGTATTGATCGTCTGTGCATACGTGTACTAGTCTTGGCATCGGAATTTACGCCACGGGAAGCTGACGACGCACTCTTGGCTTTTGACACTATCAGTAGGTATCCGTACTTTTTGCGTTCACTTATTATTCCCTTCACAGACTAAGGTAGAGAACATATCCACATTTCTCCGCACCCACATTTCTGCGCATTCAGATCGCGACATGTTCAATAGTAATTCTTCATCAAATAGAGCGCATGAACCCACGTCAAGTCGCCGAAGGTAGTAGTGTACGCCGCGCCGCTCGCGACTTTAACGTGAACGAGTTATTCATACAATGTGGTCTAGCGCCCGGGAATTGGGTTCGCCCGCCAGCGGGACATTGGTTGTGTGCCATAGTACGGATAGTATACGTACGGATATATCTAATGCAGAACTCCGTACAGCTGCTGGAACGATGCATGCCTCGCCCGACGTGGTCTACACTTCATCGTCGACGGAAGCTGAAGATGATTTTGCGTGCGTAACAGATGCAGTGATTTATCCCCTGAAGGAACGGAGAGTCTGAGCAGAGATACGCATGACCGCGGCCATTGATGGGACAATGCGCAAGACATGACATGTCGGTCGACCACTGTTCAAGTGAGAGTCTCAAGATGAGGCTGTAACCGTGGCCAGCGCAGCTATTAACAAGTGACGAATGAAATGAGCATGGCCAACAAGTCGTCTCGGGATCATTGTACGGGTCCTTACGTGACACGTGTGGCTGAGCTGCGCTTGATTGTTCCGTTCAAGTTAAAAGCAGCGGGCCAGCGGCAATATCTGAGTGGAGCGCAGTATGTCGCCAAGAGTGGAAGCCCAAGCCTCAAGTTCCCCATTTACTTTTGGTACGACCGCCTTGCTTGTATCCGTACTTATGGAGTGAGGAAGACAGAATGTCTGTGAAGCCCTGAACATGATAGGGGGCACCTCCCTTCGTTCCTCGTGGGCAAGCGATACGAAGCAACCACGGACGCAGCGCGTTGTCTGTCTGTCTGTCTGTCAATAAAAATAAAAGTGCACGCCACCAGGAGATCCGCTCGTATTGCGCCCCCCTTTACCTTCTCGCTAGACGCTAATCATGGAGGATGCCGAATCGTCACAAAGGGGACCTGGATGGTTGCACCGTTGCAGGGCAGTACGTACAGTACATGATTAGGCTGGGGTCGCCGTCCAATTCTTCGCGGCTAGAGCCTAGCCTACCTTAGCCAGCCAGCCCTGTGCACGCTGCAATCTCCTCACCTGCAGGCGACATGAATGGTCTCTCTCCGTGGGAGCCGACTGTAGCGATGAACTGCAGGAGATGCTCAAAGAGAAGACTCGATTGCAGCAATACCTTAATTGGGCCCGGCGCGTTTATTAAAGTTGTAATATTCCTCGACTTCCTGCTACCCTGGGTATGTAAGGTACGTAGGTAGTGCTAACTGACGGGGTGCTTCCCTCCCCAACCAACTCTAACTAATCACTCATCACGGCCCGCATCGTGCTAAGTCCTCCGTAGGATCCATCAATATGTGCCTGACTCTTATCTGTCAGCCTCAGCCTGGGCGGCCAAGCTCTTCGGGCATCTCATCCCGGACAGGGATTGATCTGTGACGGCTGAAGCCTCGAAGCTTCGAAGTTACTGTTGTGCGCAACTTCCCAGAAGCCAGCCCTCCTCTTCTCACCCGAGACTTGACCGACTCTCGAGCGTGTCGACGAGTTTTCGTCACATCCAGTCCTTATTCCTAACTAGCACTTCTCCCACCGTCTCTCTGCCCACGCCCGGCAGTCTGTGCTTCTCGTCGAGCCCGCACTGTCGGCGCCTCTGCGCTCGCTCTCAGACGCCTCCTGCGTCTGTCAAAGGCAGACTGACTTACTGGGCTATTTTTCCTGCGAAGCAACTCGGCCGATCAGACGCTCCTTTTCTTTTCTCACTCTTTCGAGGCCATGGCCGCTTTCCAACGAAACCTCGCCATCGCGGCGGTGTTTATGTTCACCTGCATCTCCATCATCTACCTGGTCCCGATCTTATCCGGGGTGAGTAGCCCATTCTCCTGTTCCGTCGCGCGTGGAGCTGACAATCGACATTGCAGGATCAGAGCTCACTCCTCGGCTACATTCACCACAAAGCAGGATTCGATCCCCCCGAGGCGGTCAACTTGGTCCCTACAAAAGTCGCGGATGGTGAAACCACAGTTGCGTCCATCACGACGGCCAAGACAACTTCTACATCTGTGACCAACCCCGCTGTCTCAGTCCCTGCACCCCCTGAGGGCAAAATCTCGAGGCTTCACTACTTGATCCCCGCCAGCCAGCCCAACCTGCACTTGTGCTACAACCTAGCCTCGTCGGCCGCCAACCGCTACCCCGTGCCCGCACTCCTTGGCTTCCATGGCCAGGGCGAGTGGGATGCCAAGAAGACACACCTGGCCAAGCTCCGTGCCATCATGCGCTACCTGGACGCACTCGACGCTGCCGACGACGAGGACCTGGCCATCATCGTCGACGGCTACGACGTTCTCCTGCAGCTGCCCCCCGCGATCATGATTGAGAGGTACTTTGAGGTGGCCCAAAAGTCCGACGCCCATCTGGCCGACCGCTTCGGCTTGACCGTCAAGGAGCTGCACGCCCGGGGGATGCGCCAGAGCGTCTTCTGGGGCCCCGACAAGATCTGCTGGCCGACCGACCCGCGCGCGAGCCGTTGCTGGGCTGTGCCCGCGTCGCCCCTTGCGCCGGACGCCTTTGGCCCCAAAGAGGGTAACGGCGACATGGCCTTTAACGACCCGCGCTGGCTCAACTCGGGCACCGTCATCGCCCGGATCGACGACCTGCGCAAGCTCATGCGGGCAACCCTGGACGAGATCAAAGACACATATGACGAGGAGTACGAGTTTCGAGAGTCTGACCAGTACTACGTCGCCAACATCTGGGGACGCCAAGAGTACTACCGATCCCTGGCCGTGAATGAAGGGGAGCCCGTCGCCGGCGGCCCTGACGACCGCATCATCCCGGACAAGTTCCATGAGGACCAGGAGACCGAGTGCCACGTCTCCCTCGACTACGAATCCGCCATGTTCCAGACCAAGGCCGGCAACGAACCCTGGTTCGGCTATCTCGAGTTCAGCACTTCTGGCCTCAACGCCAATGTCACGCGGGACATGTTCGACGAGGGCGACAGCTTCGTCCCCTTTGACATCTCCATGCCCGCCAACGTCTACGCCGCCCTGACGCGCCTCTACGACACCGTGCCCCAGGCGCACCCGGGGGCGTCCAGCAACGACTGGATCCGCTCCATCCGGCTCGGCGTCAATTTTGTGACCAAGCACATCTTCCCCCTGTGGCACTGCACTGGCGCCAAGGAGTTTGTCGAGTCCGAGTACACCAAGCTGTGGTTCTACCCCTTTGCCCACTCCCTCATCAGGGCCACCGTCAACGCCTTCCGGCAGGGGGAGCTGATCACCTACCACAAGGTCGACGGGCGCCTCTGGGCGCCCAAGGGCGTCTACCCTGACGAGACCGAGATGGACGACGAGCTGGGCGGCGCGTGGACAGATCTTGACGGGGCGAGTTTTGTCCCGTGGCATGAACTCTGTTCTGAATACACCGACCAGCTATTTGCGGGCGAGTTGCCTCGGTCGAAGAAACCCTAACGAGGACGCTATGGTAAAATCTAATGACGGCGCCAGGGACATGTTAATTTATGGGGGAATATTGCACATTCTTACTGTACAGATAGAAGAGGGATGGCGTAAGGGGCAGGACATTGGCTTGAGCGTTTTCTCCTTTCTTTTCCTTTCTGACAAAATTCTAATACCCCTTTTATTGCCAATTGGCGGCACTTTCCTCCATAGTATCAGAGTATATTACTAGCAAAAACTTTGTTGATATCCGTGAATATACTATGCCACACGCTACTTGAAACCAATGCCGTACAAAGAAGAGCCAAAAGTTTACAGTTCAACTAGCTGGGGCTGATAATCCCAAGATCCACTAGTAGTACATCCAGACGATAAAATAAAACAAATCAAACACCCACGACTTAGACCGCATCGACATTTTCCAGCGGCACATAGCCCTCCTCCCCCTTGGCGCGGCGACTGCCCAGCATCTCGCGCACCCACCCGATCAAGCCCGCACCGCTCATCCATCGCAACTTGCCACCAGGCATCTTGTGCGCGGCCTCAGCCTCGTCCATCCACCGGGGCCGCCGCCAGGACTTGAGGAGCAAACTTGACACGACGACGCTGACGCTGGAGAAGGCCATGGCCAGACCGGCCAGCATGGGGTGCATGTGCAGGCCCAGGGGCAGGAAGAACCCCATGGCGATGGGCAGGCCAATCACGTTGTACATGCAGGCCCAGGCGAGGTTGAGCTTGATGCGTCGGAAGATGGAGCGCGTGAGGTGCAGCGCCGCGGGTATGTCCATGAGTTCCGTGGGCCGCATCAGCACGAGGTCGGCCGCCTCCATGGCCACGTCGGTGCCGGACGCCATGGCGATGCCAATGTCGGCCGTGGCGAGGGCCGGGGAGTCGTTGATGCCATCGCCAACCATGGCCACAATCTCGCCCTGCGCCTGGATCTGCTTGATGATGGCCTGCTTCTGGTCGGGGCTCACGCCGGCGTAGACGTGCTCAGCGGGGATCCCGACCGCGGCGGCCACGGCGACTGCAGTCGACTGCTGGTCACCAGTGACGATGGCTGTCTTGATCTTCATCCGGTGCAGCACAGAGATGGCAGCAGCGGCACCGTCCTTGATGGTGTCGGCCAGGCAGAGATGCCCGGCATAGGTACCGTTGATCGCGACAAAGATGTTGGTCGTGCCAGCGGTGGGCGACTTGCTGCGGGCTTTGCCGGCTGATGCATTCAGCTGTTCGGAAGCCTCAATGGCATCTTGTGGGATATCCACATGGTTTTCCGTGAGGAAGCGTACATTGCCGGCAAGCACTCGGTAGCGTTGTCTTTCCGCGGAGCAAGCAGGCTCAATCAGGGCGTCCACACCGCGGCCCACAGCAGCCTTGAAGTCGCCAATGCTGCCCTCAATGGTACCGTCGACGTCGACGTCAAGCTCATGCTTAGCAGCCGTCAGGATGGCACGGCCGACAGGATGCTCACTGCCCATCTCTGTCAGGCCAATGAGCGACCACCACAGCTTCCGGCGCCACTTGTTGTCGGTCCAAGTTGGGTCGATCTCAGCCTTGGCCACGCTCATCTTGCCGTGCGTAATTGTACCCGTCTTGTCAAGGACGACCTGGGTGACTTTGGTCGTTCGTTCCAGGGCCGCGCCGCCCTTGATGAGTATCCCGTTCTCGGCACCAACACCGGTGCCTACCATGACGGCAGTGGGCGTGGCCAAGCCAAGGGCACACGGGCACGCGAACACAATGACCGAAATGCAAAGCTTCACACACACCATGATCTTCCCGCCGCTAGCGTCTTCGAGGAAGATATGGGGAGGGTTAGACAAAACGTGGCTGAGGATCATCCAGCCGAGGAACGTGATGAGACCGAGGATGAGAATCGTAGGCACAAAGTACCCGGCGAGTGTGTCCGCCAGCTGTTGGATGGGTGCCCGCGTTGTCTGCGCGTTCTGCACCAGCCTGACAATCTGGCTGAGCTGCGTGTCTCTACCAGCGCGGGTGACTCTAAAATCAACGCGACCCTCGCCGTTGACTGTTCCGCCGACGACATTGTCACCCACGCGCTTCTGTACCGGCATGGCCTCGCCCGTGACCATGCTTTCGTCTGCATACGTCGTGCCGCGTACAAGTGTACCGTCAGCCGGAAATTTGTCACCAGGCTTGATGAGTACAATGTCACCGACCTGCAACAGCTCCGTGGGAATGGTCTTTTCTTCGTATGCAGAGCCTCCTGAACCTTCACCTGCACTCTTGCTGCCATCGCTTTGCTCCTTGGATCCCTCGGCCCAAGCCTCGGCTGCCTTCTCGACAGCGATGGGGTCGACATAGATTGTGGCCATGGACGGCGCGAGTGACATGAGGCGGGAAAGGGCCTTGGAGGTCTGCCCCTTGGCTGAGTTCTCAAGATAGCGACTCAAGGTAATAAATGTGATCAGCATGGTGCTGGTGTCGAAAATCGTGTGCGGCCTCGTGTAAGGCGGCGCGGTGACGGACACCACCATGGAAAACACGCTGAAGAAGAAGGCACACGAGGTACCCAGGATCACAAGAACATCCATAGTGGGTGAACCGTGCTTCAACGACTTGTACGCGGAGACGTAGAACCTCTTTCCAATTCCAAACTGAACGGGAAGCGTGAGAATCAAGCAGACGAGATCCCCAAGGAAGAGACCCCGGATAAGCTCGAAACCACCAAAGTCGGCGGCGGCGAAGCACATGGGTAGGATCATGCCAATGAGGAAGACCGGAACGGCAAAGGCCGCGGATATCCTGAAAGCTGTTCGCCACTCGTTGATCTCGCGAGTCTTTGCCAGTGACTCGAGTTGCGCGCTATTATCCTGGCTGTCCGCAACCAGGGCGTTCATGCCTCGCGCCTCCACGGCCTCCACGATCCCTCTCAGTCCGATCTTGCCAGGATTATGGGAGACCGTCAAGCGATCGGTGGCCAAGCTCAGGGACGCTGCGCTGACGCCCGGCAGTGCCCTGAGGACCTCCTCCAAAGCTGTCGCGGCCGCTGCATCGGGGCAACCATAGACCTTGAACTGTGCGTTTGCTGAGGATACTCCTTGGAGGGCAGCGTCGGATGGCGAGGATACAACCTCGGCATCGAATCCGCGGTCTTCGATGATTTCCGCAATCTGCGCCGCTGTGATTTTGCTAACGTCGTGAGTAATGACGGCGCGCTCTGCCAGGAGACTGATGTTGAACCGCAACACGCCATCCACACCGGTAAAGCCGCCCTCGACGGCTGAAGTGCATGCACCGCATGTCATTCCTTCAATGGCCACAGTCGTCGTTGCAATGTCGTCCACAGGTTCCGCCGGGCCCTTGTCGTTTGTCGGTGCCAGTGGGTTTTCCAGGACAGTATCGATGAGCGTCGCGTCAAACCCCCTGTCGTCGATAATCTCAACAATCTGCGCTGGCGTCAGAATACTCGGGTCATGCTCAATGACGGCGCGTTCTGACAGAAGCGATATGCTGAAGTGCTTCATGCCCGGAACCCCTTTGAAGCCGCCCTCCACGGCCGAAGTGCAAGCTCCGCAGGTCATCCCCTCGATGCCCACAGTCGTCGTGGCCAGTGCCTGGTCGTCATTGTCTTTGCGACGCTCTGCGTCTCGAGCGGGTGTAGAACTCTGTATATCAGTCGACAGCACGTGAGCGTCGAACCCCCGATCGTCAATGATCTCGCGAATGGCATCGGCGGATATGGCTTCGGGATCATGCATAATGACCGCGCGCTCCATGACCAAGCTCACAGACACATTGCCCACTCCATCGACACCTTTGAAGCCTGCTTCAACAGCCGATGTGCAAGATCCGCACCTATAAATCACACATGTTAGATTTTTGAAATGCTCATTTGCAGCTGCGACAGCCGAGGACTGAAGACTCGGAACCGTCGGCCGCGTACGTATCGGCCATGGAGTACTCACGTCATGCCCTCCACGCGCAGCGTAGTTGTGGCCATGTGCGCCGCTCGCGGCGAAGGAGGTCCGTTTTGGCTCGTGCCATTGTCGCCAGAGGGCACTGCAATATATTTTGGAGCCATCGGAATGCTAGTTGGTGCCCTTGCAGCTCAAGGGCCCTCCCCAAGATAGTGATGCGACGACTATACTTTCTCGTGCTCTGGTCCCTCCTGTCACTGATCGTGTGGCCTTATTCGCATATCGCTCGGTATATCGTGTCGAATTAAGTTTGCAGGGTCCCAAGTATCGCACCTCGTGGCAGCCGTCGCGTGGCGGACGAATACTTATTTGGTTGGCGCTGGGGAAATTGCGCGGCGCCAAACACTGTGACAAGGCGGAGGCAACAAAAAATAAGAAGTATGCGCAAACCAGCTGCTTCGCTATGCAATAAGGAGACAAAGGAGGAGGAGAAGACTGGAGAGGATCGGAGGCGACTGGAGGCAAAAATAACTGGCCAAACCAGATGCAGGAGGTTTTACACTATACGTTTCCGTTCGTACAACGTATCGGAAGGGTTGGCCGCTGGGGGGTCATCGTCGACGGAGAGGCGGTGCTCCTGCCGAATCAAGCAGATTGCCCAGGCGCTCAGCAGTCGCGGCTTCCCCACTGTTGATCCCGCCTTCCCCCCTGGAACCTGCGGTTTTTGTGGCTGATTATTATAAATATACGCACCGTTGGTCCCTAGGTAATCATCGTGCCCGTACCATGTCCGTGTGTAAAGTTGCACTGCCAATCCAGGCTGGCCTATTATCCTGGGCGACTAAAGCGGAAGGAAACTGCTGTGCTCGGTATTCTTGGTGTTCTGTTCTGCCTGACCTACTGAACAAGTCGACAGCCACACAGAGCATCCAGAATGGCTGCGAATATGCAGGATAAGCATGACCAGATGCTACAATAATTCGAGACCCTGCAAAGGTGCCGATAACGACCGGCTTTTAGATTGCTTAGGCAATAGGAATGTGCTTGGCTCGCCCAAGGGCGGAGTTCTCTGAACCGCCTTCCTGAATAGGCAGCTAATGAGGCTTTCACATAAAGCCAAGGTGTTGTTTCTGCTTCGTATGAGTGATCAGCAGCCTTAAAAAAAAATGAGAATGGTCAGCTTCGCATACAAAGCTTCTAAATTCGTGGCTTTGTCATGAATCACCACCACTATCTCAAGCGGCTGCTCTCCCAAACGACGGCGGTCATCGTGAATCACTTACCTGCGACGCCCTGTTGTTTCGAGATTATGAAACTGCTGGGGTCTGTTTGACATAACGGCCAGGCAATACCTGGCCAAGACCACTGATTTTTGTGGTCTTTGTCGGACTGTGCAAGCTAAATCATAAGATCAAAATGGCACCTAAGCAACCTGTCGAATATTAATCACGCCTACACTTCGAACATCCTCCATCACCAATCGCTGGCCTGAGCCTGGACATGTGCACTCACTGCACTTTGCACGAGCGTCGTAGTTTTCTGTGACTTCGCAATAATGACCTAATTTGGGTCTGTTCTTATAATCAATCAAAACGGCCGTTGCCATTGCACTTGTGCTGAGACGTTGCGAGTGAAACCAGAGTAAGACTTCCAGTCGCTCGTGTGAGTTGGCTGGGGCAGGCTAGACCGACGTGACTGCGGTACCCCGAATTCTGCCCCTCGACACGCCAACCACCCACCCCGCGTCACCACCTGCAGCCTGACGACCGTACAGCTAGCTTCACCGAGCTCCAAGCCTCCCAGTCTGACGTTGGCGATCCATCGCCATACATTGCATCACTTTCTTTGTTCTGTGATCTTGAATCGCGTCCGTCGAATTCTCATCATCTCTAAGACTTGTATTATTGAACCTCCATCCACCTACAGTCTCCGTCACTGGCTACTGGCTCCTGCCGCCTGCCGCCCATCGCGGCTCGCTTCACCATGGAGCAGACCAAGGCCCTCAACGCCCTCGAGGTACCCAAGCCCTGCCTCATGCTCACTTTCTGCCTCATCACTCACCAAGTATCACAGCCCTATCTAGCTCTCTCGACATCAGCTACGTCTCCACGCGCCGCCATCGACCTCATCCGGCAAGCGACCTCCGCCCCAAACACCTTCCTCTTCGCCGAGCTCCTCCAGACACAACCCATCGCCTCACTCGCCTCGTCACCCGATGCCGATGCGCAGGCTGCGCACGCTCTGCTGCGGATGTTCTCACACGGCACGTATGAGTCGTACACCTCCACACCAGGGCTGCCGCCCCTGTCAGACACTCAGACCGTGAAACTACGACAGCTGTCGTTGCTATCGCTGGCCAGGAACCGGGACAACTTGGCATACGGGGTTTTGCAGCAGAAATTGGGTCTCGACTCGCACCGCGAGGTGGAGGAGCTCGTCATTACGGCAATCTACGCGGGCCTGATCAACGGCACCTTGGATCCGGCACGACAGACAGTGCAAGTCACCAGCATCGCGCCCCTCCGCGATCTCGCCCCAAACGCGGTGCCGGAATTGGCCGCCACCCTCAAGGTCTGGTCTGAGCGGTGCACGACGACCCTCGGCGGCTTGGAGGCGCAGATCACACAGATCCGACAGCAGGCTGCCGCGCGCAACGCCGAGGAGAAGAAGGTCAAGGCCAAGCTGGACAAGGCAATCAGCGAAGTTGACGAGAAGGACCTGTCTATCAACAGGACACAGGACGCTTTTATCAGACCCAAGAATTGGCAACAACGAGAGTCGCAAGGGGGGGAGCTGATGGAGATGGACGAGCCATCGGGGCCGGACGATCAGCAGACGCGACGAAGCAAACGGAAATGGTGAAACTGCGCCAAAAAGGAAGATGCAATGGCGAGACGCACACCAAGTTCGGAGACCCATGGTGCACATGAAGATAGCGTAGATGATAATGACTCAAGGGGTTGCTAGAGCACCCTGTTTACATCCCTTTTTCGCTATCTAGATGATCTCACAACTTAAAGTAAGGTGCGCTTAAAGGGAGTCGCAAACGCCAAGACGCAAAGCCCCTTGAGCGATACGTAGAAAGATGATGTACATGGTAAAAGAGCACAAAAGATACCCCGACGCCGAACGAGATGGCGCCTGGCCAGCGTAGAAAACAAATTGAAGATCGGGGACCATCCCCATGGAGCGCGAGGAAAATTTTGAATGTGTCGTCAAGTCGTCAAGTTGGTGGCTCGCAGAGCCCGCAGGAGGGCAAAAGTAATGCGCAGCATCATCGACCCGTGTCGAGGCTAGCTCACAACCGCTTCCCAGGCACGAGAATGAACAAAATGCAGAGGGCAGCGTCGACAAGTACTGTCACGGCAAGAACCATGAGCGCACGCTTGGCGAGCAGTGTGCGGATGTAGGGCTCCCGGATGCGGGAGAAGTTGAACGGCGTGTACTCGCTGTATCCGAGGAGGGCAATTATGGGGTCCAGTGAGTATTGATAAGAGGCAAGGAAATAGACACCAATAGTGAAGGGAAGGATGACCTGTGACTGTTAGTGAGTTTGTGGTGAAATCCGAAACAGGGTCACATACCCAGCACCGAGTAGCGCGTGATTTGTCCAAGAAGATGAGCACAAATCCGGTCCAGAAGGCTCCGAAGATGGCCAACAACCCTATAATAAGGCGCAGGACGAGAGTGGGCGGGATTGAATTACCCAAGGCCTTCATTCTGAGGAAGCCGGGGAACGCATCACGCTCCATGGCTTGAAAGACATAGTCTTTGGCCACGTCGAAGACCTCCGGGTCATCGCGACCTTCGTCTTCAATGGCCCTAGTCACGTCTTCCGTAATCGATCCGGGAAGGGTGATCTCACGCTCAGCGCCGGGGAGTAGGAACGTGTACAGGATCTTCTCTGCTGACGCCTTGATATCCGAGCGGGCAACGGTATGACCTGGTGAATTCGAGTCGGTGGTGATGTCGTGCGAGTTGCTGAACTGGGGGCTCGGCCTCATGGCAGCATAGCCGCTGTGGGGAGAGTCGTGTGTGTCTTCACGTAGGAAATTCGACAGCTGGGCATCCTGGCTCTTCTCCTTCTCCGTCGCGAGCATGGACGGGCCAGCAATGCGAGGCTCCAGATCCCCCATGTTCTCGAGAATCATCGACGACCGCTTGGAGCTGGCTCTGTCCAAATCCGGCGTCCCTATCATGACCGAGCGCCTGAGTTCGCGGACATAGTGTCGACATAGCGACATGTGCTGCGCGACATCGAGCCAGAAGTCCAGGTAGTCGACTGAGCGCTGCTGGTCGCGCATATAGATGTAGAACGAGAACAGGTCGACCGGCGGCAGCGTGCGACGGCTCAGCACCTCGAAGAGGGTAGGGAGCCTATTCCTGGCCAGGTCTGGCTGGGGCGAAGGTGCCTCCATTTGATTATGTTGATAGCCCGGCATGGGCGTTTTGCGGTTTTATGCGGTAACCACTGGTATCGTACGAGTGGTGAAGATTAGGTGTTTGTTGTGTTTTTCGTCGGGAGATGCGGTGTTGCTCTGCATAGCAACTTGGTGTGACGTGAGCTGAATTGAGTTTCCCCTGTTGCTGATGCCGCGTGAAAAGCCTCGTCGCGGTGGCTGGTCTCGTGTCGGTTCCGCTCAGTTGATGGCCGGGAGGAGTTGAGTAACGTGAGTAGCAGTCATGGAGCACACAATGGGCCCCAGGACGCTCTCGTCGTGGACGGCGTAGGTGGAATGCGGTCTGTTGGCCGTGACGACGTAGGTAGCAGTGCCGAGTAAACAGCTGCTGGGGAACTTGAGACGTGGATCGGATCCCCCTTGCGCCGAATTGCCTGACTACGTACTGTATACAACTCGACCGCTGCGCGCTTTGCCTTCGTAACGCTCTCCCGGCGCTAGTCCTGGAACGTAGCAGCGCACGTGATCTGGTGTGAGCCAAGCTGGCACACAGGCTCATTGGTCTGGTCGGATCCACCCACCAAATTTCGAAGCCTGCCCTACGCACACAGAATTTACGGAATTTGGCCCTCTTCGCATCCAACTAACCTCCAGATCCTACCCTCCACGCCCAGTGTCAAATCTCACGAGACGATCCGCAGGTACGCCACGAACAGCCCAGAAAGACTACCTCTCTTTCTTTTCCTTGCACACCAAGATCTTCCCTTGTTGATCTTGCTGCAAGCCCAGTCCGTTTAACAGCGCCTCGACAGCCCCGACTGATCACCCTTCTTCCCGCAGAAATGTCGTCCAAGACCAAGAAGCCTTCCGGCAAGCCTCAGCGCTCCGCCATTGCGGACGTTGTCGCCCGCGAGTACACCATTCACATGCACAAGCGCGTACGTCCACACCACGACTCAATCGGCCAGGATTGAAGGAGCATGGAGGGGCATACGCTAACTATCGGCAAGATCCACGGTGTCAGCTTCAAGAAGAGGGCTCCCCGCGCCATCAAGGAGATCAAGGCTTTCGCCACCCAGGCTATGGTACGGCTCTCCCCATCTCACACTGCGCCGTCGAAACGCACGACACGCCGCGGCATCTCGAGGCTCTTGGGTTCGGGAGATTTTAGGGCTAACTCGCATCCCAGGGCACCTCCGACGTCCGCGTGGACCCCCAGCTGAACAAGAAGGTCTGGGAGCAGGGTATCAAGGGTGTCCCCTACCGCATCCGCGTGCGCATCTCCCGCCGACGAAACGACGAGGAGGGCGCCAAGGAGAAGCTGTACAGCTACGTACAGGCCGTCAACGTCAAGAACCCCCGCGGCCTCCCCACGGTCGTGGTCGAGGAGTAAGGCGGCTTCTTGGGAAAAGATAGAAGAAGAAGAACGAAAGAATTGACGACTGCGTTGGGGGGTTGGGATTTCCATTGACTCTTTTCCTGGCTTCTGGGTGTGTGACAACGGCATTTCGGAGTTGCGACGATTCGGCATTCGAGAGCTTTGGACGGCTACGAAACAAAAACTTACGGAGGGAATTGAACAAATTCTACTACCGATTTCCCTATGGTGTCAGCGCGCGAGAGAGCATGTGAGGTTCCGGAGGTTGCATGCCCAGACGCTCAAGTTTCGCTGAAACAATGCCTTGTCCATGTTTGTGACTGATCCGCCGCGGCTATGAATCCTGACTCCAAGCCTCTAGACTAGGGCTGTACCATGCATCCTGCTCATACTAGACCAGACAAGTGAACGAACCTATCCCAAGACTCCAATTCTCCAAATGAACTCCAAGAGACATCTACTCGTCTTCAATGTCCTTGTGACGAGCCGTCACCTTTCGCTGGAACTCGACAGGGTTATTGTCCCATAGCTCGGCCGCCTCACCATTGAGCGGCGAAGAGCTGTCACTGTCAGTCATGTCTCCTCTTGGTTACATGGGAGAAACGTACTTGTTGGGTTCGCCCAGGAGACTCTGCAGGCTGAGAAGCACCGTCTGCGTGTTGTACGCGGCGGTCCACTTGTCCTTAAGGATATCCAAGCAGATGCGGCCGGAAAAGTCCACGTTGGGGTGGTAGATGGGCGTCTTGAAGAGCACCGTCGGGGGCGCGTAGGGGTAGTTGGAGGGGAACTCGAAGCCGAGCTTCATGGTGAGCCCGGTGTAGGGCGTGTCCTCGGGTCCCTCGATGGTGGCCGTCCAGCTCAGCATGTTGTCGTCAGACGTCGGGAAGGCGGACACACCAGGGGCCGGCGACATCATAAGCTGCATGAGCTCTGTCTGAAGGCTGTGAAGGACTTTAGCGGATTGGAGTTGGAAGGGTTGGACGTGAAGACCACGTACCGCTTTGTCACACTCTGCGAATCAGGGCCCGGACGTGTGTTGTTGCCCTGCTTGGACGCCGGAACAGCCGGTGCAGCATTCGCGTTCTCTTCCGCCATCACGTTCATATTGTAACAGTGACTTTTGGCTGTCGCTGCTGTGTGTCGAGGATGTGTGATGCAAGAAAACAGTCGAGTAACCCAAGCAAAGACGATTGCGAGCCAGTGTGCTGTGGCAGAGAGACAGTGTCAGATTATGTCGACGGTATCAAACTCGCGAGATGCTATTGCTCTGAAGAGACAGGAAACTTGGTTGATTTTCAATGTCTTGGATTACGGATTTGAATGTCTGAGTTGTTGGTCGGGACATTTGTTGATTGGCGATGGAGCTCCCGTGTTTGCCGCAGCAACGGCGGCAACGGAGTGGGTATCGGCCAGAATAAGTGCTCCAGGCAGTATGGTTGGACCGCCACAGAGGTGGCTGTTTTATTTTCGTTGGCACCCCTTCATCTCGTCGCGGGGTCCATCTCAAGAATCCAAACACGAAGTACCTGTAGGCACTTTACGCGATCGACAGACGCGACCTGGAGTGGATCGCGACACGACACGAGTCCACGACCAAGATACTTATAAGCAACAGTACGCTTTCTGTCATTGATACCAAGTAGTCAGATCTGTAAGGATTGGAGTTTTGTGTCGTGAACTTGGTGCCATGGTAAGCAACCCTGACCATTCATGACGTGCACTCATCAACGCCATCTCTACCTCATCGCTCACCATCGTCAGTCACAACTAGACCCCCTGCCAAAGGACCTGCCCTTTCGCATTGTCTCCAAGACAGTTGGTAGAGGCGCCTACGCATCGTACGTCAGTTGTGCATTCACTCTCCCACAGAAACAGCTGCTGACTCTCTCCAGCATTAAGAAGGCTATCCCGCTGGATGCGACAGACCCCGTCTTCGCCGTCAAGCTCATCCACAAGGGCTACGCGTTGAAGCATGGCCGGATATCGGTCAAGCAGCTGGCCATGGAGGTCTCCCTCCACTCGCACATTGGGCAGCACCCCAACATCATCGAGTGGTTCGCGGCGGGGGAGGACAACACGTGGAAATGGATCGCCATGGAATATGCCGAGGGCGGCGATCTCTTTGACAAGATCGAGGCCGACGTGGGCGTGCGGCAGGACATTGCGCAGGTGTACTTTTGCCAGCTCGTCGGCGGCGTGAGCTTCATCCACTCCAAGGGCGTCGCCCATCGGGATCTGAAGCCCGAGAACATACTCCTGTCGCAGGACGGAAGCCTGAAACTGGCCGACTTTGGCATGTCGACCATGTTCGAGTACAAGGGGCAGCGCAAGGCGAGCTCGACGCTGTGTGGAAGTCCGCCGTATATTGCACCAGAGATCCTGGCGTGCGGGCGGGCCGATAGGAAGGCATCCGGCGCAGCAAAGTACCTCCCCGATCTCGTCGACATTTGGTCGTGCGGCGTGATTCTCTTCGTGCTGCTGGTCGGCAACACGCCCTGGGACGAGCCGGCCACCAGCAGCTGGGAGTTCCAGGAGTACGTCAAGACGTCGGGCCGCAGCTCGGACGCGCTATGGGAGCGGGTGCCCCCCGAGGCCCTCTCCTTACTACGAGGCATGATGAGCGTGGATCCAGAGAAGCGGTTCAGCTTTAATCGAATACGGCAGCACCCGTGGTACACACGACACAATCCATTCCTGACGGCCGAGGGCAAGGTTTCGGACCCTCTCAACCTCGCCACGCACATGTTGGAAAACCTACACATTGACTTCTCGCAGCAACCCACCACATCCCAGTCGACGCAAGAGGACATGGACACAGACATGGACTCGGGGTTGAACGCTGGGCGGTTCTCGTCGACACAGCCAGAGACGCCCATCACGCCTATAACAGATCAGGAATGGGATTGGGAACGCCCCGTGATACGATCTATGGCGGCGCCAGCTTCTTCGGTTCCCGCGCGCGGTCAGGACCCCATGTCCCGCGTGCCCCTCGGCAGCCTGGCAGATGAGCCGTCCATGTCGCAGTTCTCACAGAACCCCGGCCCCTCGATGACACTGACGCAGCACGCGCGCCGATTCGGTGACATATGCCCTCGCGAGTCCCTGACACGATTCTTCTCCCATGCCCCGCCCGCGCATCTCGTGCAGATGCTCAGCGATGCGCTGCACCAGCTCAACGTGCCTCTCGCGCCCGTGATGCCCAATCTCCAAGCCAACAACGTGGCCAGCATCAAGGTGCGGGGACTCGATGGGCGGCAGCAGAATCTCCACGGCGAGATCCAAATCCATAGGCATGGTCTGGTGGATGGCGAGGTGCTCGACGTGCAGTTTGTCAAGGTGAAGGGCGATCCTCTGGAATGGCGAAGATTCTTCAAAAAGGTGGTCGTCCTCTGTAAGGACGGTGTCTATGTTCCCGAATCTTAGAAGGGGAAGGGTATTTTCGGATGTAAAGCTGTTGGGTCAGAATATGTTGGATCGAGAACCATGTTGAAACGCTCGGCGTGACCAAGTTGTTTGGCTCAGTCAACGTGCTCAGGGCCTTCGGCGTGCTGGCCAACCCATTCGAAGGCTACATGGTAGGCATGTTAATCTAGATACACCATGGCAGGTGTCCAGGGGATCTTACTCTGGCGGCACATGGGACACTGTCCCTTGGCGGACTCCTGCTTGATCCATTCCATGATGCAGTGCTGCGATAGTCAGATACCATGTGATAATACAAGATACTTTTTGGTGTTACCATGTGGAAATTGTGGCCGCATTTGCCAGAGACTGATCGCGACAGTTTAGCATTCGTACGGCAGTATGTAAACAAATGAGTGTACTCACGGAGGCTGCAGTCGTCGCCAGGATATTTACACGTAGGGCATGTGCCGTCGAAATGCACCTGGCAGATACCGCAGACGTCGTCCTCGGATATGTCCCATTGCCAGGTGGCGACCGCGCTCCATTTCTTGATGGTGACCCTCATGGCTAATCGCGCGTTGGTGAGTCGGTATGAAAGGATGGGAGACATGTCTATTTGTGACGGACTCTCCAAAGCCCAAAAGTCCGAAATCCGTCATTGCTGGCTGGCTGGTGGTGGTGGTGGGTGGTCCAAGCTTCTCCCCGCGTGAGCGGCTCCGTCAGAAGCTCGTGGCTGGGACTGAGTCGACCGACTGGAATTCCCAATCCTTATCAGCATCTGTCCTGTCATGCAGTTCATGCACACCTGCAAGCCAGCTTCCAGCGATCTCTCATCCGCGAGAATCTGCTCCTTTAATTGCAATTGGCCGCGTGAACCAGATGACCGCCTTGCGAATAACTTTCTACGATAGCTGCACCTCAGACAGCTCGACTAGACCTGATCCCGTCCGGGGATCGCGGGTCTTCGTCACTCTGTTCACCCTGTCTCAGTGATTGCGCCATACCCGAGTAGCAGCATCACCATCCACATGATGGCCACACTCTTCGCATTTGCACGGCAGCCAATGCGCGCCGGCATGCCTCGCTTCAGCTCCATGACAGCGCGAGCAACGGCCTTCGTCGCGCGCCGTAGCTTCTCCAACTACGTCGTCACCCCGACAGAGCTTCACGAGGCGATCCGCAAGAACCCGCCCAGCAAGATCAGCACCGACCCGCGAACGATCCCCGTCTGCGCCTCGTGGTTCCTCCCCAATGATGGCCGCACGGGCATCCAGACGTACCGGGAGCAACGCATCCCCAAGGCGCGCTTCTTTGACTTGGACAAGGTCATTGACAAGCACAGCCCGTACCCGCACATGCTCCCCGATGCCAAGACGTTTGCCTTGACCATGAGCGAGCTCGGCATCCGCAAGGACGACGTGATCGTCGTATACGACACAAAGGAGCTCGGCATCTTCAGCGCGCCCCGCGCCGCTTGGACGATGAAGCTGTTTGGCCATCCACGCGTGCACATCCTCGACAACTTCAAGCAGTGGGTTGAGCAGGGCCTGCCCACAGAGTCCGGGGAGCTCTACACTGTCGAGTGCAGCCAGTACCAGATCCCCAAGGAGGACGAGATTGCCGATGGCAAGGTTGCGAGCTACGAGGATGTCCGAGAGATCGCGTGCGACTATAACAAGGAAGGCGCAGAAGGTATCCAGATTCTCGACGCCAGGTCAGCTGGGCGTTTCGCCGGCACCGCCCCCGAACCCCGCGAGGGCTTGTCCTCGGGGCACATGCCTGGCGCCATCAACGTCCCGTTCAACGAGCTGCTCGACCCCGAGACCAAGACGTTCAAGTCGCCCGAGGAACTGAAAAAGTACTTTGCGGCCAAGGGCGTCGACCCTGAGAAGCCTGTGGTCTCAAGCTGTGGCACGGGTGTCAGCGCGTGTGTGGTCGACACGGGCCTGGAGATTGCGGGCTATGGCAGCCCCGAGGCGCGCAAGGTGTACGATGGTAGCTGGACGTAAGTGCTTGGCTCCTCTGAAGTTGTTTTCGGTATGAGATCTCATTAACTGACTGTGACTAGCGAATGGGCCCAGCGGGTTCGTCCGTCGGACAACCTCATCGTCAAGGATCAATGAGTGAAGGAAGGAGGGCATGATACCACCATTTGACTTTGTCTCTGCATCACACTACTTGCTACTACCTCACGCTACTCACCCTTTTTGTACATCAGTCTGTCTTGTCTGTCCGGTCGCTTCGAGTACGTGTCTTGGGGGGTTTGCCCCGTCTCTGCTTACGCGTGTTACTATGAATGAACGGGTCTGGTAATGGATGGGCAGGTTGGCATAGCATATCAACTGCTTCTTTTCCATTTCATTTAGTCATTCTCCGTCTGAGACGTACAATTGATAGACGCGGCTCACCCACACACACCGAGTCCCAAACCAGCCTAGCGCCTCCGAGCACGTTGACTCACCGAGACGACCACCACATGACTAAGCAAATCCCACCACACATCTTAGGGCTGGCGCACCCCCAAAATTCACCACCATCGCGAAACCGCCCCACTATCGAGAAAGTTCATCCAGGCGGCCCACGACGACCAGCAACACCAACTTCGCCCACCCAACCCCCTCGACCGATCGACCCAACAACAACAACATCTCTCGACGACACAATGGCTGACCGTGGTCCTTCTGAGCGTGGTGCTCGCGGTGGTGGTTTCGGCTCCCGTGGTGGTGACCGTGGCCGTGGTCGTGGCCGTGGCCGTGGCCGTCGCGGCGGCAAGAACGAGGAGAAGGAGTGGCAGCCCGTCACCAAGCTCGGCCGTCTCGTCAAGGCCGGCAAGATCACCAGCATGGAGGAGATCTACCTGCACTCTCTCCCCATTAAGGAGTACCAGATTGTCGACAACTTCCTGCCCAAGCTCAAGGACGAGGTCATGAAGATCAAGCCCGTCCAGAAGCAGACCCGTGCCGGTCAGCGCACGCGCTTCAAGGCCGTCGTCATCATTGGTGACTCCGAGGGCCACGTCGGTCTCGGAATCAAGACCTCCAAGGAGGTCGCCACCGCCATCCGCGCCGCCATCATCATCGCCAAGCTGAGCGTCATCCCCGTCCGTCGTGGCTACTGGGGTACCAACCTTGGTGCTCCTCACTCTCTGCCCTGCAAGCAGTCTGGCAAGTGCGGTTCCGTCACCGTCCGCGTATGTATTCCCTAGAAGAAAGATGACACAATAAGAAACTAACGTGCCCAGATGATCCCCGCCCCCCGTGGTACCGGTCTCGTCGCCTCCCCCGCCGTCAAGCGCTTCCTCCAGCTCGCCGGTGTCGAGGACGCCTACACCTCGTCCGCCGGTTCCACCAAGACCCTCGAGAACACTCTCAAGGCCGTCTTTGTCGCCGTCACCAACACCTACGGCTTCCTCACCCCCAACCTCTGGAAGGAGACCAAGCTCACACCCAGCCCGCTCGAGGAGTTTGCCGACACCCTGCGCGCTCAGCAGAAGCGTTACTAGACGGCGACTAGATCGGGGCCCGCGGGTGTGCGTCGGGTCCTTCCCTTTAACGAGACGAGAGCATACAAGAAATTACTTCCCCTTTGTCGACCCTTCTTCACGGTTTTTGTGTTTTTGCGTCAGGACGTTGGGTCTGGGGCTATGAAATTTACGGCTATGGTCTGAAATGAACACAAATACTTCCATTCTCCTTCCTAGTCGTGTTCTTATGATGTCTAATTATAAGATGCTGCGCTGTGCTGCCGGACATCTGTACCGGTGTCGTGCCTGGCCATGTCATGTAGCGACAACATCGTGAGAGTCAGCAAGGGGACTCTTCTTGCACCTCCTTGTGGTTCACACTTGACGACTTCCTTTTCTGGTATTGAACAAACGTACATGCTGACAGCCCACAGCTACCTACGACTTCCTTACTCCGCCACCTACGGTACAGGTACGTAAGACGTCCATCATTTCCTCGGCACACTCGCTTCCATCACTCGCCATCTCCAGACGACCTTCTTGGGGGATCTCTAATCTTGACCACGGAAGTGCCGCCAAATCCAACGCTGGCTCGACGTGTCTTCTTCTGGGGCGGCTCCTCCTGAACACGTGCCACTACCTTGGGAAGATACTTGGGACTGGGTAGACGCACACGACCGTCTTCAGGGTCGTCGTCCCTCTTGCGTTTCAGCCCTACCATGACGGCAAGCCTGTCGACGAACGTGGGTGCAGGTGGATCGGCGCCTTGTCCTTGGGTTAGCGTTTTGCTCTTGAGAGTACGATGCAACACACGAGGAGACTCACCACCTCTCTTCAGCCTCTGCTCAATGGCCCTTTGGTCGCGAGGCGTGGCGCCAATATGAGGTCTGCCTCTGTGGAGGGTGCGTCCGCTCTTTTGTTTCTCCACCACCCTCGCCAGAGGAACATACATATCGCGGTGAAGCTTGCCGTGTCTGTCCCATCGCTCCTCGACAACCCAGTCCTCGTCTTCCAGATCGTACCCCATGCCCGGCCAGTTCTTGTAGGTCGGCTTGGATAGTACACTGCTCCTGGGCACGCCCTTCGGCGGAGCGTCTTCTAGGCGACTTTGAGGATGGACTTCTTCTTTTCCCTTGCCTTTGTCCTTCTGGTCAGGTGAACGCAGAGTCATACTGTCTTTGCGAGCCACGAAATGATTACCGCCACTGCTTTCGAGTTTGCCATTCAGCCTAGCGCGGCGATCAAGAGCAAAGTAGTTGGGCATCTTGCCGTTCTCGACGGCACCAAACGACCAGATGGAGTTCTTGAACGCGACAGTCGCCTCGTCATCTTGTCCTGCCTCATTCTTTCGGAACTCGGGCGGGTCGTTGCGACACAGCTCGTCAATGAGCCCCTTTCGGACAGTAACATAGGCCTGGTGCTCGCCTTCATCACAATAGTCCGCCGCATTCCACTTCTTCCTGAAATTACTTGGTTCGGCCTTCCTCACGACGTCTGTGAATAGGGGAACGACGAGCTGATCCCCGTGGTCAGGATCCGGGGATTGCAACCAGGTATGCCTGAGGTAACTCACGTCCCAGAGTTTGGCAGTGTCGAATGCGGATCCCATGTTGCGATGAATACGTTCCGGATCTCCGAGGAGGACCAGGTTGGCTTCGTGCTGCGTCCTCAACCTACGGAGGGTCAGGCCCATGCGGTAGGCCAAGCAGGTATAGAATCCCGTCGTTCGCTCAGTGGCCTCGGTAGACTGGCCTCGCTTGATCTCGGGGACAGAGCGGAGCATGTTCTTCGAAGGGATGAACTGGAGGTACTCGGTGTCTGTTTCTTCGCCATCGTGTACATCATGCTGTGCCGATGAAGTGGCACCTGGTCGAGCATTCTTGACTGGAGAATACCATCGTATCGCGTTCAGAGCAAACAGCTGGGGAGCCTTGCGATATTGGAGATCCCTGCTGGTCACGTCGTTTTGTCTCCTGGGAGCCCATCATGTCAGTTCCGCTGCTGGGTGGATGTAGTCATCAAATGGTCAGGAGTCCACTCACAGTACGAGACCCATGTTCTCTGCTATCTCGAGGTATTTGACGACCTCCTCGTCAGTGAAGAACGCCTTCTTCACGTCTCTTTGGGCAAGTTCTCGCTCAGACTCGCATTCATCGTTGACAAACAGCTGGATCAGCTGGCGGCTCCGAGGATGCGGCCCGAGTCTGAACTTTGGATCATGACAGTCAATCATCGCTTGTATCTTCCGCATGAAGACTCTGCCCTTGGTGTCCAGCCCGCAAGCGTCTCTGTCTGGCAGCTTCGGAAGGTCAGTGGAGAAAAACTCCAGCCATTCAACTTCCGCCGGTCGAATGTCCACCAAATTCTGCGGCTGGAGGAAAGCAGGAGTGGGAAGAGAAGCATTCACAAACTCGTCGAGGCGGAAGCGCAAGGCCTTTCTTTGCACATTGGACGGAGCAGTGCCGAGGAGACCATCGTCTATGGCTAAGGCCATAGTGGTGAAGCGACGGGTATCATCTTCGTCCACGGCCAGGGACAGAGTGTGCACAAACTCACGCTTCACTGACTCGAGCTTCTTCAGTCGATCCCATATCTTAAGCATGTCCTTGCTCATGCCACCAAGGGGTATAATACCCCTAAAGTTCACCGGCGGAGGGAGGTCAACGATGGACTCGACACGCTTCTGCCATTCCCTACCACGATGGCCGTGGGTGAGATCTGACCACTCGCGTTGGCCCCTGTCGAACTGGCTCATGCTCGCGAGGTAGCTTTGGCGCCTCCTGTTCGGTAGTCTGAAGCGCTTCCAGGGGGTATGCAAAGGAGGGCTGGCCACGACAGCATCCGGCTGGACTTGACACTGGCGCAGTGACAGCGGATCAGCAGCCGCCACGCCTACAGCAATTGCGTTACGGTGGCCCTCGGGGACAGGTTCATATAGTCGGCTGGGGATCTCCTGCCACTCACACCATCGCCACGCCTGTGCTTTCTCAAGCATGCCTTCCACGAGGAGAAGGTCGTCCCACCAGGTCTGGCCCTCGTACTTGGTTCTCAACCAGACCACGTATCGGAAGATACGTGTGCAGTCCACAGCCCACCTTGCGAAGCTGTCCTCATCTGTGGGTGGCTTCGTGCTGAGATAGTTCTTTGCACGACGAAGGGTCGTTGGGGGTGGCATGATGGGCGCGCCCTCGTACTCGAGCAGATGCAGTCTGTCTCGAGGATCGGACGCTTCACGTTTGTATCTGAGCTGCCTGTTGCGAGTGAGGTTGATCTTGCCGCGTCGTCGGGTTTGGCTTATCGGTTTATTTGCCTTCAACTCCTCGACGTCAGCTGCTTCGCCCGGGTCCGTGTGGGTCAGGTTCCTGGTCTGGCTTCCACGCAAGGTTCCGACTCGGTGCTGAAGGTGCGTGTTGGGGATGTCACCGTCAGAGACAGGCCCGACTCTGGCCTGAGACTTGGTCATGGAAGCCTCACGCGCGTCTTGTGCGCTGGACTCGTCTAGTTCCGCGTCTGAGTAGTCCGCCATGATAGGGGACGCTGCTTCCGCATCTGAACCGTCGTCTGCCATTGCGAAGCTGATGATGGGAGCTTTTCGAGTTATTTCTGGCTCTGAATAATCGTCAGTTATTTTGAAGCTGATCACTGGGGCTTTGTGTGCCTCCTCCGCTTCCGAATTGTCGTTGGTCATTGCGAAGCTGATAACAGGGGCTTTATGAGCCGCCTCGCGCTGTGTGTGATCTGTACACTGACTCGTCTCGGTTGGCTTGGAATGAGCTGTCCCGTATTGTGCGTCAAGCTTCGTTGTCGGTTCTGGGCTTTGATTTTGGTCTGTGGACGGCGGCCAGTCCCAAGCTGACATCGTGTCAGTATCTAGCTCGCCCAGCAGAGACTACCCAGTCCGCAACTCACTAGGCCGATAATAGTCATCGTTGTCTGTCACTCCAGATCCAACAATCTGACCTCCAGGTTCGGTGCCGCTCCATGAGCTCTGGCGTGTTTTCAAGGAAGATGCTGCTCTAGCCGCACGCTTGCGGTTTGTTCTTCTCGGGTTACGACGTTGTCCGGATGCTACGCAGACATGATTATCAGTATAGGATCGCCGGCTGCATTCAATTCGATGCACATTGGGCGTACTGTTTTCGCCTGCGCTTGGCGCCCAGGTACTCGTCCGTGTTCTTCCCATGATGCGTTGAGCCGTCGAGGATGGTGGGCCAAGCGAACGCTCCTGTTGTATTTGCCCAGATAAGCAGTCTGGTTTGGGCAAGTAAGTCCTTGCGGGGATGAGCACAAGATACCTGATGAAAGAGTTTCCGCAGAACAAGCGCTCTCAATTTCCGTGGACAACGGCTCGCCTTATGTGTTGTAGCATCAGCTTTGTGGAAAGCTCATCAACCTTGACGCTCAACCCTCTCGAGGGCCCGCCCGTCCATCTCAATGGGTGACGGAAATGGCTACATACAGAACAAAGACGATCAATCCAGGCCGTGCTCTGGAAATTGAAGACCTATTGGCGCATGGTATAACTCTTTCCTGTTTAGTTCCTACATGTACGGATATGTAGCGCATAACCGAGGTGGGCTGTCTGCCAACAGTGAAGGTATGCCACGAACTCGTCCCCACAGAATCGGGTCTTGTATGAAGGCTTGTAGCGAACTGTTCGTTTGTACGGTATGAAAATTCGACCGCTTTCGCGAGTCTGGCGCTCCTCTGCATGTATCCTCTCCGCCCTTCAGAGCGTCAGCGTTACACCTCCAGAACCCAGCATGGCACCTCGAGACGCCGCAAATACGGATCGGAAATACTCACACTGGACATCGAGTGACGGGAGACTCAGAGACTTGTGTAGTTTTCCCTTCTCGGGTCGTTTGCACGCCTGCATCACAATTTAAATCCCCGATTCACGGTACATATATGCACAGATGTCTAAATAATTTAGCGTGTTCGAGTTTAGAGAAGGAGAGGGGAAGAAGACGACTTCACCACCTGGTTATCCTTTACAAGAAGCATATATCATGAACAAACCAATGGCATACATAGCAGGTGCAACTTCACCATTTTGTTCGGCTGCTCCGATCTAGACGGAGGAAAACCCCCTGCGCTGACACAGACCACAGGGTAGTCTGTCCATGCCCCCTCTCCCTGCTTGATGCAAAGACCATAATTCTCGCCAGCCCCTTCATACCAACGCTGCGCTGCCGCGTTTCCATTCATTACGTTCAATGGATTTTTGCCCAATTTCTAAGCCGCAAACTTTCACCCTCGTGCCGCCTGCCTACGCTTGCATGCCAGTCAGTTCGAAAATAGCCCGCAGGGAGGCAAGACCTCTTGCAACCGCGCCAGTGGTGCCCGACAGCAGCAGCCCAAGCCTTGGCCCCCCCTTGTTCATGCTCGACTATCGTATTTATGCTTTGCACCACAAATTGAGTCGCCCAGCGCTAAGAGTGGGAGGCAATTTCGCATTGTCTTGAGCGCCGCGGCACCATGTCAATGCTCCAATCTCAGCAGCCCCATCGAGGTCATGGGACATGCCTCGGACAGACAGCATTGGCAGAGCAACATGGTAAGAATCAGTTGCAGGGGACGCACCTTCGGCAAAAGCCCATCGATATCACAAGGCATGCACAGGGAATGATTGTACGAGATACAATGTTTAAGATTGTGCCTCTTTATACCTCTGAATATCTACCTATACACAGCGTATGAGAGAATGGTAGATCGAGAGACCGAGGTTGCTAGCCTCCAGTGTCTGCACGCTTCGCAGGTGCAAGCCGCCTGAAAGTCCGCCAATTTCCTCCTCGACGGCCATTTAAACCCCAAACCTCCTCCGTAGAAGAAGCGTATTAATTATCCCATCAAACACCTGAGGCGTCTGAGTAGTGAATATCAAAAGGCTCTTCCCGGGCGTCTGCGGAATAGCATTGCAGAAACGCAGCTTGGTTGTTGCTGGCTCGAGCCACAAGCGAGAGACCATCTCTGCGTCGCGAGTAGCAGGCCACAATGTTTCCGCAGGGGAATGCTGCGGTCCGGTATCGTCCCCTCTCGTTCTTGCCTCTCTCGGGCACCGGTGCCTGATTGCAATCTTGGTGGTATCTCCTCCTCGCCATATGCAGCTTGGCGTGACATGGGAAACCTCCTCTGCATGCGTCTATTTCGTTCCGGAAAAAAACAACTTTTTTGTGCTCGTCCGCAGTAGAAGAAAGGGGTATGATTCAAAATCCCACTTTTTTTTTTGGTGCAGCAGACGTGCTTGATGACTTGTTTGTTGGGCAGGTAAATAATGACAAGGGTGGGTGAACAAATATGAAAAAAAGAAGTAAACGCAGTCGCTAAATGCCATGACGTAAAAAACAAGATCTTCGGTTTCCTCCCCTGTGGCTGCTGTCACGGGCGGCGAGACAGATTGCCACGGGTGACGGCCATCCTGATGGTTGCCCGGCTCAGGGGTTCAAGTATTGCGTGTTGTGTTGATGCGAATACGAGTATTGGTCAGGTCGGTTGTGTGATGACGGCGTGATGGGGTATCGTTGTGATTGTTGTTGCGCCAGGGGGTTTGATGACGACCCTTGACCATTGAAGTAGTGGCCGTCCGGTGTGATAGGCGGCGTCAGATAGCCATCGAAGCCCATGGTAGCACCGTGGCCCTTCTGCGGCGTGGCCAGCAGATCGTTCCTGGCGGGCTCGGCTGGTGGAGTTGGGGGCTCGGCGTTGCTTTGAGCCAGGGCAGCCTGCTGTGCCATGAAGTCGGCCAGCTGCTGGGACACCTTGGACGTGTGCGACGTTGCGTACTTGCGGGCCAAGGTCGTTGATGGGAGATGGAGGTGATGAGAGAGGCTCAAGAGAGTTGTCTGTTCCGAGCTGTCCCACTCTCCATCGGTGACCTCTGGACGGCCAAGAACAGCGCGAGCCAGGGCGAGGGAGGAGCGGGCCATGGTCGAAGGCTTCACTGAGACGAAGTCGCGGTGATAGAGCGCAATCTCACTCATGTAGGCAGCCATGTGCTCCACTTCGCGGTCATCGTGCTCCTCGGCCACCATCAACGACGAGAAGAAGTCCACAGTCGGATGCCCAATTGACCAGTCAAGAGTGTTGAGAACGTGCATTTCCATCTGGGCAAACATGCCGGCATCGTAGAGGCCGCAGCACATGTTGTTCAACTCCTGAATCTGGGGTACTCGGTCCTTCTTGTCACCGTATTTGGCCGCGATGAGGAGTGCGGCACAACCAACGAGCTGGTAGTGCTGCTTATACACCACACGCTTGGCACAGTAACGATCGAGCAGGTTGACGGTCAGGAACAGTGTCTCGGGCAGAAGGGCAAAGGCGGCGTGAGCCTCGACGAGGAAGTCGATGAGGTACGGACGCATGAACCACTGAATCTCGCGTTGCAGATCGATGAGCGCGACGTCAGGCAAGGTCTCGTCCTCCATCCGCCTGATATGTCCCATGATGTCCTCCAAGTACTCGTCAGCCGCTAGTCGTGAAAGCTCATTGGCGATGAGCTCCTGTTTCCGGCGGGCGATGAGCTTGGCAGCTTCGCGCGGTGTGATGTGAGAGAGAGGCATGTCGTCGTTCTCCACGAAGAAAGTGGTGTCCGGCTGTGAGTGAGAGTAAGCCATTGTGACTGATGGCTATCGGTGTTGCGGCGAGGTGAGGTGAGGAGTTGTGAAGTAGGTTGCCTGGTCAGGTCGAAAGAATGACAGATAAGTTCCCCAGGAATCTTGGGTCGGAAGCTGAGTTGTAGTTGAAAAGAGTGTCGAGCTCGGGCCGTGTTGCAGAAAGAGTGAAGCGGGCCTGAGGAATTAAGTGATTAAGATATTAATGAGTGTGGGTGAATGTCAAGGAGAAAGGAGTGACTGTGGCTGGTATCGAGGCCAAGAACATGGAATCCAAGCGGCCTAGTTGAAGGGGCTCGAACAAGGGGTCGTGGCTCGAGGCGATGAAGCTGGAACCGAGTTGAGGAAAGGGCTCTAAGAAAATGAGCAGATTAGCCATGAATTCTTCGACATCTGTCAGTATTGTGGCTCTGAGACAAGCTAGCTTGACAACAGGCACCAAGCCGATGGCTGCTTGGTGTATCGCCAGGAGAATAGCTGGATAGGGAATCTTTATCGGGCCCTCTGTGCTCCCTTGTTCCCTGGGGTATGCGGGATGGGCAATGGTGCAGAATGATTGGTGAGGAGGGGTGGTGGAAATATCTTACATCCACAAATGCTGGCGTCGGGGATGGACGGGAGGGCTGGACAGAAGTGAGACAGGTCGTGGTGTGCTAGCAGGAGCAACGAGCTAACGTGTCCCACTAAAGCAAATCCAAGAAATCGAGTCACCGCGGTGGTGAAGGCGACAATCGAGGAGCAGCGAGCGAGTCGATATGCAGCCTGCGCATTCCTAATTAGAATCCATATTTCATGCTCAAAGCCCATGTCCCGAGTGCCTAATTGTGGAAACAGGAACCCCGAGGCAAAGACAGATTGTGGACCACATACCTCTTCAGTTTGCACTAAAGCCTCTGGCAAATGCTGTCGCCGAGTGAGGACCGAGTAGTCTGTCGACAAAGTTGTTCATCCGTCAACGTCGAATCCGGGTGACAGGACTAGTGATAATACACAGTAGCCTGGTATCAAAGCCAGCGACGGCTGAGTTCGAGGTGCCTTGATTCGTGACAAAAAATCGTCTCGGATTGAGCGACCGATCGTTGTCTTGCCCAGGATGGACTTGTGGCGGGAAGGTGTCGAAGGGCGGGTCGAAATTGTATTCGGGTGAGGTATGGAAATTGGTCTTGGATGTGGAATTCCTCAATTAATAGGGTGGAGGAGCTCAAAGGTAAAAGAGACGCAGGCACAGATATTGGCTACCGATGCTTTGCAACTCAATTATTATGCCTTGGTCGTGCGAGGGCAAAACAAGGATGGCAAAGCTAGCGTGGTCTGAGGTGACTGGCAAAAAAGTGAATCACTTGTGATGCTGGTCTTCCCTTTCTGGCCGATATCACCCTTTTGATATCACGACTGCCGGCGAGGCGAGAGGAGGATGATCAATCCTTTCGGTTATCTTCTGCTCCGTCTGGAAGCTTTCTCGTTGTCCTATCCTGATAGGGCTGAGGATTGTTGTGTGCTGAGCTGGTCAGTGGCTGCTCTCGACAGTTGCGTAAAGCGACCGGAAGAGACACGATTGACTGGACCAGGGCAGGGCGAAGCTCTAGTGTTCCTAATTAAAGGAAGACGAGTGGACAGGAGAGAAAGAGAGACGGGGAGGAGAGGAGGAAGGGGGAGAGGTGAGGGAGAGAGAGGTTGATTAGGAGAGGTGAAGAGGAGGTGGACGGAGGAGAGGAGCAGCGAGCCAGAAAGGAGTGGATGAGAGGGCCTCTCGATGGTTTTGAGGAGCTGGCGGATGTATGCACCTCATTCGCATCGATGCCGACCAGGAACTGGGTTCCTTCCTTCCTTCCTTGTACCGCACTGCACTGCACTGTAGTGGGTTGGCCTCGCCTCGCTGCAGCGCCTGTCGCAGCGCCCTTACAGCGGCCCAGCGCTGTGAGTGGTCCGAAGCTCGTGAGCGGGATAGTTAGGTACTACGGCGCTGATTGGCTCAACGCCAGCCAAAGCCTGTGGTAGTCCTGCTCCTGCCTTGCTGCTGTGCTTCCGTCTGGGGGTGTGGGAGAGTGCGATGCGCGAGGGGTGAGGTCTGTCGGCTTGCCAGTGGACTGGCAACTGGAGACAGGACCGTGGGACTGGAGGCTGGGAGTGCTTTTTTTCCTCCTTCGCTTTGCTCACCCCCCAGAGCATCCCGCTCCTCATGTGCCTCTGTATCCCAATTGACAAGCTCGAGTGTATTCGCATGATCTGAACAAGCTCACAGGGGAAAGCATCAACTCACATTGACTCAGGCACGGGACGCTCAAACGCCTGGTTGTCTCGGCTGACGAGATTGACGTCGGCAGGGATCGCGCAGCGCCGAGAGAAGGTGGCTCGCAAGATCAGGCTTCAGTGGTCGCCGCTGGTGTGATGATTGTGCAGTACAAGTATTAATTGATTGTTCAATAGTGGGCTCAGTTGGGCTGGGCGAAGAGCGTCGAGTTGCTCCGTTTTCTTTGTGCTGAATTATGCTTGCACCACTGTGTTGTAATTATGGCTCTTGGGCAGGTCGATCGACGTGAGCATCACCTTTCAGCTCTCTGCCACTGAAGAAGGAGTAGCTGCACTGGTCTATATACTGCTTTGGGGAGAATATACCAAAGAGACTACAGTCCCTGTTCCCGCGATCAGAAGGTCTGTTTATTTGTCGAATCCTCCGCCATCCCTACTCCGTGATCATGACCGAAACAGGGCCATGGCTGGAGGCTGTGAGGCCAAGCCAAGCAAAGTGGCCCGCCACGGCGATTGGCTGCACATTCGGATTGCATCTGTGATTCTGTGCTACCGTCCAGATACTGCAATGATGGCATTGCGGACGTTATGAATCGCCGTATCAGGACTGGACTCAACCGAGTATGAACGCCGACATGGTGATCAACACACGACCAGACACGCCAACGACATGCGGCCAGCCAGCCAGCCAGCCAGCACTGTATGGGGACGCTCCGCTGGCGCTGCAATCATCCGCCAGTAATTGACGATGGGTGGTCTTCCTCACCAGCTGAGCAGTACTGACTGGAACTGACAATCATCAGGCTGGAGTCGCAGGCTTGTTGCAGCGCATCTCCACCTCCGCAAACTGTCGCAGCAACCGTGCTGACGAACCCTGACCAGTGGGCTCGGAGCGCTTTTACCACCCCTGGAAACTGAACCGGCCGCATCGCTAATATTGACGCAACAAAACGCCAAAGAGACACGCTCCAAGCCTCACGACGCTCACTTTTCGTGTCGTCGCCGCGTTGGAGCCATTTTATTTATTAATGGTGCCGCCTTGGCCGTGTCTTGAGGACGGAGACGACCGCCACGCTGGCAACCTGACTAGTCCGTCAAATGTGCCCGTTGCAGAGGAGGGCTTTCTGCGCATTGACGGAAGCCAAGGCCGTCCGTCGGACACTGATCATTCATCAACTAAGAGTGCAATTGCTTCTGCAAGCTGCGTCCAGCGACCTGAGATTCAAAAGAGGTTCAGCCCTACAAGATCCAAAATAATGCTGTTCACGTGTCAAAAAGATAGTACTGTCAGTGTCAGTGTCAGACGGTGGCCTGATACCTATTAATATGACCTGTATGCCTGTTTGGGAAGATACAGTGCTTGCATCCGACAGGTCGTTAGCGCTTATTGGGCACTGGCTGAGCTTGCGTCCTGATATCACCATATACAAATGGATGAAACTTCTCAGTCTCAATGCATCTCGTGTCCGCCAAATATGCCAGACGTGTGGCGTTGCGCGTGTATAAGACAACATAACGTATAATTATGAGGCCAGCTGTGTGCGCCCTCCGTCTTGGCTTTTCTGTTACCTGCAGCGCGACTACAAAAGTATCACATTGCCACCGCTGCAGCCACCAGGAGTAGTGAGGAATTTGAGATGAGATCAGCGTTGGCCCCAGAAGCAATGTTGCGCTACCCAGAACTTGGGGCTGTAATAATAAAGACCCTTACGCAGCACGGACTGCCCGCGAGTCGGAGCCCTTGTTGTTGCGCCTGTCAATTGCGAAAATGACTATCTTGACCGTTCGCTCACTCAGTCACCGGTGCCTGCGGGCTGACACACTTATTGAGTGAGCGTTGCTGCACCGCACGCATAACCAAGACGCATCAGTACAGAACTGTGGCATCGTGGCGGAGATTGCCTTTGACACGACGTGAGATCTACTGAAACCACTTTACGCGGTCTCTCAAGGCGACAGGGGTCCACGTACCAATGGGGACGCAGAAACGCGCTCCCAGGCCCTCTAGACCCCTGTATTCCTGCCAGCGCATCGCATCACTCACTCAGCGGATGGTGGCGTGGCCTCCTACTTCAACCTAACGTACGGCTGTTTAGTGCTCATTATTATTATACTCATTATTAGCCTCGTTATCTGCTGAGAGTTGGGCTATCCTAGCCCCTTTCAGAGGCCCATAGTGCGAGCTGTACCACCTTTTCGGCCTCGCTATCCGTCTAGCGCTCCCCCCCAATATGGAGATGGGCATTGCACGGCCTTGAGGACAGTTGCCCATCTGGACAGCTCACACGAAGAAACTCCAGGGTCCCCCCCCTTCCAAGAGCATACGTACTGCATTTCTGGATCGCAAGATGGTGTGAAAGTCGTCCCTGGTTTGGGCCCAACTTCTCCCAAGATGGCACGCTGGCCGAGCTGCGTGAGCTGGTCCAAGGTCTAATCAACGTGACGATGCGGGCTTAGCGGCTGAGCACCCGTGCAATGGCCTCGTTCAGCGCCTGGATGGGAAACAAAGGACCAGACCGACAGAATACGGACTAGCACTGCATTGGGGGTTCGCTCTCAACGGAGAGCCTGGTCCAATCCCCTAAGCAGTCAACTTGTATTCAATCACTGATTCACTGGAGACAGTGAAAGTAGCCGGTATCAGACTGCAAGCTGAGCCAAACTTCGCTGCAAAAGCCACTCCGAATTCGCTCGGCACACGCGTGAAACATCCTCTTCATAGCGCCAATGTGTCGCGAATAGTTTTCTGCAGG